TGAATTTGAATGGTGCTTAATTATTCAATTGTAAATGGAAGAATATTAAAATCTATGAGTATATGTTTAAAATGGTTGTATATAATTCAAGGGCTCTTAAATCAAAATATAAAAATGATTACCTAATTATAATTAGATTGTATTTAAAATTTCCAAAAATTCATAAAAAGAATTTTAAATCATAATAAAACTTCAAAATTAACTAAAATTCAACTTTAAAAAAGCAAAATACTCAAAAAAAAAACAAAAAATAAAATAACATTATTAATTTAAAAACCTAAAAAACCCTAAAATAATAAACAAATAATAATAATCAAAACTTATTTTAATCAATTACAAGTCAAATTTTTTTAGCCACTTTATTGATTCTTTATAGTTTATTAGATTATTTTAGAGCAGAAGTAGCTTTGCAACCACTGTTAAAATAATAACAATCCCCTTCATTTTTTTGGACCATATACAAAGAGATTCAGTAGATTCTTCGCAGGTATTTTTTGCCCCATAAAATTAGAAACCAGTAACATTCCGAGATAATGTATTTTTGGATTTTAAAAAAAAATTGCTAAAAGGTTGGTGTCTTTAACTTTGGTTCATTTAAAATACTTATTAACCAATTTTTGGTTTGATGTAATCTTTGCTTATTACCTTTTTAAGAACACCAACTTGATATAGCAATTTAAATTTGTATTTCATAATCTTGAGAAGAACTTTTTGTCATGATGAAACTCATTATTAAATAAAAAAAAGATTAACATAATCAATAGAAAAAGCCAGCTTATAAAGATTTTAAATAACAAAGACTGAACTATGATTTAAATTTGTTTATCTGATTATATGAGATCGATTTTATTAGTTATGCGCTTTATATTCACTATATTGTAATTAGTTGTGGATTATACTTTCTTCTAAATTTTAGTTAGAATTGAATGACAATATTGTATATCAAGAATCGCAAAACTACATATTGGAATTGCTTAATAAAGCAATTTTTGATACATTAGAACTAAAATCTATTATAAGAAGTGTTTCTTCTATAGAAGTTCTGAATTCATTAGCGTTAACCTTAATCTTTCAAAAATTAACCCGAAAAGTCACTAAATTTCCATGATAGTTTTTTTAATTAAGCCAAAAAATTTTAATTTTAATCTTTTACTATACAGATTATTAATACATTTATTGTAATCCTAGCCAACACATCTTTGAGACCATTTTACATTTTTAAAATTAGGCCTTTTTCTCCTACTAAGTGCAATTCGATCTATCAATAAATTTTGTTAAATCAGAACTAACTGTACATATATTTTTGGATTATTTAGAACAATCAAAATGTTTCTCTTAATTTAATCTAATTATTGTTATATCATAAATTATAAAATGGAAAGAATTTCTTTCCCACTTGAAAAGACAAATTAATTTAATTTGTCACTATAAAAAGTTGAGCTGATCACAGCATTGCTGACACAAATAGGGACAATCTCATCCCGGTTGCGGCTTACCTGGATAATGTTAATATACGATCTAAGAGAAAAACATTAATTTAGAATAAACTTAACTTTAAATTGTAATGTATCGTTAAATAAACATACATTTTAACACATTTTGATAACTACATTCTTTATTTATATGTTACTGTAGAAGTACATTAATGATATTACAATAAATTCTATTTTTCTGATAATTAAAGAAATTCAAATTTCTTAAATCGTGATAACATCTTTCTACACCGATGAATTTTAGATGCTCATCAATTACAATAATAATCGTTTAGTAGATAATAAATTGATTTTGCTTAGAATTATGCAATCTTTAAACTACATTAATCTAAATATTTGGAAATGTTGAAACTTATAATTTTTTTTATTTACTTTTACCATTAGTAATTCATCTCTTTTAAATTTATAATCTTCTAAATTAAATGATTTAGTTATAATTAAGACACTATTTATGTTAAGATCTGTATTTAAAGATGCAAATCTATGCTAATTGGTAATAGTAATTTTACTATTGTTTCTTTATATTCATAACTCAAAATTTCAGAATAGTTGATTTAATCAATCATCCTTAATAAATACTGCTCACTTAATTTAATTAAGGTAAGTAAGTTGGTATTACCCTTGAATTAGAAAAGGGTTAAATTTTAATTATATTGGTGAAAGACCTGAATGCTGAATCTCTTCTAATTTCTAACTTAATGCGGTGACAATACTAACCTGTCCAAAAAATAAATTTCTTCCTTTGCTTTTTTATCAATAGCTCTTGCAAAACAATAATAAATGTTAAAAATATGATGTAAAAAAAACAATTATTTCAATACCTCATCATATTATATGCCAATTAAAAGCGAATTCATATTTTTAGCTAGAACTTTGGTAAATCAAATATGAAAGGATTAGGTTAACATCATCTATTATATATATATTATCTCAAAAATTAATAAAGTATCAGTAAAGGTTTATCGTTCACTAAACTCAATAACATGGGTCATTTTTAGCATGATTACAATTTTTGTTGCATGACATCTAAATAAAGTATCTACATTGTTATAAATATCAGAATGATGTTCTGCATTTTATCAAAATTATTTCAGAAAGACTCTTATATCAACAATAACAACAAAATAAATTTATTTTAAGAAGAATTTGGATTTTAATAGTTTAATAAAACATTCAATCCTTTGAAATTATGAAAATCTAAATAAATTTCAGTTTGAAAATAAAATATATGGCTAAATCAAACAATCAAAATTAAAGATATTCAAGAAATTATAATTAATATCAATAATTTATATTTTTTTAATGCTATTCAATGTTTATCACAATTTTCTTGTGACTATTACCAAAGTTTGAACAAATTATGGTTAGTCTTATTTTTAATATAGGAATTTGTAAAAATTGTTCCTATAAATTTTGAATTTTATGGAGTTTTACTAAGACAAAATATTTCAGTTATGGTAATTTAATTTTATGAATTAACTTTAATTTCTGAATTTTATTATTTTTATTCAATTCTTGTTTCATATTCATCAGTTAATGTCTTTTTTAATTCTTAAAGTTCTCTTAATTTTTTTGTAAATATTTCTGATAGTTAATCTGCTGCCATAGAACAGCACCTAGCTTTCTCGATCATCCTTTAATTGATTGTTTAAATTTGTTAATCACTCTCTTTTAATAATTATTTGATTTCCTCTCCTGCCTTGGTGATTTCATCTTTTAAGGTTTTTTATGCTCTTAATGTAGCACTCATCTCAACTCTTCGTAGTTCAGATAAATTATGATAGTTCTCTTCTGCTCTCTCAAAAATTGTTTCCTATAGTAATCTTGCCTATTCTATATCATTGATATTATTTGCCTCATGTTAAAGTGAAATACAATTCTTATTGAAACTGCTAAAATCGAGCTTATCAAAAGTTTCTTGGATATATTTCTTTTGATGATTTAAGTTTTGCTTCAATCGATTAATATCATCAAAAAAGTTATCTTCAACCATATTTTCCATCTTCCAAATCTTAATTTATTTATCTTAAGAAGTTGAAACTATAACTTTATTATCTTTAGATAAGCCTAGACAAGTAATTTGAGCTTAATGACAACAAGTTTTCGATCCATGAATTTTTTTGGATATATCCCAAACTTTTATGGAAAGATCTTCAAAAGATAATATTAAAACTAATCCATTTTTATTAAAATACATTGAAGTAATTACTCCTTAATAAGAATATTTTTGATATATCTCTGATAAATCTGCAGTTTCTAGAATATAGACATTTGAGTCTTTGGTTGCGATTGCCAAGTATGAGTAATCAAATGTTAATGCTAAGCATGCTACCCTTTTATTNAATAACAACAAAATAAATTTATTTTAAGAAGAATTTGGATTTTAATAGTTTAATAAAACATTCAATCCTTTGAAATTATGAAAATCTAAATAAATTTCAGTTTGAAAATAAAATATATGGCTAAATCAAACAATCAAAATTAAAGATATTCAAGAAATTATAATTAATATCAATAATTTATATTTTTTTAATGCTATTCAATGTTTATCACAATTTTCTTGTGACTATTACCAAAGTTTGAACAAATTATGGTTAGTCTTATTTTTAATATAGGAATTTGTAAAAATTGTTCCTATAAATTTTGAATTTTATGGAGTTTTACTAAGACAAAATATTTCAGTTATGGTAATTTAATTTTATGAATTAACTTTAATTTCTGAATTTTATTATTTTTATTCAATTCTTGTTTCATATTCATCAGTTAATGTCTTTTTTAATTCTTAAAGTTCTCTTAATTTTTTTGTAAATATTTCTGATAGTTAATCTGCTGCCATAGAACAGCACCTAGCTTTCTCGATCATCCTTTAATTGATTGTTTAAATTTGTTAATCACTCTCTTTTAATAATTATTTGATTTCCTCTCCTGCCTTGGTGATTTCATCTTTTAAGGTTTTTTATGCTCTTAATGTAGCACTCATCTCAACTCTTCGTAGTTCAGATAAATTATGATAGTTCTCTTCTGCTCTCTCAAAAATTGTTTCCTATAGTAATCTTGCCTATTCTATATCATTGATATTATTTGCCTCATGTTAAAGTGAAATACAATTCTTATTGAAACTGCTAAAATCGAGCTTATCAAAAGTTTCTTGGATATATTTCTTTTGATGATTTAAGTTTTGCTTCAATCGATTAATATCATCAAAAAAGTTATCTTCAACCATATTTTCCATCTTCCAAATCTTAATTTATTTATCTTAAGAAGTTGAAACTATAACTTTATTATCTTTAGATAAGCCTAGACAAGTAATTTGAGCTTAATGACAACAAGTTTTCGATCCATGAATTTTTTTGGATATATCCCAAACTTTTATGGAAAGATCTTCAAAAGATAATATTAAAACTAATCCATTTTTATTAAAATACATTGAAGTAATTACTCCTTAATAAGAATATTTTTGATATATCTCTGATAAATCTGCAGTTTCTAGAATATAGACATTTGAGTCTTTGGTTGCGATTGCCAAGTATGAGTAATCAAATGTTAATGCTAAGCATGCTACCCTTTTATTAAATTTTTCTTAAAAATTCTATTTTTGTAAATCAATTTAAATTTCAGCAATTTCCTCAGCAATTATTTAATTAATCTATTTCATTTCAGATGCTTCACAAATTAATTCGCATTAGCAAGCCTAAGCTATTGTACCACTCAAATCAAGTTAAAATTTAGTGTATTTTCCACATTAATTTAAAACTATCAAATTTTATTCTAGATCAAAATAAAAAGTCAATATTTAGTAATTTAGAGTAATTTTGTTACTAAATTATCTTCCATTAAAACTATCCCATATTTTAATTTCACCATTCATAGTTCCTGAACATATCAAATGATATTTTTCAGATTATGTTAAAATAATAACTTCCCCTTTAGGTTTTAGGTATGAGATTGTAAAATTAGTTTAATTGCCAGTGTAAATGTCAAAAATTGAAATTGAATGACCAAATCCACCTGTGATTATATGTTGGTCATCATTAACAATAATGATTGGACTTAATTAACAAGAAGAACATAATTTATTAATTGAGCATTCTTGGCAACTTTATAAAGATATCATTTAATTTACAACAGATGCTGTTTCAATATTCCATTATATTATTTTCTTATCTTTGCCTTTTGTTATTATTCTATGAGAATCTTAAGATAGAACCATAAATAAAATGCTGCCTTCATGACCAGGTAGATATTCACTAACATGATAATTATCAGAATGATTCCATTACTTTATAAGTCCATCATTTCCTGCAGATAAAATAATTGTTCCATCTGGTTTTGAAAATTCAATGCTATTAATCACATCAAAGTGGCCGTGAAAATTCTCACCAATTTATATACCTTTCATATAATCCCATATTCTAACACTTTTATCATCTCCTCCACTCACTAATATATTGCCCTCACTAGAAAAACAGACACATCTTACAGCATTTTTGTGACCAATTAATTTTGCCTTATCTTTTTATGTGATTAAACTATACACTATAATCACTCCATCTGTTGTAGCATATGCAAATAGTTTGCCATCAGAGCTGAAAACGATTCTTGTTACTTAATAATCTTATGTTAATGTTCTAATAGTTTTAGAATGCCCTTCTTAAATCTTAACAAGAAATATTTAATTTTAGTCACAAGCTATCAAACTATTTTCATCCGAATACAAATCAAATGTTATTCTACTCTTTCCTTGTATTTCAAAAAATAAAGTAAATTATTAATTCAAAAATTTATAGATGATTATTTTCCCTTTTTAGCATCCAACTAATAAATAGCTATCTGAATTTGAAAATTTTATCAAAACAACAGTGTCATTTATTTTAAATTTAAATTTAATGTGTTATTAATTTACTTCAATTTCATTGCTTTAAACCATATTTACATCATTTTATTTTTAATCCTCATAAAAGCTCAGAATATTCAAAGTTTCCTCATAGAAATAGACAAGCGTGGATTTTGTGTTCGACCAACAAAAATCTTAAACTGCTTTTTTAAGTTGAATATTTTTTAAAATCAATCCAGTAGATATCTAATATATTACTAAATTTTGTTAAAGGCCAAGGGATGCTATGTATTAACCATCAAAAGAGAATGATGCTTTTATTATAGGACCAATATTAAATGATAATGTTGGTAAATCCTAGGAGATTATGTTCTTCCACTCTACTTCTGCAATTTTACAATAATTTAAGTTAGTCCCCACCAAAGTAACATTCTCTAATTTTGACTTTGTAAAATCACACCCAATACACTTAAATCCTAATAACTTAACATCTTTTATCTAAATTTCAAAGAAACTTTTTTCATAAAATAATTCCTACATATATGTTAATAATTAAATCGAATTTGAACTAATATTGATAAACTTCGATGATATTTATGAAATTAAAACTAAAAAATGTAATACTGATTTTAAATCTTACTTATTTTCTATATATTCTTTTATAAATCTTATTGTCCCCATGTAAAATTAATTTGCCATAATAACACTATTTAATGGTGAAATATCAATTGAACTCAATAAATCATAAGTAGATTGATAAATATTTTAACTCTCTTAATATTAATGCCAAAACGTGCGATTAAATTAATCAATAAATATATCTCTTGCTCTATCTTTATTAGATGTTTAATCCAAATTATTAAATAAATAAATTTAAATACAAATTAAAATGAATTAATTTTTCTTCAACTTTTAACTATTCATGTTAATCTTAAAATTTTATAATGTAATTTTTGCTTACAATTATTTGTATTAATTAATGATAGAACTTATTGCAAGAAGATTAGTTATGATAAATTTTGCATATATAAATTCTTAAATCGATTTATGCTGGAAACTCAAAATAGTACCAGTAAGTTTCAAAGGAAGACATTTTATAATTATGGCTATTTCTTCTGAATTGTAATTAATCAATTCTTGATATATAGGATCATCAGAATGTTATTTTATTTTTTTATCCTTAAATACCCTTTATTAATTACAAACTTTCTATGTATCAATTGCTGTTAATTAATGTTTCATTAAATATTATGCTAATAACCTAGCATATTCATTAACTTCACTTATGAAATTATGATTAAAATTTTGATGCTGAATTGTCAACAATTTTTTTATTTAGTTTTAAATATAATTCTCCAAAAAGTATTAATAAAAATCATACTATGTTAATTTAAAAGACTTATAACATCTTAGCAATATCTATTTATCATCTCCAAATTAATCGTAATCCTGTTAAGATATTTATGAAATGTTTTAAAAAATTTGTTTTCCTTATTCTATTAGATGCTCCTTAATTTTAGTTTATAAATTGAGCCTTTCTTCTTCTAACTTGAGATTTATTTAGGTTTAATTTAAATACGGAATGCGAGGTTAATCATTATATGATTTTTTACTAGGAGCAGAGGTATCATATGATTATTACGATATAGCTTATGAGGCAGGTGGATGTCTGGTTTAAGGAATAAATTCTTAGAATTATTCATAATTAGTAGATTATTTGCTTTTCTAATAGTATTTCTCTTCTCTATTTTGAGACCGAATATTTATAAGCCTTGATTATCTCATTTATTCAAGATTATTTTACCATTTATCATCAGGCTCTCTATAATAATTTTTTTCATCACTTTATCGTTTATTATCATTTTATGACTTAGAGGATTTAGCTTATTCATTTGAATTTGGATTTTGTTTATTTGAATCTTCATGACCAAATAACTTTTCAAAAAATGATTTTTTTTAGACAGGTTACGAATAATTCATTTTTTATTTTTTTGAGAGCTTTTTGATTTGTTATAATCTTCTCTCCATCTATAATTGAGAAGGTTCATTAATCTCTTTATCAGACTATGAGAATTCAAGTATTTCTGGCTGTTCTGGTATTTCTGGCTATTCTGGTATTTCTGGCGTTTTTTGTATTCCTAGTATATAAGGTGTTTCTGGTGTTACAGGTGTTACTGGTGTTACTGGTGTTTCTGGTATTTTAAATGAATCTTAATGTGGATATCCAGGTGAATCTTCAGATGAAAGTTAAGGTGGATCTTCAGGATGTTCAGGTTGATATTTCGGTTCTCCTATTTATTCTAGTCCTTCTGGTTAATATGGTATATGTTATTAATTATTTAATTCATCTTATTAATCTTCATTCCATTATTTTTGGGAAATCCCCTCGAAAAAGTTTCTTATAGCTTTGATATCGTGTTTTTTTACATATTTTTCATACATTTAAAGTGTATAACTAGTGATAAAATACTCTTGATGTATCTCTTATTTTTAACAATTGATTTATGGTAATACATCTATGAATATTTTCATCATAAATGGTGTTTTAAGAAGTTATTCCAAATTAAAATCAATTATATTATTATTGTAGAATTAAGGTGTTTAAATATGCATCAGCTATCTTTCTAAACTTGAAAATTGATCTTATTTATTTTACAATTGGAATTCAGTTTGTAATACTGAAATTATAATATTGATTTCTTTATCGCTTAAACATATATTATTTGATTATTCTTAATGGTTAAATCGTTCCAATTTTTCTTCTATAATATTCCATATTTTCTCTACTTCGCTTATAAGATTTCTTCCTCTTTTTTAGAAAAGAGAGTACTTCTCAAAAAAATCAAACAAAGTTTTTTTAATTTAAGTATATGAATATTATTTTAAGTATTCTTACTTTTATTTATCATCAAAACTGAGAATTCTTAATTCTTTGTATTTTGTAAAATCTAACACTGCCTCACTACTAAACCATTATCTATAATTTGTGCTATTTAATTCAAACGCTTCTGATCTAGTTGTGGTAATAATTTTTGGATAATTTAGATTATATATTCTTTATTGACTCTAAGTTAATTCGCTTAAATTTTACAACTACTACTTCCAATTTTTCAACTTATTATGTTAAATTAGATTGATTTAATTATTACTCAATTCATCAAAGCTATCAAGAATGAAAATAACAGCTACTTTCCCTTCTTCAACTTAAGTTTAGAATGCCTGTATTTATTTCCAATCAAAATTATAAATATTTGAAGATAAAGTTTCCTCAACTGCTTTTTCATAAGGATCTTTTAAACTGGCTAATTGAATGAAAATTGGAACGACTGGTATCTATTCTAAATCTTTAGACCATTCATCTAAATTCAACTATTAATATTTGAGCCAAAGATATTCTTCTATTTTTTTAGCAGCAGCGCTTTTGCCTGATCCAGCTGGTCCGTGAATCAGTAGAGAGTCTTTAGGTTATTGTAAAAATTCATCAATTTCACCTTAAGTCTAATAAATATCATTAAAAAGAGTAGTTTCATCATCTTCATCTTTAAAGTTTTCCTTCAATTCCTTATTTCTTAGTATTACATAAACATTATTAAAATCGTTTATAACTTTTTATTGTAAAATGGATTACATCCTTATTTCTAATAACTATTTTGGAGTTTTACCAATCAACTATTTAAGATCTTAAACTATTTCATCAATTTTATTAAGCAATTTATCTAATTTCTATTGAATTTTTTTTAAATCTTATCGTATTTCTCTTAAGAAATTTATCGTTATACCTAATGCATCACCAATTTAATTAACATTCAGTATTTATTATTCTAGTTGTTCTTCCAATTGTTTATGTTCTTAAAGTAGTAACTCTCTCTTTCTATCAGTTTCAGCACCAGAAATATTATATTAAAGCTCTTCCAATTTATTTATTTAGTTTACTAAATCTTATTAAATCTGGCTTTGTAGTTCAGGCCAATTCTTAGAAAATCCTTGATACATTTACTATACTATTTATTTGTTTTTAAGTGTCACTAATATTTTCAAATTAGTTTCCTTAACAGCAATAAGAATTAAAACTTTTTATATTGATTATTTATTTTATTCATGTAATTGGTTTTCTAATTAAATACACTAAAATACAAATCCTTCTTTTACTCTCCACTAATTACCTTCAATATAATGTAGTATAGAGGCAGCTATACTTTATTTACATTATTTTAGATTATTTGGAACTTAATTCTAAAATGGTGAAAATATGAAATTCAACTGATCTTTAAGAAATCTATCTAATTCCTTTTAATTTTAACAAATAAAATATAATTTATCAGCATAACTTTTACAAAAAGATTCATAATTAAGGCTTTTTAAATTCTTTATCAATAATTAAAACTTTTATAAAAGTTTAGAAATTTAATCTTCACATTGATGACAAATAATAGCATTTTAGTCTGAAAATTTCATTAAATCTACTAAATTTTACAATGTGTCAATTTCAGAAAATTCAATTGATTATTATGCTTGCATAATTTAATCTTTGAAATTATTGGTCAATTCTTACAAATTGGCTTTAATAGGCTTTCTTTCATCTATACTTTCACACATTTCAGTAATAATTTCTTTTTTCAATGATTGTTTTACATTTTTATATAAGTTTACAATTTTATCAATAAAATCTAAAGTACATTTTTTTAGAGCATTGATGGTTGAATCCAATTAATGTTTTTATCTTGTTCGAGCATGCACTAAGAACTCGTTAAATATATTTAATTCATTAACTAATGAAGTACAATCACTATTATTAATGAAAAGTAATTCTTGTTAAATAGTTTTTACTGAATTTTCAAAATCCTTTACTTTTTCCACATATTCAACATTATTTGATTATTCAACCTTTTCTTTTGATTGAACCAATAAATCAATTTGAGTTTAAAGAACTAGCGAATTTGATCTAACATTTTAAAATGCTTAATTGTCCTTTTTGTTAACTAAATCTATTAACATCTCCATTTTCTTAACTGAGTCAAAATCGAAATTTAGAATTTAATTTATTGTTATAAGCGATATATTGAAAACCTAGCAAAAATAATTTAACATTTAACCATTTTTATTATTTTAATATTACTTTATCTAATTAGATAAAATCTCATTTTCAGTATCAAGTTTTTGAATAAATTATTGGTGTTGATTGATTTGGTATTAGAAATATAAATTGAAATCAAATTTCAAATTTAGAACTAATTCCTTTTTTTATTTCTTTACAATTTTATCAAATTCTTCTAAAGAAAGCTTATCAAAAAGTAGTTTTTTAAGTTCATAAATGTATTCATATAACATTTAAAGAATTGAATAAGTAGAATGGAAATATTCAAAATTAGTATTCTACCTTGAAATAAATTCTTCTATTAGATTACCTTTTTTAATTTCTGCTTCTTAAGTTGATTTTGCAATAATAATTTACTATTTGATCATTATGTGTTCCTTTGTAAATAAAGATGTAAGTAGCTAAATTTAATGATTCCATTTTTAACAAAATTAGATAGCAAAAAGAAGATAATTCAATTATATTTAGAAAGGTTTTTCTTATATTTTAGACAAATTAAAGTAATCATCTGGCATTTTCTTTCCAAATTACTTTTAGTAATGAATTTGCTATTCTTAACATAAATTAATTTATTTGAGCCAATTTATTAGTTAATCATAGATATCTCTTTTGTTATCAAAAAATTTCTTACTTTATATTTTAGAATAATTGTACAGAAATGTTTGAAAACAATTTTGATAGATTGATGCTTATTATTTGATAAGTTCGTCTGATTTTATTAAAAGTGGAGAAATTATTTCTATTATATTGTTTAAACAATCTCTAGAAATTTATAATTTAAATATATCGTTTAACAAAGATTGATAATTTTCTTAAGCTAATATTAATTGATATTCGAAATCTTTATAGTTTAATTTTTTAGGTTCTATCTAATAATAACTAATTAGAAACGATTAAAATTTGATTAAGAACTCATTAAAATTGAAAGCAATCTTTTCTAATGGGATTTACCTTAATTATTATATCATTTGAAAATAATCATGATATGATTCATTATCAAATTTTAATACATCTTTTCCTGATTCTAAAGTATAGTATGATATGAATTTAGGAATGATTTGATTTCCATTCATAAAAAAATTTTAGAGATTTTGATACTATCTTGAAATACTTTATAATTTAATTCCAATATTTGATGTCTATCCTTATGCAATTATTTCTGCTATTTCAAAATCCTTATGAATGATATGTATTAAATTATCTTATTAAGCTTATTCCCATGTTATTATTTAAGTAGAATCTTATTATAAACTCAAAAACTTGATTTTTGATATTTGAGGTTTACATGCCATAAGTTCACTTGCCATCTTGATCCAAGAATATTAAATTGCCCAATCACTTCCATTTTTAATAATCTTATTAAAATTATTACTTATCCTCTCTTCTATTTCATTAAAAATAACACCAGCTTTTATACTCATCAAGATATTCCATTTTAATTGTTCTAAAAATAGACAATTCTGAAATTGTTCTATTGACTTCTTCTTTTAGTATTGCTAATATAAAAACAAAGCCCCTTTTGAAATTGAATTAACTAAATCAGGTGATGGAATTAAACTAACTGCAGAATTAAAAAGTTCTTTAAGAATATCAAAAGCTGAAGTATTTCTTTCATCTGAGTCGTCTTCAGTTGGTATATATCCAATACAGGCTTAGATTAGGGTTAACTCATAAATCAAACAATTATAAAATAATGATGTTTCACAGTCCAAATTAATCAAATTAATAATACTGGAAGTTAATTAAGACCATTTATCTTTCTATTATTATTGACTTCTTTCATTTGAATGGGAATAGTAAATGAATATCAATCGGGAGAATGAATTGCAAATTTTTAATATTTTTAAAGCAATCAATCTATCCCATTATATTATGGTTGATGCCAATTCTAAGAAATATTAGAAAGTTTTTTCAATAATTTACTTGTGCCTCTTCACCAAGTCAATTTGAAATTGGAAATAACAAAATAATTATTCAAGATCTAAAATCCATGCTATGCTTCTACATAGAACACTTTTTCCTTCTTCTGTACTCATAATCTCTTTTACATGTTCAATCTCCTCTAGTCTTTTACTAAGGTTAACAAGCCAACGATTCAGGAGTGTTGAATGTAATTACGCTTCTATTTATACATTCAAAGGTATTCCCTGGAAATTATTAGAAGAAGAAAAGGCAGACCCTCCTCCTCTTAAAGATTTTTCATGGTATCTCTACATCAGCAGATATAAAAAAAAAAAGTTGTCTAATTTAATTAGATGACCAAAAAATTCATAAATTAAGATTTGAATTCATTATTAATTTGACTATATATTTTTTGTTTAATTAAAAAAATTTAATTAAAAAACATGATTAAATTCCTTTTCTACTATAGATTAAGTACATTAATTGAGATTTATAAATTAACTTGGTCCTTTGAACTAATTTAGATTAAAGAAATAAATAAATATAAATTTAATTAATATTCTCTCTACAGAAATAAAAGTATAATTTTATTGAATTCTAAAATTATAAGAAATTATAGATTATCTAAAATCGTAGTCAAATTTAATCTATATAATTTATTTATTAAACTAATTAAAACTAAATTTTCAGTCGACTTGCTTCCAAGACATGAATGACCATAGTTTTCTAAAAAATTTAAATAAATAATAAATAGTAAAGTCTTTTATGATAAAAAAATGTAAATGAAACTGCAAAATTAATAGTGAATTATTATTGGAAGCAAAATAAAAGTCATCTGATCTATTTAAAATCTGATGCTCTAATGTCAATATATCATAAAGGATTTAAAAATTTTATGTTATAGAATTAAATAAAATTATATTATAGTCTGATGCCAAAATTGTCTATCCTTAAAATGGAAGCATAGAGAGATTTATCAAAAGTATATCAAATATTAAATAATAATTAATTGAATTTTATTATATGAATTTAAAAGGAAGACAACTTCAAATGATAGTTGGTAGTCATATTAGAGTTGGTTTAATAAAAAAAAGAAAGAATTGTATATCGAGAAATTAAAGTATGAATTTCTGATGCTAATTTGACTGAGAATCTTATGGTAATTTAAAAAATGTATTTAATTAATTGATTTTGAGACCATCTTATTTTTTAAAGAAATTTTGTTATTAAAGAAGAATCTGGTATTAAATTGTGTAGAAAATCAATTGCTTGATAAAAATTGCTTCAGTTTTAAGGGCTCTTGGTGCAATAATTTATGAATTTAATACTTAAAATACTTTAGAGAGTGTCATTAAATACATTATATTTTTTTAAAATATCTCATCAAGATCCAAAATATATTAATTAAAAATCAAAATGCAGTAAATTTTATATAAATGATGATATTTATATTATCATCCCATATCATCTTCCAAAATTGCTATCTTTGCAGTTAAGTAATCATTAATGTTTACAATATTGCATAATTATCCAGAGCATTAAAAGCGTAATGTAAATGCATTTCCTTAAAAAATCAACCGACTTTCATAAAACACTCTTTTACATTACTTAAAAAATGATTTTATGAAAACGCTTAAAAAGCATGATATAAAAAAATATAATTAATTATCAAAATACAAAATTGCATTATTAATCATAATGAATGAAATATTATTATTATTGAAAAAATTCTGTGTAAAAATAACCCATAAGAAGAATTTACAATAAAATTAAAAAATGAATTATATATCATAATTTAAATACAGTAGTTAAAATAATCGAAGAGTCTACAATATTCATTTACAATATAATTTAAAATGAATAATATATCAGAAATTGTATTAAAAGAATTAATCTCAATATAAATTTATAAAGAGAATATAATTAATTTAATTTTATTCTTTTCTATTAATATAAATTTATTAATGTAAACATTTAATATTATTTCCTTAATCTAAATTTTAAGATACTATATATCTAATACTTTAGCTAATTTGAATGCTAAAGAAATTACAATAAAACTTTCTTTTTAAATATCAGAGAAGGTGTATTTGTAACGATCACCGTTAAATTTAGATTATCAATTTTTTAATTTTTCAATTATTATAATTGAAATCTATGATATATTTTCTTCTATATAAATATTGTGATGAAATTAATCGCTCTATCTCTACTATATTAATTGACATTCAATTTAGGAACCCCTTAGTTTGAAACTGGATTGAAAATCATAATGATGTATGGAAGTGGACACATCTTAGAAACTCAATCAACCATTCCAAGATAAATAATTGTAGATGTGCAATTCTCTAATGTTTTTGAAAGTATTCCTTGTGTCTTTATTCAAACTTCACATATTGATTGGATTGCAGGAGAATAGAATGGATTTATTGAAAAAGTTAGTTTTATAACAACAACAGGTAATTTTACATTTTCATTACTTTTTAGGATTCAAAATGCAAGCTATGGCATTAACACCATAAGCTCTTTATTCATTATAATTTTATTGGTTTTCAATTTCTGATTCTCGGTTATAAGTAATCACTTACGATACATGGGATGTTAAAAACCTAAAAATAGGTTCTGGAGAAAGAACAGTATCATTCACGATTGAACATAACTTAAAGGATGCTACTTAAGGAATTATATCATTGCTTGGAGTAAAACATATTCATTCTAATCCAATCGTTGAGCTTAAAGTAAACTTTTCATAATTTTTAACATTAGGTTGATCTAATAACTTCGTAGACTATTACAGTTTCAGCAAGAACATATTAGCTATCATAAATTGAATTTGTTAGCTTTAATGTTCTTCTTGGTACCGCTTAATCATTATGGGCATCTTCTATGTAGTCATTAATAAATGCTCCAAATCATCCATTTGTTTCAAGAGAGTCAGGTCCAATTGAACTTATAATGTCAATTGATCTTCCATAAGGTTTAGAAAATTATTAATTAATTCCTATTGCGACATTAAGAGGCTATAATTTAGACAGCAGTATCAATTTCAGATTGACTTTTAAAAATGTTTAATTGACAACAAACCTTGAATTTACACTAAGAACATGTATAAATTCATTGTAATTTAGGGGTGAATTCTATAGTTTATGAAGTTTATTATCAGGGAGCAGTTTATCTATATAATTCAAATTTCAAAATTTTTGATCTAAATTGTGCGGAGTTATTTTCAGAATGCAATTTCCAAGGTAATTCCATTGTTATTTGTGAAAAAATATCTGATTTACTAGTAAAAGGATGGTCTAATCCAATAAGATCAATAACAGTTCCAGCATAAAGAAAATTATTACTCTATTATAAAGCAAATTATGAAGGAGATAAAAGAGAGTAAACTGAAAACTAATAATGCATAGAACCTGAAATTATTTTATCAGCAAAGTTCTTACCTTAAGCTTTTATTATCAAAATTCTCTTTTTCAATATTATTGATACTAATAATTGTTAATATGTTAAGTTTTTCAGCGAATGTAACTATTAAGGGACAATATTTTAAATATCTTAAGGAGAATAATTAAGTTTATCTAACAAGATTCCTTTTGAAATAAAGTCAATTAATATTTGTCCTAATGTTATCGTAACATTAAAAGCACCAAATTACTTTGGAGGAGCAATTAAATAATTTACTTCTTCACAATCTTGTATTAATAGCTATAAAGTATATATTATGTTTTAATTAATAGTTTCCTAAATATGTAGAATTAAAATGAATATCCAGAAAAATATAAATTGAAATGGCTGAATATAATATAATTTCAGATCATATAAAACATTAAGAATTATTCAACTAACCTCATTTTTTTTATCAACCTCTTTATACTACTTTCTAATATAATTTTCTCCATAAATGAATTTCTATAATTTGATTTATTAGTTCTTATTATATTCAATTGTAAATATTTTATGGAGGATACTCATAAATAGATCAGCATTTCTAATTTTAATTGAGATCAAGAAAAGCTTTTCCATATTTCACTTATCTATCTTTCTTCTTTTTAAATTTATCAGCTTCTTCAATTTATCTATATAATCTCTTTTAATTAATCTTGTTTATTGAAATAATTCTGTCTTAGAATGTTAGTTTCAAATCTCAATAATAATTATTCCTGATATTTAAAAACTAAGGAATCCAATTAATAATTGACTTATGATATGATTATTAACAATTCTTTAATAAGTTAAGAATGTTCAAAAGATTTCTATATATTTTAGGGTCAAGTTAAATAAAATTTATTTGAAATTTTAAAGACTTATGGTTTATTCCTAGAAATTAGTTAGATTTTTTATCACAATATTCCTTCATTTTCAAACCAAAATTATAGTAAGTGAAACTAATTGTTTTGGATAGCACTTGAAAAAAACAAAAATTTCTTGTTATATAAAAAAAACATTAATAATGTTAAGGAATTAAATAAAACAAATAAATCTGAATTTTTAAGAAAAAATAGGATTCTAAAAGAAATTTTACTGTTTTATTATCCTTGAACTTAATTTATAGGAGAATTTAATGCTCACTGAGTACTTAAATGCTGTTTATTCATCAATTACTCTGATATGAATTTAATAACAAAAATATCGATACCAAAAATCTTGCATGATCTTTCATTTGATATCGACTGAAATTCCTAAATTCTTTAATGAAAACCTTAAAATAAAGAGTAGAAATTGATGCTACAACATATTTCTTAAAGTAGGGACAATCATGAATGATTATTTTCAAGATAGAACAAAGACAGAGTTAAAAATAAGAATATCAAAATGCTCAAATATTGAATATCTAGTATATTAAATTATCTAATTAGGTCTTAGTGTTAAAAAAATTGAATATATTAATAGATAGATATATTTTAGTTGTTAAGGCTAAGAAGACTATAAATATAGCCAAAATTGATTTGAATTGATTAGAGAGTAATCTCATTTTGCAAACAACTCATCTAATTAATATTAGAAAACAAAGAATTAATCATTATGAAAATAAATAAAAATATATTCTAAACCTTAATAACAACAATAAAATAAAATATCTCTAATATTTCAAAACAAAATATAACAAAATTGATCTATATAATAATGAAACATTAATATATACATTAATGATATATCATATTTGTTAATAATATAAAGTTTATAAGATTATTATAATATAGTTTAATAGGTTTAAAAGAATGAGAAATCTTTTGGTGTTTGGAATATTGGATCATGTGTTATATATGAGTTTTGTAGGTAGTTCTGATTATTCAATTGCTTTGATATGTTTATCAGCTGGAATATTGTCAACTAGATTGTTAAAAGAAAATAATTTGATATTTTCAATCATCAATGTGAGCACAATAATAATAATGGTTTTGAATGCTATGTTATTGTAATCACCAATAATGTATGTGGCTGTAGGTTGTTCAATCATTATGGCAATGAAATCATGGTGGACATGTTTTATCAGCGCAATTGGTATCATAGTGATAAGTTTAAAAATTGATATTATCACAATTTGTGAAATATTGGCATTCCTATCAACAAGTGCAGCATATTTATTATACAATCATTATAAAAATAAATCTAAAATCAAAGAAACATCAAAATCTGAAATTGTCAGCATGATAACAAAAAGGGATTCAATATAATATAAATAGAATGTTTTAGAAATTGGTTAATAATCACCGAACAAAGAATTTGAACAAACAGAATACAATTTATTTAAAAAATTATTAACAGCATTTCCTGATGGAGTTTTAATATTAGATGAATAATATAATATTTAATTTAGTAATTCAGCATTTAGAAGTTTAATGAATGAAACCTTTGTTGATGTTGCAAAATAGAAATTGTTAACTCTAAGAAATGCAATTAATTCAGAATAAGATAATTATTAATAATTGTTTTTGATTTTATATAAAAAGTTGAAATCTAGATCAAAAAGCTTAGGTAATGAAAAATCAGATTACATATAATTAAAGAGCTCTGTTGATTAGGAAGAAGAAGATTAAAATAATTAAGACAATGAATAACATTATAATAATTTGTCATAATCTCCAATAATCATTGATGAAGTTAAGTAAATTTTTAAATAAATGTTGGAAAGAGAGCCTAAATAAGATTTAAATTCATTTACATTAAAGTTCTTTTAAGATATCAGCATTATATGTTAAGGAGAGATGTAAAAGATATTTTAAGTGATCTTGAAACCTTACATTGCATATAGTAAAGGATTCATTTTATTTATAATAAGAGACATAACTCATGTTAATTAAATAGCTGCTCTAGAAAAAACAAATTTTAATAAATCTCAAATGTTATATAAAATAGCACATGAATTCAAAACACCTTTAAACATTATTATACAAAGTGTTGGTAATGTGTTAAACCCTAATCATAACGCAAACGAATAATGTATAAAGTAGTTAGAAAAATCAATGTAACCAATAAAATCAATGGCTTCATCATTATTAAGTTTAGTGAATGATCTATTGGATGTAGCATAGTTGAAAGCTGGAAAATTTAATTTGTAATTTTAATAAGTAAAGATAACTGAATTAATAAATGAAATAATTGAGATAATGAAAATATAAGCTAATTCTAAAGGACTTTATATGAAATTAGAATAGTAGAAACATGTTCCTTAATAAATAACAACAGATCCAAATAGAGTTAAATAAATTATTTTAAATTTATTATCAAATGCCATAAAATTTACAGAAATAGGAGGGATTACTATTAATTTAGATTCAGATGAAGATTGTGTTGAAATTAAAGTGAAGGATACTGGAATAGGGATACCGAAAAATGAATAAAATAAATTATTTACTGCTTTTGGTAGGTTGGAAAATAGTGATAATATAACAGGAGTTGGTTTGGGATTGATGATATCAAATATATTGGCTTAGAAATTAGGATAAGAGATTAAAGTATATTCAGATGGGGAGAATCAGGGATCGACATTTTCTTTTAAGATTCTTAATAAAAGGGAAATAGATGATAGTGTTTGTATATTATATGATGATGATAATGAAGGGATTGTGAATTAGTTAAGAAATATACCTTAGATGTGCAAATATAATGAAATGGTTTAATCCCCTAGTAATATTAGTATGTGTTAATGTGTACAAATATTAATTGTGGATGATATGCCTTTTAATATTTCAATTATTGAGAACTAGCTAAAACAATATGATATAATAATAGACAAAGTATTCATTATGAATTTAAAGTATTTTTTAAGGCATACTCTGTGAAGGAGGCAATCGCTAAAATTGATGCATATAATGGATGCAATCTACATTCAACATATTAGTATATATTGATGGATATTGAAATGCCAATCATTAATGGTTATTAAGCTGTATCTATGATTAGAGAGAGAGTGGATACACGCATCATAGCATGTTCAGCTCATTCTAAAAATGAAATATCTTAATTATCATTATTTGATGGGTATCTATAAAAGCCTATAAATGTTAATTAAATATTTCAACTACTAAAACATAATTGATTATATATCAATTTATCTAAATATTATATATCAAATTTCATGTTTCAATTTAGATTAATCAAACTTCAATCTTGGAGCAATATTCATTGAAATCAATTCTTAAATTAAGGTCTTTGCTGCATAAGGCATTAGAACTTAATAAATTTAATTTTAATTATTTGTATTCTTGCAAATATTGCAATAAAATTCTTAATTTTCTAAATTAGCAACAGCAAACAATCCACATTTAGAACAAACATGAACTCTGAATGCATCTGATACATCATATGTTCTTTCTTTTAAAAATTTAGCAGTACCTATAATAATATATATTTATTTAATTTACCATGAGAGATTATGCAATCTCTTTCCATTTCACCAAATCTTAATCCTCCCTTTCTACTTCTACCATGAGTTGGTTATCTTGTGATTCCAGTTACAGGTCCTCTTGATCTAGCATACATTTTATCATCTACTAAATGTCTTAATCTCTAATAATAAGTAGGTCCAACAAAAATAGGAATTGAAAACATATTACCAGTATATGGATTAGTCATAACTTCATTACCCCATTTTTACCATCCAACTGAATGTAATTCCTTAGCAATATTATTGACTAATATTTATGCAAATGGTGTAGCATCATTAAATTATCCTTTTATAGAAGCTAATTTTGATGATAAACATTCAATTAAATGTCCTACAAATAATAATATAATTTTACCTATTGTCATTCTTGATGGAATACAATGTGGATTAATAGTTAAATCTGGAGATATACCTACAAGAGTGTATGGTAAATCTTCTTATCTGTAAGTCATTCCACAAGTACCTTTTTATCCATGTCTACTACAAAATTTATCACCAATTTATGGAATTCTTAATGATCTCACTTTTACTTTTACTAATTTATATCCTTTCTAATTCTCACTAATTAAAACAGAATCAACAACTCCTCTTTCTGCTCTTCTTGTTAATAATGAACATTCTTTTGTATTTTTTTAACCATTTGCTGTATTCAACATAATATTATCTATTATTAATTCTTTTCCAATAATAGGTTCTTCTTCATCTACTTTAGTTCCTGGAGGTACAATTCCATCACTATCTAATTTAATAAATAATTTGCCAGCAAAATTATCACCAATAGGTTTTGTAATTTTAGTTTCAGTAAAATTATCAGGATCCTTATCTTCTGATTCTTTATATGTTCTATAAAAAACAGATCTAAAAAATCCTCTGTCTATTGCATATTAATTAATAATAATTGAATCTTCTTGATTATATCCTGTAAAACAAGCAATAGAAGTAACACAATTAATACCAATTGGAACTTCATTTACAGTGATAAAATCTACTGCTTTTGATGATGCCAAGGGTTTTTGTGGATAATGTAAGATATGAACCAATGTATCAAATCTAATATTGAAATTTGTTGAATTTAATCCCATAGCTTATTTACCCATAGCACTTTATAAAGTATTTCTTGGTCCTTAATTATGATTTGCAAATGGAATAACTGATGCACAAACACCAAACATCATACATGGATGTATTTCACAATGTGTATATCTTTTAAAATTCTATGTACCTCTCATCATAATATCAATATCCATGGCTATTAATGAACCTTCTTCTTCTTCAACATCTAATAATTCAACACATTTATTTTTCAACAATTCTTCCCATTCTTTTACTTAATTTAGTACTCCCTTCATCAACTTTAATTTATTATTCTAAACTATAAATAAAGGTCTCATGCATCTTCCTGCATCAGTATAAATTCTAATTTCTTTATTTACATAATCAAAATTTATTGATACTTCTATAGGAATGTAAGATTCTTCAGCTGATCTTAAATTTTTAAATTCATGAATGAATTATTCAGGATTTTTAGTAAATCCTATCCAATTACCATCTACTAAAACTTTTGTCATTCTAGGTATTTCTGAAGCTTAGAAATCTCCCTAAAGTAAAATAAAATCAAAATCATTTTATTAAGAAACCATAATTAATTTTAATAAGGTTTCTTTATCTTTTGGTTATAAATCATTTGAAACAGTAGTCATTAATGATAAATTCTTGACAATACCAATTTTTTATCCTTCAGGTGTTTCAGCAGGACAGATGAATCCAAAATGAGTATTATGTAATTATCTAGGTTTACTCAATTTCATTTATGGATTAATAGGAGCATTCATTCTTCTTAAATGACTAAGAGTTGCAAATAATGATGTCTCTCTCTTTAATGTTTAAGCAACTCCTGTTTTGACAACTTGACCTTCTTTACTTCTTCCCCAATTTCCAGTAGCCAATGCATTATCAATATCTTTTGATATTTATTCACCATCAAAAAAGGATTTAATATCATCAGGTTATCTCATATTCTCAATTTTTGTTTATTATCCTCTTCCTCTTCTTCCTCCATTAATATATTTTTCTAATGCCTTTTTAGAATTCTATTTAAATTATTCAAATGATGTTTTGAATACTCCCATCATCATAGCTCCTGCCATATCCAATCTCTTTTTACCATAATGATCTCTATCATCCTAATCTGTTTTTCCCAATGATGCATTTAATAATCTATGTACTATATAACCCAAAAAATAAGCTTTTCTATCTCTACTTTCTGTAGATACACCAATATGTGGTAAGATATTCTTATTAATTAATTTTTTAGCTTCTTAAATTAAAGTTTCTGGATCTTAATTTTCTGCCTTTTTTATTTTATTTCCTATCCATCTAAGACATAATTCTTCATCCTCATATTCACCACCTTCCTACAATGAACCATATAACATTTCTAACATTGGACCCATAAATTCATCTTCTAAATTATATACTATCCTTTCCAAAATCTCCTAATCACTACTAATACCTAAGGCTCTAAATAAAGTAAATAATGGTATTCCTTATGTTGAATTAAATTATTTCACACTACATCTGATAACAGGAGTATTTTATATATATCGAAGCTCAACTTTAAAAACATTAGGATTTGAAAATAGGTCTGGTTATGATCTAATTTCAGCCACCCAAGGTTTATTTACTATTTTACTTTTAAAAACTAACACTACATTATTTGCTATTCTTTCTTAAGCAACTATAACCTTTTCAGATCCTCTTAATATAAAATATCCTCCTTGATCAAATCCACATTCCCCATTTTATATTCTTAATTATATTAATTCTTAATCTTTTGGATCTTTTTGCAATGAACAAAATCTACTTCTTACCATAATTGGTAATTTGAAAAAAGGAAGTCCTTTAAATTATTATTTACTTTTCTCTTCTATTGAACCATCCCGTTTATTTCTTTATTACATTGTTACTTCCAAGTCTATTTTTAATTATCTTGAATAAGTAAGATCTCTTAATCTAGCAATCATTGGAAAGATTTCCTCCTCAAATTTATCTACATGAATATTCTTTTTCCCCATAAAACATCTTGTTATTTAGAATTAATATAGGTATTCAAGATAAGCTATAAAGAGAATAAAATTAAATATTACCTTCTTGCCGCTCTTCTTCTTTGTATTAAGGTTTGACTTTGACAACAAATGTCCCTTCATGTCCTCTCACGAATTTGATCACATTTTCAACAAAGCTTTCATACGAGCCTATTTATTATGAGACTAATCCATGAGTTTAAAAAAACATTCGAAGGACCTTCCAAATGTCATCATTGTCTAATCTCTAATCTTCATCATCCTCCTCTTGCATAGAATCTTACGAAAATAACTTCGAAGACTCTTCATCAATGTCGGACATGACAAATAAAAATTAATAAATAAGATTTTAAGCAAATATACCATACATTTCTAATTAATTAAACAAAATTAATTCATGATTATTTAGTATTCTAATATAAAATATGGTATAAAATATATATAAAAATCATTCATTTCTTTAAATAATAGAATCAGCAACTTCCTTTAAATGTCTTAAGTCTTCTGATGTTCTTCTATCTTTTTCCCAATTCTTTAATTTATTTTTCATTTTTCTAACATCTTTTTTCATTTATATAATCTTTTATTCAAATTCAGGTGGAAATTCATATTTAATTTCATCTTAAGAATTGATTACTTCCTTTATTTTTTAGTTTCCATCTAATATTTCTTTCATATATTATTTAAATAATAAAGCTGGCAATTTAATATCACTTCTTCTAATTTCTCCGTTATAATTTAATTTCTGCTTCTCAACTAATTGGTTATACAATTTTAATTTTTCTGAATTTTAATGTTAAATCTTCTTGTTCAATATATCACTATGTAAACTATCTTATTTAACAACTTTAATTTTAATTGGAGATCTTTGAGTATTAACTTTCATATTCTCTTGATTGTTCATTTGAAGTTAAAAGTTAATATCATCCTAATTCATATTAATCTATTGAATTGATTCATCTTAATTAATATGAAGTCTATCAGTATAGGCTTATATTAATTTCAATTTATTATCAACATTAGAAAAACTTCTCTATTTACCTTATATAATCATTAGAGATTACTTAATGAAATTTCATTCTATATAAGAACTTTCTTAGTTGGACTCTTTATCCTAACTTATGAATTTTGTTTCCACTTCTCTTTACTATAATTAACTGCTCCACATGAACTCTTTCGTTCAGTCCTTTCTGGTGATATTGATTGTAATTTTGTCACCAACCTATTCATACTATCTCTCTCTTTTATAAATGGTACAAACTTTTATGCTAACTATTTAGTACTACTACCATTTCCTTAATATATAAGAAACATTACTAAATTAGTCTTGATTTACTGATTATTAGATTGCTTATAATCCTCCTTAAGTGATATTTGAACTATATGATATATATCTAGGTCTCAACATATTATTATTTCTTTTTTCTTTTTAATAAATTCAATAATTTTATTTTTATGAGTTATCCATGTTTAATGCCTGAAGATGGCTAACCACTTTAAATTCAATCTAAAGTATTTGTTGTAGGTAGATTAGATAAATGTCATCTTAAAATAGATGTAATTATTTCTTATTAATAATAGCATCCATCTATTTCTAAACAACATTGTGAAATTTTAATTTAAGATAAAGTTCTAATAGTTGATAAGTAATCACTTAATGGAACATTTGTAAATGGAGTTAATGTAGGAAAAGGACAATAATTTGAAATATTTAGTGGAGACATAATCTAATTTGGAAAATACCCAATTCTTTATACATTTTATAGTGATACAAAGATGGCATATAAATAAAAGAAACCTAATTAACCAGTTAAAGATATGAAGATATCAGTTGTTGATTTTGTAAAATAGAAAAATTTAGAATTCTAAAATTAACAAACACCAACTATTTAATAATAATCTTCTTAATAAATTCCATTTCAATAAAAACATTTCAGTCCTGATTCTATACTTATGGCAGAGAAATAAAGAATAGATGATACAACTTAGGATTTGATTAAAAATAAAAATATTGAAACAGCATAATAAATAATATCCTAATTAGAAAGAGAAAACAATGATCTAAGAACATAGGTATTATAATAATAGGCTGATTATGATAAAAAGTCATAAGCATTTCTTGATTTATAATTTAGATATGAAAAATTATCAAGCGAATTTAATAATATATAAGTATATTAAATAGTTATAAACTATTATTATAGACAAAGTATCAATCAGTAGAACCATTTACAAAGGATTTATAAACTAAATTAGAATTATGTAGAAAAGAGAATGAACTTAGATAAGCAGAAATAGAAGAATATAAGATAACAGATATTGGAAAGAAAATAGCAATATAAAATGTATATATATATTATTAATAATTATTAAGTCTGAAATCTAATAATTAAGAAAAATATTATAATTAAAAGATGAAGAAATTTAAGGATAAAAAAAGTAAATTACTTAATTACTCTCTAATGTTTCAGGAAAGTAATATTGTTGTATAAATATATAGTCCTTAACATCATATATAAATGCTTGAATAAAATTCTAGAGAACTTACATAATTAAAAAAACAATTAATTGAGTGGGAAAGTAGAGATAATGAATGCAGTAGAAAATGGACATAATTACTTTAGGATAATGCAAGAAAGGAAGAATAAATTAGAGCTTTAAAATATTAAATTGATAGATTAACACAAAATATTTAATCTATTCATTAAGAATTTGATATGAAGAATCATGAATTAAATAAAAGAATACTATAAATTATTGATGCTCAAGGTGATTAATAATAAAAAGAGGCTGCTACATTTTTAGTCTAATAAATTTCTATAATTTCTGAAGAAAGAAGAGTTTATTTAGTTGAAGTAGAAGAATTAATAAGGTCAAGATAAGAAATTATTACTGAATTAGAACTTTTGAAAAAAGAAGAGTATGTAATTCCTGATGGAACTAATGTGACATCTTTGATTAAGGCTTTAAGATAGAGAGTAGAAGAATTAAATGATATTTTAAATGAATATAAATAAAGAGGTAATAATAATATATATATATAAATTTATAGATAGTTTTGATTAATTGGTAATTTAAAAGTAATTGATTGAAGAATTAGAATAGAAATTAAATTTGGCAGATAAAAAAAATAAATAATTAGAATTATAATTGTTTTAATTAAAAAATACATCACCTCAATATTAGGCTGAAACTTAATTTGAATTCTTTACTAAAAGAATTAATGAGTTGACTGCTTAGATTAAAGATCAATAAAAGAAAATTAATTAATTAGAGGGTGTTGATTAATAGAAAGAGTTTTAGATTTAGAATATGAAGTATCAACTTAATACAATCAAATTAAATGATTAGTAGATTATTAATCCTATTTTATAAAATGAATTCAAGAATGAAAAATTAGGTAATGAATTTGATACTTGATATGATAACAATTGTAATTTTATTCATAAATTTATTGAAAAATATATAAATAAATATATAAATAATGAAAAATCAATTAACATTAATAGAATCACTTTATTTCTAGAAAAAGAAAAAATTATTAAAGGACTCATCTATATAGAAATAGAATAAAGAACAATAAAAGAAAATTAATAATACATTATAAAATAAATAAGAATTAGCAAAATAGGGAGAGAATTATTATAATTTTTTAATTGAAGAAAAAAAAATATAGAGATAATAATTATAATCTTAGGGATTAATGTTTTCTGATTAAAATTTGGGTTTATATGTGGGAAATGAAAAATCATAAATAAATAATGGAGTTATAAGTAGAAAGAGAAGAAATATTAGAAATCTTGATCCAAATGTTTTATTGTAGAAGACATAAAGTAAAAATGAGAGTTCTATTGAAAATGAAAGTATTAACAAAATTCAAAAATTAAAAGAAAAGATGAATTTAATTAATGAATCGTAACAATTATTATAAGATACAGATATAATGTCTACTTTATAAATCAAACCTATTTAAAGTAATTTAATAAATTTATACTCTCCATTAAAATTACCTTTAAAATAGAAATCATCTTCTTAATATATGAAAAAGAGTGATGATGGATTTTTATAATCTCCAATAGATAATTATATTTTAAAGAAATTAGAGAAAATAGCTGAAGGAAATAAAGATTAATAGTGTATTTAATAATTTTCACCTGAAAGGGTATATTTATTAATAATTTTAGGCTTAAATAAGATAAGTAAAAAAATTGTTACCTATTCAATCTTTAACAAGACATAAAAATTCATTTTTTGGAGAGATGACATAATAAAGAAATTCAGTTGATTTTCAATCTGAATAGTATCGTGATAATGTAAATAATTTGTTATATAATTTAATATTTAGAATTCTTTAAATTACAATAAATAATAATCTGATTAATAATTGTCACAAATGTATAACTAATTAAAATAATTAAGTTCTAATAGATACTAAAGTATCAAAAGTATTGATATATTTTGATAATAATAATTTACTATTTATTATCTATTATTTTTATAACAATATATTTAAAATACATAATAATTAATTTAAATAAATTGATTTTCATATCATAATGGAAAGAAAACCAATTGGAGAGAAACTTAGCAATATAAGTGCTTTAATTTAAAAACAATAATAACCAAAAGAGTATTAATTTCATAAATCTAGTTCATAAGATGACCAAGATGAAATGAAGCAATATAAAATGATTTTTCCTAATATGAATAAATAAGAAAGTTAAGAAAAAAATTAGTTAAAAGATTCTGACAAACTATAATAAGTTTAATCTATTATATAAGAATAAAAACAATTTCAAAAGTATCAAACAATATCAAACTATTTTTAGTGATATTTCAAAACTTTTGAATAGATTAGGTAAGATATAAGAATAAAATCCTCAGTCAAATACTAAAACCATAAGTATTAACCAATAATAAAGTCCTTAAAGCCCTTTTGAATAAAGTCAGAACTAAACTCCTAATAATAGAATGACATAAAGTGTATCCGTTTTACCTAAATAAGGTACACCGGCACAACCTCCATAACCAATTCAATTATTTGTATAAAATAGTCCAATTAATGATTAATAATTTAGAAATTTAAAAGAATAGAATGTAGATTTGTTAAGATAAATTGCATAATTGTAGCCATTATAATAAGTAGTAAACGATGTAATTATATATTAAATTAAAATAGTTAAAACTTTTATTATAATAATGTAATGATAGAATTAGAGAATAACAAAAGTAAATCGATATAATACTATAAGAAAACATTTAATTGAAACAATAAATCATTATTATTGATTAAGAAAAAGTAAATAATAAAAGATAATTTGATGAAATTATGGCAAATACATCATTAATTCATTAGAGAGATATGTAGTCAATTAGATTTTAAGCATAAGAGAATTTAAATGCATTAGAATCTACTTGGAAATAATAATATGTATTATTAAGAACAGAAAATGAGGCTATTATAAATAATTTGAATACTAAATTAGCAATAACATAAAAGGATAATTAAAGTTAATAGGATCTCATTAATAACTTATTAGTTTAGAATAAAGAACTATAATAAAATTTATGTAATTATTCTTTAAAATTTAGAAAGCAGAATAACTGATTTAGGTTTTACTTAATAAACATTAGTATAAAAATAATAAGAATTTGAATAGTTGTAGTATAATTATAACAATTCTTTAGAGAAATATGAAATAAATACAAAATAAATGATTAATTAAAATTTGGAAAAATAACAATAATATGAAAAAATGATACTTGAATTAAAATAACATAATGATATTTTAAGTTAATAAATTGTTGAATTAGATTAAACTCATAAATAATTAATTTCTAATTAACAATTGAAGGTATAGCATCATATAAATGGTAAATTAGAAGAAGTATAAAAAATGAGTATTATTGAAAAATAATAAATTCAATAACATTATGAAGAAAAATTAAATAAATTGAATTCTGATGTAATATATATTATAATTATAAATTAGAAAGAATCATAAATTAATTAATAATAATAATAGATCATATATTTAGAATAAAAATTAGCAATATTAATTTAAGAAAACAAGACTTTAGTAGATTAATTAAATAAAGTATAGAAAAAAGCAGAAAATCTTGAATAAATTATGATCACCTAAGAAGCAGCATATTAAAATTTAACAAAGGATTCATAATATAAGACTTTATCAATGACTAAATAAATTTAAGATTTAAATTCTATGATTGGAAATTTTAATTAGAATTATAACAATTAATAAACTAGTACAAGAAGATCAGATAATAATGAATTTACAGATAAAAATATATAATTAGAATAATAATTAGCTTATAAAAAGGAAGAAATGGATTTACTTTTACATCATTTAGATTAAGTATTTGAAATAAATAGAGATTTTGAAAATAAAATAAAAACATTGTAAGCTCAACTTGAATTAATGGAAGAAAAAAGCAATAGAGAATAAGATTAATATAATAATTAAATAAAACAATTAAAATAATAAAATGAAGAATTAAAATAAAGGGTTGAAGTGAGTATTTAAATAGAATAATAAAAAGATTAATAAATTAAAGAATTATAATAAAAATTATAAGAAGAGGAAGTTTTAAAAAGAAAATAAAATGATTTAATTTAATCAAATGAAAAATAACAATTTTTGGAGGTATATCTTAAAGTAATATATTTTAGCAAATAAAACAATTAAAAATAAAAAATGTTGAATTAATCAATCAAAATGAAATTTTAGAGTAAAACCTAAAAGAAATTAAAGATAAATATGATTAGTCTTTAAGAGAATAAAAAGAATAGTAATAAGTAATGTTATATTTAAATAATTAAAGCGATTTGAAGAATAAAAACTAATTATTGAATAGTAAATTCAAGCTCTTTAAAAAAAAAATTAAGAATAACAATTACCAATTGTTAATTAAATAAAAAGAGATTTTAGATCAAATGAAACAGATAAGTAATAAACAGATAAGGATTATTAAATTAGAAATCTAGAATAAAAAATAAAAGAATATGAAAAGAAATTGAAAGATTATGAATTAAAATAAAGAACTATTGATGATATTTAGAATTAAAATAAATAAATGATTTAACATTATGAAATTAAAATTAAAGAATTAGAATTGAGAATAGGTACATATGATGATCAAATTAAGCTTAATAATAAATAAAATTCTATTTAATTAGCAAAAATAAAGAATTTAGAATCATAATTATTGACATGTGAAGATGATATATAAAGATTAAGTGATATAAATTAAAATTTAGAAAATCATATTGCAAAATCAAGCTCAATGAAAGTTTCTTCTTAAACAAATAATAATACAGAATTATAAAAATTATAAGAAGATAATTTAAAATTATAAGAATAGTTAAATTAAATAAAAAAAGAGAAATTAAAAATCATCTAAACTTATGATAATTAAATAAGTTCATTATAATAATAGAATTAAAATAATTTAGATTAAATTAATTATTTAAAAATGGAAAATTAATAAAATTAAGATAATTTTAATGATAAAATATAAAATTTAGAGTAGAATATCAAAGAATTATAAAATTAGATTAATTTATTGAAAAATGAAAATTAAGAATTATAAATTAAATTTGATGATTTAAATGAATAAAATAAATTTTTATAAGAATAAATTGCTAAATTAAAAAAAGAGAAAGCTCATATGACAATGAAATTAATGCATTCTGGAATAGCAAATCTTGTTAGTAGTTAAGTATCATAAGTTTAAGATAAAAATTGATGAAGCTATTTATTTGATAATATTGAGTATTATAAATATTAATAATATTATAAGGAGATATGTGAATAAGATATTATAATCAATTTATAAATTAGTTGAATTTTGTGTTGTATAATAATTGTGGGATGAATTTGCTCATAAATGTTTCCTTCTTAAAAATATATAATTCTGCATTACAATTTTAGGTAAATCTAGTTACTGAAGATACTCTATTATGTTTTAGATTCTTTATCTTTTTTACAAGTATATTATGATTATTTATTAAATCAAATTATTTTGGAGTTGTATTTGTTAATGATCTTCTTGCAACACTATATTAGAATATATAATATTTACATACTGATATTAAGATTATAGATCAAGAAGTCTTTTAGATTTACTTTTTAATCTGTCAATACAACTAATTGAATTTTCTGAAGATAAACATGAAGAATTTTCTAATGATTTGTTATTTAATATATTTTCCATATTTCCAATAGTAGCTTTTGATTATCTTGGAGCAATAGTTTAATTTTTAAGTCTTTTTTGAGTTTGTCTAGATTGGGATCTTGATTTTTTCTTTTCTTCAATTTCAGTTAAAATCATATCAGCAAAGAAATTAATATTTTTTGCAACATTAGTAATATTAAATTCATTAAAAAATTCTGAATATTCTTTTTGTTTATCAATATCAAAAGCTATTTTTACATCTTAAATAATATAATCATTTTATAAAATTTTAATTTGCTTTTCACATCTATTTTAATTAGTTTAATATTTAAGAGCAGCCTCTTATATTTTATGTAAATTATGTTTAACTTTTTTACTAATTTTTCTATCTTAACTTTATCTGATATTTTCATGATTAAAATATTCTAGTATGATATTTTTTCTGCTTACTCTATAATGAAAGACTGTACAATTTTTGGCTATATGATGTGGTCTATCACAAATATAACATCTTAATTTTAATGGTTTGAGATTATTTTCAACCTCAAGACAATCTTTCATAAAATAGAGCTTTAATAAATCACTCTCAAGTGGCTTTGCTGCCTCCCATAAATCAATTCTTGTTAAACTCATTACATTTACAAAATCAATTGATTTTGCAGAAGCATTTCTTGGTTTTCTCCCAAAGAAACCTATTTCACCAAAATAGTCTCCTTTTTATAATGTTTTTAAGAGAGTTTCTCTTTAAGTTATACATATATTAATTTAACCATTTTAAATGAAATAAATCTTATCATTATCAAGTGAATTTTCTTTAAAAATATATTCTTCAGGTCCTAAAATCTATTCATTTAAAACATAAACTAATTTATTAATTAATTAAGGAGTGAATTCTTTACTAAATAATTATACTTTATGTAAAATTCTTCCATTCATTAAACATATAATTTCTGTTTTTAAATTTGCTGATAAACTTCTTAATACATATTATTCATAATTTCTAGCAATCTGAGCTGATCCTGCTAACCATTCTAAATAATTTTTAACTCTACTTTATAATTCTTTTGGTATACTTTTTTATTTAATATATCTAAAATTATATATATATAATAAATATACCTAATAATTTTAGAATTCTATATCCTTTACTCTTATATTTTCTCATCTTCCCCTTCTATTATAAGCATAAAACTAGACATGCTATAACCAAATATTGCTGATGCCAAAACCATAGCAAATATAGCAAATATCATTTCAGTTTGTGTATTTGCATTAATATCTCCATAACCAACTGTTATCATAGTTGTTACACTAAAATAAAAAGCAGAAATATATTTGATTTCCCAATCTGCATTATCTATACCATATTTATGCATCCATGTAAGATGAACTTATTCATCTGTATATTCAATAATATTCCAAATACAAGCTATCCAATGAGCAATACTTAAAATTAAGCATGCAATCTTTAAAAATTAAATAATTTCTTAAAATGATTAAGCCAATGTAAAAGATTCTATTAAAATTTTAATAAATGAATTTACCTTCTAATTTTTAAAGTATTTTACTGATTTTAAGAACTCTTAACAATCTTACAATTTTTATAAACTTAAATAATCTTACTATTTTTATTAATTAAGCTTAAGATTCTTCAGCATTGAACATTTGATCATAAGGTAATACTGCTAAAAAATCTAACCAAAACCATAACTTTAAATAATTAATTGCAATTTTCTTTCTATCATAAATAATTTCACCTCTAAAATACATAAACAGAAGTACCTATAATAATAAGCAAATTTAAAATTAAATGCCATATCTATATAAAAAAACACATCCATCAATTAATTGAATATCTAAAATCCAAAACTTAACTCTACTGAATATGTTAAGACTAATGGAATTTAAATCATTTGAACAAATATGAATATCATGCTTACTAATTCCCACATAAGTCTAAATGTTGAATTTGGATTGGAAACTTTTGGTAAACTCAATATAAATTATTTAATTCTTTTCTTAAGAGATATTTATGATATATCTATGCTTTATCTATCTTACAGATAATATATTATATCCCTTGCATCTTTATCATTTACACTTATGATAGTAATTAATTGCCTTTATTACTAAATTTGAACTTTAGTAATGTCTGAAGCTTTGTCTAAAGTTAATGTATCATTTACCTACCCAAATATTCTAAATTGTATTCCTAAGAGATCTAAGTCATACGTAGTATAAATAATAAATGTTTACTTAATTTATTATAAAAACTTGAATAACGATTTCTAATCAATTACTGAATTAACCATCATAGATTGTCGAACAATATTAATCAAAAAGAATAAGCTAAGCTAACAAGAATATATGGTAATAATTAATAGGATAAATTCAATAAAAATTGATAATGTATGAAAGGGATAAATTAAAGCAGAAATTGGATTGATATTCAATATTTTATTAATAAAAGGTTTTTTAAATAATTATAGAATGTATTTAGAATATAAAATAGATTAAAAAAGAAGAAATTCTTAAAACAAATACTCAAATTAAATATTATATTTTGATGGGAAAGTAAACTCATCAGAGATTTATATATCGTTAGCAAAAAGAATTGTTTTGGATAATAATAATAATAAAATGTTATGGGTTAAATAAATAAATTATTATTCTTTAAAAATCATTAAAGTTACTCTTTTGTAATTTAATCTGGTTAATTCTTAGTTAATATTGTTTAAAGTGAATAATCTTAGTTCTATTAAGTTTAATCATTAATTTCTTTTTATTGTTATTATTATTATTAACCAATAATTTAATAATCAGATTATTATTATATAATAAATTATGAATTTTCATCCTATTTACCTTAATCAAAATATTATTCTTATTACTATTATTACTATGGTTTTGTTTATTCATTAGAAATTTATTAATTTTATTTAGATTATTACATTTTGGAGAGACAATATTATGCTTTAACCTAATTTAATTTATCTTTATCAATTTTTTTAATATCAATTACATAATAACTTGATACTGGTCTATGATCACTATCTAAACATTCATTTCTTTTATAAAATTTTTATTCAAGTTTAGTTCCTTCTTTATGCCTAGCCAAAATTCTATCACACCAAGAAGGTGTCCTTTATTTTTTGGATGTATCATAAATTTAAGAATTTTTATCATATTTATATGTTGGTAAAAAATCTATAACACCTTCTTAATAGTATTATAAATTTTGATTTTATGCTTTGGATTTGATTAATTAATCTTAATTAATCAAATAATTTAATATTTGTTTAGCTTAAGGATGATTTTAATCTTTAGAGATATATGATTAATATGATTTAATTTTATCAACAGTATCTTGATAAGATAAATCAATTCTAAAATTCATATCTCCAAAAAAGAATGAATAATCTAAATTATTCAAATTAGTTTTATATTTTGAATTTAAAAATGCTTTTGAATGAATTTCTTCAATATCTTATAATCTATATTAATTTTTTTTATTACCTGAAGTCATATGACAACAATTGAATCCAATCTAAAATAATTATATTAATATTTATACTAATGAATCATCAAATTTAAATTTAACAAGTACACTTCCTTTATTACCAAGAGTTCCTCTTAATCCAGTTTTGACTACATCTGTTTCAATTTTGGTTACTCTTGAAATTTATGATGTTTTAACAAAAATAGATATGTATAAACCTACTAAATCAGATTCAGCAATTTTAGCATATGATTCTAATTTTTCTAGATTTTGTTGAAATAAATTATTCCATAATAAAATTGTTTTTTCATTACTCATAATAACAATATTTTATGGATTTAAATCAACAATTTCTTAAAGTCCAAATACAATAATATCTGGATTTGATAATTTATTTTCTTATAAATTTAGGATATTATTAGAAAAATCAGTTGTTATAGGATGATTTCCACCAACATTCCAAGTTACTAACAATACAGATATTTCATGATTTACACAATATTATTTTTCTTATTCAATTATCCATTTATCAAAATGAGTATTAGCATCTGATCCTATTAATAATTAATTTATTGTATTTTATTTAGTATCATCTTCAAATTAACGATTATAAAATCTTTCTATATTATTATATCCATCTTTAAGCATACCCATAAATCCCCTTTTTCCTTCTCTTGCCATTTCTGATATAGTACTTCCTGATCCAGAATATAAGAAACTCAATTAATCACCATTATTAGCCCACATATTTTTATATTTAATAATGAGATCATGTAATAACTTTTTATTTGATTCATCAAATTAATTTAAAATACCATCATTATCAATATAATTCAATTATAATCTCTTATCCTTTAAAGATAAATTTAAACTAAATAAAAATAATTTACTCATAAATAAATTAGTTCTATCTAAACAATCTAAACAATTAATTCTAAATACACCTTTCTATTAATTAATAATTTAATGATCTTTTTCATAATATTATGAATATTATTCAAGTGTGTTTTTAAATTATTAAATATATGAATTTAATCCTGTAGATTTACCATTTTTTATATGAGCATGAAAATCAATCTATTAATATTTAACATGATCTAATTAACTTTATTAATATTAATAATAAAAATTCTCTGTTAATAATTATTCAATTTATCTATTATTTTACATTAAATTAACACAATATATTTAACCATATCTTCTAAGTAAATTAAAGTGTTTTACAAAAGCAGCTTATGTAAGTTCTTTTGATCTTGTCAATTTTATACTTGAAACACCATCTTGATTCCAAAATATAGGTACTGAACCACGTATAGCAACAAAACTGATTATAATTTCTCCTTTAATTAGAATCTATTCTGTTTCTATAAAATTAGCCACATGTCCATCATCATTTATTCCTCTTGAATAATATCGTGTTCCTCCCATAAATCTACTTCTTCTAGATATCAAAACTACAGTAACTAATTATTTGTCTATATATGATTCTATTTATTCTACATATCCTTAAATCATAGGTAATTACCAACTAGATGAGATTTTATTTTCTCTAAATCCACTTAATAATTTCTAATTCCAAACAAAACTATTTTCAAATTTGTTAAAATGTCTTGCAAGTGTAATATCACCATTTATGGAAAAATAAAATCCTTATTATAATAATTTCTTTTGATTTCCTAAACTCTCCAAGATATCTTTATTCTAAATGTTTTAATCCTGGAATGAATTAAAATAATACTTCAATTGCATAATATGAAACTTAATCTATTTAATATATGATTTATTCTTTAATTGTTGCAACTTTTGTACATTCTTCAACTAATACTAGAAATGATTTATTAAAAGTCTTAAATATTCCTAAAATGTAGGATATTCTTTTATCTCCTTTGAGTTTCTCATTTACATTTTAATTTTTAGGACATTCTTCAATAATTTAAGAATTACGATGAATCTTCAATTATGTTGTAATTTAAGGTAATTCAGATTTAATCTAATAAGAGTAAGATTTAACATACAATAATGACATTTTGATATGCAGTAAGGTAAAATAATTTCAAATTAGTCATGTATTTAAGTATATTAATAATGTTTATATTTAATTTAATTAATATCAATTAAGTTTTTTGGAAAACTGATATCTATGTTTACCAGTCTGAAGGATTTCGAATAATTAATTAGAATAGATAGATGGATCATCATCTTCATTAGATAAGGAGGAATCAAGAGAAGTTTCATTGCTTTCGAACTATAATTGTAATAGATAATACTCTTTCATCAGTTAATGATGATATAGTTTCTTAGGTGGGCATATGAAAATTTTTAGTAAGTTCTTAAAATTTATGTTAATAAAATTATTAATGTCTTTGTTGTTTTCCCAATCTTTCTTATACAATAATAACCTATAAATTATCACATTATTTTGACAATGTATTTTTTTATCTTTTTAGATCATGCAATTCAGTTTACAATATACAATTATCTTCCTTTTATTAATTTAATTCATATAGAATCTTTCTTCTTTCTTCTTCCCATTTTCTTTAACTATTCTTAAAAATATTTGGATTAATCAATTTCTCAATAAAAATAATACGATACTTATATTGGTTAGTTATGATACTATATTTATTTGGTTACAAATTCTATAAAAGTAAATGAAATTTTGGAATGATTGAAATATTATTCAAATAATTGCATTTATTATTATTATTAAGTGTATTCATTAATATTATGTTGTGAAGTACTTCTATGTTTCAGTATGCCATGTTAATGATTCTAATAAATATCAAATTTTAGATTAGTGCTCATTGATTTTGGTAAAGTTTCTTCCTTTCCTTTTTATTTTCTTAATTCTAATATTCAATATATGTTATTTACTTGCATAATTGATTCCAATGGATTTAGGGGTAGTTTAATTCATAATTTAAATTTGTAATTGTTAAATATATATTGTTAGTTTGAACCAAAAAAATAAATGAATTATTTTAATTATGAATCCATCAATTTCAATGTCATAGAATATTAAAAGTAAGTCACATCATTAATTGATTGATGATGAGTCTGATCCTACAGGAAAAGGTAAATTATAAGAAATAGAACTTGATAATGAATTATGCAAATAATAATAGTCAATAACTTTAGGAAATACTGAAATATACTTCCCTCATAAACCATATGATGTTTAAGTAAAGTATATGGATAGTGTTGTATAAGCATTAGATAAAAAATATAATGCATTGTATATTAATAATATTAATTATTAAAATTAGATTAGAATCTCCAACTGGAACAGGAAAGACTTTATCTTTATTGTGTGCATCTTTAGGTTGGTTATAGAAATAAAGAAAAGAATAATAAAAATCAAATAATCAAATTAAATTAAAAATTGTTTATGCTTCAAGAACTCATGCATAATTAAAATAAGTTGCATAAGAATTAAAGAAAACTGTTTATAGACCTAATGTATCAATGTTAGGTTCAAGAGATTAATATTGTTTAAGAGGGGACTTTTATAATATTAAAGGAAATCTTTTAAATTAAAATTGTAGAAAAGTAGTAAAAGCAAATCAATGTTAATATTTTAAAAAAGATATTGTAATGTTCATGGCATAATAATATAAGACTTTAATAAATAATTTAGAGGAAGCTAAATAATTTGGATATAAAAATAAAATCTGTCCTTATTATTTTGAGAGATAGAGATTGGAAGATGCTGATATAATATTATTACCATATAATTATTTATTAGAAAAAGAATTTTAAGATTATGTAAATATTGATAATTCAATTTTAATATTTGATGAAGCACATAATGTATAATCAACAGCTGAAGAAGGATCATCTTTTTTTATAACATAAAATATTATTATTGAAGCTGAAAAAGATTTAGAAAAATGGATAGATGAATTAGAAACAGTACCTATATTTTATGAATAATTAAAAGTTAAATTAAATTAGGAAAAAATATCTAATGAATTAAAAGAATATAGATCAATTGTTATTACAATAAGAACATTTTCTTAATATTTAGAATAATTAAAATAATAACCAATATTTACATTATAAGATACAAATGAAAAATATTAAATTTTAGATGCTCGTTAAATTTAAAATTTAGTCTTTCAATATACATCAGATTAAGATAATACATTCAGATTATGGAATGATTCAATATAAACTAATTATGCTAAAGGAATTACAAGAAATAATATTGCTAGATATTTATAACATTGTTTGATTTTAATTGATGTTATGAGTGAATTATCATAATTTCCAGCTAATAATTTTGAATCATGGGTTAAATTCATTATGAATGTTTATGATTTAATTAGAGTTGAAGATGAAAGAGAAAAATAAAAATTATCTTTATCTTCTTTACTCAATTAATTTAATTAATATAAATTAACCTTTATAATAGATGTAACAAATTCTATTTCTATTTATATGTGGTGTTTAGAACCATCATTAGCATTTTAAAGAATACTAAAAAAAAATATTCATTCTGTTTTATTAACATCAGGCACATTATCTCCTATGTAATCATGGACATGTGAATTAAGAATGAATTTCTAAACATAATTTTAAAGTCCACACATTATCAATATTTAATAAAACCTTATTGTTTTTTAACATAAATAATTTGATTTCTCTTTTAATTAAAGAAATAATGATGAATAATTTAATAAATTAGGTTCAAATCTATTGAATCTTTCATATGTTATACCAAATGGAATTTTGGTTATATTTTCATCTTATAGTCTAATGTATAAATTTAGGAGCAAATTAACAATTAGTAAAATATTGTTTAGATTAAATGAAATCAAACATTGTTTATGGGAACCATAATAGACAGCAGAAATGTAAAATGTTTTTGAATTATATAAATAACATTCAAAAAAAGGAGCCATTATGTTTGCTGTATAAAGAGGTAAAGTAGCTGAAGGAATTGATTTCTCTGATGAATTATGTAGAGCAGTATTTCTAATTGGAGTTCCTTATCCTCCAAAATAGGATCATAAAGTATCATAGAAAATGGAATACTTAGATAAAATATATAATGATCCTGAATTTAATGAATAAGATAGATTAAAAAGTTAAGAATGGTATTGTTAATAAGCAATTAGAGCTACTAATTAAGCATTAGGTAGAGTTATAAGACATATTAATGATTATGGGTATTAAATTATTATTATTAAGAATTGTATTTTTGTGTGATAAGAGATTTGAATATGGTGATATTAAAAAAGGTCTATCTGAATGGGTTAAACCAGCAATCAAACCATGGGTTAATGATGATGACATTCTTAAATAGGCTAAAGCATTTTATAATAGAACCGATTATAATTTTCAAACTCCTAGTTAAAAGATAATAACTGAAGAAAAAAATAGTTAATAATCAGAAGTAAAGAAAAGAAATCTTAAACTATTTGGTCTTAAATGCTAAAAATAATTAGAAAAACTAAAATCTGATTCTTAATATGATATAGAAGAATAAGAAATACCTGAATAATAATAATAACAATAACAATAATAATAATAATAATAATAATAATAATAATAACAATAATAATAACAATAACAATAATAATAACAATAATAATAATAATAATAATAATAATAATAACAATAATAATAATAACAATAATAATAATAATAATAACAATAATAATTAGAATCTAAATTAATATGTGAGACTGAAAATAAAAAGTAATTAGAATAACCAGATATTAATTTTACTCCATCTTAAGTGAAAATTAGAATTTAAATTTAAAGGAATAATGTATAAATTGATGATCAAATTGTAAATTCTACATTCAATCAATAAAATTTGAATTAAAGTTAAAATAATGACAATAACAATGATTAATTTAATTACTTTACTTCTCAAAAAGACTTTTTTTCATCAATCAAATAACCTTAATAATAATCAGATTCACAAAGAAAAGGAATTATTAAAATAAAATAAAAAAAATGAAGTAAATCTTATTTTAACATATTTATGGAAATATTAACTTTTATATTTTTAATATATCTAATTTTTATTATTTTATTTTAATAATTCCTTATTTTAAATAATACTTATTTCATACAATATTAAATATATATCTAATAAGGTATGATAATTAACTAAGTTGATATGTATTAATTCCTATAATATTGTATTTTAATTAGATTAAAACTCTTATAGTTATCATAAGATTTCTACAAATGTTTAAATTTAGTTTTATTATATTATCTAATTAACAAAATCAACTTCATTTGTAGATATGAAGTACCTGCAGATACTTAAAAATACAAAGTGAAGATTAACATGCCTAGTATAGTATTTTGAAGAGATGAATTCTTTTTAAATTGTAAATTATTGATAGACTTTAATTAATTCATAAATAATTTATTTTAAATACGATAATCTTGATTTATTTGTATAATTATAAGTTAATTATTGATTATCTAATTTTTGAAAAGAATATAAATAATATCAAAGAATAAATAATAAAAGAAAATATTGTTTATGATCTAAAAATATTGAATTTTAAATCATATAATTTAAAATAATTATAAAAATTCTTATTAATATATTAAATGTTATGGAATTTTAAATTTAATTATTTTAAATTATAAAAATATAATAGTTTATATATAATACATTTTTTAGTGAAAAAAGGTTAATTTCAGTCTCAAGATTTCTAAAAAGCTGAGATTCAGAAATTGAAAAAGAATAATAAAAATGAAAAACAATTCTGTGAAATTTAAACATAATGTACCTAAATCATCGACTACATCTGTAATATCAGAATTTTCATGTGAAGAATCACCAATGCCTAATGCATTTCAATATTAAAGCTTTACTCATGCCTAAACAATCTCAGCTAAATTAAATAAAACATCTATATACAATTAGCAGAATATTATCTTTAATACTCCTAGATGTCTTGCAGTTCCTTATAAAGAAATTGTATTTCTATTTAATTATTAATTCTAGGAAAGAGATGAAGTATTATCAAAAACTCCTGTGAATAGAGGATATTAGGGTTGTAGTAGGATTGGTACAAATAATTTGGAACCTGTAACATTTTCTGATGCTCTAATTAAATAATCTAAGTATACAGAGGAGAGTTTAAGAAAAATATCTAAATTGGAGAAGTTTTTAGAGAAATAAAAAAAAAGTCTATAAAAACCAATTCATATATTATCAAGTGAAGAAACACCAAAAAAATTAGAAAATCATAATTATATTGAGGGTTTGGTTTAAAGAAAAGAAAATTAACCTAAATAGAAGAAATTGGATCCAAAAATAAATAAGAAATTTCATTAATTGATGGATGATCTAAGAATTATAAGAAAAGTAAATATAAAATTAATTAAATAGAATATTTAATATTTTTCTGCTTTTGATGGTTCTTATTCTTAATGTAGACAAGATTTAAATAATTTTGTAGCATTGAAATAATAAAATGGTATATTGATAAATAATGGGAATCATCTTTCAAGAATAGAACTTATAAATGATACATTTAGAACTGAAAGAATTTGTGATTTACCTGAACATGATGCAAAATTTCTTTCATTTTGTATTTGTGATAAGAATTTTTCAGATGAAATGATTATCACAGGTACAGATAAGGGTAATGTGATGGGATGGAACTATTTTAAAAATCAAGTCTATCATTATTATGGGTTAAATAATTAATATAATTGTAATTTATAATAGCATTCTTAACCAATATTTATTACTTAATCTAAATAAAATATTTTTGTTGGTACTAAAAATAATGTAATTTTAAATTATTAAATTTAGGAATTATTAATTCTAGATGAAAGAATGAATGAAACAAAATGTTTATCACTTACTTTATAAAATAACAAAAAACAATTTCTAAGAGCTAACTCTATTTAATCTCCAATGTTACCTAGATTTGGAAATTCAATAATAGAAAGTCCTTTGACAAAACCCTTAGATCCAAATTTATTCAATGAAACCAATTTTTAATTAGATGAAGAATATGATTAAATAAAAGGGGATATGGAAGAAGAATTTCCTACTTTTAAATAATTAGATGAATTATGTTTGGAAGATATTTAAATGATTAAATATATTGATGTGAATGATTATAATATTTTAGTTACTATGACTAATGGTTTTATACATTTAGATATTAGAAATCCCAAAGTAGAATAATTTAGCTATCAATAAATAAGTCATAATTCATTAAAAGCATTATTCAGTCCTAGTAATACTAATAACATCATATATTCAAGTTTAAATTCTAATGAATGTTTATTATGGAATTTATAAAAGAATGAAGTACTATTTCATAAGAAATTGTAAAGCAACCCTTTAGATATGATAATTTCATAAGAGACTAAGGAAATCTTATTCTTACATTAAGATAAAAATGATTCTATGGTAAAGATTTATAATAATTCATAATCAAAAATGAGATATAGTGATGAATTATATGCTCCTAATTTTAATATGTAAAATATTCTTTTAGATCAATAAAATTAAAGTCTTTATGGAATTGGACCATATTCGTTAAGAACTTGGAATTATTATTAATAAAAAGAAATAGATTTAATTTAAGAAGAAATGAGACATTAATTGGAATTTTTATATTGATTTAACTTAAAAAAAAAAAAAGATTTTTAATTATTAAATAATCTATCACAATTATTTTCAAACTAAAGAAAAATCTATAAGTTGTTCTTATTTCAAATTTCCTTTTGTTAATTGGAGTTTTGAATTCTATGCAAAAATACCTGGCCAATAGGATGCAGCACATCTATTTGCATCTATGATTCCCATTTTTTTATAACTAAATTCAAAGATAAAATTACGCTGCTGCTATTAATTCAGAACAAAAAAAAGTTTTATCATCTTTTTCTAGATCATCAATAGATTCACTTGATTTTGTAAATCTTTTAATCAATTTACTAGGAGACATTTGATATCTTTTACCAATTGATCCCTAATAATATATAATATATAGAAAACCTTTACAAATTATTCGAGTTTCTCAAGAAATTCATTTGATCTATTTACTTCTAATTATCTATATACCATTTGCTAATACAAAGTGTGCCAATTGTTTCTCATAAAAGTATCCCAACTCAATATACTAACACCCTAGATCTTCAAAATTGATTGTTACTGTTTATCCCATAGATTCAAATAAAAATAATTCTCCATTATTATATCGAAGTAATAATGCTACATGATCAAAGTTATCTCCAGTGAAAGCTCTTTATATTTTACTTAATGAAGATTATCCCCTAAGAATTTTTAATTTATATATTTACCTAAATAATAGAATGTCACCAGTATCAGCCTTCTTTCTAAAATAAGTTTCAGATATTCTCTCAAATCTCCACATAGATTCATTATTCAAAGGTGTAATTTTAGGATAGAATTATGTAATCAAAATATGTTATTAAATACAACGATACCAATCATCTAATTCATTACGTTCTATACTCTTAAATTAAAATATCTTTTTTATTCCTTTCAATTCCAGTCTTTTAATTATAAATATATATGATTACCTTATTTCATGTATTTCATTATTCTTCATTATAGGAGTTATTGAAACTGATATCAAATGAAAGTCTATGCATCCCTTGAATTTGTCTAAACCTTTAAAATATTACATTTTTCCATCATAAATCTTAACGTATCGTTTCTAAGGAATTAATAATAAAATTCAAATCTTACTTGCCATCCTACAAGTAATTTAGGACTCTTTTTCATTAGCCATCCTTCTTTATTATATATATCCTATAAATTAATTCCCTTTATTTGATTATTAGCTGAAATTGAGTACTACAGTTTCTTTTCCATAGTGCTTTCCTATCTAATATAGGATTGGTATTATTGTTCTTCATCTTAGGCTATTTCAGAAATATCAATTGTAGAAGGAGTCTAATCCATCATTGCAATTTATTAAATTCAATATTTTATATATTTAAGTCGTCTTCACATATTAATATATACATATTATAAAAATAAAGTTATATAGTATAATAAACTCTCATATAAATCAAGTTAAACGTAAAAACTGTAGATTATTATATTGATATACATATTCTCTAATGTATTTATTGTTTCTAAAGACAAATAAACTAAAAATAACAATAACAAAAGTTGTTGTTCATAATTAATTAAAATGTAAATTCTATGAAGTCCATATTCTTATTTTTAAGAATTATAGAAACCAAAACAAAGGATATATTTATTAATAATGAAAATTCAAACTCATTTTAGTATGAAATTTAATTATTGAACATAATTTGTCTCAATAAATCTATAGTTGATTAAACTTAAGAAAAATAAGAAATTTTAATTTTTCAATATCAATTCAATGAAAATTAAGCAGAATTCCAATCTACAAATTATACAGAATAGTTATTTAAATAGGATTTCTTAGATGTAACAAATTTAATAAAAAAATACTTATAAAAGTCCAATAAAAAAGAAAGTTGTATTGACTCATTATTATTTATTTAGATTATAAAGATTACTTATAAAAATTTGATTAAAATAATAATAATATAAGTTTCTTTTATATTTTAATTTCAAATTTCATCTTGTTCTAATTGTTCATATGATTTATTGGTGGATAGTATTTTACCATCAAGAATATTATTTTCTTAGTTATCTAAAAAATAAATATAAATTCCTAATAAGACTGTAATGAAAATTAAGACTGCTAACATCATAACTGAAATAAAAAAGCTAGCTGTTCTAATTTTAATCAAACTAATAGATAGAGGTAAAATAGACAATAAGAAATTACATGATGATAATAGATAAGCATAACCTGTACCTAAATTTGTTTCATCTATAATATAAACAATACTAGACCATACACTAGCACACATAATAGCATATGATATTCCCAATAAATTAATTGCTAAAAAAGGTGCATAATACCAAAGTTATACTAAACCTAAAAAACCAAGACATGAAGCACAAATATTCTATGATATTCAATAAACTTACAAATATGGATCTATTCTTATATTTGTCTATTAAGAAACCAAAAACGGGAGTGAGAAAGGAAGATATCCCCCACATAATGGCCATCATTTTACCTGCCATTTCTTCAGCTGATTCATTATCTGTATACCATCTTTCAGTTAATATTCCAACAGAAAAATTACTAAAAGTAAGTAATGATCCAAAGAGTAACATATTGTATATAATGATCATCCAGTATATAAATGGGAAGTTCTCTTATTTTATGATTTATTTACTAATTTCAACATTCTAAATTGAATTTTCTTGTTGAACATATTCTGCATTTATATCATAAACAATAGTTATGATACAACATACTACACTCATTGCAATAGCAAAACTACCACTCTATATAGCAAATATTAGATTATATTATGCTGCTAATTTAGGTGCAAAATACATAACTGAGATTGTTCCAAAAGAAGCAAATAACTCACATAAACCAACAACTAATGCCTAATAAATAATTTATTTATACAATATGATCAAATTTAAAATNCAATTCAATGAAAATTAAGCAGAATTCCAATCTACAAATTATACAGAATAGTTATTTAAATAGGATTTCTTAGATGTAACAAATTTAATAAAAAAATACTTATAAAAGTCCAATAAAAAAGAAAGTTGTATTGACTCATTATTATTTATTTAGATTATAAAGATTACTTATAAAAATTTGATTAAAATAATAATAATATAAGTTTCTTTTATATTTTAATTTCAAATTTCATCTTGTTCTAATTGTTCATATGATTTATTGGTGGATAGTATTTTACCATCAAGAATATTATTTTCTTAGTTATCTAAAAAATAAATATAAATTCCTAATAAGACTGTAATGAAAATTAAGACTGCTAACATCATAACTGAAATAAAAAAGCTAGCTGTTCTAATTTTAATCAAACTAATAGATAGAGGTAAAATAGACAATAAGAAATTACATGATGATAATAGATAAGCATAACCTGTACCTAAATTTGTTTCATCTATAATATAAACAATACTAGACCATACACTAGCACACATAATAGCATATGATATTCCCAATAAATTAATTGCTAAAAAAGGTGCATAATACCAAAGTTATACTAAACCTAAAAAACCAAGACATGAAGCACAAATATTCTATGATATTCAATAAACTTACAAATATGGATCTATTCTTATATTTGTCTATTAAGAAACCAAAAACGGGAGTGAGAAAGGAAGATATCCCCCACATAATGGCCATCATTTTACCTGCCATTTCTTCAGCTGATTCATTATCTGTATACCATCTTTCAGTTAATATTCCAACAGAAAAATTACTAAAAGTAAGTAATGATCCAAAGAGTAACATATTGTATATAATGATCATCCAGTATATAAATGGGAAGTTCTCTTATTTTATGATTTATTTACTAATTTCAACATTCTAAATTGAATTTTCTTGTTGAACATATTCTGCATTTATATCATAAACAATAGTTATGATACAACATACTACACTCATTGCAATAGCAAAACTACCACTCTATATAGCAAATATTAGATTATATTATGCTGCTAATTTAGGTGCAAAATACATAACTGAGATTGTTCCAAAAGAAGCAAATAACTCACATAAACCAACAACTAATGCCTAATAAATAATTTATTTATACAATATGATCAAATTTAAAATATTAAGAAAGCAGACTAGTTTGAATTGCTCCACATGGTTCAATTCCAATACTTATAAGAATTCGACCAATAATGATATAATATAAGTTATAATGAATGAAACCTTAAATGAATATAAATTATCCTAAAGAAACTAGAAATAATAAAACGAATAAGGCAATTCTATTTCCATATTAATCTCTTAATTCTTAATTAATTTGATGAAATAATACTTCCACTGATGAAAGGAGTGAATATATTAACAAATGAAGTTAAACTAAATAGTAATCCATAATAAAATTCAAATTGATTATCTGAGAGTATTGGAGATAAATAACTCTTAAATGAATTGTATAATGATGTTGGAATATCATAATTGTAATAATTCCCCATAGGAATCCAAATGCAAAATGTTAGCATATTCCATCTGTATTAGTAATTATATTTATTCATCTCTAAATTATTAATAACAATTATAAAATTCATATTCATATTGATTTTAATCTTAATTTTTATTTTAATAATTGATATTAAATATTTCATTCCTATTTGACCCTTCTAGTATATTTTATATAATTTAATAAAAAATACAATAAAATATCTATGTAATCATATGATTTAAAAAAAAATATATTTATATATATATATATATTATTTGGAATTAGTTGCTAATTATTTATTATCTTTTATTAATAAAATTAAAATCTTAAAATATGAGTGATTTACTTAAGTAAACTTTAAAAGGGTAATAAAAGTAGAAACCACCTGTTCCAAAGAAATAGATGCAAAGTATATATAATATTAATATTGAAAGATGAAGATGAAGATGATGAGAAAGAAGAGGAATAAGATTAATTTGATGTAGATTTTAAGTAAATTGAATGATCAAATTATTAATAGTAAGAATTCAATTCCTGTAAAACTATAAGGATCTAAACCATAACCAATAAAAGCAGATCATAATATAACTCATTGTATAATTATAAATATAATAAGCCCATCATTAAAATCCTTAATAAACAAAAGTAACTAAAAAGATACATGATTATTCTCCTTAGAAGTGGAATGAGTTTTATGATGAGATGATATTCCATCCAAATGTAATAAAATAGAAATAAAATAGGGAACACCAATATACATAGCTGGAAAAAATAAAGCACCAATATTTTTATGTTTACATGGAGCTGGACATTCTGCAATGTCATTTGCAAACTTAGCAAACGAAGTCAAATAATATGCTACATTGATTTCATTTGATTTCAGAGGACGTAAAAAAATCTAACTAAAATAATAGATGGTTAATCAAAAATAGAATTAGAAAATCCAAATCTAAGTGTTTAGTAATTGTTGGATGATGTAGTTGAAATATTTGATTATGTAACTACATAATGGCCAAAATAAACAGTAATATTAGTTGGTCATTCTATGGGAGGTGCTATAGCAGCAAAATCTGCAAATTTATTAATAACATCATAAAAAGCAGATAAAGTTTAGGGTATATTATATTAATATATATATCTAATAGGTTTAATTGTTATTGATGTAGTAGAAGGAAGTGCCATTGAAGCATTACCATTTATGGAATAGATTGTAAATAATAGACCAAAACATTTTAAATCTTATGAATAAGCAATTTAATGGAGTTTGAATACATCAACATTAATGACTTTATCATCAGCCAGAGTATCAATACCTGAATAATTGAAAGAAGTCAGAGATTAAAATGGAAATTTAATAAGTTTAGATTGGAAGGTAGATTTATTGAAGACAGCACCTTATTGGATGGGTTGGTTTGAAGGATTAACAAATTCATTTTTACAAATAAGAATACCTAAAATATTAATGTTAGCTGAGAAAGAGAGATTAGACAAAGATCTTACAGTAGCTTAGATGCAAGGAAAATTTAGATTAATAGTGTTATAGAATACAGGTCATAGCATATAAGAAGATGATCCTAAAAGCACTGCATATAATTTCCATGATTTCATATTAAAATTTAGAATTCCAACTACTGTAGAAGAAGTTGAAAAACTTAAACAAATTGGAATTGGAAAGTTTCATCCCACCATTGGGAATTATGAATATTAATAGAAATATTATTGAATAATATGTTCATTAGAAATACTTATAAAATATATATATATATATATAATTAATTTTACATCACCCTCTCATAGAATTCTAAATACATCTTCTTGTGTACAATCTTAAAAATGTTTATTGCTTTTCAACATCTTAATTATTTTCTATCCAAGTCTTTTTTTCTGATTATGTCAATATATTTTATGGACCCTCCTCCAAAACTTAACTTAATAATTTATGATAATCAATAAAAGAAAGTTTGGATAATGCTATTATACAATCTTAAATGTAATCTTCCATTTCTTCATCTGTTGGTCCCTTTCGTAAAGCTTCAAATAATTTTGATGTATATTAAGGTATAAATGGAGTAATGATTTTTTGGAATTCTAATTATTTATATACAAATAATACTATCTTTATATTCTTATGGAATTTAGACTTTAAATGCTTCATCTTAGGGTTTCAACATTAAGAAAGTCACTTCTAACCATGAGTAAAATACTTTTGCAGCACCTACATGTTCCAATCCTATTGCCATTAAAGTCAATTATAAAATTGTTTATAATGCTGAACTTTATAATAATAATACAGGAGTGTATCTACCATATCTTACAAGCATTCCAAATAAATCTTCTGTTAAATCAGGATTCTCTTCAAAACTTGATAATTAAGGCAAATGTTGAAATGTAATATTACATAAATTTTCAAATGCTTCTGATAATAAATTACGATATTCAGGGTATTTATAAAATACAGTTGCTGATACTTCTGCTACATAAATACAAGCTGTTATTGGAACTTATCTATAAACATTTAAAAAGCTCTAAAACACTTATGTAAGTAAATCAACAGAAAATTAATTAAAAGCTTTTCTAAAAGTATGTTTTGTATATCTCACTATTTTCTCTGCTACTCCATGTTCAAAGATAGCTATTCTTTCCATTCCAAATTTTAACATTGGCCATAATTCTTAATAAACATTAACAATTAATATTCTAACTGCTAAATACTCATTTGATTCATTAGCAGGTATTTAACTATTAACATAAGCTAAACTAGAGATATTTTTGCTGAATTATTTAATCTTCTCTTCTAAAGTATCAGAACCTACTGATTTGATTAATAATTCTTCAATTTATTATTATAATTAAACTAAATTCTAAGCAAATATTGAACACAATTTTAAGTAATAATTTTACATAGTCTCTTAACTTGAACAAATTGCATTTGCTACTCCTTTAATTAAATTGTCATAGTTAGAACTAAACATTAATCAATAAAGATTACACTTATTATAATTTAAATATAAGATCTAAGAATTGATTCAAATGAAGCAAAACAAAATTTTGATTTTGTTAACATATCAATTGAAATGCTTTAGTTGCTTTCTTTTAAACAGATGATACTTAATGATGAATTCCTATTGTAATGAAATTAAATAGTGATGGTAATAATTCATTAGAGGAAATCAATTAAGCACAACCTTATGATATTGTTTTAAAAACTAATATTTTATTAATTAATATAATACCTGATTTCATTATAAAATTATTGCTAGCTAATGGTTATTATTAATATACTTCTAAATATAATTTGATAATCTCCATTAAATATTAAACTCCTATTTAATCATTTTTCAATATAATTTATTTAATAATTCCACTAATTAAATTCATACAAGCTTCAAATGTTATCCAACCATTTTCATTCATTTATGGAAAAAATTCTGTTTTAAGTATGCCTCCTAAATGTTAAATAATTAAATTTGGTTGTATGATTGTTACTAATTCTTCCATGATTTCTTTCATTTATGATCTAGTTTCTAATTATTATTCAAATTCATCCTTTATTTTAGGTGAAATTCCATATTCAGCCAAAAGTATTTTATTTACTTTACTTTTTTATACACATCCATTAATAAGTTATTCAAAAGTTAATGAAAACTTATTTTATAATTATAAATCATTCATTATTCTTATAGTCTTAATCATTTTAATCCAAAAATCCATTAATATATCACTTTCAGTAAATGAAAATTCATGACAAAATATCCATAAAAGTGTTTATAAAAATGGTTCCAATTATGTATTGAGTAAAATTTTATGTATAAATTTCTTACCTACCTTAGAATATAATTTTATTAAATTATGAATTTCTTCACTTTTTTCATCTTCCAATGCTTTTTTACATGAAGGAAAAGTTTTATATATCTCATCGAATAATACTTATAAAACTTAAGGTTCTAATTGAGGTTATTCACATATTGTTTTTGGAATAATACCAACAAATGTACATATTGCTTCAACTGCTTTACTTTACAATTCCTCATCACTTATAGATTCCAAAGTACCTTTAAAAAGTGTAGTTTAACTACTCAATTACATAAATTGAATAGCCTAATTTAAAATTTTTTAATTACTTCTTCTTCTGTAATACTTGATTTCATGAATTCCAACCACTTTTTATAAGATCTCAAAATATGATATTTAATAGAATCGTCAGGATTGGCATTCCATTAATTTTATAGAAATGTTAGAATGTCTAACATTTATTTATTTTTAATGTCTTATGCAATCAATCTTCTCTTCTCATCATCTATTATAATTTTTTTATTTTCTGTTAATTCATCTGGGAGTGTCTCCAACACATCAAATAAGAACTTCTAATGTGGACTATTATTTTATGAGTAATCAAGAATTTAGGCAATAACTCTAATAATTAATTATATGATTACTCTAAAATTGATTTAGTTTGTTATGAGTAAGTGTACAAGTATAAATAGATGAACATAAGTACACATTATATTCTAGTTGATTTTTAATTTTATACGCTGTAGTGAAGTATTATTTGAATGCAATTTTGATATATTTGTGGTACTTCTGATGGTTGGAGTGAAACTAATGAATGATTAGATTAGAGTACTGAAGTCATATAGAATTTTGGATTACAAAATACGCAACAATTAAAACACCAATGATTGATCAGGATTTTATTACAATATTTGAATGCAAATTGCCCAAGCTTCATTTGATTATGAGAAGCTTCTTAGAAAAGTATCAACTTATTCAACTTATCCTTAATTAAAAACTTGGATTGCTTGACACACTTTTTCAATCGAAAATTCAGCCATGATTTAATTATTAATTAACCGATGGAATATACTATTAAGGATATGAGTGGATTCCTCTTAAACAAGTAAACCTACTCCTATTCCCTAGATAATATAAGCTTATCAAAAAACTAGGAGCAGGAGCATTTGGTGAAATCTATTCAGCCACAGCCAATGGATTAGATTATGCAATCAAAATTGAACGATCTGACACTAAATATCCTCAATTGTTATTTGAATCCAAACTATATTAATATCTAAACAATTCACCTATTATTGGCATACCAAAATATTATGGATATTACTAATAAGATTCATATAATTTCTTAGTTATGGAACAGTTAGGCAAAAGTCTTGAAGACATTTTCACAGACAATAATCGCATCTTTTCATTACAATCAGTCACTGTACTAGCACTCTAAATGTTAGAATGTATTGAATTTTTACATAGTAAATAATTCTTACACAGAGACATTAAACCAGATAATTTTTTATTGGGTAAATCACATAAAGACAGAGTCTATATAGTTGATTATGGATTGGCTAAAAAGTATATCAATAAAGATAATCATATTCCCTATAAAGATAATAAAGCTTTGACTGGAACTGCTAGATATGCTTCTATTAATACTCATTTAGGGATTGAATAATCTAGAAGAGATGATTTAGAATCTCTTGGATATGTAATAATGTACTTCTTAAGAGGTACATTACCATGGTAAAATTTAAGAGCTAATACTTAAAAAGATAAATATGATAGAATTATGGAAAAGAAATTAGCAACATCTAGTGAAACTTTATGTAAGAATCATCCCAAATAATTATTACATTATATTGAATATACTAAGAATCTTAAATTTGATGAAAATCCAGATTACAATTATTTAAAAAATCTATTCATGTCTATAATGAAAGAATATGAATTAAGAATAGAATACATATATGATTGGGATGATGAAGATACTCATCGTGATAAAATACTATTAAAGAATTAACCATAATAATAATAATAAGATTAATAATAAAGTAATAATCTAATTAAGAACATTAATTATTCATAATATAATAATAATAGATAATCTGTTATGAAAACGAAAACATCATCTATACATTCCATAAATAAGGTTCCAGTACTCAAAATACAATAAAACCTTAATACATAAAATAGTTAAAATTATACTAAAAAAAATCCTATTGATAATAAAGTTAAATCAATTATCAAAAAACATTCAAGTCTACATTATAACTGATATATATTTTATATTAATAAAAAAAAACAAATTGTTATCACTTTTACAATCATTTTAGTTTATGTTTCTTTGTGAATTCATCTAATTAATCTTCAAATGTGATATCTGATTTAGTAATATCTCTTAATATAGTTTCTCCTCCTAAAGAATTCTTACTTTGTCTCAATTTAATATTAAGACTTGTTAAAACCTATGATAAATCCTTTTATTATTTTCTATGTTAACCATGCCATGTTAAATCTTAAGATCCAAAAGATTTCAATTAAGATATCTAAGTTGATTAAATATTAATTAATTATTTATTGATTGGTTTTAATTGAGTATTTTAGGAAGTGAATGATTCTAAGATACTTGCATCATTTAATAAATGTCTTGATGCTGCATATTTATAAAAATCTGATGATGAGTTCTATTTTTTTTTGGGTTAATTCTAAATATTAACTTAAGATTATTAATTTAAATTAGATTAGTATTATCTTTGTATAATAGAAGTTTAATCATTATTTTCAAGTTTAGTATTAAATTCTTTTAGATAATCATTTTTACTTAATAATTTTTGATTCAATATACTCTTATCTCTAAATTCAGGATCTAAGAAATTAAGATTAGCTGCTCTATCTATATTTTTTTATCTTTCTTTTTCTCTCAATTTCAACATTTCATCTAATTTAGGATCTCTAACATCATTTTTAAACATATTTTAGACTTCTTATAATCTTCTTTATGCCTCCATTTATTTGAGTGTTGGACCTTGAACTTCATTTTGATATAAATGTCTAATCTTATCAAATTTTAAATCTCTTGGACTAAATTCATCTTTCATTATTAATGGTTTTTTATTTAAATTTTATAAAGAAAATGAATTCTATCTATTAACTTATAATGAATCTGTTAGACTATATATTTCAGCTTCTTTTTCTGTTTTAGATTATTTTCTTAAAATATCAATAACTTTAAATCCATATATAATTCTTTTTTTAAGTTCAGATTGTTTAGTATATTTAACATCCCATTTAATTGGTAATGGATGATTTATATTATATGCAGCCATCAATTCTCCATTCAAATCAAATATCTTAATAATTCCATCAATTGATGTAATCAATAGAAATCTCTCATCTAATTATAAATAAGATAAGCTAGTAATTTATTTCTTAGAAGCATTAAATGTAACAATATGTTTAAGTTTTTAAATACTTTCAGATGATTAGATATGAATAGGATCATTAATTAAGACTTATTCTTTGGCTTTTCTAAGAGGATTATAATTAATTCTTTCATGGACAGGTTCAGTTGGTTCAAGTGTTATATTAAGTTATAATCTGATAATATTATTTTCACTTGTAGCCATAGCTAATTCTAATTCCTTAACACTTAATACAAGTTTAGTAATAAATTCTTATTCTCCTTCTTCAGTAACATAATTTGAACAATTAGATACTTCATAAATTTAATATATAGTTGTTTTAACTTCAATGTGATCTTTTACAACAAATTTCATAATATAAAGTTTACCAGTTATAGTTGATACACCAAAAAGAGGATAATTAGCTATAAATATAATGGATGTAATATCTCCATCAAATTCGAGAAAACTTAGACATTTGATGAATTCATAATCAAAAATGTAGAGATGATTCATATATGATGCCAATAATAGGGAATGATGAACAGATATTTCTATTTATTATGATTTAAAAGGAGTAATTTCTCTTAATATTTCAGCATTCATTTTTTGAATAAGAACACTATCATGTCCACATGTAATAATGAGTTTATTAAGAATATCTAATTTTAATTATATTACATCTGAATGTCCTTTAAGTGATGCAAAGTATTCTCCAGTATGATAATAAATTTTCAGATTACCTTTAGAATCTGATAATATAAATTTATTATAATAATTAAGTGGTCTAAATTATGTAATTTCATCTTCTAATTCATTTAATAATCCATTAAGAATTCTTTTCATTCTACCAGTATATATATCCATAAAAATAATATTCTTTTTAGAAGCAACTATTAATTCATCTCTTTAAGGATCAAAATCAATTTTTATAACATAATTATCTGATTGATCTTTCTTTCGAATATCTAATTTAAGTAAATTAACTCTAGATCCTAAAAAACATATCATCTATTAATCTGATAAATCTAAAATTTTAGTAATTTAGGTTTTTCTTCCAAAATTTAATGATTATAAACATGAGAATGTTCTAATATCCCATAATCTTAATGTACCACCATCATCTCCAGAAATTAATACAGGACTTTTACCTATCATCTAAATAGAAGTTAACATAGATGTATGTCCACTTAATTTTCCAATCATTGTTACATCATGAAATTTAGGATTGATTTCATAAACATTTATATATGTTGAATATCCACAAGTGACAAATATTTGAAAATAATAGGAATAAACTAAACTATGAATTCCTCCATGTTCTTTTAAAGATACAACTATTTTAATATCTTTTGTATTGAGATCCCATACAACCACTTATTTATCTAAAGAAGCAGTGGCAATCATTTTCATATGTACTACCTCAACACAATCTATAATACACCCTGTAATCTTATTTGTTGAATATATATTAGCTACATTTTCTGCCTACAAATCCCATTCATATAATTTAAATGTAGCATCAGTAGTAATCCATTTATTCTAATTTTCAAGATACCAAATGTTAGTTTAATAATCTTATGAAGCATATACTGTTGGAAATATTCTGTATGTCTTAAAATCATTTTCATACATACATAATGAATGAGATTTCAGTGTTAATCCAATCTATTATATTATATATAAATATTACTCTCTATTATCTATCAGACCATGCAAAACTCAATATTATTATTTCCTTATCTTCACTCTAATTAATTTTTACTTAATTCTTTAAAGTGCCATCTAAATTATATATATTTAATTTAGAATCTAAACTATCCAATGTTACAATCTATTTCATACATACTTGTCCTGTATGTACATTGTTATTATGATGTCTGATTGCATCATTTATTAATGAACCATTTACAATGTGACATATTTCACCATCTGCTTATCCAATTATTCGAGGAGCATTCTAAATTAAACTCTATAAAATACCACATCTATATCTCTAATTCTAGTCTTGTTTAATTCAAACTTCTTTGGTTCAGGTATTAACATTTATGGTACTATGTTGTTAGTTATTGGTTCCACTTAACATACATAACTTGTTACATCCGATAATGACAATTCATTTTATTGACAAGCTGCCACTATGTCTTTAAATAACTCAATTAAACCCATCACTAAATACAATAACTCACATTATTTATGATGCACCACTGATATCATTATCTTTATAAACTCAACCATATTCACTCTTCTTTAAGGCCACAACCGTTCCATTACTAATAATTCATCTCTTTCTATCAGTTCTAAAATATTCTATTGTTTAGAAAGTCTAAAGTCTGGATTATCAATGTCGATCATATTTTGAAGCACCTATTCAATTATTTAGTTCACCGACATTTTATTTTTATTTATATATAATCAATTTATTTTAGGATTCTACATCCCCAAAAACAAAAATTATTATAACTTAATAATAAATATATTCTTTCAAATCTAAGATTGTTTCTCACTATTTTTCTCAGCAGATTATTGAATACTTGGATCTTTTCTGGTGAAAAATGAATCAATAGTTTTGTTTTTATAAGCTCCTTTTTATTATTATTATTACTATTATTATTACTATTAATATTGCTATTTATTTTCATTTTTTGGATCTACATCTATCTCATTCTTTTTTGGAGTTACATCTTTCTCATTCTTATTCTTACTCTCTTTCTTCTTTTTCTTACCTTATTCATTTTTATTGTCTAATCTCTTTTCAGGTAAATCATTATTATATTAGATAAAATTTTCTTGTTTGTTTTATGATTATTATTATTAAAGTTAATTCATCTAATCTTCACATTCTTTATTTTTGATGTATCTTTACTATTTCTTATTTTATTTACTTTTTCTTTGAGTTTATTCATTTTCATTTTTTTACTTTTTAATTTTTTATGATTTTATTAATAATTATTTTTATTTGTATTTATTCCAAAACTTTAGACTCTTCTTTTTTGCCTCTTTTTTAAACTTTTGTGGATATTTCCGAAACTATTTTTTAAAATAGTATTTTATTGACATTACATCATTCTAAGAATAGTAATCATTCTATATTAATTTTTTTAATTCTTATTCATATTCATTTATGGTGCATGAATATGGGAAAACATCCTATAAACATTATTCCCACTTGTATTTTTATTTATATTAAGTGAATATTAATAACACCCTATAATAAATATATTAAAGTACCCTTAATCATTTTCATTAAGCAAAGATCTTCCTACTATTGTATTAAAACATCTGCTTAGATAATACATTTCATCATTTTCATACTATTATTAATCATACCTGTGATAATTTATAGTTTTCAATTCAACTAATATTAACAATTAACAAAGAGGACCTGGAAAATGAAAGCTTCTATTAAAAATTCTTTAATAACTATCAAATAAAATAGCTCCATTTTTTGAACATTAAATGTAATCTTACATTTCATTTTTCTCGAGTCCCCAAAACAATTTTTTATATTTTCCAATTTAATCAAAAAAATCAGATTTTTGTTTTTTACAAAATACTTTAAATTATTTTATCTTCTTAAAACTAGAAAAAATAAGCAAAACTCCCTTAGATGTACAATTTATAATACTTTCCAAATTCTCAAAAAGAATTTAAAATATAAGATTAGGTTTGTATTGTTCAGTAAATATTGGTGGTTAAAGGAATAATGTTTTAAAATATTGACTTTTTTATATTTTTAGTTCTGTTTAAAACGAGTTTAAATTATAATGATGCAAAGTTGGAAAAAAAAGTATTAGATGATATTATAATGGAATGAAAGTTTATTCTTTTTAATGTATCCAAAAGATATTATAAGTAATATTTAACCAAAATTGTTATATTTTTATTAGTTATTTTAATTGAAAAATTATTATTTTGGTATTTTTATTTCTCTTTGTAGCAAAAAATTGCTTATTTTATAAATTTGAACCAAAGAGAAAATTATTTTTTATTTGGAAGATTTGAAATTTTTTCACATGTTTTCAAATATTTATCAAAAACAGCAGATTCATCATATATATGACTACAATTGTTGTTTAAAATAGATATTTCAAGGAAATCATAAATTAAATCCTGCTTTTCAATTTTATCATCTTGAATTTAATGTAATTTATTCAATAAATACTAAATTGACTCTTAAACGAATTTTATCGATTCCAAATCAAAGTCCAATAAATATTATTGTTAATCCTGTTCATTTTTCATTTATAATTATGTTATTAATTCATCCAATTCATTTACAGCTATTTCAATTGTAATATTTTATATTTTTTCAAATATTCTAATGTCTTATACCTAATCAAAATCATCAAGAATCATTATTGAATTTTAAAAAATAGTTAAATCTGTATTTAACAAATTACCATATTAAATAATTATTAGTTGATCTTCATTTTGATTTTCAATGTTATCTTCTTACTGAAAATAAGTAATTTTAGGCTTATAATCAGTTTTCTTTAATTAATTTTCTAAATATTTTAAATTATATTGTGATGCATAAACAATTCTCTTTTATAGTTTATAAAAATTTTAGTATTTTATTTTTTAATGTTCTTGCCAAGCTAAAGATGAACATAATAATGATAATATTCTTCCATTACCATTAACATGTTCCAATCTATAATTAACTGAAATAATGTACATTGCATTGTTCTAATTATTCAAGGATTCAATAACTTTTTCCATTAATACTTTAGATATCTTACTATTATTTGGGGTCTTTACGGTAATTCCATATATATGGTGACAATTTTGTCTATCATTTTCGATTTCAATATTATTCATTATTTTTATATATTTAATTTATTAGTATTATTCATCATATAAATTATCACATTATTTCATACTATATAAATAATTGATTATTAAATTTATATATATATATTATAAACAAGTTTTTAAATAATAAATAATATAATAAATATTTAATTAAGCATAATTACATATCATAATATGAAACAATATTAATGATATTATTCATAATTCATTTATATAAACTCAATCCATTATTATTTATTTTTTGGTTTTAATGTAAAAAAATTATCCAAAAATATTGAATAAAAAGAATCAATAGAGCTCTTATCTTACAAAAATATAAAAGAATATATTTTTAAAGCATGATAAAATAATAAATAGTCTCATTAATCTTTAATAATAAAATATATTAATTTAAATATTCAAGGATGTCAGATAACAATAGTGAAGAGAATTCAACAAGTAGTCGTGAAATCGATATTGAATCAATAACAGTAATATTTAGAATAATTCTTTTTTTCTATAGGTCAAACTATATGTTGAATTAATAGATGTAAGGGATTCAAATTAGAATTACATTGAATACTTTCCACAGTTTGATTTGAGTAAAATTTAATAGCCTAATGGAATCAATATTTTCAAATTGACAAGCAAACTTAAAGAATTTGGAATTTAATTAGAAGGACGAACAATTTCTTATTATAGTTTTGATTGCGAAATGTATATAAATTGTGGATTGGATCCAGTACATTATTCTTATGTTATGCCATTAAATGAAATTTAATAATCAAATTAATTACGCATTAAATGCATTTAGACAGGAATTTCACTCATTCACTTAGTAATGTCTGAAGAAATGAATGAAAAAGTTAATAAAATGAAAGAATAGGAAGGAAATGAATAATAATAATAACAGTAAAATTAAGGATAGGAGAATTAGAAATAATGTAGAAGAACAAAAGAGAGGAGAATAGGATATATCATAGAGAAAGTTTCAAAATGGAGGGAATATTATAATGTAATATTGTTATCAATATATTTAAGGGTATAACAATAGATGGGTAGAGTAAGAGATTTACTCTTGAAGAAGCTGCTCAAAAAGTTAGTATCTCCAAAAAGAGTTTAGATGATTATTTACTACAGATTCGATATGGAAGAAAATTCGGATTTAATTTTAATGAACATAAAAATGAAAAGGTTGGAGTCTTAAGAGCTTTTGTCAAGAAGAACAATTCTACAAAGAAGAAGAAGGTAAAATAAGAATGATTACCAAGTTTAAAATATCAATTAGATAATTTCTATTCATATAATTTTTTAATCCTATATATTTACTTTATTATTGTTATAAAGTATTAGGTTGCTAATAAATTTAGATTATCATTTATGATTATTTTATAATTTTGTTATTAAGCAATTGTTAAAATACTTATATATAATAATAATTGTAATTCAAATAATTAGTTTAAACTTATCTATTCAATAAATAAATAGATCTATAAAATATAATGACTAATTTTAATTAAATTATAATTATAATTTTAAAACAATTAATCCTTTACTTAAATGTAAAAGCAAATCAATATATTGATGATACAATTATAATTATAATTATATGTAATAAAGATTAATAAAGCTTATAGAAAATTATTTATACATTTTTTTATAATAATTTAAAGATTAAGGATTAAAAATCATTTGGAAATGAATAAAACTTTCCATTTAAATTCATTTAATATTGTCTCTTGTCATAAAGAAATGATATATATTAATGTAGATTAAAGCATTAATTTAAAGATATTAAATGTTTTTATCTATATTTATGTTTAATGAAGGTATCCAAGTAGATTAAATAATGAAATATAAATGAAAAATATACATAATACCACATATCCGTTTTAATAATTAATAATAATGTATAAGCTTATATTATTATGTTCACTTGTAATATTTGCAAGTAGTATGAGTGAGAGTGAAACACTGTTGTAATCTCTATAAAACAGTGAATTTGGAAAGACTATAATTCAAACAATTTAAGTTTAATTGGAAGGAAACAGCAGTGTAGATAAAATAATTGAACTCCTCACTTAAATGAAAGATAGAATTAATGGAGAATAAGATGTTGAGAGATAGAAATCAAGAGATCACACATAATTCTGTGATGACAAATATGATGAAATATTATTTGTTATAGATTCATCAGAATATTAATTAGCCAAAGATTAATAAACATTGCCACTATTCATTTAAGAATAAAAAAATAAATAGAGATAATTATTGGATAAATAAGAAATTGAAGATAGAAATAATTAACGTATTGCTGAATTAACAGATTAAAGAGATTTAACAAGAGTATTAATATATATATTTTAAATTATTATAGTAACAATATGAATCAAGAAGAGATGAATTAACTAATATGATAGGAGCATTACAAGAAGGAAAAAGAATAATTAGTAAATTAAGTACTAAGAAATGGGATCCATTGGCTGGAACATATTCATTCCTTGAATTTTCATAATTTATGTTTAATGAATTAGAAGCACATTAAAAGTCTTTAAAAAAATAATCAAATGGAATTGGATTATTGTATGAATTACTTTTAGAAACTTCACAGTAAAATTCTAAATATTATTCATTAGAGATCCTGGAATTTAAGCTAATTAATAAGGAGTAGCAAAAATATAAGAGATAATAGATGAATTAATTGAAAGCATATTTGATCTTTTGAAAAAGGAATTATTGGAAGATAATGCAAGAGAATAAGACTATTAAAACTAAAAAGAAAGAATAGTTATTTAAAATAGAAGATTATAAGCTACTATTGCAACATTTAGAGCTAGAGTCTTAATAATCAATCAAACCATACTTGAATTAAATAATGATATTAGATTCAATACTGAAGTAATGCAATCAATTAATATATATCTAGAAATCTACTCTTCTTAAAAAATAAAAGGATGATTGGGAAAGAACTTGCGTTGATTATCATAATGGTTATGTTGAGGCTACTAAGATTAGGTATATTGTATTATATAAACTCTAGAACTTAATAAAGTGACATCCTAACAGAAGTTATTCAAGTGTTTAATAGAAATTACAACGATTTCCCAAGTTTAATTTAGAATATAACAGTCTGATTAATTTATTAAATGAAAAATGATAAAGAGTTCTCTATAAAGGAAACTGTCAATAAAAACATAGAACGTGTTTAGTTTCCTGCTTTCAATTAGCATAGTAGTCTACTTGGTTGGTGTTCCATGAATTACCCTCGTGTCCTTTAAAATCCATAATTTATGCCTAAGCCAAAGCCAAAAGAATATGATGACAATCTTGATTTTCTCTATTAGAAACGTAAAAAAGTACTACTAGTATATTTATATTAGGAATAATAAAATAATCAACTAATAAAGCCATTTACAAATTATTAGCTAACAAAAGAAGCTGTAATTTCTGAAGATATTGGTGTCCCTCCTCCAGGATATAAGAAGACTCTTAAATAATTAACAACTGCAAAGCCTGAATCAAAAGCCCTTATTTATAATCAAACTTATAAAGACTATGATCCTTATTTGAATATTAAACCCATAAATAGTCAATTTAAATAAGAATAAAATGAAAACTTTACTCGAACCATTCGTCAAGTTGGTGATGTTGTTTATAATTAATCATATGAAAATGAAGATATTAGACATTTAAAGGTATAATAAATTAATTAAAATATAGAAATTACCAAATTCAATACTTTCTGAATAGAATCTATAAGAAGCCTTAAATCCTAAATTAAGATTCTTGAATTTGCATAATCATACATGGTTGAAGATGGAATAAATAAGTAAAATTGGATACTTTGCTATCAATCTTGAAGAATTAATCTTATCTAACACAGATTTAGAAGATGATATATTAATGGAATTAGCAAAATCATGTAAAAATTTAAAAGTTATTGATGTGTCATCATGTTCAAAATTAACTGAAACTGGAATTAGAAACTTTTTGGATTACACTTCAAAATATTTATAAGGTTTTAAATGTGCTAGCAATTTATAATCAATTACTGATTATTCATTAGAACCATTATAAAATGCTCCATTATTATAAAGAATTAACATTTCATTTTGTAACAATCTAACAAGCAACTTTACTAAATATCTACTTTAAAGTGGATGTAGATTATAAGAACTTTAAATAGCAACAGTAGAAAATTTATAAGCTGATTTATTATCTGATCTAATATCACGTTCAAAAGCTGAAATGGAATATTTAGATTTATCTTTCATTCCTACTAAAGACATTAGTGATTAAGTTATTTCAGCAACTTCCCTTTGTTCAAATATTCATACTCTTATACTCTCTGGATCTACTAATATTAGTGATTCTTCAGTAGGTAGATTAAGTTCATTACACAAACTAAAATAACTAAAATTAGGAGGAATCTAATATCTTGCTGATAATACATTAATTTATATTGCATAATCATGTAATAAACTTGAAATGCTTGAATTAAATAATTGTAGTAAATTGGGAGAATAAGGATTGGAAGGTATACTCAAAGTATTATTAATTTATTAATTAAAAAGGCATTACCAAATCTTTAGATTATTTCAATTAATTTTACTCCTGATATATCAGATGCATTCTTGTAAGAAAAAAGAAATGAGTATCCAAAAGTCAATATTGTACGCACAATAAATAAAATGACAGATCCAAAAGATGATGGATTAAGAATGCCTCTTCCTTTAGAAAGTGTTGTCATGTAAAGACCTAAAAAGAAAAAGAAGAAGTGAAATTATAATTAATATCTTCATATTATAATCAAATATCATTAACTTATTGATTTTATATCAAATAAATGTGATATTTATTTACATTTTATAAAAAGAATCTAAATAATTACCATTAATTTAATGAATAATAATTTAAATATTATGTTAATTTATTGATTCTTAGAATATAAACTAAAACTATCATATTTCTTTAAATTAAGAATTAAATTAATTTTATATAATTTTTAATATAATATATATAATTTTAATTAAATATCTAATATATTGTAAATTATGGAATCGACACTAAATATAATTTATTTAATAATCAAGTTTTGCTATAATTTCTGCATCTATATTTAAATATATATATTTTTTTATACCTACTTATTCTCAAAGTCAATGATATAAGTTTGTAAATAATTATTCAAAAATTCTAGTTATTGAAATATATATAATCAATATTACTATTTTTATATATACAAATGATAGAAATTTGTTTAAATTTTATTATTTTTGGTAATCATCTAACTAATTTATAATATTCTTAGTTATAGACACATAATAAAGTAATTTGTTGATTGGAAAATTTCAGAATTAATTCGACAGTTGTATTTTTTAATTTATTTTCTACTTAATTTTTGTGAAGTATTAAGTCTTCAAGAATTATTTAGGATAAATAATTGATGATTAGAATATTCAATATGATATGTATTCTTTGTATAAAATAATTATCATTATTGTTAATTCTAAACTATTGTTATAATATAAATAGAAAATGTAAAGTAAAACAATTACATTTAAGTGTAATTGCTCTTAATATGAAAAATAATGTTATCAATTATAGGAATTTCAATAAAAAAGTATGAAATACAAAGTATTAATACAATTTATTTCATGCATTTCATATTATTGTTGAATTTATTATATATTTGATTTAATCAATTATATATTAAGTAACTGAAAAGAATGATTTAATTTTAATAATCAAATCTTTTTATTTGTGACTGAGATTTTTTTCTTTATTTTCATAAAATTTAAAATGTTAGCCAGATTGTTGAATAAATTAATGGTAACTTAAAATAAGGAGGAGTATCCAAAAATGATGGAAACACAATTCAAAGCCTTATTAAACTTCATATAACATATATCATATTTCAATACTCGCCATTCTTTTAAACAAAGCCATCAAGAGAATAAGAATACTTTAAGAGGTGGAGGATGTGGAAAATCTAAAATAGAGAACACAATTGATACCAAAGTAAAATCAGATTAAAATTTAATGATCTCTTCCTAAATACCTGACAACTTTATTACAAATCTGAGTGACACTCTAAATCTCATAGTAGAAGGAGCCAAATTTATAGGTGATACTACCAAAAGAAATGAAGTAATAATTAAAATTTAGTGGTTTATTCATAATAGAGAACACTTAAATTACTTTTGTATTGATCAAAAAGAAACTGACAAAATTTATGATTTAGTATAAGAATGTTTTGAAAATATCTTAACAGTGTTAGCAACGTACTTAAGAATTTCTGGGTTTTTTTGCTATTAAATATTATAAATTTCTAATGAGCTTTTAAGAATTATGTATGCATTCTAATTAAACAATCCTAAAAGATGTTTTGAAGTTTCAGTGCAACAAGACTACTTATAAAAGTTATCAGAATTTAACACACAATTAGAAATTGAATAAGCAAATGTTTGGAAGACTGGAATTGAATTTGAAGTTACAATAATGAAAATTATGATCATGAATTCATAAACTAATTCAACTGAAGGAACAGATTTATTAATTGATTTTTTTAAGGAAGTAGGTAAATCAATTGTATCATTCTCTCCTACAGAAGATCTACTTTCAACAATTATAAGTGGGGGTCGATATCTATTAAATAAAGGATTTGAATAAACAATATATCCCAAAGAAACTTATTAAATGTATTACTTATTTTAATTGATAAAATGGTCAATAATAAGACAATTAAAATCAAAGTAGTCAGTCTATAAGTAAATATAACAATTAAAAGATGTTTTTTAATAATATATACTAGTTTCTAATAATTGGATTTTGCATTTTTGCTGGATTTAAATGATTTTTGATATAATTGCTTATCGTCCTATTATAGATAAGTCTATATTATTTAAAAAACAATAAAGTCAATCATTAAATAAATGGAATCTTCTTATTGAAAATGATTTAATTCATTGCGTTTCATATGATAAGAATCAAGCTGTTATAACTTTTTTTTAAAATTAATCTAGTTAATTTCATGATGTTGAGGTAACAGATATATTGGAGGTTTATGGGAAAAAAAAGTTTATATTATTTTCTTAATTTCTTTTGAAAGGAGAACTTACCAACAACGTTAATCATTGGGAATTTTATAAAAAATTTTTATTCTAAAACTAAAATAATAAAAATTAGAAAGGGTATAAAATCATATTAGCAAATTATGATCAAGAAATATTGTAAAAATTATTTAATAATCTGAAATCTTAAAAAGATGATCTAATTTAAGCTTATCAAGAAATAATACAATCTTTTTAAAACTATCTTAAATAAGTCTCTTAAATTTCAATTTAAATTATTTAGGATGATTAAAAAGTATCTTTAAAAAAATTTTTAGAAACTTATAAAAAATTAATTATTTTGTCAAATTATATTCTAGAATTATCTTAATTTGAAGCTGTTAAAATTAAAATGCTTACTCCTTATCTAAATTAATTTAAAATTAAAAAAAATAAGACCCTTTTATAGAACAATTAAGAAAAAGTGGATGATTTTATTAAAATTTAATTAATTGAATTTATTGATCAATTATTAAGTTTATTTTTAAATGCCATATAATTTTCAAGTTAAATTTATGAAGCAAGTTTATTTTTAACAATAAAAAAATTAGAAGATTTGGATACAATTATAAAATCATTTGAAATTAACAATTTTCAAGACTAGTTCTTTATTTTTGAAAATAAGTTTGTTTAATTTACTTAAGCATTAAATTATTTTAAAAAACATTTTAATATATTTATTTAAAAAGAAGAATAAATCGACATTGCAATATCATTACAAGTTCCCAATATTGGGGAAATAATTGATTATAATTGTAAAGGACAATGGTTAGATAAATTAATTGGAAAAATTAAAATCGTCTTTAATTAAAAATTTAATTTATTCAATCAATAATTTCTTAATGTTGATGATGTTTAATTAATTTTCATTAATTGCAAATTTTGTATCCTAATTTTATAATTTTTAAAGTAATTCTTTAATATACAAAACCATTATATATAGACAATAAGAAACTAACTTTAAGATTATAATACTTAATCTGAATCATCAAATAAGGAGGAAGATGTAAATTTTACATTAAATATCGCTGAGATCTTAATTAAATAGAAATAAAAATTTTCAGTGTTTTTGAAAACAAATTTCGAGGAATGTGATGAATAAAATTTGAAAATGAGTTGTAAAAATATAGTGGCTTAGATTTAATCAGATTTTAACAATATAATAAATGAATTCTAAAGTTGGCAAAATTAAGATTTATGTGATTAAATTTTATAACTCTTTGCAGAGGCCTAATTTCTAATTATTTAAGTTTAAGAAAATCCTAAAGAAATATCAAATTTAGAAAATCTCATAGCTAAATACGATTAAGCTTTAAATGAAGTTAATAATTTTAATAATAATAATCTTGAAAAAAATTAGAAAGTATATGATTAGACGGATGAATCCCTACTTTTTTTTTCCTAAAAATAAATATAAAATGAACAGATGTTAATGCTCATTAAGTAAAGCAAGAAATATTTTAAATCATATAAGTAATTATTATAACTTGGTCTAAGTTTAATTCATTAATAAAAGCAAGTTTAAAAGTAGAAATAAATGAAAATTCAATAAAATATCTCACAAGAAAAATCAAATGAAGAGTAAAAAAAACTCTAAGATCAAATACTTCAATTATAAAATTAGGAATAAGAAAATTTAAAAATGTAAATAAAAATTTTAAAAGAAAAGAGTGAGAAATTTTTTAACTAAAAAGTAATTACATAAATCAATTAGTTAAATAATATTTTTTCAATTGAACATTAATAAATTACATAGTAACTAGTAGTAATACTAAAACTATCTGAGTTTTTGGCATTTTTTAATTTAAGATCCAATTAAGAATACTTGAAAGGGGTAAAGCCAGATGATGTAAATAATGCTATTTGGTAAGAAATAAAAAATTCATATGATGAGATCAAAGAGAAGATATATGATTCAATGAATTTAAATCTTGAACATAAAGTTAGAGAGGGATTAGTTTACAATTTAATAAGAGTGTAATAAAGCATTTAAGAATAATAGATTTACTCATTCTCTACTAAATTAATATAGCATATGTGGGTATTTGAAAAAGATTAAAGAGTTAGAAATTTATTGAAAAATAAAGAACTAGTTTAAATTTAAAAATAATTATTTTCATAAGATCTAGATAATTTATCAGTTTCTTTAAAAGATGAATTAAAAGAAAGGATTTTAAAACTAGAAAACCTACAACAATAAATCAAGCTTGAAGGAAATTCTTAAAAAAGAGAACAGCTGTAATTGGAATTAAAATAATTATATGAAGAACTAGATGAATCTATAGACAACATATCTGAATTGTCTGATATTATGGATATAAGTTTAATATTTTTAAAAGATATATCAAAAGATGTAAAATAAATAAAAAATTAAATTGATAATTTATAAGAAAGTTTAAATTAAGTAGGTGATGATATTCGTAAATTAAGAGGAAAAAGATATGATGAATTATTAGAAATAAGAAAATAAAAAATATTATTATAATCTAAATTAGCAGAAGTAGATTCTGTTTATGTTTAATTAAAAACTATAGAATTTGATCCTGTTAGTGGTTAAAGTATAACATCAAAAGATGGTTCAAACATAACTAAATTAATGAGTGATTAATGGGATGATTTTACAGGTGAAGTTAATGAATTTATATGGGATGAATCAAAATCAAATGATGTAATGTTACTTTCAGGAAATGCTGGTTCTGGTAAAAGTAAAGCAGCAAGAAAAATTGAAGAATTTCTTTGGAAATAAAAAGGTATTCAATCTAAATGGATTCCTATCTTTGTATCATTACCAACTTTAAAAAATCCTAAATATAATTTATTTGAATAAGCTTTAGAATCTGAAAATTATTAATTTGATAAATATTAACTTAGAGAATTTAAAGAAGCTATTTAAAATAAAAAAGAATTTATTATATTAATATTAGATAGTTATGATGAAATGAAATAAGATTGTATTTAATAAAATCTTATTATTACAAATAAACTAATTAATGATTTAAATATTGATGACCGTTAAAAATAAGTCAAGATAATAATTACAACTAGAAGAGAAATATTAAACACTTTAGGATATTAAACTTGGTTTTATGGATATAGTATAAGAAGTTTAAAAGAAGTATAAATCTAAGATTTCGATAAAGATTAAAAAAGTGATTATTTAATTTAATATACTGAACTAAGTGTAAAGAGAAAAATAAGAGTTGTTTATGATTTCTTGAAACAGATTTCATAATTAAATTTTAATTTAGATGAATTTTTAGCTATATGGCAATAAGTTAATATATAAGTTTAACAAAGTATCAAAAATTCTCATAATACTTAATTAGAATAAATTTTTGAAAATTCTTAAAGGGAAGAATTAATCAAGAAAATTTTAGAACATTCTCCATTTAAATAATTAAAGGTTGAATAGATTACAGGACTCAGAAAGGATTTATCATCTTTGTGGAGTGTTTATAAATTTGAAAAGGCAATAGAAAANTGGATATAAGTTTAATATTTTTAAAAGATATATCAAAAGATGTAAAATAAATAAAAAATTAAATTGATAATTTATAAGAAAGTTTAAATTAAGTAGGTGATGATATTCGTAAATTAAGAGGAAAAAGATATGATGAATTATTAGAAATAAGAAAATAAAAAATATTATTATAATCTAAATTAGCAGAAGTAGATTCTGTTTATGTTTAATTAAAAACTATAGAATTTGATCCTGTTAGTGGTTAAAGTATAACATCAAAAGATGGTTCAAACATAACTAAATTAATGAGTGATTAATGGGATGATTTTACAGGTGAAGTTAATGAATTTATATGGGATGAATCAAAATCAAATGATGTAATGTTACTTTCAGGAAATGCTGGTTCTGGTAAAAGTAAAGCAGCAAGAAAAATTGAAGAATTTCTTTGGAAATAAAAAGGTATTCAATCTAAATGGATTCCTATCTTTGTATCATTACCAACTTTAAAAAATCCTAAATATAATTTATTTGAATAAGCTTTAGAATCTGAAAATTATTAATTTGATAAATATTAACTTAGAGAATTTAAAGAAGCTATTTAAAATAAAAAAGAATTTATTATATTAATACTAGATAGTTATGATGAAATGAAATAAGATTGTATTTAATAAAATCTTATTATTACAAATAAACTAATTAATGATTTAAATATTGATGACCGTTAAAAATAAGTCAAGATAATCATTACAACTAGAAGAGAAATATTAAACACTTTGGGATATTAAACTTGGTTTTATGGATAGAGTTTAAGAAGTTTAAAAGAAGTATAAATCTAAGATTTCGATAAAAATTAAAAAAGTGATTATTTAATTTAATATACGGAACTCAGTGTAAAGAGAAAAATAAGAGTTGTTTATGATTTCTTGAAACAGATTTCATAATTAAGTTTTAATTTAGATGAATTTTTAGCTATATGGCAATAAGTTAATATATAAGTTTAACAAAGTATCAAAAATTCTCATAATACTTAATTAGAATAAATTTTTGAAAATTCTTAAAGGGAAGAATTAATCAAGAAAATTTTAGAACATTCTCCATTTAAATAATTAAAGGTTGAATAGATTACAGGACTCAGAAAGGATTTATCATCTTTGTGGAGTGTTTATAAATTTGAAAAGGCAATAGAAANATAAATCAAGCTTGAAGGAAATTCTTAAAAAAGAGAACAGCTGTAATTGGAATTAAAATAATTATATGAAGAACTAGATGAATCTATAGACAACATATCTGAATTGTCTGATATTATGGATATAAGTTTAATATTTTTAAAAGATATATCAAAAGATGTAAAATAAATAAAAAATTAAATTGATAATTTATAAGAAAGTTTAAATTAAGTAGGTGATGATATTCGTAAATTAAGAGGAAAAAGATATGATGAATTATTAGAAATAAGAAAATAAAAAATATTATTATAATCTAAATTAGCAGAAGTAGATTCTGTTTATGTTTAATTAAAAACTATAGAATTTGATCCTGTTAGTGGTTAAAGTATAACATCAAAAGATGGTTCAAACATAACTAAATTAATGAGTGATTAATGGGATGATTTTACAGGTGAAGTTAATGAATTTATATGGGATGAATCAAAATCAAATGATGTAATGTTACTTTCAGGAAATGCTGGTTCTGGTAAAAGTAAAGCAGCAAGAAAAATTGAAGAATTTCTTTGGAAATAAAAAGGTATTCAATCTAAATGGATTCCTATCTTTGTATCATTACCAACTTTAAAAAATCCTAAATATAATTTATTTGAATAAGCTTTAGAATCTGAAAATTATTAATTTGATAAATATTAACTTAGAGAATTTAAAGAAGCTATTTAAAATAAAAAAGAATTTATTATATTAATACTAGATAGTTATGATGAAATGAAATAAGATTGTATTTAATAAAATCTTATTTTGACAAATAAATTGAATTAAGAATTAAATATTGATAAAGTTAATAGGTAAATGAAAGTTATCATAACAACAAGAAAAGAAATTCTAAATGTAGCTGGATATTAAACCTGGTTTTATGGGGAAAGTTTAATAAAATTAAAGGAAGTTTAGTTATAAAATTTTAATATTTAGCAATAAATGGAATATTTAAATTAATATGTTGAATTAAGTGTTAAAAGGAGAATAAAAGAAATTTATGAGTTTATTAAATCAATATCTGGATAAAATTTTGATTTAAAAGAATTTCTCACTATTTGGGGTTTGATATCTTAATATGTGAATGCTTGCATTAATAAATCATTTAGTAGAAATTCAGATGGAATTTTTCAAAATAAGGAAGAAAATTTTATTATTGATAAGATAAAAACTCATAAAACCTTAGAAATTTTAAAGGAAGAACAAACTACAGGATTAAGAAAAGAGTTATTAGCTTTATGGAGTGCTAATAAATTTAAAACAGCTATTGAAAGTATCAAGATTCAAGATTTATTAACAACTCCATTCATGCTGGAAATTATTGTATAAGTTTTACCTAATATGGCCAAAAGATATTCAGGGTCAACATAAATTAAAGATATTTTTATCAAGAATTACATGAGTTTATAAAATTAAGTAAGGTTGTCTAAAAATGCACAAGACTTTTATAAAAAAGATAATTAACCATATTTAGAGAATTAATAAAAGGGTTTGAATAAAGTCGATGATGAATAAATACTTAAAAAGGAAAAAGATGAAGAGTACCAATAGAAAATTTAGAGAGCAAAAGTAGATGATATCGTGGATAAATTAGATAATTAGAATTTTTTCTAAAACTATTCAATCGTTAGTGTATTAAATCATGATGGAGATACTTTTATGTTTGATGGTAATAAAGTATAATTAAATACTGATGATATTAATTTTGTAATTATTGCTTTAAAGATGAAAAAATTCACAGTATTTGAATTTTATGAAAGTTTTATTAATTTTTATCATGAATAACAAATTTAAAAACAAAGAGAACTTGGTAAAGTATCGAATTATGAAAGTTTTGCATGTGATATTTATTAATTTTCCTATTCTTTAGCTATTGATATGATTATGAGAGAATTATCATAAATCAGTTTTAAACCATAAGGCAAGCTTGATTTAAAAAGTAACTATAAAATTGAATAATTTGTTGATAATTGGTTAAATTAATATTTTGATATTGAAGATGAATATAAGAAATTAATTAGAAGTTGCATTTTATTAAGTGCTAAGGGTACAACATTTTAATTCACACACAAATCAATTTAAGAATTCTATGTTGCCAAATATATTTATGATCTTTTAATATCTTTGGATAATTTTGAATCTAATTTTTAAGTAGAAATTAATTCTGAAATAAATAGAAATTAACAAATTTTAATAAAATCAGTTTTTAATGATCCTAAATTTAATATTTCCACAGATAACTTTAGAGGTGTAATTAATTTTGTTAAAGAAAAATTAATACATGTTCAAAATATCAATTTATAATTGATAGAAATAGTAAAACTTTCAAGGATTAAAAGCTTTTGCAGAGCTTCTTCAAATAGTATTTATTTATTAAGCTAAATGAATTTATATTTGGGATCCCAAGACTTTAATAATATTGAATTAGCAGATACAAACATTTCTGGACTAAGTTTATTTGATTGTGATTTAAGTTAATCTAAATTTTAAAATGTTGAAATTAATTCGTGCAATCTAAATTTTGCTGACTTATCAAATGCATAATGGTTAAATGTTCTTTGTAAAGAAAAACCCTTCTTAAAAGGATATAATAGTGGAGTTTTAGAAGTTTAATTTTCACCTGATGGCCAATATATTGCATCAGCTGGAACTGAAAATTAAATTAAACTATGGAATGCAGACACTTATTAATTTATTTAAGATTTAGAAGGACATACAGCTAAAATTAACACATTATCATTTTCATCAGACTCTTCTACAATATATTCAGGAAGTGATGACCGCACTATCAGAAAATGGAATATAAATGATCTACTGAAAAGTGAAATTTTATATTAAATGTAAAATAAAGTCCTTAAAGTATAAATATCTTAAGATTCTAAAAAATTATATTCATAGGATGGAGATGGAAATTTCTAAATTTTAGATTTATAAAAAGATAATCAAACTGAAGATTGTATTTTTAATCTTAATAATAAATCTATCATATTATTCAGATTGCATCCAACTGAACCTATAATTGCAATTATGTATCATAACAAATAAATTGATTTAATTAATTACTAAACTAATGATTAAACAACACTCGAATCCAGTATTGACTTAAGTTAGAATAAAATAATCGACTTAGTTTTTAGTCATGATGGAATTTATTTAGCAGTAGCTACATTAAACTAAGTTATTGTCTGGAATATTTAAGAAGATAAAAAAAAAGAAAAAATAATATTTAATTTCCATTCTAATATTAAACTTTTTTCAATTATTTTTGCTTAAGATAATAAATAATTAATATTTGGAGTAAATGAATTTGTGTTTTCTAGAGAAATAGCATCATATGATAATTAAATTCAAATGGAAAAAGAAAAATGTTTTGAAATTTAAATATCCCCTCAAGGCAAAGTAGCTGCAATGGTTTATGAAAAGAAACTGAATATAATTAAATTAAATTAAGGAGAGTTGATAAATTCAATTAAATTTGATCTTCAACCAAATCAAATAATATTCTCTAAGGATGGCTCTAAATTAGCTTTATTTTTAAAGGATCAATAAATTGTCAAAAATTTTATAATTTTGGAAGTGCCTTCACTTAAAACTATTTGTTTTGTACCTTGGGATTCAAATAATTGGATTAGTTTTATATTATCTAATAATTTTGATAATTTATATATTTCATATGATAACATTTCTAAAGTAGTAAGGGATAATGTGAAATATGATTAATAGTAATTACTAGAAGAAAGTAGAATATAGACAGTTATAAAAATAAACACTTAGAAAATTCAAAAAGATTTAGAAAATAGAAAATTTAATTTAAGTGTTGATAAGTTTTGTGTGAAAACTTAAAGTTAGATTATTGCATACATTACATCTGAGGCTCAATCCATCAAGATATATGACTTGGATAAAAATTAATAAATTCAAGAACCTCTTCAAAACTAATAGAAAGAAGTGAAGGCCTTTTAGTTTTCACCCACTAAAAATGAACTAGCTGTTATTTACATTGATGAGTTGCTAATATGGAATTTAGACTTGAAACCTTTTAATGTTTAGAAAAGAATAAGTTTTGTTGATATAGATGTTAAATCTATAAATTATTCTCCAGATGGCTCACAGTTTGCTTTAGTATTTCAAAATATTTTTAAAATCTATGATGCAAACTATAATCTACTAAAGGTAGAAGAATCTAAAGAACAAGCCTATGTATCATTTTCTTTAGATAATAATTTACTAGGTTTTTGTTTGAATAATCTGAATTAAAATATTGTTATTAAAAGTAAGATTAAGAATTATGAATAAATATTGTTAAAAGGTCATAAAAAAGAGCTAATATCATTTATATTTACTCATGATTAAAAATCTATAATATCTGGGAGCCCTGGCGAACTAATTTTATGGGATTAATCTACTTACTAGATAATAGAAAAAAAGAATACTCATTTAAAAAATTTTCAATCAATAGCTTTTTCTTAGAGTACTAATTTCATTGCTTTATATCAAAAGGGTGTTGTAGAATTATGGTAGTATTAGGATATTTCATTGAAATTTATTGGATCTTCAGTGTTTGATATTCCTATTAAGTAGTTTAGCTTTATAAATGATGATAAGCATATTATTTTGTTAAAAGCAAATTTAGAATTATTGCTATGTGATTTAGATTTTTTTTAAGTGGAATAAACATTTGAATAATGGTATGATTGTGGTGCAATATCTTAAAATGATTTAATTGCTTTATCATTAAACTAAGAGATAAATATCTTTAGTAATGAATTCGATAAATGCTGTTATTCTTTTAAGACAGTTTAGAAAACAAAATTTCTAAAATTTTTTGAGAATAAATAAAATTTATTATTATAATGCGAAGATTAAATGATTAAAATTTGGGATTATGAAAAAGGATAACAGATATCTGGAATTAAGATTTATGAAAAGGTCTTACCATAATTGTTTTTATAGAATGAAATATTAATTTCATAAAGTGAAAATAATGTTAGAATATGGAATTTAGGTGATTTATGCAATATTAAGTTGTGTGGCTATCACGAAAGCATAAATTCATTTTCTATATAGGATGATGGATAATTTGGAGTAGGTATCAAAGATGGAAAAGATATATAAATAATAGATATATTCAATATTATATATGCATTTCCAATTAATTAAGATCAGTATATTAAATAATTGGTTACTTCAATCAAATAATAATTTATTATTATTTTAACTTTTTCAAGAAAGCTTTTTATCTTATAATTAGATACAAAATAAATATATTAATTTAATGGAGATGTTAATGCTGTAACTTTATGTTAAGAAAACAACTATATTTTAGTGTAAACAGAATAAAAAATTTAATTAATTGAATATTCTAATGGATGTTTAAATATTATTGATACTTTTGATTTATAGAACAAAATTACTGATTGCATTATTACATTTACAAATGATGGATAAGATTTCTCATTAAGTTCTTATTATATGATTAGATTATTTTCAATAAAAAAAAACTAATAAATTATATGTAAAGGCATGAATTATCAATTAGAGAAGAATTATATAATTAAAGATGCTTATATAAAATAAGCTTAAATATTTTAAAATAAAGGAATATTAGATAAATAAATACTTTTAGCTATTTTAGATTAAGAAAAAAAAACATTTAGAATTATTGACACATAAAAATCGAAATAAATTGTATTGATAAAAAGTAAATTATATTACAATACTTTTTAATTAAGCTTTGATGAAGAAATTGTTTTTTTTGTAAATGATTATATGTAGTTATCTGTTTTGGAAAATAACAATTATACTATTAAATAAATTGAAAATCTAAAAATTGAAGGATTCTCTAGATCATATATGAAAGCAGTTGGAAGAGATTCGGTTGTGTTTGTAAATAATAAAAACCAAATAATGTTATTTTCAATACCATCTACAAAAACTCTTATTGGAACAACTTAGAAAGACATCAACTGTATGATATATTTGCCTTAATAAGAATGGCTGGCAATAAGCACAGAAGATAATAATATTATGTTTTGGGATGTAAAAGCAAAAAAGATTGTTGGAACACTAAAAGGACATTAAAAAAAAATAAATGCAATTTCAGTTTCATAAGATGGTAGTGTTCTTGCTTCAGCAAGTGATGATAAACTAATAAAACTCTGGAACATAAAATAAAATGAATCATTTGAAACAAAAACAGCTCATTAATATTCCATAAATGCATTAGCTATATCTTAAGACGGCTTTTTATTAGCTTCTGGAAGTGTAAAAGGTGAAGAAGCTGAAGTTCCTATAATAATGTGGGATCTTAAAGAGAAAAAACTAATGACTTAATTGAAAAAACATAAAGATTCTATAAACTGTTTATAATTCTCTTATTGTTCTAAGTATTTAATTTCTGGATGTAATGATGGAACAATAATATTTTGGAATATTGAATATCCATAGGCTACAATAGTTTTATATATAATAGATGAATTGAACTTTCCTATAAATTCCCTTAGTTTTTCCCCAAATGAACAAATGCTTGTCTCTTTTTGCAAATTTGATAATATTCAAAAATGGAATTTCAAACAAATTGGGCAATATGAAAAAGATAAGCCAATAACATTAAATATTAATTCAAATACTTATTGTTTTTTTCAATAAAATGAATTTATTTATGTTTAAAATAGTTAAGAACAATTAACAATATTAAATGTAGAATCCTAAAAATAATAAATTTTAGAATAGAATTCAAAAGTTATCTAAATTATACCCTCAAATGATTAAAATTTAATTTTGTGTTTGGAAGGATTAGGATAATTATATTCTTGGTCAAGAGACAAAGATAATAATTGGATAAAAAAATGGATTTATTTATCATAGTCTAAATTTATTTTACTATCTCCAGATAATTAATTTATATTTTAAGCTAAAGATTGTACATCTCAGGAACAACCTCTATTTTCAGATACAATTTCAAACAAATTTAGAATCTTGCTTCATGATTACTAAAAACTCTAAGGTGTTGAAGAGATAATAAACTATAAATTTGATAAAAATGAATAGCTATAATGTGCATTTTCATTTGATTTAACTTAGACTGCAATATTCAAAAAATAAGAAGTTAAAATATTAGACACAAAAAATTGGTTGTGTATAAAAGAATTAAAATAGTCTTAAAATTCTAAATAACCATTAATATCTAGAGATAAAAAATATTTAGCTTGTTATTAGGATATTTAATAATTAGGCAAAGATAAATATGAAAATATAATTACTTTATGGGAAATTAACAATCCAGCAAATTAAAAATAACTAGAAGTTAAAGAAGAAAAATTAAGAATATACTAATTTTCTGCTCAAGATTCAAATATAATATATGCTTTATATACTGATGGAAAAGTAAGAGAATGGAATATAACAACATAATAACATCAAATTATAGTTACCATCTCTGAAACAATAAAGATTGATTTAGTGCAATTTTCTAAAAACCTTACATTATTACTTTATTAGAGTGAAATAAATTCAAAATTAATGATATATAATTTTAAAACCAAAGAAAAATCCTCTTTGTCTGTTGGCGAAGAATTTTATTTTATTGCTTGCTCTCAAAATGAAGATTTATTTGCTGTTGCTATTAGGTAAGGAGTTAAAATTCTTGATGGTAAATAAGAATCTATAATATAAGTTTTTGATGATATGAATTTATTTAATGTTTCATTCATAATTTTTTCGCATGATGATTAATAATTGCTATTTTGTCATGATAGCACTATATATCTTTATGAATTAGCAGAAACATTTAAAAATAAAATTCTTGGATGTTGGAATGTACAATCTTAAATTTTTAACTGTGTCTTTAATTCTTTTAAATAAGAAATTGGTTTACAACTCAGTGCTTAAATATTAGTTTTAAAATTATGTCCAACTATTCTCAAATCTGAGTTATTGAGTATAGAAAATTAAAAATGTAGTTGCTTTTCACCTGATAGTAAATATTTGGTTAATTTGGCTCCATCTTTATAAGTTTTGGAATTATAAAATCTTTAAATGATTCATAACTTTGAAGATTATACTGGAGAATAGATTTAATTCTAGACATCAGAAATCTTAGTTATAGCAAATAGGAATAAATTATAATTTATCAATATCAATAAAATATAGAAAATAGTAAAAATTAAAGAAATTAGATTCTATAATAAAATAATAGATATGGCTCTCACATTAAATTATTTATTAATATAATTTAAAAATGATTTCAATTAAACAAAAGTTATATTTAATAGCATTGATAAATCTGAAGAAAATTTATTTAAAGCTATTTATAATTCAAAAGGAAAACCAATTTTTTCAGGAAATGGAAATTATTTTGCTTTAAGTAATTAAACTAATATTCAAATAATCAATATTAAAAATATCAAATAAGAAAAATGCGTATAGCTAAATAGATAAATTAATTAAGGTAGGATATTTTATTCATTTGATGGTAACTTGATATTTTTTTGTTTTGATTAGAGCATTTCAATTTTGGATTCTATTAGTTTCAAAAAAGTTAAAGAAATTAAAATAGATTTTCAAGCCAATCAATTTGAATTTTCTTAAAATCAGAAATATTTGGCTTCGATGTGTTCTACAGCTATTTAAATTTTTTCTTTTTACAACTAGAAAGATCTTTTTGAATTTTGGACTATTAAAGGGGATAAAAATTTAATAAACTCTATTGCTTTATCTCCAAAAGGAGATCTTCTTTTAACAGGTGGTTAAAATTAAGTAGATTATATTAATTCTATTGCATTATGGAAAGTAGAATAACGTGAATAAATTTGTGTAAATAATTAAATAAATGATGAAGTCAAAGTTCTTAAATTTTGTCCAGATGGTGTTAATTTTGTTGCAGGTCTTTCAGATGGATCTGTTAATTTATATTCTATTCATGTTTAATAAACTAATTTCTATAAGAAATAATGTTTTGGATAATTCAAATTAAATGATGAGAAATCTAAATATTAAATATTTTGTTTTAAATCATTTGCTAAATAATCATTATTGACTGCTCAATAGAGCCTTTTAACGAAATCATGCATAAAGTCAGAACAAAAATCTATTATTGAATTATTTCTTTAAAAAGGAGCTTAATAATGATATAAATGTTTGAAAAATATTAATGATTATTTTAATTTCATCATTTAATATAACAATTAATTATATTATAATTATATCGAATATATTAATTAATTAATGTAAAATATATTTAAATTTTTTAACAATTACTAATTAGTTTATAAATAATGATCATTAATTCTACTTAATTAATGCATTCTTTCAAGGAGTATTTTAGTTTTGGATAATCCTGTAATTTGAATTAAATCTTCTTCTAATAATACTTACTTTTCTTATTAAAATAAAAATAGGCAAATAAATTAATAAAATATATTTAATATAATTTAAATATGAAACCCTTATATTAAAATTTAAATAATAAATATATGTTCAAAAGAATCATGAATTAAAGATTTAATTCTCACTCAGATATTTGCTAATACTGTTAAAATAATGGTGTTACTTCTAATGTTAGGATTTTTGAACCTTAAAAGAAAAAAATTAATTTATTAACTGAAGTCTGTGATAAGCAATCAAATTAATAATTTTTACTTCATTTAAGAGGTGGAGGATGCGGATAAGCTAAACCAAAATAACAAATTGAAGAAAAGCCAATTATTGGTTTGCCTAACGATTTTTTGATTAAGATTGAAAAATATGTTAATATTATCAATACTAAAGCTTAACTTATAACGGATACTTCACAAAGAAATGAAGTAATAATAGCCTTGTAATGGTTTATGCATAATAAAGAGCATTTCAACACTTGTTGTGTTAACAACAATTTAACATTATCAATATATACAAAAATATTGAATTCATTTAAGGATTTGCTAAAAATTCTTCCTATTTATTTAAGAGCTTCATGGTTTTTATGCTATTAAATTCTATAAATATGTAATGAATTTTTGAGAATTGTATATTCTTACTAAATTCAAAATGAAGATGGATAATTGGATTTAGCAATGCAATAATAATTCTTAGAAGATTTAGAAGAATTTAAGGAATAATTTGAAATTGAATAAACAAATGTGTGGAATACAGGTATAGAATATGAAATAACTCTTATTAAAATTATGTTAATGAATTGTAAGACAAATTCACAAGAAGGATAAAATTTGTTAATAGATATTGTAAAAAATTTGGTATAATCGGCTTTATAATTATCACCAACTGAAGACCTAATCCCAAGTCTTATTGAAGGAGCTAAATTTTTATTTTTATAATACAAAGATAAAGTATTATATCCTGAAGAGGTATATGCTACATATTATTTATTCCAAACTCTTAAATGGTCTATTGTGGCTCAAATAAAATAATAGAATTCAATCAATAATTAAGTTAAAAAACTAAAAGATGCATTTTTATAATATATTATAAATTCAGATAATTGGATTATTCATTATAGCTGGATATCAATGATTGTTGATTTAATAGCATATAGACCAATTATTGAGAAATTTTAAATTCTTAATGGTACTCCAATATAACAATAATCACTTTGGAACAATTTAATTGAAAATAACGTAATTGTTAGTCTTACATATAATAGAAATTAAGGATCTATTATATTATTTCAAAATCAAGGAAAATATTTTAGTAAAGAAATATAGAGTATTATTAAATAATAAGGTATTCCTAAGTTTAAGTTACTATCAGAATCTCTTTTAAAAGGCTAGTTTACTCAATAAAGTAATATTTGGGATTTCTATAAAAATTTTTCTTTTAAGAAAAAGCAATAAACAATTATAAGGGATTATGAAATTATTTTAGAAAATAATGATTTATTATTATTAGAGTAATAAATTGAAAAATTTAATGCTTAATTAGATGAATTAGTTCTATTGTATTAATAAATCTAAGAATCATTTACTGATTATTTTGCTTAATCCAATATTACATAATTCGAAATTAAATTATTTAAAGATGATTACTCTGTTTTTGCAAAATAATTTTTAGATGCTTATAAATAGGCATTATATCGTCTCAATTTTATTATAGAAAAATCTACTATTGAATATCAAAAATTAAAATTACTTTATCCTTACTTTCAAAATAATGAAAATTTATAAACCAGTTTTAACAATATATAGAATTTGATTAATGTTAAATTTTTAGCATTATAAAAAGATTTTATTTCAAAATTTTTAAAAGTTATAGAATATTTAAGTCATCTATCTGAAATTAATTTAAATCCACAATCTAAAAATTTAACTGATTTAGAGAATGTAAATAACAAATTTTAAATATCAAATCTTCAGAGTTCTTATAAAAATTTAGAATAATCATCAATATAATAATAGATCGATTATTCAATACTTTAATAGTTCATAATAAATATTAAGGAATTTTAAAAAAAGTTTTCTTTCTCAATGTCAAATATTACAACTAATGATAATATTATTAATATTAGATCTGATACAATATAAGCTATGTCAAATACTATTTGCTCAGGTAAATGGATCAAAATAATAAAGTAATAACTTAGTAATTGTTTTTCAGATAGATTTATTTTATGCCAAAATGATGTTAAAACAATATAAGATATTCAAAACATCTACATAAATTGCAGTTTTAGCTTGTAAATGTTGAAATTATTGAAATAATTCTATTAAATTCATTAATATAAAATTAATACTTTTGAAAAAAAAAGTAATTAGGAAAAGCTCTTAGCCAATCAAGAATAAGAAAAGTTTTATCAAAATTTAAAATTAATTATAATCAAGTAGTTAACATAATAAAAAGATAAAATCAGATTAATTGTATAATAAAAAGATGTTGATAATGGTAGTAGTTTAAATAAAGAAAAAACAAAATAACTTCTTTAATAAATCAAGTCAGATCAGATGGTAATGCAAAATTAATATGACAATTTTGTAAGCAAAGAAATTTAAGCAATAAAATCTTAAGTCTTAATATTTATGCAAGAAGCTAGTTTATTTATTGCTTTATAAAATTAAAATGAACATTATGACCTTGATGCTTTTAATAGTTAGATGGAAAAATATGATAGTAAGATAACTGAAATTAAAGATAAGTAAGGAGAATTTTATAATAATCAAACTTAAGAGAATAAAAGAACGTTTAAAAATTGGATAAGAGAAAACAAACATTTAAATTTCTGTCATTTTTGTGTAGATTAAGATATGAAAGAAGTAAAATATACTAATAAATTTTTTAAAATATTAGAATAGATGTTAGTCTTAATTATAAATTAAATTTAACAGACTGAAAATTAAGAAATTTAAGATCGTATAGATAACTTCAATACATAAAGATAATAAATAGAAAGTAAATTTAAAATTTAAAACTAAATTATTAAATTAATCGAAATTTTTAAAGGAAGTAATTAACATGATGATTGCAAATGTATCATTTAGATTGAATAAGAAAATGATTTATAAAATGAATAATAAATTGAATAAATTGATTCAACTTTACAAGAAACTTTAGATTTCTTTATATTAAAATAAAATAGTTTAGAAACAATAACTTAAAATTTAGACCCAGTATACTTAAATGTAATGAATAATCTATGCGAACAAGTAGTTATTAAAAAATCAATATTTGATGTATTTGATTTTAACAATGATTATAAGATTAGAGAATGCTTAGTTTATAATTTAATAAAGCTATAGTAAGGAATTAAAGAAGAATAAATAGTTGAATTTTCATCAAAACTTATTTAATATCTTTGGGTTTTTGAAAAAGATTAAAGAGTAAGAAATCTATTAAAAAATAAGGAATTAATTGAAATGTAGAAACTTTTTTTTTCTTAAGATATCAAAACTATGTCTGAATCTATTAAATAAGAGATGAGATTTAGAATTAAAAGTATAGAAAATATTTCATAAGAATTAAGACTTGAGGGTAATGCTTCAATTAAAGAGCAACTTAAATAATAACTTATATTAGCTTATGAAGAACTTGAATAATATAATGATAATATTACTGAAATGTCTGAAAAAATGGATATAAGTTTAATATTTTTAAAAGATATATCAAAAGATGTAAAATAAATAAAAAATTAAATTGATAATTTATAAGAAAGTTTAAATTAAGTAGGTGATGATATTCGTAAATTAAGAGGAAAAAGATATGATGAATTATTAGAAATAAGAAAATAAAAAATATTATTATAATCTAAATTAGCAGAAGTAGATTCTGTTTATGTTTAATTAAAAACTATAGAATTTGATCCTGTTAGTGGTTAAAGTATAACATCAAAAGATGGTTCAAACATAACTAAATTAATGAGTGATTAATGGGATGATTTTACAGGTGAAGTTAATGAATTTATATGGGATGAATCAAAATCAAATGATGTAATGTTACTTTCAGGAAATGCTGGTTCTGGTAAAAGTAAAGCAGCAAGAAAAATTGAAGAATTTCTTTGGAAATAAAAAGGTATTCAATCTAAATGGATTCCTATCTTTGTATCATTACCAACTTTAAAAAATCCTAAATATAATTTATTTGAATAAGCTTTAGAATCTGAAAATTATTAATTTGATAAATATTAACTTAGAGAATTTAAAGAAGCTATTTAAAATAAAAAAGAATTTATTATATTAATATTAGATAGTTATGATGAAATGAAATAAGATTGTATTTAATAAAATCTTATTATTACAAATAAACTAATTAATGATTTAAATATTGATGACCGTTAAAAATAAGTCAAGATAATAATTACAACTAGAAGAGAAATATTAAACACTTTAGGATATTAAACTTGGTTTTATGGATATAGTATAAGAAGTTTAAAAGAAGTATAAATCTAAGATTTCGATAAAGATTAAAAAAGTGATTATTTAATTTAATATACTGAACTAAGTGTAAAGAGAAAAATAAGAGTTGTTTATGATTTCTTGAAACAGATTTCATAATTAAATTTTAATTTAGATGAATTTTTAGCTATATGGCAATAAGTTAATATATAAGTTTAACAAAGTATCAAAAATTCTCATAATACTTAATTAGAATAAATTTTTGAAAATTCTTAAAGGGAAGAATTAATCAAGAAAATTTTAGAACATTCTCCATTTAAATAATTAAAGGTTGAATAGATTACAGGACTCAGAAAGGATTTATCATCTTTGTGGAGTGTTTATAAATTTGAAAAGGCAATAGAAAATGTGGGTATTTCTGACTTATTGTCAACTCCTTTTATGTTGGAAATTATTGTCTAAGTATTACCTAGTATGGCAAAACAATAGTAAGGATCTGGAGATATTAAAAATAGATTTGTTTAAAGCTATCTTAGTTTAATAAATAAATTTTGCTTATCTAAAAAATTAATAGAAAATTATAAAATTAATTTAGATTAAAAAGAAAATAAAAAAGTAATTTAACCAATTCTTGATAGTAAAAAATCAAAAATTAAGTATGATGATTTTGTTGATAAATATGAATAAAAAACTAAAAGTGATTAAATAATGGATTTATTGGAAAGTTTAAAGTTCTTTTCAACTTATTCAATAACTAGTATTCTTAAAATTGATAACAATAACTTATTAGTTGATAATAAATCTTTTACACTTTATAATCAAGATATAGAATATGTAGTTTAAGCTTTGAAGATGAAAAAATATACTATTTTTGAGTTCTATGACAGTTTCATTCATTTTTATCATGAGTAATAAATTCAAAAATTAAGAGAAACTGGTAAAATTTCAAATTGGGAAAGTTTTTAGGTAGATATTTTATAATTTTCATAAAATTTAGCAATAGATATGACAATTAATTAATTATCTTAAATTACATATTAATAAAAAGGTAAATTGAAATTAACAAATAATTATAATAAATATTAAGATGATAATGTTTGGCTTGATGATTATTTTAATGATTCATAATAGGAACTTGATTATAATAAATTAATAAGAAGTTGTATTCTATTAAATGCTAAAGGAAGTAACTATTCATTTACTCACAAATCTATTTAAGAATTTTATGTTGCTAAATATATTTTAGATTTATTGCTTTAATCAACCATTTAAATTTTGAATGAAAAAAATTAAGAATAAAAACATACCAATAGATTAATGGAATCATTATATAACTAATCTAAATTAAATATATCAAAAGATCATTATAAAGNTTAATCTAAATTGAATATATCAAAAGATCATTATAAAGGTGTGTTAATATTTATTAAAGACAAATTAAATAGTCTAGAAAACATAAAAGAAAATCTTATTAATATAGTTTAACTATCAAGTGATGATAAGTTCATAAATGCTGCTTCAAATAGTATTTTTTTATTATCTTAATTGGATGCTTATTTAGGATTTGAAGATTTTTAAGGAATTTAATTAGTTGATACAAATATTTCAGGTTTAAGTTTTTGTCATTCAGATTTAAGAAATTCTAAATTTACAAAAGTTAATATAAATTCTTGTAATTTTAATTATGCTGATTTAACAGATTGTTTATGGGAAGTATAATGTAAAGAAAAACCATTTTTATAAAAAGATAAAGAAATAAATTTAGTTGAATTCTCTTCAAATGGTAAATTTATTGCATCAAATGGATAAGACAATTTAGTAATACTTTGGGATTTTGAAAATTATAAAGAACTAGTAGCATTGGATGGTCATTAAGATGAAATATTATCAGTTGCCTTTTCTTATGATTGTAAAACTTTAGCTTCATCAAGTAAAGATAAAACTATAAAGTTATGGGATATTTAAGATCCATAATAAAAATAATTAATAGTTTCTTTAAATTATCATGACAATCCAGTTACAGGAGTTAAATTTGCTTTAGATGGAAAAAAAATAGTTTCAGCTGATAATGCAGGAATGTTGATGCATTGCAGTTCTGAAGTTATCTCAGAAAAACCAGATGATATTATATTTTAGTATTAAGAAGAAATCTTGGTTTGCGTATCAACTTAGGATGATAAATTTCTTGCCTTAGCATTAGATGACTCCAGTATTAAATTAGTTGAGGTAGAAACTAAGAAAGAAAGAGTTTTAATAGGTCATACTGGAAAAATTGTAGCATTAGCTTTCAGTAAGAGTGGAAATAGATTAGTATCTGCATGTAACAACTTATTATTATCATGGGATTTAAAAGATGATTGTAAATGCTAAGTATTGTCTTTTTAAGAATATTAAATCGAATATATAACCATACCAAATGAAAAAAAATTAGTTATTGCAGCAGAAACCTTTTTGGCTTATGGAGAATTTTAGTATGATAATTCTGCTGATTTTAATATTATAGAATAATCCTTTCCTGTTTAGTTATTTCCTAATTCTAATTTTGCTTTTGTAGTTTAAGATTAGATAATTCATATATATGATCTGAGTACTTAAGTAATTATTAATAGTATCATTTTTGATAAAGAAATTAATAAAATTTAACTTGATAGTAATGAATAAATTTTAACATTAAGATTTCCGCACTATTATCAATAAGATGTGATTATGGATATGAATACAGTTTAAGAAGTTATCATTTCTGAANAAAGAAAATCTTATTAATATAGTTTAACTATCAAGTGATGATAAGTTCATAAATGCTGCTTCAAATAGTATTTTTTTATTATCTTAATTGGATGCTTATTTAGGATTTGAAGATTTTTAAGGAATTTAATTAGTTGATACAAATATTTCAGGTTTAAGTTTTTGTCATTCAGATTTAAGAAATTCTAAATTTACAAAAGTTAATATAAATTCTTGTAATTTTAATTATGCTGATTTAACAGATTGTTTATGGGAAGTATAATGTAAAGAAAAACCATTTTTATAAAAAGATAAAGAAATAAATTTAGTTGAATTCTCTTCAAATGGTAAATTTATTGCATCAAATGGATAAGACAATTTAGTAATACTTTGGGATTTTGAAAATTATAAAGAACTAGTAGCATTGGATGGTCATTAAGATGAAATATTATCAGTTGCCTTTTCTTATGATTGTAAAACTTTAGCTTCATCAAGTAAAGATAAAACTATAAAGTTATGGGATATTTAAGATCCATAATAAAAATAATTAATAGTTTCTTTAAATTATCATGACAATCCAGTTACAGGAGTTAAATTTGCTTTAGATGGAAAAAAAATAGTTTCAGCTGATAATGCAGGAATGTTGATGCATTGCAGTTCTGAAGTTATCTCAGAAAAACCAGATGATATTATATTTTAGTATTAAGAAGAAATCTTGGTTTGCGTATCAACTTAGGATGATAAATTTCTTGCCTTAGCATTAGATGACTCCAGTATTAAATTAGTTGAGGTAGAAACTAAGAAAGAAAGAGTTTTAATAGGTCATACTGGAAAAATTGTAGCATTAGCTTTCAGTAAGAGTGGAAATAGATTAGTATCTGCATGTAACAACTTATTATTATCATGGGATTTAAAAGATGATTGTAAATGCTAAGTATTGTCTTTTTAAGAATATTAAATCGAATATATAACCATACCAAATGAAAAAAAATTAGTTATTGCAGCAGAAACCTTTTTGGCTTATGGAGAATTTTAGTATGATAATTCTGCTGATTTTAATATTATAGAATAATCCTTTCCTGTTTAGTTATTTCCTAATTCTAATTTTGCTTTTGTAGTTTAAGATTAGATAATTCATATATATGATCTGAATACTTAAGTAATTATTAATAGTATCACTTTTGATATATAAATTAATAAAATTTAACTCGACAGTAATGAATAAATGTTAACAATTAAATCATAAAGGAGTTGGTACTATAATGAATAATAAATAATTTTGGATATGAATACAGTTTAAGAAGTTATCATTTCTGAATCAGAAAAATAAAATATAATTTATTATGAGGATCTAGCATTTTAATCAAATTACAATGAAATTATAATCTACGATGATAAAAAATAAAATTTGGGTGAATCCTACGATATTGATTGTGAATTCAATAAATCTATTCGATGTTTTTCATTCTCAACTAATTATTAAGTATTTGCTTGGTATTATAATTATTATTATTAAGAAGAATTAATTTTTTATGATTTTAAAGAAAAATAAAAGATAGATAATATTGAAAATAAAGGAAGAGTTAAGAAAATAGCCTCTTCCCCATGCAAACCTATACTATCTGTAATTTATGAAGATGGAAACTTATATTTTTGGAATATTAGTAAATCTCCTTTTGAATGTTAAAAGTTTAATTAGGTTGATGAGAGTGTTTAGATTGATTAAATTGCATATTCACCTGATGGTTCATTATTAATTATTTACACCAAGGATGATATGCTCAGAATTTTCGATGAGATTAAAGGATCAGAAAGAAAGAATAAAAAATTAGAATTTTCCATTTATGGAGATATTTTAGTTTCAAATGATAATGAGACTTTGGCTTTGATACGATCTTACTATAATCGTGATATCATTCTATGGAACTTTATTTAGGATAAGGAAATATTAAAAGTTGAAAATTAATCTAATTATCCTATTATTTAATTCTGTCCAGATGGAATATCTTTTGTACATTTAGAAGATAAAAATGTAAGATTTTGGAATAAAAATACAGGAGAATTTATTCTTATTTATTAACTTCCTAAAGATTCATATTATGATTGTATTAATTTCTTTAAGGATGGAAAGTAGTTTGTGACTGCTGGAACATATATTAGAATTTGGAAATATTCTGAAAATAAAATAGAAATGATTAGTGCTTATAAACCTGATTATAGAGTTACAGAATTATTATTAACTGATAATGACTAAAATCTAGTATGTATTGTGGATGGACATATAAAAATTATCCCTCTGTAGATATGCAATTTAAAATACATAATCCCTACTTCAAATAGAATTGCCAAATTTTTAACAAATGGATATCTAGTTACCAATGATAATTATAGCGTTGAAGTTTATGATTGGAAAAATGCTTAATCAATAATTATATTGGAAACTAATATTGATGACGTATATTTCTTTTAAGATAATTAATATTGCCTATTTATTAAAAATTAAAGAATTACGAAATTAAGAATTGATCCGAAGGATGAAATATTTAATTTAAATCTTTGTGAATAGATTTAGAGTATAAAACTCATAAAAAATGAATAGATTCTAATTATCGAATGTAAAAATACATTAAAATTATTAAATCTGGAAGATTCTTCCAATATCTATGAAATTCAAACTTATGTAAATAATAATTTAGATTATTTCCATTGGTCAATTAATAATGATTATATTTGTTACAGACCTAATGCTAATTTTGTAATTAGAGAAATAAAAACAAAATAAAAAAATAAATTTATATCTCTAGAAAATAAAGTGCTTCAAATAAATTCCTTTGATTCTGAAGATCAAATATTATTAAAAGATGAAAGTGGCCAAGGTATCCTAAATCTTGTTTCTTAACAGTTTAATTTATTTGAAAAATAATTTAAATAATCAACGAATTCTTAAAATGAATAAAATATTTTTTGTGAAGGCATAGATTGCCATGCACAATTATATGAAGTTGCTCATGATACATACTTGATTACTTTTGATGGTAATCAGATATTGCCATAATAATTTAAAAAAAATGGTTAATTTTTATATACTTATTTAAATAACAATTAAGTAACTATATTGTCTATTGATGAATAAAAATAACTAAAAATTTAATGTTCCTTATAGTTTGAATCAGAAGTTAAGAAGTTTTCAGTAACTCCTTCTTTCGATTATATAGCTGTCTTATATTAAAATTAAGTAAAATTAATAAATTTAGGTTGGTTGTTATAAGTCTAAATGGTAAGTATTTATGAAAAGAAGGATGATGTTAAAGATATAAGTTCTTTTATAATATCTTAAGATAATACAAAAATTATTACAGGATCTAAAGCTATTAGGGTCTATAGATTGGATTTAAAAAAAGAGAAAGATTATTACAAAAATTTGTACAAGTAAATAAATTGTGTTGTTGAAATTGATTAAAACACTTTTTGTATTGGTGAAGACAACAATATATAACTGGTGAGAATTGATATTTACTAAAATAACATTATTTTAGGAGAACATGAAAAAGCTATTACATGTTTGAGTTACTGTTAAAGAACATAATTATTAGCATCAGGTAGTAAAGATTAAAAGATATTTTTGTGGAATGTGGATGCTAGAAAGAAAATAGCAGTTTTTGAAGGTCATACATGGTGTGTTAATAAATTATCTTTTTCACCTGATGGAAAATGTTTGGCTTCTGCAAGTGATGACAAATAAATTAAATTATGGAATATTGAATTAAGTGAATAATCAAAAATATCAAAAGGACATCAACAATGTGTAAAATAAGTTGCTTTCTCAAAAGATGGTCTTATTCTAGCATCATGTAGTTATGATTTATCAATTACTTTATGGGATTTAATAGACAAAACCTTTATTATTATGTTATAAGAACATACTTCATGTATAAATTGTTTAGAGTTCTCTTTTTGTTCTAAATGGTTAGCATCAGGAAGTTAGGATGGAGTTTGTTTATGGGATGTTAAATTTCCACATGAGACTACTTTATTCTTTAAAATAGAAGAGATGTATTTAAATACTGATCAATTATTTTTTACTCCATCAGGGTGTTTTGCTACTATTTCTAATGATAAAGGTGAATAATATAAAAAAAAATATTAAAAAGAAATATTAAATGTTACTAAAATTTAAATTTGGAGTTTAAATAAAATTGTTAAAGAAGAAAAAAAATTCTAAATATAGAGAAATTGGAATGATCTTATTTTTATATCAGATGATGATCTTGTATTTTAAGGTTATTAGAAAACAGTTAAAGTCTATGATTTATCAACAAAAACTAGTCAAGATCTTGAAGAACATAAAAATTAAGTGAAAATGATTAAATCTTGGGATTATGGTCAGAAATTATTATCAGTAGATGATTAGAATATTATGTTTTATTGGGAAAAAATAAACAAAACTTGGAAGAAGTAATCAACAATTTAATTAGAACCATATATTACTTAAATTGATATAATTAGATATGATTATCAAGATTTCATAGTAACAAAGAATGAAAAATCAATAATTATATCAGATCTTAATTAATTAAAATAGTAAAAGCCATTTATTGATTTAAATATTAAAAGTTCAATTAAAAATGTTTATTTATCAACTAGCTAAAATTTCTTTATAATTTTAAATTATGATGATGAAATAATACTAATAGATAGTGTTTCTGGACAAAGTAAAAATACATTTATTAATTGTTACAATACACGATAAGTTAAAGTATCTTATGATGATAGATTTATAGCTATTAGTGATTATTCTTAAATTAATATCTATGAAATCTCTGAAAAGTAAGAGTAAGTGATAATAGATTAAGAAGGAAGTGTTCAGATTTTAGATTTTAGCTGGGATGATTCAAATATATTATATATAGCATCAGAAAAAAAAATAATTAAAAAGTGTAACATTAAAAATAGATCTTAAGAAATAATTCTCGAATTAGAGGATTCTTATTATTATGATATCTATTTATAGATTTCTAGACTATGCAATTATTTAATTTATAAGGATTATTATAAGCCTTTTACTGTAATAAATTTAAGTAATAAATAAGAGTATTAACCTTCAATAGAAGGTAATTAAGAACTTGCAACCTTTTCTTATAATGAAAATTTAGTTGCTATATCCACTTCAGATTATAAAATCTATTTATGGAATTATGAAAAATAAATTATTACAGAAAACAAATTGATTTATAAACAAACAACTCAAAATTTAACTTTTACAGATAATGACAATGAGTTGATTTGTTGTTTAGAAAGATCAATTTGTTTATTTGAGATTTAAGAAGATCTTTAATTAATATTAAAATATATTTGGGAGATAGAGTCAGGTCGTTTTTGTACTTATTGTCCTAAGCTTAAATCAATTTTTAAATCTTATGATTCTACAATCGCATAGATTTATATTGTGAATTATGCATAAACTAAAATATTAATTGATGAAGAGCATAATCCCATTAATTTTCACTCCACTTACTATGGAGATTATATAGCATCAATAAGTTAATAAAGTTTAATCATATGGGACTTTAAAAACGATAAGTAAATATTAAATACTACTTAATGGTGTGGTAAATAAGTTATGCTCATAGAATTAAAGACAGTAATAATTGGAGGGGATAAAGAAATCAAGATTTTAGATATTTCAAAATTAGACAATATTTAAGAAATTTAAACAATTACTTTTGAGTAATATATCACAAGTCTTTCATTTTCTTTAAAATAGTAATTTTTTGTTTGTTCATTTGACTATAAAATAAAAGTATGGAGAATTTTAAATGATGGATAGTCTTATTAAGTAGCTATATATGATACATAATATTCTGGATAAACGAATCCTATTATTTCAGCTTCTGGTGATATTTTAATTTACTATGAAGAATATCATTTTAATGTAATTAGGATTAAGCAATTAAATACTATAGAATTAATCTTTAAAACAGTGAATGGTCTTTAATATTCCTCAGATTATTAATATTTGATAACATTAATAGATGGATGTCCATAATTATTTACTTCAAATTTAGAACTAGTAGAAAATTAATTAGAAAGCTCATTATAAGAAATAAAAGGAGATTTAATAAAATCAACTTCTGTAGATTCGATATTTGCAATTGCAGATGATTATTGCATATGGTTAGTTTAAATTGTTAATAAAAATAAATTAACATTGATTAGGAAGATTATGTTAGAAGTAAAAGATGATATTATTGTTTCTTTTGGTATTAACCCTTTAGGAACTTGGTTAATTGTTGGCAACAAATTTGGATCAATTTACTTCTGGGATTTAACTAATTCTAACACTATGGATAACCCTAAACCAAACTAAATTATAGAAAATTAAAATGATTAAATTTTCTATTTAGCATTCAGCCCAAATGGAACTGATTTTTCAGCAGCAGTTTTTGATGGATCTATAAATTTATATTCAGTGGAATAAATAAAAAATGTTTAAAATATCAAATAGAATGATGATAATTAAGAATAGAATTAAATATAAGTAATAGAAAATTTGAATGAAGAATTCAAATTAATTTGTTATAAATCATTTTCCAGATAATCTTTATTATTGGCCAATAAATGCAAAATAAAAAATTCTTAAATCAAATAAAATGAAAAATCAATTCTGTAATTATTCAAATAAAAAGGAGCAGATGAATGATATTATTTAAAAAATAATAATAAATTATTTAAATTTAGAATATATTAATATATTTGTATGATCTATATAAATATACATCATAATGTTACATATATAATCTATTCAATACAACTTTATCAGATTTAATCTAAAAAGTTATATTATTTTATATATCTAATTTTACTTCTGGTGAATTTGATTATGTTAAAATATTTGATATTGTAATTTCTAAGTTTAACCATTAATTAGATGATACAATAATCCAATACTTATTATTTTAGATCCATTATAAGCGATCAAATCAAGGCTTAAGTTTAATTTAATCTAATTAAAATAATTAATTTGTATTATCTAAGATATCTAAAGTGGTTGATTTAAATTATAGTTTGTATTGTTTTGGAATTATGTTTTTTTAAATATTAATGGCTTCTTTAATGATCTAAATGTACTTAGATGATTAGATGTTGAGCTGTTCATTTATATTAATAATAAGTCAATTGATGATTTCTAGTATATAATTTGCATTAATTCTAATCAGAATGGATCTTTTAAAGTTGATATCAATGATACACATTCTAAAAGTCTACAGCCAATACCTATTATTTAATATATCCCCATTGTCGGCCATTAGCTGAATTTGTTAAAAATCAAGATATTTTAATTTCTTTAAATTCCTTTACATCCCATTCCTTTTTCATCTTAATTTCCTGAATCCATGATTAATCTTTTCAACCGCCTAAACGAACATCTTGAAAGTTTTCAATACATGAAAAGAATCCAAAAATTTTATATCTATATATATATGTTAGAAAGATTCTAATAAGAACTATCAGATTACTATTTTAAATCACATCACCTTTAACAAGTTCCTTAATATTCTCAATCTTCTAAGTCCAATCTTTATTTTTTTTATAACTATATCTCAAAGATGTGTTGGTTGATCAGATTTTAAATCATTATTAATCTTAAGGAGTGATTATTTAACATTCTGACTATATTTGATTTAGTTAGCCACTCATGAATAAAAAATTATTAAAAAAAATACTTGTCTAATAAAATCTTAAGTATAGAAAATTAAAAATGGAGTTGCTTTTCACCTGATAGTAAATATTTGGTTAATTTGACTCCATATTTATAAATTTTGGAGTTATAAAATCTTTAAATGATTCATAACTTTGAAGATTAAACTAGAGAATAGATTTAATTTTAGACATCAGAGATATTAGTAATAGAAAATAACTTGATATTTTTTTGTTTTGATTAGAGCATTTCAATTTTTGATTCTATTAGTTTAAAAAAAGTAAAAGAAGTTAAAATAGATTTTCAAGCCAATCAATTTGAATTTTCGTAAAATCAGAAATATTTGGCTTCGATGTGTTCTACAGCTGTTTAAATTTTTTCTTTTTACAACTAGAAAGATCTTTTTGAATTTTGGACTATTAAAGGGGATAAAAATTTTATAAACTCTATTGCTTTATCTCCAAAATGGGATCTTCTTTTAACAGGTGGTTAAAATTAAGTAGATTATATTAATTCTATTGCATTATGGAAAGTAGAATAATGTGAATAAATTTGTTTAAATAATTAAATAAATGATGAAGTCAAAGTTCTTAAATTTTGTCCAGATGGTGTTAATTTTGTTGCAGGTCTTTCAGATGGATCTGTTAATTTATATTCTATTCATGTTTAATAAACTAATTTCTATAAGAAATAATGTTTTGGATAATTCAAATTAAATGATGAGAAATCTAAATATTATATATTTTGTTTTAAATCATTTGCTAAATAATCATTATTGACTGCTCAATAGAGCCTTTTAACGAAATCATGCATAAAGTCAGAACAAAAATCTATTATTGAATTATTTCTTTAAAAAGGAGCTTAATAATGATATAAATGTTTGAAAAATATTAATTACCTATAAACAAATAATTTGACGTTTCTTAAGAATTTTTATAATATCTAGTTAATTATTGTAATTTGATCATTTAATATAACAATAAATTATATTATAATTATATTGAATATATTAATTAATAATGTAAAATATATTTAAATTTTTTAATAATTACTAATTAGTTTATAAATAATGATCATTAATGCTACTTAATTAATGCATTCTTTGAAGGAGTATTTTAGTTTTGGATAATCCTGTAATTTGAATTAAATCTTCTAATAAAACTTACTATTCTTATTTAAATAAAAATAGGCAAATAAATTAATAAAATAAATTTTATATAATTTAAATATGAAACCCTTATATTAAAATTTAAATAATAAATATATTTTCAAAAGAATCATGAATTAAAGATTTAATTCTCACTTAGATATTTGCTAATACTGTTAAAATAATAGTGTTGCCTCTAATGTTAGAATTTTTGAGCCTTAAAAGAAAAAATTTAATTAATTAACTGAAGTCTGTGATAAGCAATCAAATTCATAATTTTTACTTCATTTAAGAGGAGGAGGATGCGGATAAGCTAAACCAAAATAACAAATTGAAGAAAAGACAATTATTGGTTTGCCTAATGATTTTTTGATTAAGCTAGAAAAATATGTTAATATTATCAATACTAAAGCTTAACTTATAACAGATACTTCATAAAGAAATGAAGTAATAATAGCATTTTAATGGTGTATGCATAATAGAGAGCATTTCAATACTTGTTGTGTAAACAATAATTTAACATCATCAATATATACAAAAATATTGAATTCATTTAAGGATTTGCTTAAAATTCTTCCTGTTTATTTAAGAACTTCATGGTTTTTATGCTATTAAATTCTATAAATATGTAATGACTTTTTGAGAATTATATATTCATTCTAAATACAAAATAAGGAAAGATTATTGGATTTAGAATTGCAATAATAATTCTTAGAAGATTTAGAAGAATTTAAGGTATAATTTGAAATTGAATAAACAAATGTGTGGAATACAGGTATAGAATATGAAATAACTCTTATTAAAATTATGTTAATGAATTGTCAGACAAATTCAGAAGAAGGATAAAATTTGTTAATAGATATTGTAAAAAATTTGGCTTAATCAGCTTTATAATTATCGCCAACTGAAGACCTAATCCCAAGTCTTATTGAAGGAGCTAAATTTTTATTTTTATAATACAAAGATAAAATATTATATCCTGAAGAGGTATATGCTACATATTATTTATTCCAAACTCTTAAATGGTCTATTGTGGCTCAAATAAAATAATAGAATTCAATCAATAATTAAGTTAAAAAACTAAAAGATGCATTTTTATAATATATTATAAATTCAGATAATTGGATTATTCATTATAGCTGGATGTCAATGATTATTGATTTAATAGCATATAGACCAATTATTGAGAAATTTTAAATTCTTAATGGTACTCCAATATAATAATAATCGCTTTGGAACAATTTAATTGAAAATAACGTAATTGTTAGTCTTACATATAATAAAAATTAAGCATCTATTATATTATTTCAAAATCAAGGAAAATATTTTAGTAAAGAAATATAGAGTATTATTAAATAATAAGGTATTCCTAAATTTAAGTTACTATCAGAATCTCTTTTAAAAGGCTAGTTTACTCAATAAAGTAATATTTGGGATTTCTATAAAAATTTTTCATTTAAAAAAAAGCAATAAACAATTATAAGGGATTATGAAATTATTTTAGAAAATAATGATTTATTATTATTAGAGTAATAAATTGAAAAATTTAATGCTTAATTAGATGAATTAGTTCTATTGTATTAATAAATCTAAGAATCATTTACTGATTATTTTACTTAATCCAATATTACATAATTCGAAATTAAATTATTTTAAGATGATTACTCTGTTTTTGCAAAATAATTTTTAGATGCTTATAAATAGGCATTATATCGTCTCAATTTTATTATAGAAAAATCTACTATTGAATATCAAAAATTAAAATTACTTTGTCCTTATTTTCAAAATAATGAAAATTTATAAGCCAGTTTTAACAATATTTAGAATTTGATTAATGTTAAATTTTTAGCATTATAAAAAGATTTTATTTCAAAATTTTTAAAAGTTATAGAATATTTAAGTCATCTATCTGAAATTAATTTAAATCCACAATCTAAAAATTTAACTGATTTAGAGAATGTAAATAACAAATTTTAAATATCAAATCTTCAGAGCTCGTATAAAAATTTAGAATAATCATCAATATAATAATAGAACGATTATTCAATACTTTAATAGTTCATAATAAATATGAAGGAATTTTAAAAAGAGTTTTCTTTCTCAATGTCAAGTAGTAAAACTAATGATAATATTATTAATATTAGATCTGATACAATATAAGCTATGTCAAATACTATTTGCTCAGGTAAATGGATCAAAATAATAAAGTAATAACTTAGTAATTGTTTTTCAGATAGATTTATTTTATGCCAAAATGATGTTAAAACAATATAAGATATTCAAAACATCTACATAAATTGCAGTTTTAGCTTGTAAATGTTGAAATTATTGAAATAATTCTATTAAATTCATTAATATAAAATTAATACTTTTGAAAAAAAAAGTAATTAGGAAAAGCTCTTAGCCAATCAAGAATAAGAAAAGTTTTATCAAAATTTAAAATTAATTATAATCAAGTAGTTAACATAATAAAAAGATTAAATCAGATAAATTGTATAATAAAAAGATGTTGATAATGGTAGTAGTTTAAATAAAGAAAAAAAAAAATAACTTTTTTAAAAAATCAAGTCTGATTATATGATAACAAAAAATGAAAATGAAAATATTGAAGGGAAAGAAATTTAAGAAATAAAATCATAGGCTATCAAATTTATGCAAGAATCTAGTTTATTTATTGCTTTATAAAATTAGAATGAACATTATGACCTTGATGGTTTTAATAGTTTAATAAAAAGATATGAAAGTAAGATAACTGAAATTAAAAATCAGTAAGGGAAATTTAATAATAGTCTACCTTAAGAGAATAAAAGAACTTTTGAAAATTGGATAAGAGAGAACAAACATTTAGATTTCTGTCATTTTTGTGTAGATTAAGATTTGAAAGAGTTAAAGAATACAAATAAATTACTTAAATTATTTGAATAAATTATATTCTTCCATATAGATTAAATTTAATAGATTGAAAATTAAGATATTTAAAAAAATATAGATAACTTTAATACATAAAGATAACAAATAGAAAACAAATTCAATATCTAAAACTAAATTAATAAATTAATCGAAATTTTTAAAGGAAGTAATTAACATGATGATTGCAAATGTATCATTTAGATTGAACAAGAAAATAAGTAATAAAATGATTAATATTATGAATAAATTGATTCAACTTTACAAGAAACCTTAGATTTCTTTATATTAAAATAAAATAGTTTAGAAACAATAACTTAAAATTTAGACCCAATATACTTAATTGTAATGAATAATCTATGTGAACAAGTAGTTATTAAAAAATCAATATTTGATGTATTTGATTTCAACAATGATTATAAGATTAGAGAATGCTTAGTTTATAACTTAATAAAGCTTTAGTAAGGAATCAAAGAAGAATAAATAATAGAATTTTCATCAAAACTTATTTAATATTTTTGGGTTTTTGAAAAAGATTAAAGAGTTAGAAATCTTTTAAAAAATAAGGAATTAATTGAAATGTAGAAACTTTTTTTTTCTTAAGATATCAAAACTATGTCTGAATCTATTAAATAAGAGATGAGATTTAGAATTAAAAGTATAGAAAATATTTCATAAGAATTAAGACTTGAGGGTAATGCTTCAATTAAAGAGCAACTTAAATAATAACTTATATTAGCATATGAAGAACTTGAATAATATAATGATAATATTACTGAAATGTCTGAAAAAATGGATATAAGTTTAATATTTTTAAAAGATATATCAAAAGATGTAAAATAAATAAAAAATTAAATTGATAATTTATAAGAAAGTTTAAATTAAGTAGGTGATGATATTCGTAAATTAAGAGGAAAAAGATATGATGAATTATTAGAAATAAGAAAATAAAAAATATTATTATAATCTAAATTAGCAGAAGTAGATTCTGTTTATGTTTAATTAAAAACTATAGAATTTGATCCTGTTAGTGGTTAAAGTATAACATCAAAAGATGGTTCAAACATAACTAAATTAATGAGTGATTAATGGGATGATTTTACAGGTGAAGTTAATGAATTTATATGGGATGAATCAAAATCAAATGATGTAATGTTACTTTCAGGAAATGCTGGTTCTGGTAAAAGTAAAGCAGCAAGAAAAATTGAAGAATTTCTTTGGAAATAAAAAGGTATTCAATCTAAATGGATTCCTATCTTTGTATCATTACCAACTTTAAAAAATCCTAAATATAATTTATTTGAATAAGCTTTAGAATCTGAAAATTATTAATTTGATAAATATTAACTTAGAGAATTTAAAGAAGCTATTTAAAATAAAAAAGAATTTATTATATTAATATTAGATAGTTATGATGAAATGAAATAAGATTGTATTTAATAAAATCTTATTATTACAAATAAACTAATTAATGATTTAAATATTGATGACCGTTAAAAATAAGTCAAGATAATAATTACAACTAGAAGAGAAATATTAAACACTTTAGGATATTAAACTTGGTTTTATGGATATAGTATAAGAAGTTTAAAAGAAGTATAAATCTAAGATTTCGATAAAGATTAAAAAAGTGATTATTTAATTTAATATACTGAACTAAGTGTAAAGAGAAAAATAAGAGTTGTTTATGATTTCTTGAAACAGATTTCATAATTAAATTTTAATTTAGATGAATTTTTAGCTATATGGCAATAAGTTAATATATAAGTTTAACAAAGTATCAAAAATTCTCATAATACTTAATTAGAATAAATTTTTGAAAATTCTTAAAGGGAAGAATTAATCAAGAAAATTTTAGAACATTCTCCATTTAAATAATTAAAGGTTGAATAGATTACAGGACTCAGAAAGGATTTATCATCTTTGTGGAGTGTTTATAAATTTGAAAAGGCAATAGAAAATGTGGGTATTTCTGACTTATTGTCAACTCCTTTTATGTTGGAAATTATTGTCTAAGTATTACCTAGTATGGCAAAACAATAGTAAGGATCTGGAGATATTAAAAATAGATTTGTTTAAAGCTATCTTAGTTTAATAAATAAATTTTGCTTATCTAAAAAATTAATAGAAAATTATAAAATTAATTTAGATTAAAAAGAAAATAAAAAAGTAATTTAACCAATTCTTGATAGTAAAAAATCAAAAATTAAGTATGATGATTTTGTTGATAAATATGAATAAAAAACTAAAAGTGATTAAATAATGGATTTATTGGAAAGTTTAAAGTTCTTTTCAACTTATTCAATAACTAGTATTCTTAAAATTGATAACAATAACTTATTAGTTGATAATAAATCTTTTACACTTTATAATCAAGATATAGAATATGTAGTTTAAGCTTTGAAGATGAAAAAATATACTATTTTTGAGTTCTATGACAGTTTCATTCATTTTTATCATGAGTAATAAATTCAAAAATTAAGAGAAACTGGTAAAATTTCAAATTGGGAAAGNTTATTACAAATAAACTAATTAATGATTTAAATATTGATGACCGTTAAAAATAAGTCAAGATAATCATTACAACTAGAAGAGAAATATTAAACACTTTGGGATATTAAACTTGGTTTTATGGATAGAGTTTAAGAAGTTTAAAAGAAGTATAAATCTAAGATTTCGATAAAAATTAAAAAAGTGATTATTTAATTTAATATACGGAACTCAGTGTAAAGAGAAAAATAAGAGTTGTTTATGATTTCTTGAAACAGATTTCATAATTAAATTTTAATTTAGATGAATTTTTAGCTATATGGCAATAAGTTAATATATAAGTTTAACAAAGTATCAAAAATTCTCATAATACTTAATTAGAATAAATTTTTGAAAATTCTTAAAGGGAAGAATTAATCAAGAAAATTTTAGAACATTCTCCATTTAAATAATTAAAGGTTGAATAGATTACAGGACTCAGAAAGGATTTATCATCTTTGTGGAGTGTTTATAAATTTGAAAAGGCAATAGAAAATGTGGGTATTTCTGATTTATTGTCAACTCCTTTTATGTTGGAAATTATTGTCTAAGTATTACCTAGTATGGCAAAACAATAGTAAGGATCTGGAGATATTAAAAATAGATTTGTTTAAAGCTATCTTAGTTTAACAAATAAATTATGCTTATCTAAAAAATTAATAGAAAATTATAAAATTAATTTAGATTAAAAAGAAAATAAAAAAGTAATTTAACCAATTCTTGATAGTAAAAAATCAAAAATTAAGTATGATGATTTTGTTGATAAATATGAATAAAAAACTAAAAGTGATTAAATAATGGATTTATTGGAAAGTTTAAAGTTCTTTTCAACTTATTCAATAACTAGTATTCTTAAAATTGATAACAATAACTTATTAGTTGATAATAAATCTTTTACACTTTATAATCAAGATATAGAATATGTAGTTTAAGCTTTGAAGATGAAAAAATATACTATTTTTGAGTTCTATGACAGTTTCATTCATTTTTATCATGAGTAATAAATTCAAAAATTAAGAGAAACTGGTAAAATTTCAAATTGGGAAAGTTTTTAGGTAGATATTTTATAATTTTCATAAAATTTAGCAATAGATATGACAATTAATTAATTATCTTAAATTACATATTAATAAAAAGGTAAATTGAAATTAACAAATAATTATAATAAATATTAAGATGATAATGTTTGGCTTGATGATTATTTTAATGATTCATAATAGGAACTTGATTATAATAAATTAATAAGAAGTTGTATTCTATTAAATGCTAAAGGAAGTAACTATTCATTTACTCACAAATCTATTTAAGAATTTTATGTTGCTAAATATATTTTAGATTTATTGCTTTAATCAACCATTTAAATTTTGAATGAAAAAAATTAAGAATAAAAACATACCAATAGATTAATGGAATCATTATATAACTAATCTAAATTAAATATATCAAAAGATCATTATAAAGGAGTGTTAATATTTATAAAAGACAAATTAAATAGTTTAGAAAACATAAAAGAAAATCTTATTAATATAGTTAAACTATCAAGTGATGATAAGTTCATAAATGCTGCTTCAAATAGTATTTTTTTGTTATCTTAATTGGATGCTTACTTAGGATTTGAAGATTTTTAAGGAATTTAATTAGTTGATACAAATATTTCAGGTTTAAGTTTTTGTCATTCAGATTTAAGAAATTCTAAATTTACAAAAGTTAATATAAATTCTTGTAATTTTAATTATGCTGATTTAACAGATTGTTTATGGGAAGTATAATGTAAAGAAAAACCATTTTTATAAAAAGATAAATAAATAAAAGTAGTTGAATTCTCTCCAAATGGTAAATTTATTGCATCAAATGGATAAGACAATTTAGTAATACTTTGGGATTTTGAAAATTATAAAGAACTAGTAGCATTGGATGGTCATTAAGATGAAATATTATCAGTTGCCTTTTCTTATGATTGTAAAACTTTAGCTTCTTCAAGTAAAGATAAAACTATAAAGTTATGGGATATTTAAGATCCATAATAAAAATAATTGATAGTTTCTTTAAATTATCATGACAATCCAGTTACAGGAGTTAAATATGCTTTAGATGGAAAAAAAATAGTTTCAGCTGATGATGCAGGATTTTTGATGCATTGCAATTCTAATGTTAAAGTACTTAAGTAATTATTAATAGTATCATTTTTGATAAAGAAATTAATAAAATTTAACTTGATAGTAATGAATAAATTTTAACATTAAGATTTCCGCACTATTATCAATAAGATGTGATTATGGATATGAATACAGTTTAAGAAGTTATCATTTCTGAATCAGAAAAATAAGATATAATTTATTATGAGGGTTATGCTTTTAAATCAACTTAAGATGAAATTATAATATACGATGATAAAGAATAAAATTTGGGTGAATCCTACGAGATTGATTGTGAATTCAATAAATCTATTCAATGTTTTTCATTCTCAACTAATTATTAAGTATTTGCTTGGTATTATAATTATTATAATTAAGAAGAATTAATTTTTTATGATTTTAAAGAAAAAAAACTAATAGATAATATTGAAAATAAAGGAAGAGTTAAGAAAATAGCCTCCTCCCCATGCAAACCTGTACTATCTGTAATTTATGAAGATGGAAACTTATATTTTTGGAATATTAGTAAATCTCCTTTTGAATGTTAAAAGTTTAATTAGGTTGATGAGAATGTTCAGATAGATTAAATTGCATATTCACCTGATGGTTCATTATTAATTATTTACACCAAAGATAATATGCTCAGAATTTTCGATGAGATAAATGGATCAGAAATAAAGAATAAAAACTTAGAATTTTCCATTAATGGAGATATTTTAGTTTCAAATGATAATGAGACTTTGGCTTTGATACGATCTTACTATAATCGTGATATCATTCTATGGAACTTTATTTAGGATAAGGAAATATTAAAAGTTGAAAAATATTATAATTATCCTATTATTTAATTTTGTCAAGATGGAATATCTTTTGTACATTTACAAGATAAAAATTTAAGATTTTTGAATAAAAATACAGGAGATTTAATTATTAGTTATTAACTTCCTTAAGATTCATCTTATGATTGTATTCGTTTCTTTAAGGATGGTGAGCAATTTGTGACTACTGGGACATACATTAGAATTTGGAAATATTCTGAAAATAAAATAGAAATGATTAGTGCTTATAAACCTGATGGTAGAGTTACAGAATTATTATTAACTGATAATGACTAAAATCTAGTATGTATTGTGGATGGACATTTAAAAATTATCCCTCTGTAGATATGCAATTTAAAATAAATAATCCCTACTTCAAATAGAATTGACAAATTTTTAACAAATGGATATCTAGTTACCAATGATAATCATAGCGTTGAAGTTTATGATTGGAAAAATGCTTAGTCAATAATTAAATTGAATACTGAAATTAATAATGTATATTTCTTTTAAGATGGTTAATATTGCTTAATGATGAAAAATTAAAGAATTATGAAAATAAGAATTGATTCTCAAGATGAAATATTTTCTTTAAACATTTGTGAATAGATTTAGAATGCAAAACTCATAAAAAATGAATAGATTCTAATTATCGAATGTAAAAATACATTAAAATTATTCAATCTGGAAGATTCTTCCAATATCTATGAAATTCAAACTTATGTAAATAATAATTTAGATTATTTCTATTGGTCAATTAATAATGATTATATTTGTTACAGACCTAATGCTAATTTTGTAATTAGAGAAATAAAAACAAAATAAAAAAATAAATTTATATCTCTAGAAAATAAAGTGCTTCAAATAAATTCCTTTGATTCTAAAGATCAAATATTTTTAGAAGATAAGAGCGGCCAAGGTATCCTAAATCTTGTTTCTTAACAGTTTAATTTATTTAAAAAATAATTTAAATAATCAACAAATTCTTAAAATGAATAAAATATTTTTTGTGAAGGAATAGGTTGCTATGCACAATTATTTGAAGTTGCACATGATATATACTTGATTACTTTTAATGATAATCAGATATTGCCACAATAAATAAAAAAAAATGGTTAATTTTTATATACTTATTTAAATTACAATTAAGTCACTATATTGTCTATAGATGAATAAAAATAACTAAAAATTTAATGTTCCTTATATTTTAAGCCAGAAATTAAGAAGTTGTCAGTAACTCCTTCTTTCGATTATATAACTGTCTTATATTAAAATAAAGTAAAATTAATAAATTTAGATTGGTTGTTATAAGTCGAAATGGTAAGTATTTATGAATTGAAGGATGATGTTAAAGATATAAGTTCTTTTATAATATCTTAAGATAATACAAAAATTATTACAGGATCTAAAGCTATTAGGGTCTATAGATTGGATTTAAAAAAAGAGAAAGATTATTACAACAATTTGTACAAGTAAATAAATTGTTTTGTTGAAATTGATTAAAACACTATTTGTATTGGTGAAGACAAAAATATATAACTGGTGAGAATTGATAATTATTTAAATGACATTATTTTAGGAGAACATGAAAATGCTATTACATGTTTGAGTTACTGTTAAAGAACATAATTATTAGCATCAGGTAGTAAAGACTAAAAGATATTTTTGTGGAATGTGGATGCTAGAAAGAAAATAGCAGTATTTGAAGGTCATACATAGTGTGTTAATAAATTATCTTTTTCACCTGATGGAAAATGTTTGGCTTCTGCAAGTGATGACAAATAAATTAAATTATGGAATATTGAATTAAGTGAATAATCAAAAATATCAAAAGGACATTACAAACGTGTAAATTAAGTTACTTTCTCAAAAGATGGTCTTATTCTAGCATCATGTAGTGATGATTATTAAATTATTTTATGGGATTTAATAGAAAAAAACTTTATCATTATGTTAGAAGAACATACTTCATACGTAATATGTTTGGAGTTCTCTTTTTGTTCAAAATGGTTGGCATCAGGAAGTTATGATGGATCGATTTGTTTATGGGATGTTAAATTTCCACATGAGACAACATTATTCTATAAAATATAAGAGATTTAATTGTATCCAGATTACTTATGTTTTACTCCATCAGGATGTTTTGCTACTCTTTCTAATGATGATGATTAACAAAATAATAATGACTAAAAACGAATTACTTATAAAATTTAAATTTGGAGTTTTAATCAAATTTGTAAAAAAAATGATAAAATATTTGAAATTTGTAACAAATCTTAGAATCCTTTTTGTATAACAGATGATAATATTGCATTTTATGATAAATTGGTTAAAGTCTATGATATATCAACAAACACAACTGAAAATCTTGAAGGACATTTAAATGATGTGAAAATGATTAAACTTTGGGATTCTAATAGGAAATTATTATCAGTAGATGATAATAATATTATGATTTATTGGGAAAAAATAAAAAAAACTTGGAAGAAGTAATAATAAACTGTATTAGAACCAAATATTACTCAAATTGATATTATTAGATATGATAATCAAGATTTCATAGTAACAAACAATGAAAATTCAATAATTATATCAAATCTTAATTAAATGAAATAGTAAAAACTATTTGATTTTGAATTTAACCATTCAATTTCGGATTTTTGTTTATCAAAGAGTTAAAATTTCTTTATATTTTAAAATTAAGATAAAGAAATAATATTTTTAGATTGTGTTTCTGGACAAAGTAAAAATACATTGATTAATTGTTACAATACACGATAGGTTAAAGTATCAAATGATGATAGATTTATAGCTATTAATGATTATTCTTAAATTAAGATCTATGAAATCTATGAAAAGTAAGAGTAAGCGGTAATTGATTAAGAAGAAAATGTAGACATTTTAGATTTTAGCTGGGATGATTCAAATATATTATATATAGCATCAGAAAAAAAAATAATTAAAAAGTGTAACATTAAAAATAGATCTAAAGAAATAATTTTTGAATTGGAGAATTCTTATCATTATATCTTTTCATCTAGACAATGCAATTATTTAATTTATAAGGATTATTATAAGCCTTTTACTGTAATAAATTTAAGTACTACATAAGAGTATTAACCTCCTATAGAAGGTAAGTAAGTACTTGCGACCTTTTCTTATGATGAAAATTTAGTTGCTATATCTACATCAGATTTTAAAATCTATTTATGGAATTATGAAAAATAAATTATTACAGAAAAAAAATTGATTTATAAACAAAAAACTCAAAATTTAACTTTTACAGATAATGACAATGAGTTGATTTGTTGTTTAGAAAGATCAATTTGTTTATTTGAGATTTAAGAAGATCTTTAATTAATATTAAAATATATTTGGCAAATAGATTTTTATAATAATTACACTTACAGTCTTAAGCATAAATCAGTTTTCATTATTTAATCAATTGATTATTCTGCAATCGCAAAAATTAGATTTGTGAATTTTGCATAAACTAAAATATTAATTGATGAAGAGCATAATCCCATTAATTTTCACTCCTCTTACTATGGAGATTATATAGCATCAATAAGTTAATAAAGTTTAATCATTTGGGACTTTAAAAACGAAAAGTAAATATTAAATACTACTTAATGGTGTGGTAAATAAGTTATGCTCATAGAATTAAAGACAGTAATAATTGGAGGGTATAAAGAAATCAAGATTTTAGATATTTCAAAACTTGACAATATTTAAGAAATTAAAAAAATTACTTTTGAGTAATAAATCAGAAGTCTTTCATTTTCTTTAAAATAGTAATATTTTGTTTGTGCATTTGAGAAAAAAATAAAAGTATGGAGAATTTTTAATGATAGATAATGTTAATAAATAGCTATATATGATACAAAATATACTGGATATACGGATCCTGTTATTTCAGATTCTGGTGATATTTTAGTTTACTAAGAAGAAGAAAATTTGAAGGTAATTAGGATAAAGTAATTAAATTCTATAGAAATAATCTTAAAAACAGTGAATGGTCTTTAATATTCCTCAGATTATTAATATTTGATAACATTAATAGATGGATGTCCATAATTATTTACTTCAAATTTAGAACTAGTAGAAAATTAATTAGAAAGCTCATTATAAGATATAAAAGGAGATTTTATAAAATTAACTTCTGTAGATTAATTATTTGCAATCGCAAATAATTCTTGCATATGGTTAGTTAAAATTGTAGATAAAAATAAATTAACATTGATTAGGAAGATTATGTTAGAAGTAAAAGATGATATTTTTGTTTCTTTTGGAATTAACCCTTTAGGAACTCGGTTAATTTTTGGCAACGAATTTGGATCAATTTACTTTTGGGATTTAACTAATTCTAACAATGTGAATAACCCTAAACCAAATTAAATTATAAAAAATTAAAATGATGCAATTATCTATATAGCATTCAGCCCAAATGGAACTGACTTTTCAGCAGCAGTTTATGATGGATCTATAAATTTATATTCAGTGGAATAAATAAATAATGTTTAAAATATAAAATAAAATGATGATAATTAAGAATAGAATTAAATATAAGTAATTGAAAATTTGAATGAAGAATTCAAATTAATTTGTTATAAATCATTTTCCAGATAATCTTTATTATTAGCCAATAAATGCAAAATAAAAAATTCATAAATCAAATAAAACGAAAAATCAATTCTGTAATTATTCAAATAAAAAGGAGCAGATGAATGAATGATATTATTTAAAAAATAATAATAAATTATTTAAATTTAGAATATATTAATATATATGTAAAATCTATATAAATATACATCATAATACTACCGATAATAATCCATCTGATAATTCAAATAAAAATTTATCAATTTCCGTTTAAAAGCTTTCAATACAACTTTTATCAGATTTAATCTAAATAATATAATTATTAATACTTCTAATAAGACTTCTGTTGAATTTTATTATGTTGAAATATTGGATATTATGATTGCTAAGTTTTAACCATTAATTAGATAAGACAATAATCCAATATTTATTGTTTTTGATACATTTTAAGTAATCAAATCAAGGTTTAAGTTTTATTTAATTGAATATTAAAATACTTGATTTGTATTATCTAAGATAACAGTTGCAAATGGTTATGATAACAATTTCTTATAAAGTTACAAATAATTTCCTTCTAAATAGCATTTTATTATTAATGAAGTATCATATGTTATGTATTAAAAACAATTTTATGATAAATATAAAAAAGTATTTGGTATTAGAAATTCAAGCATACTAATTCTATAATTTTATGTTCTTATAGCAAAAGATAATGAAGATTCATTCTTAATGTCTTATAAAATGATATCAAAAGCAAAATGCATAGATAATTTTGGATTTACTTTAACAACATAAAATAATTGTTTTTCTTAATATGATGGTAACTCTTCTATTAATTTGTAATTATTTTAAATATAAGAGTTTCTATCTAATAATATTTTTATTCCTAAATTATCTAATTTAAAAGGGCAATTATTAATAACTCTAATTCCTAAACAGATACAAGACTTTTATAAATCTAATGTATGAGAACAATAGATTTAAACAAAATCACTAACTCCAGTAATTAATTTAGAATTCAACTACAATTCAGTAAAAATATTTTTTGAAGGTAATTATAATGATCTTAAATTCATAATAAGAGTATTTTGTTCAGATGAAAATTGTTTTTATTGAAATATATTGTAAGCTATTTGATAAGTAGTTAGATTTTATAAATTTTGATTGATTGAATCAATTTAATTATTAATTTTGATTTATAATTGATCTTATTAAAGGAATTCTTTATATTAAAGAGATTTAACAAAATTACGATTGTATTCTATCAATTATTCAGCTATATGATCATTTTTCCTTTATTATAAATTATCATTATAATCTGAAAGTAATTCTAAAATCTATTATTTGATATGATTTTCAGGTGTATGAAAATTGATTGATAAATAATAAAGTATCTTATAGACATTTTACAAGAGATTAAGTTAACAAATTTAAGTTTATACAGGTTATATCATAAAAGTTCTAAATTCTGCCAATATATTTATATAATCTAATTTACAATTCAAACTATTTTCATTGAATTTTCTTGTAATTATTAATAGAGTCTAAACTTTCTAATTGAAACTTATTTAATTTGTATTCATTCTATTTATTAAATCATCTAATCTTATTTCATCTGATGGTATTACATTTATGCATTCTTCAATTAATAATAAATACATAATAATGGCTTCAATATTACAACCATCCCAAATAAAAGCATTACAGATTTCCATTATTTCTAATAATATAGATTTATTAGTTTCTTAATGTATAGCTGCAATAATTAAACAACAGATTAGTTCTTCAGGTTCATCTTTTATTTTAGTTAGGAACCAAGTCTAATTGTATAATCCTAATATTGCACTAGTCTTTTTTTAATAAAGTAATTCAATTGATTTTTAGATTAAATTACTGAAACAATAAAGAAGAAATAAAAGTCTAGTCAATTAGTTTTAAATAAGGAAAGAAATCTCTAAAATTCTTATTGATATAGCAATATTTGTATTCAAATCCATATCTAATTATAGGATTTAAAGTAATATTTGGTTTAATTCTTTTTTATAATTGACCTTCTTAATATATTTATCTATACAATCAAATAGTTACCAAACAATCTAACCTGTATTAAAATATTCATATGATTTGCATTATGAAATAATATTAATAAGGAAATTGGAAATTTAGACTATAATATCTATTTCAAAATTATATTATAGAATATCATATAATCCAGCTTTAATAATTTTATTATTGAAATCCATGACATTTAATTTATATATTTGTGTATTCTAATTTTATTGAATAGTATTTTATTATTATATCTATTTAGGAGAATCAAGCAAAATTTAAGATAATAAAAATAACATTTTAGATCTAATACGAATTTCATAACTGCAAATTTTTTCATATAAAAGTTGAATTCGACACAATAAATATTATTTAATTTATTGATTATCATAATTGACTTATGTAAGATTATTAGGATTCTATAATTTACTTTATAGAAATTCTGATAAACATATTATACAATTAGCTGAGATATCTCTATTATTAGAAAAACAATTTTCAGCTATTCTCAAGTAAATATTAGTTATTGTTTATTTTGGCATATCTATTGAATCAACTTCTGTTTCTTTTGTTAGTAATAATTACAATATAGAATTGACTGCACATAATCTTTCGTAATGGAAATCAGAGGACCTATTAAATGGTTGAATTATACTATTCAATTATTTAATAAAATGCTGTATCGTATGATTTAACAATTTACATTAAATTGCTGATGGGTAACGAATATGCTAACTTAAGTGATAATAATTGAATTTCATAATCTTTATTGCTAAAATCTTTCTCTAATTCTAAACAAACAAGTTCAGATGAGGGGAAAGTCTTGAGTAATGGATAACAATTTAATTTTAATATTCTATGAATTGGGTTTTTGTAAATATCTATTATTTTTGCAAAATCTTTAGGATTTGCTGATGATTCTGATAGGTAACTCTATAGACTTCTCAAATAATTCAATTGCTTTTTAACTTCCACTTCAACATTATCCATTATTAATTTATATATAATAAATTAGTTATAATATCAAAATACAATACAGCCACATCCACCTTTTTTGGCAGAAGATTATTATGTATTTTAACCTTACTATTGTTTGTCATTTTATTATTAATTTTGAACTATAGGACTTAAACGAGTAACAGCCTCTTTTGCTTCAATATTACCAGCTTATGCTGCTTATTTATACCAGTATAGAGCCTATTATAAATTTAATTTAGTTCCAGTTCCTTCTTCATAAAGCACAGCCAGATTATATTAAGCATTTTCAAAACCACCTTTGGCTGCCTAGAGGTACCAATCAAAAGCTTCAGTGGGATTACATTACAATAACACTGTAGCCAAGTTTGTCATTGCACATAAATCCCCTTTATCTGCTGCCATTCTATAATATTTTTTGGCCTCTTCAATTTAAATATGAGTTCCAATTCCAGATCTATAAATATTACCAAGATTGTTCATAGCTGATACTGATCCCTTGAAAAGAAATAAAAAATGAATAAATACTAATTTAGCAGCTCTTTCAAACCAACTTCTACTCTTTTCAAAATCTTATTCTACTCCTTATCCAAATAAATGCATCAAGCCTAGTTAGAACATTCCTTATTCATTTTATAATTCAGCTGCTTTGCTAAAGTATTTATATGCAATTTTATAATCAGGAGCAACAACTCTACCTAAATAATAAATAGATGCCAGATTATATGCAGCTTAAGCATGTTTATTTGCAGCTAATTGATACCTAAAATTAATAATATTCAAAATACCATTAAATACATTCTTAAATATTTTATTGAGCCCCTTTTCCATCTTCATACATTAAACCTACTTTGAATTATGCATCAGTATCACCATCCTAAGCTAATTTAAGATAATGCTGCATTTCATCATAATCTGTTGTTTATTGCATTAGATTATAAAAATTACAATAAGAAATGTACTAAAATAATAATTTAATTTTTTATTCAAAAAGCTATTCAAAAAACACTGACAGAACCCTAAGAATCAAACAATTAATTTAATTTTAATTTATTTTTAGAAATAATATTACATATTTGTATTCTCTAACATTTAAAATATCAATAAGTCTATAAATTCTAAAGTTCTCTGTCATATTTATTATCATATCCAAAAGGAATTCAATTATCTAATTATCAAACATAACTTTAAGATGAATTATCAATTAAAACGATTTAATTTAATGATCTGCCAATTATTTTCAAATCTTTTATCTACATACTTCCTATTGTTAAACTAATACTATTTCCATAAAAATCTATGTGAGATTACATTATTTTCAAGGTTTAAATAATCCAAAACTTGTTTACCATAATATTGATGTGATGCAGTAAAAACTATGATTTTAGATTTTTATTATATTAATTCATGATAAAGAACTAATATCTCATCAAAATGAAAGAGTATAATTATTTTATCTAATTTACAATATCTTGACACCTTTATATATATAACTTGATATTTGATTTTGATAGCTATCGTTTTTAAATCATTAAGATCAACTGGTCTAAGATGATATGGTACATGATATCAACGGAGAAATCTAAAATAATCATGTAAATATGGGTGAATGAATAACTTACTTCATTTTTCTTAAGTAATCTTGAAATTAAACATTGTCTTTATTAAATAAAATACTTTTCAAAATACTTTAATTCTAAATTTATTATTGATTAAGATTACTGTAATTTCTTAGAATGATTTGGATATATCCATTAGATATTAGTATTTTATGGGTTTTTTTAAATATTCTATCATAAATCTGTTGATATTTTTGAACTTTATATCCAATAGAATCTAACTTTTATGATAAATTGAGTATATTTATTTGATTTAGAATAACAAAGGTATAAAATGAATTTAGGATATTTGAATATATTCATTTATTTGTTTCAGACTTATTGCTATAACAATTTAAACAAGAAAGTTTATTAACTTTTTAAAAGATTATACATAAGTAAATCAAATCAATCAATTGCATTTTTATTAAAGAATCTGATTGTACATTTGAATTGAATTTTATTATTTCTAAATTTATCAATTTCTTCTTTTAAAAAAAGAGTGTCTTAATAAAACTTTAGTTTGAGATAAGAAATATTAGAATTAGATTTTGAATTGATAGTGTGAACTGAAATAATTAGATCTTACTATAAAGTTGTCTTTGATTATAAATCAAATGTATTATTAGTTTCAATTTTTAGGTTTATGTTTCATTATTTAATTTATTATGTCATATAGCTACCTCTTTAAATTTATATTGATTGGTGATACAGGTATATATATTGTAAATTGCATTTAAAGGTGTTGGCAAATCTTGTCTTCTTTTGTAATTCATAGATAAGAGATTCAGATAAAAACATGAAGTTACAATTGGTGTGGAATTTGGTGCAAGAATGATTGAGTTTGATGGATAAAACATCAAATTACAAATTTGGGATACGGTATTGTCAAATTCGATATTTTTATAGGCAGGATAAGAATCTTTTAGATCTATTACTCGTTCTTATTATCGATCTGCTGCTGGTGCAATAATAGTTTATGATATCACTAAAAGGGAGACTTTCGAAAACATTTCTCGATGGTTAGAGGAAGCTAAATAAAATGGAAATCCAAAATTGACTTTTACTCTTGTTGGTAATAAGAGTGATTTAGAAGCAGAGTACTTTAAATATTCCTAATATTTAGTCGATAAGTGTCTTTTGAAGAAGGATAAGAATTTGCAAAAAATAATGGTATAGATTTTGTAGAAGTGAGTGCAAAGACAGCTAATAATGTAGAAGAAGTATTCCTTAAGACTGCCTAACAAATTTTAGAAAAAATTAATAACAATCAAATTGACCCTAAAAATGAAAGTCATGGAATTAAAGTAGGAACTGAATAAGGTGTTAAAAAATCCTTTATTAATAATACTCAATAATTGTAAGCACAACCAGAAGCTGAAGATAAGTAAGGATCATGTTGTTGAATCAGATATTGAATTACATATCAAATTATAATAGATTTTTATATTCATTATATATATAGAATATATATATAATCAATTTTTATATCTTTATATTATATATTCTGTTAAAATCTACAAATCAGAATTTAAAATTTTATTATTATTTTCTTAATTATCTAAAACTTACAACATCTAACAACTCTATACATTCATCTATTTAAAATTCTAAATTTCATCAAGAAGAGTGATTGAATAATCTTCATATCTAACTTCTAATTAATTGCAAATTTGAAATTAAAATATATTCAAGTTAACAAATTCTTAAATGTTGATATTATTTTATAATGCTTTTTCATAGATATTAATAAGAAAAACAAGTAATTATTATTTATAATTAAAATATTTATAATTTTAAGGAACTTTTATTACAACATTTTAATTTGAATAATAGATTTTTAGATAAAAAGTAGAAAATGCTTTGTCTAGAGCATTCTTAAATCTTTAACAAAATTATTTTAGATCTTAATATTTATTTTCAATAGATGAAATACTTTGAGCAATCTGAGTTAATTGTTATTAGTATTAATTAATAGAATAATTGAGATTTTTTAGAAAATCTTAATGTTATGGAAGAATAACTTTCAATAAAGATTTCTCTTGATCAATATTATCTTAATAACACCATTGATGTTTAAAAAGATCTTCAAAATTAATTCTATTTTTTGGATCTACTACTAACATTTTCTTTAATAAATCTTTACATTCTGCAGATACAAAGATATTTTATGGAAATTAAAGCTATTGTAATAAAAATAAAGTATACATTATTATTTTAAATTGTTAAGAGCAAGTCTTGAGCTGTTCCTTTCGAAGACACAAATGGAGGATGACCATATAGAATTCGATATAATATTACTCCTAATGACCATATATCACATTTATGATTATAGGAATTAGAATTTCTAATTTTTTTTTAATAGAAATTATAATTACTTTAATATTTCTGGAGCCATTGTTGTTGGTGTACCACAATATGTTTATAACAATTCATCATTTATTAGAAATTTAGCATAACCAAAATCAGCTAATTTAAATTAAATTTATTCATTTATTAGTATATTTGCTAATTTGAGATCACGATGGACAATATTTTTTAAACGTAAGTATTTCATGGCATCAAGTAATTGAAGTACAATTTATTTGGTTTCAGATTCAGGTAATGTTTTAGATGGATAATTTGTTTTGATAAACATTTATAAATCTCCTTAAGAACAATATTCTAATATCATATTTATTGAATCCTTATTTTATTAAATGTCTTTTAATTCTACAATATGTTTATGTTTTATAGATTTCATTATGTTTATTTCAGTTTCAAGTAATTTCTACAATTTTAACTTATAAATTCCTTCTTTAATGTCGAGATCAATTTATTTAATAGCAACTATTTCTTTAGTTTTTATATGTTAAGCTTAATAGACAGTAGCAAATGTACCCTTTAATATAAATATAAATTTATTACTTTGCCTAAAGTCTTTAAGATTTAATAATTCTAAATTGGATGTTTGCTCATTTATTATTATTTTAATGAAATAAAACATGTCTAAATCAATTATGTAGGATACTAAAACTTCATATGATGCTCCTCCTTTGGATTTCTCCAATCTGAATATCAAAACATTGGCTGATTTAAAACATGCTATACCAAAACAAGGAAAACGTAAACAAGCTCCTATGGATGAATAAAAGGAAGATAAAAAGAAAGAAAAGCAACAACAATAATAATAAGAAAATGAAAATATTTAAGTGTAACAGAATCAATAACAGGAATAAGAAGATGAAGATAAGTTAGAGGGTGATGAGAAAGAAAAAGAAAAACGGGAGTTGTAGAGATAAAAGGAAGAAAAATTGACACCAGTAATTGTACGTACAATAGGATAACCTGTTTAATAATCAACTAATGTATATAAACCAACAATTGATGAAAAAAAATAAACAAAGAAATAATTTTAAGTTCAATTAATTCAATGTTCATTGATCTTAAGTTATAATAAATTAACATCATTGCATAATTTTTACAATATCATTGATTAAATTATGATTAATTGTAAATAATTGTAATGGATTGATTTATCACATAATATGATTGAAAGTCTAGATTATGTAATTATTATATATATATATCCAGAATTTTGCTGATTTACCAAATGTAAAAGCATTATACTTACATGCAAATAAATTAAAAGATATTATGGAATTTGATAAATTACAATGTTTAACAGAATTAAGAACTTTAACTGTTCATGGAAATCCTTTTGATGCCATACCAAATTTTAGATTGTATATAATTGGATTGTTACCTACCATTAAAAAATTAGATAGTGTTTTAATATCTAAAAAAGAATTAGACAATGCAAATGTATGGAGAAATACATTTAGAATGATTAAACCACCTATAATTAAAATATGAAACTTAATCTCGAAATTTTAAATTACGATAATCCACTTTCTAACTTCTTAGTTAAAATCAAGTATGGCACTTAAGTTCATTAAACTTCTGTAGGAAACAATTGGAATCAGAAGTTCACTCTTGAAATGAAGAAAACTGTTGATTTAAAAGTGGAAGTATGGTAGAAAGATCAAGAATTTCATTTGATTGGAGAATCCCTTGTTCCTAAATCACAATAGATTCATCATCTTGATATTGTTGGACAAGGAAAAAAAGAAGGGGTTCTAGTAGTAGAATACAAAGAAGTAGAACCTTAGAATCTTAAACTCAACAATAAGTTAGAAAAACCTTAATCTTTAATCAAAAGATTGAATGAATCATTAAGTGCAGATGTTCAAAATAATTATGGAAATATTTAAGAGTATTTCACATAATAATTTGAGAATCATGAATTAAGTCATTAATCTAAATAAACAGCTTAAAATTTAACAATGGAATCATTAGAAAAAGCTATAAAAGGATTAAAAATTAATGAGAATCAATATCATTTTGATGATTATGATCAAAAGAATGTTATTGAATAAACTAAAATTAAAGCTCTTTAGAAAGAACTCATTAAAAAAGATCTACAAAAATATGAGAAAAGTAGAAGAGAAGTTAATTTATAAATACTTGATTTAGATGATATGGATCTAAGATTTGAATAGTAAGAGCACAAACAATAGATTTTGAATTTAAGAAAAGAACTTGTATAAAAATTATTGTATATTGAAGAAAAAATTGAACATTTGAAAAGACATTTAAAATTGGATTAAATGAATAAACATGCATCATAATCAATTATTAATAGTATAGCAGAATTAAGTTAGATTAGTATGTATAGAGAACCAATTGTTAAACCTGAAGTGGATCCTTAAAAGGAATAATAGAGATAAGAATTTATTAAGAAATAAATGAAAGAATGGAATGAATTATAAGAATAAAGATTAAAGTAAATAGAAATTCAAAAGGAAAAAATATAAAAGACAGAAGAGAAAATAAGAAAGTAATAAGCACTAATTTAAGAGGCTAAAACTAAGGAAAAGAGAGAGGAAATAGAATAAAGATTAAATAAGTTAAAGTAGAAATAAATATAAAGAGAATAAGATTTATAAGAATAAAATAAAAGATATTTGGAAAAAAAGAAATAACATTTACTTGCAGAAAAGTATGCCTAATAAGATGCTGCATATATTATGTAATTGTAAGAAATTAGAAAAAATAAATTGAAAGAAATGAAGAATCCTGAATTTGATTTATAGGAAATTATGTAATTTGAAAAGAAAATTAAAGAACTTAGAAAAGAAAAAGCAGCTGTTAGATAAAAAGAATGGGATGAAAGAGAAAAATAATGGAATAAATTTTAGGCATAATATTATTCTTAAAGTTATAAGAGGGCAAAACAATGTTATAAAGAATAAGACTTAAAAATTGATGAATCAAAACTTAGAGCTTAGGAAAGACTCAATTTACAGAGATCATATGAGAATGAAGTGAAATAAAGATATCAACCTCATGTATCTTAAGAAAAGAGATAAGAAATTGAAGAGAACATAAGAAAACTTAAATATGAACCTGATTTTAAAAAATATAGAGAATTATCTGAGAAAGTTAAGGAAAAACATATTTATTTTGGAATTGAATAAAAAGATTAATCAGGAAATAAGAAAGTGAAACTTAAGCCATTAGAGAATATACCTACTCCTATATCACCTAGACGTATAGGTGACTTCTATTTAAAGGAACATGCTACTTATAATAAGAAACATATTCCTCCTTTGGCAAGACCACCTGAACCACCTAAATCAAGTTAATCAGAATAAAAATTAGTTATAAAGGATTATTTGAAAGAATAGAGAATTAAAAAGTAATTAATAGAATAATAATCAGTAATAAATTTAAATATAATATTAGATGAAAAATATGAACTAAACTTAAGGATTGGAAAATGATGATTAGAAGATGATTATGCAAATAAAAAAGTAATTAGAAAAATTGGAACATATTTGATATTTTTATTATTCTCATAAATTTATAATTTATTAAATTTAACTTTATAGAATTCTGTTTAAACTATTTGGATTTTTTTAGAATGAAAAATTTTTAAATAAATTTTTGAAATAAGAGGGAACACAATATATTAGTTAAATAAATCAATGATCATATCTTAATTTTTTTTAAATTATTTTTATTTTAATAAATTAATCAGGTCAAATACTAATCCATGGACGAGGAGAAAAAATAATATAGTAAAATCAACAAAGAGATTAGATAAGAGATTATTGATAAAATCTGCTTTCAAAAAAAGCCTTTGTTAGAAGTATTTCAATAATTTTAAATATTTAAAAAGGTTGCTCAAGAATACTAGTTATTGGCATCTACGTGTAAGTCTATCGTTAATACTTACATGAAAGAAGGCAGAGTCGGTAAAAAAGAATCAAGAATTCGTAAATTAAATAAAGTAATAACAACTTACCATGTTATTTTAAACCCTCTTTAACCATTACTTTCTTAAGTATAAATATAAAAAAATGTGGAAAATTGTGTTGAATAATCATAAAAGAGTAAACATGAAACAGAAGAAGTTTAAGTTGATAATAAATAAGAATTACAACCTTTAGATTTATAAATTTAATAGTGGACTTAATCTTTATTAAACTAAATATAAGCATTAAACCAATAGTATAAAGATCCTTAATTAGTTCGTTAAAGTTGAAATGATTAATATAGATTATATACATATGATGATTAATAATATATTTTTATATAAATAAATATCTATTATTCTTAAATAATTAAAATATTTTACATTTTTCATATATCTCTCCAATGAACTTTCATACATTTAATTGCTTCAAAATAATTACCTTAAGTTTCCATCCAAAATTATTCAATAGTAGTTTAAGAAAACTCATCACATTTCCACATTCCTGTTTGAATTCCATATTCACAGAATGATCTAAACATATCCAAAGGTGCTCCATTTAATTTTATACCATATTTTTATGGTAAGAGTACATGTTTAGGTTAAAAATCATGTTAAAATAATTTATAAATGGATGAAGCAGTTATTTTAGTACCATTTTTTATTTTATGACCATCAAAATGCATAAATAATCTAGGTAATGACATATGATATGGTGGTACATGTCCCTTAAAATAATTAATAAAATATAATTACCCTTAAATCTTTATCAGATTCATAACGAAATGATGGTAATTGTGATGGTCTATAAAACCAATTAATACCATCAACAGCTACTAATACTTTATATTTTTCAGTATTATATAATTATTCCATTACTTCATAAACAGCATTAGTTGCATAATGAGCATTTGAAATACCATAATCAATAATCTCTTATAAGTATTAAGGTTTTGGAATTTTCAATGTAATTCTAGCAGACATAATTTAATCTTGGGCTTCTTCAAAATCTCTTTCTTCTTTAGTTATAAATTTCTCAAAATCTTTGAAATGATATTATCTTCTTTCATCATATAAATTGGGACAAGGATCAGGATCATTATCATGAACACCACTTAAATTGAATTTACCATAAAGACTTAAATCTACTTAAAAGGTTTTTAAATGTTCTTGATTAGCTTCTTTAAATTATTCTAACCATTCTTAAGCTGCTTTTGGTTACATATATAATCCAGTTTTAGGATGTCTTTTAGATTCATATTTTAATGAAGTCCAACTAAAATACTATTAATTTATTTAATACTTATATCCAGATGGAACAACTGCAACTATCCATCCAGTTTATTATGCATACATAATTGCTTACATTAATACACCAGATTTACCAGCACCATGATCTCCATAGAAAAGTAAATTACTTGAATATCCATAGTATTATTCCTATAATTTATTAATTGATTTAATACTCCAAATCTATTTTCAATTAATGTTTTTGGAACTGGAAATGGATTATTTACATATTATGTTAGATCCAAAGTAAAATCTTTAAATTGTAATGTTTTTACAGTTGAAAATAATAGTTCAGGCATAGATGCATTAGGTTATTATTTATCAATCTTTTCCAATAATTAATCAACAAGAGATTTAAAGAATTCTTTTCTTTATTCTGGAGTTCTTAATTATTATACTAATTCCCAATGATTCAATATAACAGTCAATAAGGCATCAAAATTAACACTTGTTGCAAATATTCTTTAAAATAATTCATTATTTCTATGTTTCTTAAGTTCATCATTAAAATCTCCTTTTNCAGTTATTTTAGTACCATTTTTTATTTTATGACCATCAAAATGCATAAATAATCTAGGTAATGACATATGATATGGTGGTACATGTCCCTTAAAATAATGAATAAAATATAATTACCCTTAAATCTTTATCAGATTCATAACGAAATGATGGTAATTGTGATGGTCTATAAAACCAATTAATACCATCAACAGCTACTAATACTTTATATTTTTCAGTATTATATAATTATTCCATTACTTCATAAACAGCATTAGTTGCATAATGAGCATTTGAAATACCATAATCAATAATCTCTTATAAGTATTAAGGTTTTGGAATTTTCAATGTAATTCTTGCAGACATAATTTAATCTTGGGCTTCTTCAAAATCTCTTTCTTCTTTAGTTATAAATTTCTCAAAATCTTTGAAATGATATTATCTTCTTTCATCATATAAATTGGGACAAGGATCAGGATCATTATCATGAACACCACTTAAATTGAATTTACCATAAAGACTTAAATCTACTTAAAAGGTTTTTAAATGTTCTTGATTAGCTTCTTTAAATTATTCTAACCATTCTTAAGCTGCTTTTGGTTACATATATAATCCAGTTTTAGGATGTCTTTTAGCTTCATATTTTAATGAAGTCCAACTAAAATACTATTAATTTATTTAATACTTATATCCAGATGGAACAACTGCAACTATCCATCCAGTTTATTATGCATACATAATTGCTTACATTAATACACCAGATTTACCAGCACCATGATCTCCATAGAAAAGTAAATTACTTGAATATCCATAGTATTATTCCTATAATTTATTAATTGATTTAATACTCCAAATCTATTTTCAATTAATGTTTTTGGAACTGGAAATGGATTATTTACATATTATGTTAGATCCAAAGTAAAATCTTTAAATTGTAATGTTTTTACAGTTGAAAATAATAGTTCAGGCATAGATGCATTAGGTTATTATTTATCAATCTTTTCCAATAATTAATCAACAAGAGATTTAAAGAATTCTTTTCTTTATTCTGGAGTTCTTAATTATTATACTAATTCCCAATGATTCAATATAACAGTCAATAAGGCATCAAAATTAACACTTGTTGCAAATATTCTTTAAAATAATTCATTATTTCTATGTTTCTTAAGTTCATCATTAAAATCTCCTTTTNACATGTTTAGGTTAAAAATCATGTTAAAATAATTTGTAAATAGAAGATGCAGTTATTTTAGTACCATTTTTTATTTTATGACCATCAAAATGCATAAATAATCTAGGTAATGACATATGATATGGTGGTACATGTCCCTTAAAATAATGAATAAAATATAATTACCCTTAAATCTTTATCAGATTCATAACGAAATGATGGTAATTGTGATGGTCTATAAAACCAATTAATACCATCAACAGCTACTAATACTTTATATTTTTCAGTATTATATAATTATTCCATTACTTCATAAACAGCATTAGTTGCATAATGAGCATTTGAAATACCATAATCAATAATCTCTTATAAGTATTAAGGTTTTGGAATTTTCAATGTAATTCTTGCAGACATAATTTAATCTTGGGCTTCTTCAAAATCTCTTTCTTCTTTAGTTATAAATTTCTCAAAATCTTTGAAATGATATTATCTTCTTTCATCATATAAATTGGGACAAGGATCAGGATCATTATCATGAACACCACTTAAATTGAATTTACCATAAAGACTTAAATCTACTTAAAAGGTTTTTAAATGTTCTTGATTAGCTTCTTTAAATTATTCTAACCATTCTTAAGCTGCTTTTGGTTACATATATAATCCAGTTTTAGGATGTCTTTTAGCTTCATATTTTAATGAAGTCCAACTAAAATACTATTAATTTATTTAATACTTATATCCAGATGGAACAACTGCAACTATCCATCCAGTTTATTATGCATACATAATTGCTTACATTAATACACCAGATTTACCAGCACCATGATCTCCATAGAAAAGTAAATTACTTGAATATCCATAGTATTATTCCTATAATTTATTAATTGATTTAATACTCCAAATCTATTTTCAATTAATGTTTTTGGAACTGGAAATGGATTATTTACATATTATGTTAGATCCAAAGTAAAATCTTTAAATTGTAATGTTTTTACAGTTGAAAATAATAGTTCAGGCATAGATGCATTAGGTTATTATTTATCAATCTTTTCCAATAATTAATCAACAAGAGATTTAAAGAATTCTTTTCTTTATTCTGGAGTTCTTAATTATTATACTAATTCCCAATGATTCAATATAACAGTCAATAAGGCATCAAAATTAACACTTGTTGCAAATATTCTTTAAAATAATTCATTATTTCTATGTTTCTTAAGTTCATCATTAAAATCTCCTTTCAATACATTAAACATAATAATAAAATATCCTTCTTTTTTGAAATTATCTTTAGATAACTTTTTATAATTGAATATTTGTGGTATTCTTTTACTTGAATCAACATAATCAATTGTTTTAAATCCTTCATCTGTCATCATAAGTGAAAAATTTTTGGATAATTCAATTAAGTTTTTTTAGAAATCTCCTGGAGATAAGAATTTAAATGTTTTCTTAAATAACTCATAATTTAAGGGAATCCATTTTCCAATTTAAATAGGATTCAAATCCAACCAATTTTGTAAAAATAATTTTGCTTTTTCTCTTGGCATATTACTTTTAGTATTGTCTTCTAGATCTTTGATTGATGCTGGATCTGGTTGTTATGCTAATTATTCCACTTATTTTCTAATGTAAGCCTAATTAATTAGATTATGTAGCATTTTACTTATGTAATTGATTCTCTTACTACAGGATCTACTTTTTGAAATACTTTTTCAAGCAAATCCAATTCTACTGATTATTCAAGTGCAGGTAATACTTCATAAGTATATCTTTTAAATAGATCAACTTAATTAACTCTTTTTGGTGCTAAAACACCTGATTCTTTTTCAACTTATTCAGGCATTGAAAAAAATGGCTTTGTTTGATAAAATTTGGTTGTAGTTACTTTGGCCTATTAATAATGTTTCAATTTTAGTTTCTTGAATGCTTCAGATGCAGCTAACTAAAATTATTATAATCATAATACTTACCTTCATAACTAAAATTTATTTTATTAATATAAGTAATGAATAATACAATAATTCATTATTTATTATGCTATAACATCTTCAATTATTCCAATTTCTAAATATACTATACATGATTTAATTGTAAAATCCTCACAATAAAGATTATTCTAAATTATATTGTATACTATTAAATAGTATTTGATTTTATCTAATTGTATTCAATACCTATTTATAATTATATCTATATTCAATTGAATAAAGTCTAATCTAATATATTAATAAAAAAGGTTCAAAAAAATCCTATCAATAATCCATATAAAACATTTAAGCAAAATTATTTTATTAATAAAATTTCATCAAAGTTAAATAAAATAGAAGATCTATTAAATTTAAATAAACATATATTTAAATGTGATAATCTTTTGAAAGATAATAGAAAAGTGAGATTTTATTATTTTAATATTTATTTTTGTAAATATTAACAATATATAGTAAAATAATTAAGGCATATTTTTTTTTATTTTTATCATATACTTTATTTTACAACAATTAACAAGAAATTAATAAACAATATAAATAGTATATATTTCTATTGCATAAAAATTTAAATTAAATCATTAATATTAATATTATTTTATAAAACCCATAAAATAATAATATTAATAATAATATATAAAGAAATTAAAAAGACTATTAAATTTCATACCTTCTCGGCCTTTTGGCTAAGATCAAGTGTAGTATCTGTTCTTATCAGAGTGATATCTGATATCTCCTACGAGGAGAATGATATCACTGCAATTTTTAAATGGGGCTGGGTTTACTTGGGGCTTGCTCCGGTCCCAGCATAGTCGACCCTGACTTACACGACCTCGGGGAACGGCTAACCCGCTACTTTTTAAATTAAACAAACGAAATTTATTATTATTATATATTAAGATAAGGGTGACCAAGAGATTCTTTGAGTAAAATATAGAAATAACTATTCACTTTTTGGTGAATGGATTTAGTAATTAATTGTTAAAGTAAAACGATTTGTTCAAAGAGAGATTTTGATATTAAATAATAAATAATAAGTATGTTTCGTATGTTTGATCCAATGTATTAGTCAATGAACTAAATCTTAGAGGAGAATGGTAATATATTATGGTTGGGAGATTGCACTGCTGCATATGATAGAAGTCTTTTGGATGGGAGAGGAATTAAGACAGTTTTAACAGTAGCTGCAGGATTAAATGTGTCTTATCCTGAAGGTGGAATAGTGCACAAAGTAAAATAGATATATATAAATATAAGGTTTATCACATATTGGATATTGAATCAGCAAATATAGCAAGATTATTTGGGGATACTTGTAATTAGATAGGAGATGGGTTAAAAAGAGGAGGTGTATTAGTACATTGTGCAGCAGGAGTGTCAAGATCGGCTTCAGCAGTGATAGCATACATAATGAAGACTAGAGGGTTGAATTTTTAGGAAGCCTTCAATTACGTAAGAAAGCGTAGAAGTGTAGTATTCCCAAATTATGGGTTTTAAAGATAATTAAGAAATTATGAGAAAGATCTCAAATAAATAAAAGCAAAAGAACCAGAGATTAACATAAAATAGACATAGAAAACGCCTTAAGAAATTGCAATGGATAAGCATGAGTAATTCAACATTTAGTATTTGGAATAGAAAGCAAAGATCCTTATAAAACCTGTGTCAGGTAATCCAACATTCAATAGTGGTTATTCAACACCATAAAAATAATTCTAGAAGTAGAGGATGTTATACCAATCTGCTAAGGTTGGAAGTTAAGAGCCCAAGTAAAGTTCAATAACTTAAAATTCGAATAGAGCTAATTCCTAAATGAAAAATAAGATCTTTGAGCCTTCATTTAATTAAACTTATTAAGGTCCTTAGATAGTAACTTACTAAAGAAATAAACTTGTAGAGAAGATGCCAGATATAAAGAAGAAGACATTTTATAAATGAAGATAATATATATATTTAATTAATTTATCCTCCAATATATTATTGAATGAGTATCGCTAGTAATTTTATTATAAATAAAAAATCATATGTTTTAATTAATTAAATACATACAAATTTTCACCACAAACTCATTCATTTTATTTCTATCTCATTTCAGCAAGTACATTGAATACTTTAACCAAACCTTTAGCTGCAATAACTTTCAACTCTCTTTCTTAATCTCTATTGGTTGATACTCTTGGATCAATATGTCCTTTTTCAACAACAGCCCTAGTATGTTTAATTTTTCTAACTTTTTAATGCTTTTCTTAATTCCAATTTCTTTTTGTTTTTATTTTTCACTTGTGAGTTCATTCAATATTTTCTATTTATCTGCCATAATAGCTTTATCACTTTTAACATCTCTCTTAATAACCCCAGATAACAATTATTTTAATGATTTTTTAGTTTATTATTGTACCTCTTCTTGTTAACTTTCATGTTCCTCTTAATGTTCATCTTCATCTTCTGCATCAAATTTCTTAATCAGATTCTTAACTTTCTTAGATTTTATTTGTCTATTCAGCATTTTTATATACAATAATAATTTATCACAAATCATCTTTATCATAATCAGCATCTTATAAATCTTCTGGATCAAAATTCTTCATTTCTTCCTTAAATTACTATAGAGTAATTTTGCCTTACTTCAATTTCCTTACTAGATTTTACTCCCTAAGATTAATATAAATTAATTACGCTCTTAATTCTTCATCATCTTCTTAATTATGTTATTATTTAACCTTCTTTCTAATAGATTTAATATTCTTAATGTTTTTTTCTTATTTCTTAGATACTTATTATTTAGGTAATTATTTAGGTAATTATTGTATTTTCTTTTCTTCTATTTTCTTATCTTTATTTTCTCTTTTCTATAAATATTATTTTTCTTAATTCTTATCTAAAAATGGAATAGTATTTGGATCAATATGACTTTATTCAAATTCAATTCTCTTACTTAATATTTCTTTGATTCTAGGAATTCTTAAAAGAAAGAATGAATAAGCTACTTAACCTATATTTAATTAATTAAATTGAAACAATATTTGTAATTTATGTTCTTTGTAACTACGAATAAATGAAATAAATGCTGCTTTACCTTTTTCAATAATATCCCTATCTGTAATTATTATATTTAAACATCTATCTTTCAATTATTAAAATTAACAATCAAATATAACACTGTCTAATTAATTCATTTCAATATTTGATCTACCTAAAAATTAAATGAAACCTCTTTCATGTTATTCAAGTAATAGAATTGCTTCTCCATCTCTTCCTTATCTTGCTGTTCTACCTGATCTATGAATAAAAAAACTAGGATCTTAAGGTGGATCAAATTAAATAACCAAAGGAACATCATCAAAATCTAATCCTCTAGCCAAAACATCTGTTGTAAATAATATAACATTATTTGTTATTTTGAAATTACTAACTATCTTTTATCTCTTTTTTTAAGCCATTTATCCATTCATACTTAAAATATTACAATCAGGAAATAACTATTTAAATATGATACTATAATAGACAACAGAACAACAAGTATTAAAAAATATAATACTCTTGTTATTTTAACATTTCTTTTCAATTAAATCAACTAATCCAGCAATTTTATCCATTCTATTTTCAAATAAATGATAATAATTTTTTAATTTGGCTGGCATCATCTCATTAACATTAACCTTTACTTATACTGGATTTCTTAAACCTAATTTCATAAGATCATGTATTTTAGCAGATGACAATGTTGCTGAAAATAAACCAGTTCTTCTCTATTTTGGTAACTTAGATAATATGAATCTAATGTCATCTTAGTATTCATTACTCATTAGTCTATCTGCTTCATCAAATATCAAATATTCCAAAGTTTTTACATTAATTTATAACTCAGACATATCTAACAATTATCTTAACTTACCAGGTGTAGCTATAAGTATATTACATCCTTTTTCATTTAAAAATTTGACATCATGTTCATTAGAAGTTCCACCTATAGCAAAGGCTATCTTCGCTTAATTTACACTTTAGAATTTCTTTGCTACATCATAAATTTATTATGCCAATTCTCTTGCAGGTGATAATACTAAACCAAATAGTTAATGATCAGAGTATTTCTATTTTGAGAATTGATTAAATAATGGAACTAAAAATGTTAATGTTTTTCCAGATCCTGTTTAGGCTTCTACAGCCACATCATAATTTTTTATGAAGTGTGGAATAGCTGCTTTCTATACAGGCATCAAGTACTAGAATTTAAACTCATCTGCCATCACTTTTTGAATTATTGGCTCTAGGTTCAATTCAGACCATTAATTTTAAGTTGTCATAATTATTGAGAGTAGTGTATAAAATAATAATCACTTATTCTCAACTTTCATCCAATCAAAATAAACTCCTTTTTCTAAGAATTCACCTAAACAACTAGCTTTATTGGCACGAGTCATCAATTCCATTTCCCAATGATATTACTCTACACCAAATTGATATTTCTCAGTCATGTCATAAAAAGTCTATTCTAAATCTCTACAGAAATATTTTTTAGTTATTTAATATGAAATCATCGTTAGAACTCCATATTAGAATAAGAATTTCATAGGTTTGAATGAAGTTCTTTTTAATACAATTTTATCCAATGTCAGCATTAAGCAATTCATCCTTAAAAAAGCACTATATGTATGTGCTTATTATAAAAATTCAGCTTTTTAGCAATCTTATATATCAACTTAAGAAATCAAACCAAGACAATTATTGTATTAGTAAAAATACTTGAACACTTTTATTTTATCATTTTAATCTATAATGAATTCTTCGAAGTTTGTAAGTTTTTATATTAAATTAATGATTATAATTAATTTCTGTACTTTTATTGAAAAATCAATTAATTTTTTTATTACTTATAATGACTAAAATTCATCATATCCTCTTTGTTAATAATCCAATTTATAAAATAAATAGTATTTGTTATTACATTATTTAATAATATAATTTAAATTAAATCATTATTGATAATGCATCAAGTAAGACAAACAGTTTTTAGTCTAAATTCAATAAGCTTTGATCTAATCGATAATTTATTCTAAAGTATTTTAAAGTCTATAGACAATAATAATTGAAAAAAATCAACAATCAGAAAATAACAGTTTACCCATTTATAAAATAAAAAATTATAAACATTTAAAAAAAATTATAATATAATAGAAATTCAATATAAATTTAATTAATAAATTTTGATTTTATTTAAGAATTACAATTTATCTCGAAATACTTATAAAATAGGAATTTCAAAATATCCCATTTAGAATTTATGAAGTTTATAAACTCAAATTATTGAATTTAATCTACAAATAATAAATATGATAAGTATATATATAGCTGTAGCTTCATTCATAATGAGTGTATTTTACTTTGTGGTTCTCTTACCATTGGTTCCATTGCTAAAGATAAAACTATAACTTGGATAAAAGGCAGTATTGATGTATTATCCTTTTGCTGGATTGAGTAAGATTTGGAACGATTCAATTACAAAAGAGAAAGACTTACTAAAGACAATAAATTAACAATTGATAAAGAATCCAAATGTTGTTGTAATTTTATCAAATTTCTTACACAAACCTTTATTGATTTGGACAGGATCAGAGTATATAAAGGATATGTATTTGGATCACACAAGTTATGTTAAAATTGACCCTTTCATGGTTGAATCTGTAGGATAAAAAGGTTTAGTTTTAAGTGAAGGGGATCGTTGGAAGAGATAAAGAAAACTTTTAGGAACTGCATTCACATTTGAGAAACTAACTTCTCGTTTACCTATGATCAATTAGGTAATAGAGAAAGTATCAAAAGATGATAAAAAAAGAAATCTAAATGAATTTACTTCAAGAATTACTGGAGAAGTAGTGATTCATAGTTTCTTTGGTGAGTCGACAAATGGATTTTAAATAGAAGGAAAAGATGCTTAGATATCTATAGTTGAAATTCTAAGTGAAATATTCTTATTGCCAATGAATAATCCATTTATTCAATTTAAACAAATGTTATTTGAGTATAAATCATGGTCAATATTCCCAACATAAAAGGAGAAGGATCTACTAAGAAGAATATATAACTTTAAATAAGTAATTTAGGAAATGATAGAGAAAAGAATTGAATAACTTAAAAATTAATAATTAGAAAATTAGGATAAAATGGTATTCTTAGATTTATATGTTACTGAATATTTAAAATAATAATAAGATAAAAAATAAGAAATTGATATTGAGGAAATAATCCATTAATTTATAACATTATTTTTTGCAGGTACTGATACAACTGCAACTACTTCAGGAACTTGTTTATATTATTTAGCTGAATATCCAGAAATGTAAAATGAAATATTAAAAGAGGTTATTGAAATAGTAGGTGAATAAGGAGATATAAAGGAAGAACATTTGAATAAGTTAGTGAAAATAAATGCATTGATTTAAGAAGTGTTAAGATTAAGAAATCCTGCATTTTGTCCAATATTTAGAACTGTTAGATAAGATAAATAATTATTAGATGTAAAAATGAAAAAAGGATGGTTTACACTTTAATATCATATTGGTCCAGGATTGCTTGATAAACATTTTGAAAATGCTTAATAATTTGATTATAAGAGATGGTTAAATAAAGGAAATGTAATTAAAAATGATAATGGATTTATACATATACCATTTGCAGCTGGACCTAGAAATTGTTTAGGATAACATATGGCAATTATGGAAATAAAGATGATTATTGCTAGATTAGTAAGATAATATAAAATTTAATTGAATCCTAAAGTCAAATAAATTACTTTTGGAATGAAATTCTTGTATTGTGTAGAACCAGATAATTGTTTGATATTTGAAGAAAGAAACTCTGGATGATTATATAGATTATTTTAAAATTATTAATTGCAATAAATTATCATTCTGGTTTAATTTCTTCTGCTTTTCTAAAATAAATATATAATAAATAACATTACTTTTTAACAGTTATTACTAAAGCCTTCTCTTCATTGAAAAATCTTGTCTTTACTGGACCTCTTGAAACTCCAGTTTTTATTGATTTAGTATAATTAGATTATATAATTCCAAATTATTTAATTTCTTCATTTGTCAATTCTCTAGGTTATTATGTTGAATCTCTAAGTATAATCATTTATCCATCATTTGTTATAAATAATGGTTATGATCCTAATAAATAATCATCATTCTTTAATGGAATCCACTAAATAATATTTATATATATATATATACTTCTTCATTTAATAATTCATATCTATTGAATCTATGAACAGCAACTATTCTACATACTTCAATATTCTCAGCTTTAATTCCAAATACTTAACTAAATTGATCTGCTAAATCTGCACCACTCTAATTTTTACTAACAACAAATTCAAATCTTTCTGAAAGATCCCATTTTTCTTAATCCCAAAATCTAGCATGAATAAATACATCTTTAGATGTTAAATGTTACCATTCATCTTACAATTATTCTATTGCTATCATTCTCATTTCTACAATTCCTTATTCTTTTAATGGTTTATCTCTATAAACTTTATTTAAACGATCAGCTATCCTTTCTCTAAGTCTAATATGTTTAGAATCTAATTATATTCCACTCTTCTCAGATGCCCAAATAGCCAAATCATTTATAAATTGACTTATAGGTTTATCTCCTGGAATAGAGTACTCACCTAATTCTTAAAATTAATAAAAATTTCTATCTTCTTAGAGATTAGGAGCAGATGCTATTGAGATTATACATCTGTATTCTCCTAAATTTAAGGGAGTACCTAAATCTAAATGTATTGATGATCCTCTCACAAAATGATTAAGTCCAACTTCTACAGTCATGTCTTTTAATTCTAATCCAGCTCTTCCACCTCTTCTCAAAATCAATTTTTTAGGAGAAATTCCTATTTATTTACAGATTTTCTCTTTTAATTCCATCATTGTAGCTCTATTATCAATTGTGCAGATAAGTGGATATAAATCTTCAGGTTAACCTTCTTATGTTGAAAGTTAAATTGCTTTAGTAGGGTCATTGAATTTTATAGTAATTCTATGTTCATCTATTTCAAATTCTTTGAGCCAATTACTATTTTCAGTTTTAGGTTCAAGATAAAAGAGACTATTTTCATAATAACCTTCAATTGGTTTATCAGGATTTAAGATTTCTCCAAATTCACCATTTCTTTTTAATAATTAATATTCTCCTTCTAATTTATATTCTTTCTTTGATGTTTCAATTAATTCATGTATAAAATCATTTTTATTAACTGTTATTTTTTTAGCTTATAAAGTTTTCTCATCTAATGCTTCTAGATTTTCTTTATATAAAGCAATTCTAAATATAATAGATTATTCATTATATGGTTTCCATTCTTCATTTTATTATTTAAATTCAATAGATACACATTTATTTTATAATTTAAGTGCTGCCAATGATCTCATTTCTTTACCTTCAAAAGTATCTTAAAATTAATCTGTATATGGATTATAAATTCTTATTCTACAATTATCTCTATCTTTAATTTAAAAATGATCAAGTACTAATTATTTAAAATTATGAAAACTTGTACTATTTTCAAGAGTAAAAGTCTTAACTTCTAATTTATAATGAGCTTTAATTGTTATAGGTTTTTAAAGTGCAAATAAATCTTCATTTTAACCTCCTTATTATCTGAATTCTTCTAATTTAAGTCTTTCTTCTTATAATTTTAATTAAACATATTCAGGTAATTCATTTTCTTAAAATTATCCACCCCAAGTTCCCCAAGATTCTTAATTTGGTTCAACCTTCCTATAAAATAACATATAAGCACTTCCACCAGAATGACCTCCAAATGTTTTTACAGGAATATCATCTGGATTAATATAAGTAACTGAGCTATCATTAAAACAATACCATTATCCATCTTCATGAGAACGTATATACGCAAAGTAATGACCACCCATAGCACCACCTGAATGATTAAGAATAGAATATAATTAATATACATTTGGACCATCTTTTAAATATTATCTAATTTAATTATCTTATTCTAAAATTGATTCCTAACATTTCTTCTTAACTAATTCAATATATTTCTTTCTCTCTTCTGTAGTATCTAATATTGGTTATTATTATTATTTATCTTATTCTTCATTCTTACTTTTTTTTTATTAATCATTTTAAATTTAAGACTCTTAATTAAAATTATTAGATTAAATTTTAGGAGCATCTTAATATTCTAAATCATGATCAAAGACTGGTAATGGAGGCGGTGGAGGAATATTAGTTTTATTTTCATTAATATTTGTTTATTATTAAGATTATTTTAAATCTTCTTAGATTTATTAATGAATGATTTATTAAATCTATTCATCTTCTTACATAGTACCAAATGTATCAATTACATTACCTTATTATTATTTTGCTACTTTCTTTTATTGTTTAATAAAATCTTTTAATCCTTAATTAGGTCTAGTCACTTTAGTTGTTTTTGTAGTATGTTATGTTGGTTATACTTTATTTTAAGTAGTAGTTGTTTTAAATTATTATTTTTTTGGTTAAACTAATTCTTCAAAATAAGATGGATCTGTATCTTCTGATATTTTATTAGGAATCTCATCATAAGTTTTAATGTAATTATTCATATTAAGAACAAAGGGAAATACCATTTTATCATCCAATTTTTCCCTTCTCATCATTATATAATCAAATGCAAAACGATTGATATGAACATTCAATATTGATGGCAATTTATAAATTAATTATCCTCTATGAGCATCTTGTTTAGCTTAACATGATTCACAAAAATATTAATTATTCCCCTCCAATTTCTCTGGTTTAAGACTTCTTTATATTGCTAATTCCAAACTGTTATTATACACTTTACTCCATTTATCTTTCAAAATAACTGTATAATCCATAAAGACTTCTTGTCTTTGACTTTCATAATTACATTTCAAGCATTTTGTGTAATGTAGATATGCGCCTTATTTTATATAATAATTATACCTTCATACAATTCCTTTACAAAATTACAATTCTAATCACTCTATTCTATAGCATCAAATAGTATACGAATAAATTCTTATATATCATGTTATTAAAATGCTTAATGAATGTCCCATTAAAATGATTTTGTAAGATCTCTTGTATCAATATACTCGAATATTTTAGTTTGAAGTCTTGCATAAAGCTTTTAAAGTTAAAATGGTATTGAATCAATCTCTTCCCCATGTATTGAATGTTCATACTTCCATAAATATAATCCTCTACGAAATTCTGGGGTCATGAATAAAGTCTATAACACAGAATTCATATAACAAGTTGCACCTATATTTTAAAGTCCTAAGTATGGAGCATCAATTTAATATGAATTTGTAGTCATTTAAAAATTATTATAATTAACTCATTTTTCTAATCAAATTTAAGCACCCTTATAAAATAATTATTTATGAAAATTATATATAAATTTACTCAATAAGTTCTTTATCAGAATAAACAATACACAATACTTAAACCATCATAATTATCTGTACCTAAAGAAGCATTTATTGCTAAAGTAATTAATAAAGATGGTAGTACATCTTTACATGATCTCAATAGAGAAATTAAATAGGATTGCACAATTGAATTTTTAGATTTCTCTAATTAAGATGCCAGAAGAGTCTTTTGGCATTCAAGTGCTCATGTTTTAGGTGCCATTCTAAGTAAATTTGGAGCTGAATTAGAATTTGGACCATCAACTGAAAATGGGTATAATTATAAATTACATTTCTTAGATTCTATTATCAATGTAAATTAGATAAGGAAATTGAATTAGATTAATTAAATTAAGAAATTGAATAATATTTAAAATAGAAAAAACATCTATTTGAAATACAGAATATTTCATATGATGAAGCATTAAAATTATTTAACAAAAATTCATATAAATTAAGTAAAATAAAATAGACTGCTTTGCAAAATTATTAGATTTATAAATTAGATGATTTCATTGATTTATGCAAAGGTCCTCATATTGATCATACAAATCGAATATATAAATTAATAATCAATCACTCATAACCTTATTAAAATAGTTTTAGGTATTAAGGTATTGCATTTCCAAATTCAAAATCATTTTAAGAATATTAGAAATAATAAGAATGTGATCATAGACATATAGGAAAACATCAACATTTATTTGTATTTAATAAATTAGCTCCAGGAAGTGCTTTCTTTTTACCTCATGGAACTAAAATTTATAATAAGTTAATAGAAATGATTCGTAAAGAATATAGAGAACGTGGATATTAAGAGGTCATAACACCATAATTATTTCATAAAGATTTATGGAAATAATCTGGTCATTTAGATAAATATGCAGAAAATATTTATATGACTCATGATAATTAAATGGGATTGAAACCTATGAATTGTCCTGGTCATTGTTTATTATATAAAACATTATAGCATAGTTATAAAGAATTACCAATTAGATTTGCTGATTTTGGTGTATTACATAGAAATGAAGTACATGGTACATTAACTGGATTAACAAGAGTACGTAAATTTACATAAGATGATGCTCATATATTTTGTACAATTGAACAAATACAATAAGAAATTAAAAATACATTAGACTTTTTAAGTAAAGTATATGGTCGTTTTGGATTTACTTGGGAATTAACTTTATCAACTAGACCTGATAAATATATAGGTGATTTACAAATATGGGATGAAGCTGAAAGATAATTAAGAATTGCATTATCTGATACACCATATACAGAAAATCCTGGAGATGGAGCATTTTATGGTCCAAAGATAGATGTTTTAATAAGAGATCATAATTAAAAATAACATCAATGTGGTACAATTCAATTAGATTTCAATTTACCAGAAAGATTTGATCTTACATATCATCATGAAAATGATAAATTTTCAAGACCAGTAATGATCCATAGAGCTATTCTTGGTTCTATAGAAAGAATGATGGCTATTCTTACTGAGTAATATAATGGGAAATGGCCATTTTGGTTATCTCCAAGATAAGTAATGATAATTCCTGTAAGCGAAATTTCAAAGTCATATGCAAAAGAAATTTATGATTAATTGTATAAATTAGGATTTGAAGTGGAATTGGAAGACACTGAGCAGACATTAGGAAAAAGAATAAGAAAGGGAGAGATGTTGCATTTCAATTATATTCTAACTATTGGAGTTAAGGAGTAAGAGTCAAATACAGTTGATGTTAGAGAGAGAGGAGACAATCATAAGCATTAATCAATGAAATTAAATGAGTTTATTAATAAAATTATTCTATTATGATCTAAAAACCTTAAGAAGATGGTCCACTTAAACCATAAGATTTATCTTATTGTGGAGATGACCAAAATTTTATGCAATTAGAAAAAGCTTAAACTATTGAAGAATTTGTAAAATCTATGGGAAAACGAGATTTTTAATATGAATTTAATTATCTTAGATAAATTACTGAAACTAAAGAACATGATAAATAGCTCTTTACAAATGTCCAAGTTTAAAATTTGAATAGATTCTCTAATATTTTGCCATGTATGATGATGTATAAATGTATTTTTAATTTCACATACAATGGTAAAAGCAGAGTTTTAAACAATACATCAATTTTGTACTCCAAAAGAAAAATTCTACATTAATGCAAATTATATAAAGGGAATTAATAATGCTGAAAAGTATTATATAGCTACTCAGGGACCCATTCCAGAATCTATAAATGATTTTTGGTATATGATTTGGACTAATAATGTTGGAGTTATTATCATGTTGTGTACTGAAGGCTCAATAGGGTCCTTATGAAGTGAATTCAATTTTATTAGAGGAGAATCCATAATCTCTTTTAAAAAAATAAAATAATCATTAAATGTTAGGAGTAAGATCGAGAGGTTATTAATTATTAATGGACAGATTGGGATGATTTTGGAGTTGTAGAAGACGATTAATTCAAAATTATTGATATGCTAGCTGAAATTGCAAATACATCTGCTATTTAAAATAAAAGATTAGTAATTCATTGTAGTGCAGGAATTGGAAGAGCAGGTAAATTTATAGCCATCTGTCAATTAAAATAATTATTAATTAATAATAGAGCAAAAATATCCATATTAAGTATTGCAAGAAGAATAAGAGAATAGAGACATTTTAATGATCTAGACAACAGAGTAATATCAAATGGTTTATCGATTCATAATGTGTTTAATAAAAAAATTAAAATTCATTTGACATTGATGAAGAATTAATTTATTATTTTTCATCCAAATTATTATTAACTTAACATTTTGTTAATAATTTATTTATAAATTCCATATGATCTAGTAAATCAATAAAAAAATAATGTATTTAATGTATAAATTTGATTTTATTTTTTCTAAAATGTTCAATATATCCTTTATATTTAATTAATGAAAATATGAATAGATAAATTTAATTAATTAAGTCATAATAAGCTATTTAATATTTTATTTTATATTATAAAAAATTAAAAAAAAAAGAACAGCCGATTGAGAGAATTGAACTCTCGACCCTTTGCTTACAAGGCAAAAGCTCTAACCACTGAGCTAAACCGGCTCGGTTATTTAGTATTCCATTCAATCATTTATGAGATGCCCGATTCATTTGATAATATAATTTAATTAAACTCAATACAATTAAGGCATACTCATTATCTCTAGATCATCTTAATATCCTTCTCAATTAATTTTTTTGATCTACTCTTATCAAGATGTCTCCTAATCTCATACATATATCTAAAATTAACTAAGAAATCATAGTAATTCAAAATACACTATATAAGAAGTGTTATAATAATGAAAATCACTTAATTTTGCAATACATTTACATTTAGATATATGTCTAATATATGAAATTGTTTCTAAAATATAAAAATGAATGGAATTGAATTATTTAATAAAAATTAATATATGACTACAGTGTCTGTGGATTTTTTACAACAAATTACTCTTCTAGGTAAGCAGTTTTTATTAATTTCAATAGATCCAACGAATAGGAAACAAACTATCATAGAGTTAAAGAAGGTCCTCACCAAGCCATTGCTAATTTCAGATTATAAAAAAATTTGGAAGGCTCTCTATTATGGTATTGCACTTTTTAATTGTAAGCAATGTGGAGCTCAGACAAGTTTCAAAATCAATAGATCCTTGCAACTGAAATTTCATAGCTAACAAGAATGTTCTACTCTAATTTCACTGCATTCATCCAATTCTCTAGAGCTATGTTCTATGTATTTATGCTAGAATGGGAGAAGATTGATTACTGGCGAATTAATAAATTTATGCTTTTATTTAGAGAAATCATAGAAGAGTAAATTAAAATATGCAAGCATTTTAATTGGAAGACAGTTCCCTAAATAATAGCCTTATATAATGAGACTGTTTTGAATCTTACAGAATTTCAAACAGGTATGATTCCATATCTTAACTCTTTTTTAGTATAAGGAGCATCATTGCACTTCATCCAAATATTTGTTTAGTGTATGGCTAAACATATGAGTGATTCTACTGTTACATATGTTCAAGTTAAAGATCTTCTTGAAGGTTTCTTAGATATTCTTAAGCACAGTCCAAATAAGACATTAAGAGATAAAACAATTTAATATGTATATGAATACTTAGAAGAAAGATAAGCTAATGAATCCTATTTACCAGCTTTTGATTCTAAAAAATATGGGAATTATGTATTTAAATTAGCTTCTTCAGAGTAATACAATATTTATTATATTTAGAAATGTTAATCCATAAAATAGGAAGTCTCTTTATAGAGTTGCAGAGATTTTTAATTTTAAGGGAGAATAGGAAGAATCACCATAAATTTAAGTAGAAGAAGCTCCAAAAAAGAAAAAGACAAAAAATAATAATTAAGAAATTCAATAAATACATAAACCATAAGAAACATAATAATTTGAAGAAAATTATGTATAATAATAATAAAATGAAGAAGAATAATTTAATTAGTAAGATGAATAAGAGGAATAAGTGGTATAATAAGTACCTTAAAAAGTATAAAAAAAGAGTGGAAAAGAAAAAGTAATAAAAGAAAAGGAGTTATAATAATAGTAATAAAACAACACTAAAATTAAATAAAAGGAAGAGAAAGCAATTTTGAAATTACATAAAAAATAAGAAGAACAAATCAATTCTTAGTATTAGTAAGATAGTTCAATTCAAGATGAAGATACTATTGAAGGTGATGATTATAGTGAAGTTAGAAAGAATCCAAATAAATTAAAAACTTTAAAGGAGATTATGAATTCTGTTCCAGTGTATTTATTTATGAATCCAGCTGAAAAACGCAAATACTTTAAATCTATAAATATGAAATTTTAAGATGCATTATAAAAAGAAAAAGGAACTCATTGTACACACAATAAGAGTGTCCACTTTGATTTAGCTAGAAATAAAGTGAAAAGTAATAATTGTGAATTTATTTTATTAGCTTTCAAATAAACAGACAATGTGCTAAGAATTTCTAAGTCATGAATTTGATATTTTATATGTATAATAAATATGGCAGAGAATGTGAAAAAAATTACTCTTAAAAAATTCACTTTAGACTTTTATTTGGCTAAAATTTGAAACGACTATTTAATAACTTAAATTTACATACGCATTTACAAAAAGAAGCTTTAGTTCAATGTATTTTCTTTCTATTCCTTCTTCAGTTTCATTCATTTTTGAACATTCTAAAATAGTTTCATCATCTCTCTTGCCAAGACGAGAAGAATAACTAAGCTAAGATTTACGTTTCTTTGCTCCTGTTAATTTTTCTAAATATGGATCATGTTAAAATTATTAAATCTTATTTTATGCTTTAATTTCAGGAGTCATAGAAATATTAGACTTACTATTTTTTACTCTAGAATTTGAATTAAAAGAAATCTTGCTTAACCTACTTAAAATACTAGGTTAGATTCCCAACATAACACTATTATTGAAATCAAGATCTGATATTGTGTCATTATAACTGCTTATTGATTAAATTCTACCCTTTTTTCGATGAATTTCAGGAGTTAGAGTAGATTTTTTCTGTTCTGGTGTTTTTAATAAAGAATTCATCTCTTATTCTATTGATTAATTTAATTAAGATCCTAAAATATTATTGGATGATAAATCTTCTTTGGTTTTTCTAAATCTAAAATTATTATTATGTATCTTTTTATTACATTGATGGTTTACTATTGAATAAATTACTGCTAGTACTCTAACCTTCCTTTTCCCCCCTTTAAGAGATGTTCCAATCAAAAACTAATTCTTTTGGTACATAATTGTGTTCGTTTTATATTTTTTTAAATAAGGATTAACAGTATTTATAATTTGGTTCTGATTTAAAAGGTAAGCCTCTAACATAATCTAAATATCTTCCAAATTCAATAGGTAGTCCTTTACATAATTCACTTACTTCCATCTTCATTTTCATCTAACCTACTTACTTAATTTTATTTTCTTCTGAGGTGAACTATAAATTTTACCATGGCAACTAACCTTTTTTATCAATAAATAATTATACCTTTAAGTAAAAATATTAACATATAACCAAGTGATTCCATATCATCTCTCCTACTTAATGAGTAACCTCTATGGGCATTGATGCTAGCATATCTAGATGTTCCTATGAATGGTTAATTTTCTCTAAATGAACTAAGTTTAATTTAATTGAGATTATACATATGTGATTCATTTTCATCTTTATAAAACTTACTGATGCCAAAATCTACAATATAAAGTTGATTATCATCATCATCTTTTCCAACTAAAACATTTTCTGGTTTTATGTCTCTATGTAAGACTTTGCTAAACTAGATATTCATTATACTTCTTATGTAAGCTTTCTAATATGTTGATCATCTATTCAGCTACATTAAGGACACATTTAAGAGAAAATTTTCTAAAAGTCTTCATATAATGAGTTAAATCTCTCCCTAAATATTGTATGACTAGAACATAGGATTCCTGTTCTTTTCCAGCCCAATACAATTTTGGTATATGTTATAAATGTTGTAGTCTTCTTAAAATTTCTGCCTAAAATAGAAAATCATAATACTTCTCTTAATAAGCTGGAATCTTCTTTATTTTCTTTGTCAATCTTTATAGCAACAAAATTTCTTGTATTAATATCTTACCCTTAATACACAACTCCAAATGACCCAGCAGAAACTCTTTTTTTTGTAATGTAAACATTGTTGATAATTTTCTGATTATTCATTTTGTGAAATAATAATCAGCTATATTAAAAGAAATGAAAATATTTAAATGATCTAAGTTGTTAAAAAAGTATATACAATAAATTTAATTAATCATTCTTACTACTCCTCATCATCATCATTAATTTCTGAATATTGTAAGTATTCTGATATAAGATCTTATACATTTGCACCAGCTTCAGTGAATTCCAATTCATCCATTCCTTCATTAGTATACCAATGAAGAAATGCTTTTCTTTTAAACATGGCCTAAAAATTATTGTAAATTCTTCTAAACATTTCATTTATTGCAGTTGTATTTCCAATAAATGTTCCTGAATTTACTACTCCCTTCTAAGATACATTGCATTATGAAACCTTCATATTATTAGGTAACCATTAAACTTAATTCTAATGATTCTTCTTTTAAAATTGAATTATTTATTTTTCAACTTCTGAACTTGAAAATTATCCTCTAAATAAACAAGCTCCAGTTAAATATTTTCCTTATTTGCAATTGATTGCACACATTTAATTTTAAGGATCAAACATTTAATCACTTACTTCAGATATTTTAAGAGATCTATATTATTAACTATGTCTAGAAATTAAAGGAGCAAATGAAGTTGTGAAGAAATGCAATCTTGGAAATGGTACCAAATTCACACTTAATTTTCTTAAACTACTATTTAATTATCCTGGAAATCTAAGTGAACAAGTTGTTCCTGACATTGAAGCTGAAATTATATGATTTAAATCCCCATAACAAGTATTCTTTAATTTTAAAGTATTTGTACATATGTTGTACAGGGCTTCATTATCTATTGACATACATTATGAACAATTTTCAATTAAATGATTTACAGCAACAGCAGTATTATAATATTCTACTACTGCATCACTTACTTTTACAGAAGGAAATACAGAATAAGCTTAAAATATTCTATCACAGTAATCTTCTTATAATTTTGATAGTAATAGAGTACCAAATCCTGATCCTGTTCCACCTCCTAAAGAATGGGTAATCTAAAATCCTTATAAACAATCAGAACTTTCAACTTGATGTCTTATTACATCTAAAACCTCATTTAATATTTCAGTTCCATTTGTATAATGTCCAATTGCAAAGTTATTACCTGCTCCACCTTAACTAAATATAAAATTATCAGGTCTGAATAATTTTCCATATCTGCTTGCCCTAATACTATCTAATGTTCCTGGTTCTAAATCTATCAATACATTTCTTGGAATGTATCTATTTCCATTTACTTCATTAAAATAAACATCCAAATATTATTAAAATTCATGTTCTTATTCGATTAATTGACCATTTTCATCAATTCTATGTTCTTAAGCTATTTCTTCCCAAAATTTAGTTCCTATTTGATTTCCACATTATCCTATTTGTAATTGTATTATTTCTCTCATTATTTTCTTTTATTATCTATTCTCATTTTAGATTTCCAATTTTTATATAAAAAATTATAAAAGAAATATTAATTTCTTACAATTGCTAATACTAATATATTTATTTTATATAATTAAAATCTAAAAATTATAAGTCCTAATTCATTAATTAAGAATTTAAAGCTAATATATCCTATAATATATACTATATAGAATGATCATCATATATATCAATCTGATGAGGCAATGATTAATCAAAATTATAAATAACTAAGGTAATTAAATAGAATTTAATTTGTAAAGCACTTAATATAGCTTAAAATAGGATAGCATGAAATGACTGATTTCAATAAATGAATAAAAAACTATAGAAGTTATAATTAATTATTATTTTAATAAAAAATTCAATTAATAAAAGTATTTATTTTATTAATTATATATATTCTAATTAAATTACTATTAAGTTATTGAAATCTATAAATAATAATGACTTTACATAAAGATTAGAGCAATAATTAAAATGATTATATTTAAAATCTTTAAATATCACAAATAAATTAAAATGATTTAGAATTATTTCTAATTCATACTAAAATAATCACTCTTACTCTATTTCTTTTTCATCATTGTCTTGAGTGTTTTAGGAATCATTTTAAACTTTCTTTTACTCATCTTATTATTATTATTGAGTCTAATCTTCTTATTATTTCTCATTAATATCTGACTCTAATTGAATTTAAATTTCTAAATTCTCTTCTTATTTATTTTACTTAATATCAATCTCATTGTTATCAATATTTTATGTGATTTCTTCTTCTTAATTTATTAATTCAACATTGTTATTGTTTTGATCAATATGATTGCTCTTTTCAAATTATTCTTCTAAAATCATTATTTCTTTATTTGGATTTTCATCAGGAACTGTAGCATTATTTATTTTTTATTATTCATCATCAGATATAATTTATTATTATTATTATTATTATTATTATTATTATTATTATTATTATTATTATTATTATTATTATTATTATTGTTCATTTTGTAATTTAACTTAACTTTAAGTCAATTATGTTTATTGAACCTTTTACAAACTAAATATTTAAAATTATTTTACTTTACAATTGGATATTTCTTATTATTTAAAGAATTAAAAACTATTTTGTCTTTAATTAACAAATTCCAAAGTGTTTAAATTGAAGTTTGGTCTCTAAAAAATCCTTCATTGGCTTATTAATTTGGTTTATATAAGTGTTTTTGAAGAACTTTTGCAACTGAAATTCGAACATTCTTTATAGGATCTTAACCCAAATGAATGAAAGCTTCAAGAAAATCAACTTAAAATTGTTCGAATTTCATAAGTTTCTCACACATAATAACAAAACTAATATTCAATGAATCAAATACCTTTATCTTTAATTAAACATATTACTATTTGCAAAACCTAAAATGTTTTATTTCAATACATTGAAATATAGTTCATTTTAACTTTTTGAAAATTTATCATAAAGTTCATAGATTTATTTTGCAGCCTAATACTTATTAAAATATTTACTGCTTTTCTAACAGCAAAAACATTATCATTACACAATTTAGTTGAAACTGGAAGTATAATAGAAAAAACAGTTTCAACATCAAACACTTGAGCTAAGTGTGAAATTTATTTAGCAATTAATTCTCTAATTCTCCATTTCTTTTAATCCTTCTATATAATCAATAAGATATCAATTAAAGATGCTCTTTTAGATTCTTCAATAGCATCAAAAAATAATCCTAAGTTTTCAACTGCACCATGTTTAATTTCATCATTTGGATCTTAAAGTAATTGTTCTAAGACTTTAAGCAATTCTGAGTAAGCCTATTAAGGTCCCAAAAATTTAGCTAGAACATGAATACTACAAGCTAAAGGTTTTTTGACTCTCAAAGAAATATTATGTATATATACCTTATCCTTATGATTAATTAATTTCATAAATAATTTGCTTAGTTGAGGCCATTTTTTATCAGTGTATACTTATAGTACTGCTGGGAAATATAATGCACATTCAATAACAATCTTTAATATAGAATTGAGTTTACTTCATTATCAATTCCCAATTCCTTAATATCAGAATCATTCATTTTCAAATAAAATTCTAAGAGTTTATCATTAATATTTTCTGATCTTGTAATAATTGATATATATTTTCCTAATTATTTATATGCATGTTATTTGACCCATTTATTTTAATCACTATTTATATTTAATTAAATTTTACTCTAATAATGCAAGTAATCTTCCTGTGATCAAATCAAAGTTTTCTGCGTCTGTCTATTCAGCTAATTGAACTATGATATCAAGACAGGCCTTTCTTGTTTGCCAAGTTCTCTCTTCAGTTTTTCTTTATTATTCAATCTAAAATTTACTTAGAAAAGAATGGGATTAATCTATGTTTGATAAAATCTTTAGAGAGAACTTTAGCAATGTTGGCCAATTAAAGAATGGCCTCTTTGCGTATTGGTTACTTAGCATCATCTCCCTTGGATAATATTTCTAATGCTATAAAGGACTCTGATAATTCAGATCCAAAATCTGCAGCCAATTAGCCAAATAGCTATTAAATATATTATTGTATTAACTTTAACAGCAATTATAACATTCTCATCATTATTATCATCATGTGCCATTTGAATAACTTAAGTTAGAATGAGATTTCCTCGATCTCTTTCATTTAGTTCTTTTGCCACAATACTTATAGAGTTACCAGCTTATTCTTTGATCTTATTTTGAATCAATTAATTACATCAAAATTATTAGATTTTAATAATTCCTACAAAGCCTTTACTACATGTTATTTTATGAGCTCTTAACTATTTTATTTTGTTTTCAAAAATACACAGATTTACTCTAATTGGGCTATAAAATTTTTCTTAATTTCATCAGCATCTTCTAACTACCAATTAAAACCTTATTTTTACTATCTACTAAATGATTATATTTAAATTTTCAATTGAAGAATCTCCTATCCATGTTAACAGTTCTCCTAATCTTTTCGTAAAAGCAAGTCTATCTTTACTATTTAATTTACCTCTCTTTATAATTGCAATCCTTCAACTTCATGAGTTTCTCCAAAACAATTTAAGGGTTTTCATCAATAAATACTGCATCTTCCTCTCTTCTTTAAATTTATTAAACTGGAACATATTCCTCCCTATAAATTTCCTAAACGATGTTTCCTGCATCTAAATTATTATAAATCATTATAGATACCAATAGGAGGATTTTCTTTAGGAGAAATTTACATATCCTTTTAATATATATATATATTAATTTAATTTTAAAATAATGTTGGGGCCCATAAAAATTAACATCAAAAACATGAAATAGATGTTAAATAATGAATTTATTTGTTAAAATTAATTTTAGAATATATAACATTATTCAGACTAATGAATAATATCTATTAATATTATGATTGAATTAAAGTAGTAAAATAATTATAAATAATAAAAATTATCATTAAATTGTATACAATATATATATCAATCATCATCTTCATCATCATCATCATCATCATCTTAATCCTCTTCTTCATCAACATCATCTATATCCTCATCATCCTTCAAATCTAAATAATAAGACAAAGATTATGGAATTATTTCTTCAATTATAGCCTCTCCTATTTCAAGATCAGCAGAGATTTTTTCTTCCTTTTATAATTCTTCTTCATCTGTTTATGCAGGAGCAATTTCATCAAAAAATTTAAAGAAAGATTTTAATTTCACTTCTGTCTCAATTATTCTAGTTTAATTGGTTTTCTTGTTTCTTTACTTCTTCTTTTTGATTGTCTTTGTAACATTCTTTCCTTCCTTCCAATTTATCTATGTTCCATTACATTTATAAGGTAATTCGCTATCTTCATTATTATAAATAAATTCTTTTTCTAATACTTTATTTTCAAAATATTAGTTTGGATTAAATTCAAATCTTAATTTAAAATCTTTGTCATTATCTCCAAAACTAGCAGTAATACTTTTTAAAGATGCTAATACATCTACATCTTTTTATGTGATTCTAGATCCTGTGATACCTGCATGTTATAATACTTTTGACCAATAATCAGAGATTGGTTCAGCTTCTTTTATAGTTGAATCCTTCATTTCTTCTTCAGTAGGTTGTCTTACTCCATTAGCTAATGCATTTACTTCTGATAATTCTGGAAGACAATTTTTTAAGTGATTTGTTGTTACTTTATTAACATTATCTGCATATTATTGTTCCAAATTAGACCATTTCTTTACATAATGAATTAGGGCAATTGCTTTTGATAAATCTTCAGGCTTGAATTTTTGTTTAATAGCTTCTATCACTCCTTAATCAATAATCATAAAAATTAACCTTAATTTATTTTATAATTGTACTCATAAATTAAAGAGCATTAAATATATATTTTATTTGTTTATCAACTTCTAATTATAAATTTATTGAAAAGCATTTTACTTACATTTTGCTAGCCAAAAATATTATTATATGTATATTTAATTAGTTTATATGCTCTTAAAATTCTCAATAACTTTTAATAGATTATTATAACAATAACTTTTATTACAATTTAATTTTATCAATTTTTAGGTTAATGTTATGAATTAATTACTTTCATTATTGTATCTTCCTTCTTAATTTGATTAATTAATACAAATATAAAATAGACATTATATGATAATACTACATCATCCTCAAGATCAAGGTAATCATAATTTTGACCATTTAAATTTATGTTATCTTTAATTATTTAATAGATTCTAAAGGTAAGTTAAATTTTATATTTATAAATAATATTAATTAAGTTATGAATAATAATGCAGATGATTAAAAGTAATGAATATTTTTTAAGTTTTGCTAGTGAAATTTCAAATGAAAACCTAAAACCATGTCCTGATAAAAAATTACACCATTTTGATTAAGAATGGGCAAATTATGCTAATAATCCTTCTCCTCATTTCACTCCCTCGTAATTCTTTAATGCTCCTCATTAACACCTGCCTCCTTTAAATTTAGAAAAAAGTTCATAGTTCCCTTATATCAAGGTTATGATGATGGCTAAGACAAATAAGGTAAGAAAAATCCCTTTCGAAAATATTCTGCTCATGATCCTCAACAAGATGTTAATGAAGAAGAGCCGAAATAAAATTATCCATATTACCCACCTTTCTATTAACCTTACCCGATGAAATATCCTCCCCATCCATCCCAAATTTTTATGCATTAATATCCACATCCTATTCCTTATTGGTATAGACCACCTATATATTATCCTTAATATGATGGATAGCATTATTAAAATACATTATCTAAAGAACTTTAATCAAAAGTTAGTCAATTGGTGCAATACTAAAAAGTATCACCTTTTGCATGCAATTGCAAAAAAAGCAAATGTCTCAAATTATACTGTGAATGTTTTGCAAATAATTGGGTATGATTTCAAACTATATAGGTATGCTCATAAAATTGTAATTGCTGCGAATGCAAAAATAGGATTGATAACCCTAATGAAAGATCAAAGGCTATTGAGGAAGCTCTACTGAGAAATCCAGATGCATTTGCAGCAATTTTAACTAACAATGGATAACAGCCACAAATAATTTAAGGTAACTTTCATTCTATTTTTAGAGGAAAAATCATAAAAAGAATCTTAAAAAGATATTACAACAAGAAAAGGATGCAATTGTAAGAAATCAGAATGTAAAAAGAAATATTGTGAATGTTATAGTATTAATCAAAGATGTACAGATCTTTGCAAATGTGAAAATTGTTTAAATAAAGTTCAATCTCAAGAAGATTCAATTGATTAATTATAAAAATAAGAAAACCCAAAAAAAGAGAGTCTTAATTAATTATTATAAGCTCAAGAGATGAAAGTTGATTAAAAGGATTCTATTAATAAAAAATCAAAAGCTATAAAAAAAAAAACGAATAAAATTGTGGATCCTAATCAGGAACACATTTCTGAATCTGAACATCCTATAGTCAAAGTTAAATTAACTATTACTGAAAAATAAAAAAAAAGAAAATAATGATTTGTTCATTTGTTTCAAAGTCTGTGTTATAAATTCCATTAAATATTATATCATATAAATTAATTCATTCAATATCTTTTTGGTATTAAATACCCTTCATTTTAATTTTGATATTGCTAACTCTTAGGTTTATCTTCTCTTTCTTAATATTGAGAATGAGATCTCTAATATTGAGGATCCCTATTAATCATAAATCTTTATTGAGAATTTTAATAGTACTAAGGCTAGTTTACTCCAAAATTGTATTGCTTTTGATCGTATCTTGTAATTGTATGTAATTAGGGAACTCGATAATTCTTAGCATTCAAAGGAACTCTTTGTGGTATTGTTTTTTCATACCTATCTCCATAACTTTCAGTATGCAATCTTACTTTTTAATCGAAATTTACAAATATATCATCTTTTTCAGGACTTACTTCTCTTGAATCCTCTTAAGTATTTTATCTAAAAGTATAGTTACTTGATTAATGATGAGTTTAATTTTATTATTATTATTATAATATCTTTTATTATTATTATTATTATTGTAATTAAGATTATTATTACTAAATTTATAATATCTCTTAGTAATATTATTATTTTTTTAATTCTTGTTTTTATTAAAGTATCTATTCTTAAGTTAATTATTATTAATTTTAAATTTAATTAACTTACTATTAATTTTAAGGTTAAGAGAGCTATTATTAATCTAAGATTTGAGTTTGCTAATTAAGTTATTATTAAGGTTTTTAATTATGATTTATATTTTGTTGTATTTAATTGATATTTACTTATTGTTAAATAGATTCCTAGGAATGTTATTTTTATAATTGCTATTATTGAATATTTTTAATGAAATTTTCAAGTCTCTCTTTTTCTTAAGACCAAATCTTAGATCTCTCTGTTAATTCATCCTTAATTTATGTATTCTCTAATTATATCGTTTTGATTTGTTATTAAAATGCAATAATTTGTTAATTAAAATAATTTTAGTATTATTATGCAATTGTTTCTTATTATTACTCAATTTCTTTCTATTATCAAATATAATAATTACCAAAAATGAGTTTCTTAATTCACTTATTTGTAAATTATAATTTTATTCTAAATTTGCTATACAAGATTAATAAGAAGTCTATTCCTAATAAAGCTATTACATAAATGATTGCTCCTTTATTTAAAATTCTTTTATTGTATCTACATATTATTACTATTAAGCTATTAAGACTTATTTTTATTATTCCAATACCATACATTTTCTATAATATAAATATGATATTACTCATTAACAACTTTAATTTCTTCATTTATTAATGCAATTTAATCATTTTTTTCTAACAGTTAATTGTTTAATATATCTATGTCATTTAATCGTGTTTATAACATTTCATTTAGATTTTTGTTTTCTTATAATATTTATTAGAATTTCTATTCTATTTCCTTTTTATTTTTACATTATTCATCAATCAATCTACTACTTAATTATTCATTTGCTTAAGTAAGTTGAACTACTTTTTATTAATAATTCATTAATTTTTATTGTGATTCTTGTACTAAAAGTGTTCTATTAGATTAATTATTTTGTTTCATAATCTCTATTTCTCTCATTAAGCCAGAATTTATTTCAATTAACTTTGAATTTTCAGTAATGAGTAATTAAATTTTTGATTACATAGAGGTAAGATTTTTTTCATTATTTTCAATAGGTTATTCTGTAATTCTAAAACTGGGTTCAGATTCTTCTCTTTTTATAGTTTTTTTTATTCCTATTTACTTTATTGAATTATAATTATTTTCTTAAGTTGGTGATCTTAATTGTGGATCTGATGGTTCATTAAGATGCATTTATAAAAACTCTTAAAATGATTATTTAGATTCTCTTTCATAATTGACTACTTTAAATGATTCTGACATTTTTTCGAATTCAAATAAAACTAAATGTTAAAATTTTTAAATTTGTAATACTGTTTAATATATTTATTTAAAACATAAAACAAACACAGAATTGGAAAGTGTTAATACATAATTTAATGTTTCTATTAATTATCATATTATTAATTATAGTTCTTAAAACTTTTATTATACTTATTAATTATTTTGTTTATTTAGAATATTAGGAAAAAAATTCATATAAATAAAATATATAATAAAGAATTCTGCTTTAAAAAATGTTTTGTGTAATTAATGTATTGTTTATGAATAATATTTCAAAGTCCTAATTCTTTGAAATTTGGATTTGGTCTTGAGTATTCGTTGGTTAAGAAATATCTAATATGAATATAAAAAGCTACTCTGGGAAATATTTTTTAGCTAAACCATAAGAAGCATTCATTCTAACACACAATTAGAAATAATTTCTTGCATCCAAACATTCAGGTACATAGGAGTCTTCAAATAAACCAAATTGATTTTTGCAATGTTATGCCATTCTATCATAGAGGTGACAAGCAAGTAATTGATTTGCCTAAATGATAATTTGATATGAATACTTTATATTCGACAAACTCAAATTTTAGATTATCCAACAATTTTACATGATTTTTAGTCAATGTTTGAAGGTTAATCATATTTCTGAACATGAAATCTGTTTAATAAGATGTATGAATTACCTTCCTCTTCCCAAACTTCGTTATAAATTGGCATCTGTATTAATTTAGGATATATTTAATTATGAATTAAAAAAATATGAGTATTAAAAATTAATTAAAAAAATCACATTCATCTTTTTAATTTTTTATTGATGATTTAAAGTGTTTTTATGTTATCTTTGAGAAATATAAGACTTGTTTACCATTATTCCATTATTTCTTCACTATCAAACAATAATTCTATTCTACCATCATTTTTAGTAATGATTGACATAGGCCAATATACTATTCCACAAACAATTCTTTCTTCTTTACTTAAAATATATTTATTTTATATTTATTTCTTTATTTAAATACTCTATAAAATTGTTTTTGGAATAATTACTCTCATAATTTAATCTAATTATAAAATTGAATCAACTTGCTAAATAATATAGAATATCTTACATTAACTCTCAATTAGTTTTTAAACTCAATCTTATCTAAATTCTATGACAATGTCATAATTCTAGAACAATATCCACAAATATTAGGATTTTAACAAGTAAAAGGATCAAATTCCATTTTTGTTAAATTGGGTTTAGTAGATGTAAACCTTTTGAAAATAATAACACCCTTTTGTAAAGGTTTTGTTATTTTGAGTAAATCTTATTCTATAGGAACCAATTGATTAGATTTATTTGAGAAATATTAAGAATCTTTTGAATTATAATAGGTTTATCCATTATTTGTAGAAACATTACAAAATAATTATCTTTATTAAATTTCTTTATTTGCAGTTGAATCAAAAGATTTAGATTTTTTATGTTTTTATATTTATTCAGATAATGAATTTTATTCTTTAAATTTAAAAATTTAAGGTTGTTAGCTTTTTTAAGTTTATGGATTTGATGCTTAATTGTTGAAAAATAGTGGCATATATGGAGATGGTATTTATATTTATTTCTAAGTGACTTCATTATAATTAGACATTTACAATTAGGATGAGCCTAATCTATTAGTAAAACGTTTTGTCTAATCAGATAATGGAGCTCCAATACTTTAGGATGAATTATCAACTGCTTAAACTTTATGCAAATTTAAGTAATTTTAACCATTTTAATGAATAGGAGTTGTATTGATTTTAGGTGATTATTCCATTTTAGATTTTTCTCTTTTTGAGCTTAATTATTCTTCAGTAATTGTTTATAATCTAATAAAATCAATTTATTAATTTTAGTTTTCTATAGATGTATTCTTTTAATTATAATAATTGTATTATTATTATTATTATTATTATTATTATTATTATTATTATTATTATTATTATTATTATTATTAATATTATTATTATTATTATTATTACTACAATGGCATATTATAAAAATTATTTTTAGATTTTTCTGACTGAAGTAATGTTAAATTTAATTCATTAAAATGTTATAATAATGAATCATCAGCAGATAATTAACAAGCTGATGAACATTTAGAGTTTGATTCTCCATCTATACTGTTTATTTGTAAATACTATTGTAATTAACTAAAATGTAATGAATCATCTTTATTTAAGTGATTACTTAACACTTTTTTTGTTTATTTATTGATATTGCTTAAGATATTAGTACAACTTTTAAGTTAAGAATTACTATTATCACTTTTCTGATCTTCATTATCATTATCTATTTATGATAAACAATCAAAACCTGTTAATATTTCATTATATATTTCTTCAGTTTTTTGTTTATTTAATATTTCTAATTAATAAAGATCTTTTTTCATTGTAATTTCATTTAATTATTATTCCAATTATTAATTCTCTTGTTCAAGAACTTCTACTCTTTTTAACAATTAAAATTTAGATTAATCTTCTTCCAAAAGATTATTTCTAATATTTTATACTAATTATTTCTTTTAATTCATTGTTTATTTAATTATATAAATGTCTTCATTTAATGAATTATCAACATATTCAATATTTAACTGAATAGTTTTTTCTAATTTCTCTTGATTTCTAAGTATCTATATAATACCTTAAATCTTTTTATTATATTATTATGAGATTAATTGATTAATTTATTATTCTTATTCTTTTAGAACTTGTTGATATACTTCATTTCCATATTAATTCTTGATAGTCTCAAATTAATGACCTTATATTTAAAATATAATACTTTACCCCATTATTATAAATAAGTTTTCATAGCAATCATCGTTTCTTAATTGATTTTCTCTTTTAATGCTTTATGTTATTATTCTCTATCTCGTATCAAATCTGCTGTGTTCCCTGATAATTTAAATGAAGTTGATTTTTTTAACTATTAGATTTGTAGATCTAACTATTCTATTTTAGTAGCAAAATTAAATTCAAAATTGCTTTGTAATTTATGAAATTCTATTAATTCCTCTAATTCTTCAACTTGACCAATCAATTCAGCTCTTTACAATAACTTCCCATTCAAGTCTTCCATCAACATTGATGCTTATTCTTACAAATTTTATTGATCTTAAATTGCTTATTTATACATCTTGTTCAAACTTCCAATAGTTCTATCTATCTTTTTTGCAGTATTTGGTATATAGTTTGATTAATAATTTGAATTTTCCTTATTCATAGTATCATTAAGTATATCACTAATCTTTGAATTTCTTCTTGAATTATCTCTTGATTTACATTCAACATACAATAATGAAGGCTTTTTAGATTTATTATTAAACATGATGATGATCTATTTTAAATAATAAATTCAAATACAAATTATATACTGTTACTTGTATATTAATATTAAATAAAGTATAAAATACTCTCAAATTTTATTCTCATTTTAGATTAACATGTACAGTTCTCTCTTTTCCATTTCTTAAAATTACCATTACATGGCTATCTGCATTTTCAGTTACTCCCAATAATTTTGTCACATCTTTCCCATGTTATATAGTAACTCCATCAATAGACTTAATAATTTCTCCTAATTTTAACCCTGCCTTTTCTGCAGGACTATCAGAATTGATTTTTATGATAAAAGCTCCTCCTTAATCTGATGTCTTTAATGTTAATCCCAAATAAGGCTTAACAATATTGCTATTATTTTCTAAACCCTAAAAATAAGTAGATGGCACAACTTAAGTCTTATTTCTAAACTTTCCACTTATGATCCCTATCAATTATCCATTTTTATTTAAAACAGGACCTACACATTTATTAAATCATCTTATACTTCCAGGACTAGAATAACATCCATTCATCAAAATAAAAGGATAGGTTTAATTTAATGCTTCCTCACCTACTAATCGAATATCTAATGTGAAATTGCTATCTGTAATAGGACATTATTGAAAATCTTTTAAGCCTTATTCATCTGTTCCTAAAACAAATGCGTTCTATCCTATTTCATATTTTGATAGATTAAACTAAGATTTCTATTGTTGTATTTTAAGAATAGCTATTCCTTCTTCCACTTTTAAAACTTCATAATTATAAAGTTAGCCATTTATTTATGCTGTAATTTATGGTTATTAATTCTCAAATACCTCAGAACTAGTAACTACAAACCCATTTTTCAAAATTGCTCCTTATCCTATTATTCTACCATTCAGAAAGAATTTAACAATAGAGTTCTAAGTCTATTTGTTTAATATCTAAAAGATTTCTTCACTTTGATTCTTTCTGCTTCCCCAATAAATTAAAGAGGCTGTTGAAAATAAGGCAATTTTAGTCATGTAATTTTACTTAAAAATTCTAGAAAACATAAAATAATAATTTATTATAAATATATTGAAAAGTGCTTATTATTAGTATAATCTCAAGTTTTAATATATATTATAAATTGAATCTAAAATTGAAGTATTTAAGATAAAGGTTTGTACATTTAATAAGTCATATTTGAAATATTTAATTTGTAAATGGTGTTATTAAAATTGATTCAATCTTTTTAGATAAAAGAACTAGCTATACTGTATGATAAAAAATTAAAATGTAGGATGTTTTGTTTAATATAATCTTTAGCATTTAAATTAAGATAGAAAATTTAAATAAAGTGATTAGAATATTTTGGTTTAGGAAAAACAAAAGTGAAATATTTTTTCTAAGTTAATAATAACAAATTTCTACAGAATGGGAGGTATAAAGAGATTAAAAGTAAAGATTACAATCATTAAGAAATTAAAATTCTTAATAAAAAAACTGGCATGCAAATATATATAAATAATAGGAAGAATCAAGGACAAGGTATGCAAAATAATCTTTGTAGAGAAGAACTAATTTAGTGGTGTTAATAGTTGATCATAAAGATCCAAAAATGAATAGAAAATAGTTCATATATGATATAAGTTATTTGTTAACATAAACAAGCAATAAATGTTGTTAAATATATTTATTCAGATATTAAATATTTTAAAAATGAAGGCTCTATTCTGTTTAGGAGTTGGAATGTTGATGACCTAATAAGACAATACTGTTCATGCCTGGTTATACAGAGATGATATTGGTGCCTTTTGGGGTATCAAGGGGTATGAAGAGCAAGTGACAGAAGTGGGTACACATAGAGGTCATATGTCATGGCCATAATATAGATTCTTGGGCACATTCGATTCTGCTAGTGTTAGAAGAGGGTATGAAAAATAGTGATAGTTTAGATTTCTTGTATTCTCTAGAAACTGTGGTAATTGTCATGGTATTGTGTATAAAAAATATGATGTTTTATTGGATAAAGTTTACAAGCAATTAGAATTAGCTGCTTTAGTAAGTAATTTTACAATTCATCCTGCTCATCATCACTTTAAACAATTCTACTATTAGGAATGGGATGAAAGAGATAGATATATCCATGACAGTAAGATTTTAACATAATGACTAGGAATCTATCCTCCCTACTTCTCTTAAGATCAAGCAAAAAATGCTAATGGTGGAGTATGGCCAACAGACTTTTCTAAAATCAGACTTAGACCAGGAGGTGTCAACTATATTTATAACATTTTGACTGGATATCATTATAAGCCTTATTAAGGTTTAGATGTTCCAAAAGGAAAGGCTTATAATCCTTATTTTGATCATATGATTATTGGTATGGTCAGATAATTACATGATGGTAAGATTAGCAATTAATTTGTTAAGGACTTGTTGATTATGAGGATGGCACTCCTGCATCAACTCCATAAATGGCATTCGATGTCACAAATTTCATTTAATTTGTTTAAAGAAGAAGTGGTTTCCAAAGACCAGACAAGACTGTTAGATATTACATGTTTTTAACAGGTGTTGCACTAATCTATCCATTCGCTTATTTGAAGACCAGAGGATTTTACAGAAATAATCTTTCTCTCAGGTATCTTTTCATCTTAATCCTTTAGATGGGAAATGTATGCAGTAAGAGATGGTGTCTATTACAATCACTTCAAAAAGGGATGGAAGAATTCCAGAGCTATTCAATTTAGAGGTCAAGTCTGGGCTTGATTTATATACATTATTAAAAAATAATGCAAATATTATTTCTATGTACTCTATTATCAATCATTTAATGTCTCTAAGTCTAATTCAAATTTAATTAATACTCTATAATAACACTATTCAAAAAACAATAACTCTTCCTTAAATGCCAAATGTGGGACCAGACACTATCAAATGTTAATAGTGTAATTATGGATAAATATATACTCCCTATTATTCTTGTGATTCAAAAATTCATTAAGAACAGGGGAAATGGATCTAAAACATAATTGTAACTATTCTCTACTAAGATATTGTTGATCTATAGCTGTTGCTCTTATAATCTTTTTAGATTTTTTGTAATATCAAATTGCAACTGTTTAATAAACTTGAAAGCATTTCAGTATTCAAGAGAAATTTAATTGATTGAGAAAAAGTCAAAATATAATTATGTTTGATTATTTTTTTAATGTGGCTAATGTGAAATTATATTTATCAATCTAGAATTGAAAGATAAATACGTTTAAAAATGAAAATACTACCAAAAATTTAAATACAGTAATAAAATTTATATTATAATTATTATTTGAGAATATTATCCTTTTTTTCAAAAAGAAATATATACTAAGACAATTAATGCTTTGTTCTAGCTTCTTCTCAATCTGTAAAGAGAAATTTTAGAAAAGACTGAATTTTACAACTAATATATTTAATTAAAAATTAGAAGATTTTAAACAGCAAAAACATAATGAAGAAAAATAAAAGATTCAATAGTTTTTAGACAATTTAAATTACAAAATAACAAATATTAATAAACATTTTTATGAAGAAATTAAAAAAGTTAGAAAGTATAAGTAGTTAATTAGTGATCTTGAGTAAATTCTTAATGAGAAAGAGTAAGAATAAAATAATATATAATTGATAATTAAATTTTTAGAAGAGATTTAATAAATATATAAAGAATCAAACTGTTGAATAATTGTAAAGTAACTTTAAGATATGCAAGCATGTATTCAATAAATTGCAGAAGAACAATAAAATAACATTAAAAATATCAAAATTAATTTTCCTCAAAAAATATATAGATATTAAAATTTATTTAAGCATTAAATTAGAAATAGGATGAGAAGAATAAAGAAAATATGCTATTATTACAATATTATATATGAAATTAAGTAAAATTTACATCTATTTTAAATTGATACAGAATAATTAAGTGAAGAAAGGGAAGAATGTAAATATTATACAGAAATTATAGAAGAGAATGATTATCAAAATGATTGATTTTTAATCTATTATATTTATTTAATAATTTATTTTAGAGTAAGGTTCCATTATACATGTATAATAACATCTAGCTTGTTTTATTCTAAATTGAAAGTTAAAATTTAATTCCATTTAATATAAAATGAATAAATACTCTTTAAGATTTGACAACCCTAAAATGGAAAACCTATATTTTTAAGATTAATTCGAAGAATTATTTAACTTTTATACTTGGGCTTGTTGTTTAGGTACAATAAGTGCGATATGTGTTTTTACTATGGAATTTGTTGTTCCATTTGGGTTTGGATTTTGGAAATATACATTAATAATGATTCCACTAGGCTTTGGATTTAGTCATAGACTTATAAAAATATTGCCTTAATACTTTAATTATGTTTTGGCTATGATGAATATTTCATTAGGTGGTCTAATTTTCATTTTACTATATTTTTTCTCTCATTCCGATATTCTCTTTTTAGCAGGATAAACTGTTGCAATGATTCAATACAGTTTGCTTTTGGGCTCAAATATCGTTATCAACATATTGGTTTTATTAATAAATTAGATAGGATTGATGATATTAGGTTCAATAATCCAGAATTATTTTAATTCATTATAATTAATGTTTATTTTGGCATTAGTATTAGTATTAAAATCAATTTGGAGCAGTGAAAAAATGAAAAGATAATTTTTTTTACTGAAGCATTAAAATTTTCAATTACACAAATAATTAGATAATGTATTTTCATTAAAAATTTTAAGATGTAAATTTGATAAGAAATTGAATCAATTACTATTAGTAGATATAAATAAATAAGCAGAAAAGATAATTTAAGATTAAAAATAATTTCTATAATTTATTAGACAATATTCAATAGTTTAAATTAGATCTCTCTCATAACCATTCTAAATATTAACTAATAGCTAAAGATTTTTGTATAGAACATAAAATTTAGAATAAATACTTTATAATATGCTTGGAGGAGATGATAAAGAGAAATCATCAGAAATTTATTCTGAAACAACTAAAATAGCATATAGAATAGGCATTTATAAAATTATAGAAAAAAATTCAGTTCATTTAATTTTGCTACTTTAAGAAGATTCAGAATACTAAAAGATATTAAAATTAAATAAAGATATAAGAAAGAAAAATCGTAATTAAAGATTATTGATTGTTTGCCTTGAAAATGCTAAAAAATCCTTATAAATATTAAAGTATTTGACAAATGAAATAATTGACTAAAAAGAGAAGGTCTATTAAAATCTATTAATAAAAACTAAAACAATTAGTTTAATTTCTCTTTCATAGAGTATTTTATTTAAATCAATTCATGGATATTATAATTTTCTAATTCTCAATAAAATGCATCAATAATTTTAAGAAATAATTTAATTTAATATAGAAAAGTTAATATATGATTTACATAAATTGAGATGTGTATTTTGTAATATAAAGTAATTAACTATTACATTTGAAGGTGATAATTCATAATGTTAATCAAATTATGTTTTAACATTATAATTGATTTTAAATTTACTCAAAGATTAATTTAGCAATCGAACTTATAAAAATATTTCAATACAAGTAGATTATATATTTATTCTAGACTTAACTTTAAGAATAAGAAAAGGCTAAAGTGATTAACTATAAGATATTTTTATTCACAAGTGAAAAAATTGAAAAAGTTTACAATCCTATAAATAAAATAATTATAAATTAATCTAGCTACCTAAAGAAAATCAACAAAAAAATATTAGAAATTATTGGATGGAATAAATAAATAATAATAACTCACTAAATAAATTTTGACTTAATTGAATTTAATCTTATTCATTCACTTGAAGAGTTTAAAGAAGTAATTAAGAATTGATTTATAGATTTTATTTTTATTTTGTATCAAATTATATTTGTTTATATGTAGTCTGAATAGTTTGGTAATAAATATTAGAATATATCTTTAAGGAAATAAATTTGTTAAATTTATATTCTAAATAATATATATATAAAATAAAATGTCCAGAGCAATTCGTAGATATGTGAATTCTAAAGAAGAAATGGAATACGATAGAGGATTATCTGCAGAAGAAATGTAAGCAGCTAAATTGAGAAAAGCATTTGTATAAAAATTTATTGCAGATTTTGATACAAACTTTTATAAGACATAAGAAGAAAGAGATTGGGGATATGTAGTCAGAAGAGAGTATATTTATGAATTAGAATCATAGGTACCGATATGATGTTACATATACTTCACTTGTCGATGGATGGGCATGTGCTGCTGCTGTGTCTATGGTTAGAATGTTTTAAACAAAAAGATTCTCATGGGCACCATATTTTGTTGTTTGGCCTATTGCTTATCTCTACTTTTAACCAATTAAATTTTTGAAACACAATAAGAAATATTTTGATATGTGTAATTTAGGTGAAACATATTATCTTGGTAGAGAGAGAAATAAGGTTTTGGTTGAATGCAATAGAATATTGGATAGAGAAGATTTCTGATCTTTAATATAATATACAAATTTAATTTTATATTATTTTTTTTTTATTCATTCTTTTTAAAGAAATCTACGAGCTTCAGTTTCTACTAATTTCTACATTGATATATTTGAATGAATATTTCTTAAGTATTTATTTTTTTAAAGAATTTCTTCAGCTATTTTTTTAGCAATATTTTCTAAATTTACTTCTTTTTTTTCTGTATTTTTTTGAAGCTAAAATTATTAATATTATTGTATTTACCTATTATTCTTCTTCTTAAATAGTAACATGTTTTTTATTCTATTTTTAAGCAGTATTATTATTTTATTTTAATGCTTTTTTTGTAGCTTCTTTTTATGTTAATTATGGATTTTCTATTTGTATTTCTTCTATTCTCTTTTTTAAAGCTTCTACAACTGTTTTTATCTATAATTAATAGTATTTATACTTCTAAATCATTTATATATTATTCAAAATCTAAATTTTTAGTAAAATCTAATAATTCATTCAATTCTTAATCATCAATTATTTCATCTCTTAATAAATTATTATTTTCTTATTAATTTTTTTATTCTTATTATATTTCTTCTACTTTTGTTTATTGAGGTTAAGATATTTATTGAGTTTTTTAATCATTCTATTAAGTTTATTTGTCACTATTTGATCTATATCTATCAGGATGTAAGCGAGATTGAACTTAAGAACAATGCAATGCAGTTTTTTTCTCTTTAACATGTTTTTAAAAATTTTAGAGCCATTCCTTATGTTGACTTAATATTGGTTTTATTTCTTAAATGATTGAATATGCTAAATACATTTAATTGGTTAATGAATTTGTAATTGCTTAACTGGATTGTAACCGAGAGGTTCAGCATGTGTTACTCTTGATACAAAAGGTCTACAAATATGATGAAATCAAGTTACTTGTGATAATCTAAATTAATAGATGCTTGAGGTCTATTACAAAGCATTATCCCTTTATAATGTTCCATCATGTTACAATAATATTTATAATTTATTTTATTATTAACAATTCATTAATTTTCAATTTTCAATAGATACTAACAATTTGATCATCAAAAATATAAAAGAAAAGCTTATTCTGATTAAATTTCTTAATTACCTTTAAATCAGAAATTATCAGATTATTAATATCTAAAATTAAAAATACAACATTATATGATGATGTATTTAAAATAGAAGTTTAGAATCAATATTATTAATAATATTGTAATTAGAATTACATAATTATATAATAGTTTATCATTAAAAATAATTAAAATCTATATTGTAAATATCATTATCAAAGAAACAAATTAATATTTGTTATTTTAAAATATAATTTGAAATTTTAGTTTTTTATATTAGGTCTTTAGAATATAACTGTATTTTTAATTTAATAATAATAGAATCTTATTTTGTTAATTGTTTAACAATAGTATTATAATAGTTATTTTTGATATAAAATAAAAACAACTACTTATTATAGTTATAAATTTTAGAATTAATTTAACAGCAATATTAGTTGAATGATAGCTTATCGTAATGGAATCTATTAGGGATCTTTAGAAAATGGGATTAAAGAGGGGATTGGAATATTTTGGTGGGCCTAAGGTGCTATATATATAGGAGAATGGCATAAGGATATGATTCATGGTGAAGGAATAATAATGATTAATGATAATGTTATTAGGGCTTAGTTTAAGAATAATAAATTTCATGGTTTATGTGTTAACTATACGTATAAATATAGAGTTAATTTTATTAGTTAGAGTGAATTTTATAGATTTGAATATGGGTAATTAAATGGAAAATGTTTGAAAGGATAAACAGTTTCTGTTTATAGAAGAGGTGAATTAATTTGTATTGAGAATAATTTGGATTCTATTGATCTATTATTAGGTATATTATTTGATTTAAATAAAAAAGATGAATACCAGAATAGATTGCTTGATTTAGAAGAGATATTAGATAGAAATTAATGTTCTTCAATAGGTATAACAGAGACTCATTTGGGTAAGATGAAAAGAGGAAAACCATATGGATTAGGAATAGAAAAAATGTTTACTTTTGATAAGAGAATAGGGATTTTTCATGATTAATAAATATCAAATATTGGATAGATATGGAAAAATGGAGACATATATACAGGAAGTTTTGAGGATAATAAATTTCATGGTATGGGAACATATTTTATATCTGTAAATATATATATAATTATATTTTAAATAGGCTGAATTAAAGATGATTTAAGGTATTTTTGATAGAGGAAAATGTATAGAGATTGTAAAAACCTAATATGGAGATTTAGAAGCATATAAATTACTTGCTGAATAGACTTTTTAGGCTATTTAAATAAATGCTATTTAAAGTAGAGTAACTCTTCCTTATCTTTAATTTTGTTAATTTGAAATTCTATTTACTTAAACATTAAATAGTATTTCATAGATTCCCACATAATCATAAGAAAAAGATTAAACACTTTTAGAAGTTGATTTAGATATTTAAAAAGAATTAGAGAAAATATCAAAGTAAGATTTTTATTTAAAATAGTGATTAATAAACAATTGAAGCTAAAAAGGCTCTTTATGAAATAGTTAATAAAAATTATACTAAAGAGAAATGTGTACCAATTTTATAACTAGAGTAACTCTAAACATTTCCCAATAATCCATCTGATCCATATGTTTATGATGAAGAAGATGTTGAAAATTTACAAACAAGTTATAAAAGTAAATAAATATCTGGACATACTTAAAAAACAGAATTTTATCATGTTTCTGATTCAAAATAGAATTCTGATCATTAATGCAGAAGATTACCACTATAGATTTTGAAGGATCAAGAAATTAATAATGGAATAAATGTAGTATAAAAATCAGTAAAAATGATGCCTATTAGTGCAAGATCTGATCCTTATTCTATGGTTTTAAGTACTACTAAAAGATCTCTATATAACTAATGATAATATATTTTTTTAAGAAATATAAAATCAATCTTTTAGTTATAATTCTTGAAGTTCTTTTTCAATTTATTAATATTCATTTGCCATTTCTTAATTTTAAAATTTGAATTCTTCTTCAAATGTGTCTAAATAATGAATTAATTATTATTTCTATTTTTCACTTGCTTCCTTTATTAGATTATTATTATATTACTTATATTCTGCTATCAATAACTCTTTCTAAATCATCAATCTTATAAGATTTACTTTTTTATCTTTAATTTTTCATTGCAATAAAATGTGTCTAAGCTTGAATTGGTCCTTCAATATTAGCTTTTAGATTTTCTCTAAATTTTTCAATTGCTTAAATTCCATACTTATCAACTTGAAATTTGAAATCTTCTAATTTCTTATAGATTTGAACAGACTTACTTTAGTAACAAATTCTAAATCTTATTATTTACATGTTCTTTATAGTATATGATCATTAAAAACTTATGTAGATGATTCAAGTGTTTTTTTTAATTCAACATCTATGTCTCTTAAAAATGTCAAATAAATTTAGTACATTTATTAAAATAATAAATAAATATATTATCAAATATTTCTCACCTTTTGTTCAGTGATTTTAGTTCCATTTGTTGCAGCTTCATAGTATGATCTTTCTACTTCAAAATAGATTTAAAAACCATCAACTCTTTCATTATTTAAGAGATATTAAATCCATTTCTTTTATCCAAAGAAAACTTAACCTAGTTATCTACCTATACCTGAGTGTTGGAATAAATCATTAAAATCCTTAAAACTGTCATGATACCTAGGATTTGATTTACGTTTAGAGATGAATTTTTAAACCACTGGACATTGTATGGATCCTACTTCGGTTTCAATCCAATTTCTAAAATGTCTACCAAAGGTATAGGGCACATTCTTGTATCGACCTTGCTTTTTCTTTTTTATAGAGGGACTTTTGTTTGCTAATATATTAGGATCGGTGTCAGCCTCAGCTTAACACCAGTGATCGGTTAGCTAAAATTCAACTTAATCACACTCACTGTGTTAATATAGCTGCTCTTCTTCATTAAAACTATCACGTCTAAGTAATGGACACATTGCCTTCATTTCAATTATTTAAATTATTGGGTAATTAAATCTTAATTCGTAAATCATTTTATAAATCTGGAGGCAAATCTATAATCTTTTAATCACATCATACTAACATAATTAGATAATGAACCAGATTACAAATAAATTTATAGGGAGTCTTGAAAGAATTCTAAGAGGGAGTATTCAATTATATAAATATGAGACAAAATTAAACAGTTATATAAAATCAATTAATATTATAAATAATTATTAAATAAAATAATTGTATATGATTGATCAACAATTCATGGAACAACAAAAATCTAAATAGGAAAACACAGTTTAAACTAAATCTAGACATCTTATAGTAATGAATTAATTAAAGAAAAAAGTATTATAAATTCAATTATTCTTTAGGAAGAAAATTGGAATAGTAGGTTTTATGTTTAAAAATAAACTAAAAATGAATCAGCTGAGAAATTTCAACCTAAATTAACATAATTATATGCGAAATTGATCGAGGTTTAAAATTATCACGATATTCCAGAATTTCATAGGTAATATAACTATATATAATTTTAGATAACTGTTCTTAATGTGTCTAAAAACACTTCCAAAAATTAACTAAGCTATTCTATTTGAAATTGAAGAAATCTAATAAAAAAAATCGCATATTTAAGTAAAATTCTATCCTTATAATCAGTAATGTATGCAAGCAGTTGAGACCAGAGAAAAATGTCTAAATGTTCTCTTAGATTATATTTAATAAATCTTTGACAATCCTGGAGATCAACTGTTAATATCTAAAAGTGCAGAGTTGATTACTCATTTAAGAATACTATCTATAAATGTTGTAGAGTAAATAATGGGTTGGAGATAGTATCTCATGAAGTTTTTGATTAATATTCATACCACAGAAAGTATTTCGTTGCCTTACTTTTATTACAAAGAAAACTATTTAATAAAGGTTATTTAATTATTTATCAATAGATGAAAAAAGATGTATTATACATTTAAAATTCAGTTCTTTCAAATTATTATCAATTTTCTAATAAATCAGATCCTTTTTTTGTTGCCATAACTAAGTCTACTACAGATCCTAATAAAATTGTATAATTCATATCAAAACCTCTACTTAAAAGGATTAAGTAGTGTGAAATACTTATATAAGAAGAAGCTTCTTAAATTTAAAAAGAAGATAAATCATTTTACAATTAAATGAATTCAAGAGATTAAGTTAAGATGACGCCAGAAAAAACTTTATTAATTAATAGAATTAGACCTCCTAAAAGATCTGACTAAAGTTAAAATTAAAATGTATTAATTAAATATATAATTTTAGAGGGTAATAATTAAATAGCTGGATCCAACAGACTTTACAAATTAAACATCTGGTTCTAATTCTAAAATTATTCCATAAAAACATTCTACAAAATAAACATTAGATAATTAATAAAAGTAGGACTTGATTAAAATTTAAAATAATTAAAATTAAAAGGATTAAGGTAAATAATAATAATAATAATAATAATAATAATAATAATAATAATAATAATAATAATAATAATAATAATAATAATAATAATAATAATAATAATAATAATAATAATAAATTCAATCTAATTAATAAACTTTAGATTCTAAAAATAAAGACAGCAAAATTAATTCTCCTAAATCTTTAAATTAAATTAGTAATCAAAATGATAATCCAATTAAACTATTAAAATGTCATTTGAGTGATACTTTAGTAGAAAACTATTTAAGAGATATTAGTGATGATTTTAAAAAATCATGGAGAGGAGAAATCTCATAAATGTTAATACAATATGAATAATAAGAAGAAAGCTTCTGCATAGGAATATATTAAAATAATAAATTATTAGGATTAGGATAGTGCTTTTTAGATCCATCTTTATAAGAAAGAAAATTAATGTTAAGTCATTTTTCTACAGCAGAATATTCATAATTTTAAGAATATCTGAAAATGATATTATCCTTTATTTGGGATATTGATTCTTGTTAAGAAATTAGAATGTCCTTATACCATTACAATTAGAATGATTGCTTTTAGGCAAATAAGGATATTACAACAAAATTAAAAGAGTTGAATTTTAAATGGAAAGTTGTTTAAAGTGTGAATTCAGAAACTAGATTCACAGTTATGGGTATTAAAATAATAAATTTTAGCAATCAGAAGACCTACAGAATTAAAAATTACAAAATAATATGATTCAATATTTCTTTAACATCTTTTTTTTACAACAGAAAATAAATAAACAGAAAATCAGAATTAGTTCTTTTCACTTAGTTGTTTGACAAATCTAAATACAAAAGTTGATTTTTTAAATGATCAAATTAATTCACTTAAAGATGTTCTTGTTTCATCAGTAACAAAAATTTAATTATAGCATAGGCATATCAATTTAAAGGAATCAAATTGTAAGAATAAACTAGATAGACATTTCATACCTATATTTATGATTCATTTGAGTATTTGAATGAAATCAATCCTTATAATAATGATATAGAATAATTACCCTTATAAGTTATTAGTAGTTTTAGTAAAGAATGTTATAGATGGTCAAAATTCAAATTAGCACATCATAATAAATTGATATATAATAGTTTTAGACCAGAATCTAATATTGATCATACAAAAGTTTTTATTTCAGAATCTGGGGATATTAAAGTTTATATTATAGCTTCTGATTAAAATAATACTAGCATATTTTTATTTGAATGTATATATTTTTACATATTTTATAAAGATGAAGATGAATTAAATTTGTAAAAAGTTTAATAAATATTAATTTAATGTGGAATGTAAGTTCCTATAGATTAGAATCTGAATATACCTCAATTTATTTTGAATTGCAAAGCTTAAATTTATGAAAACATTATGGGAGTTGGTAGATTTAGTACAGAATACAGACCAAAAATGATGGATATTCATAATGCTGAAGGTATAATAATTAAGCCTCCTTTTGTATTTGGTAAGATATAAATAATAAATTTAGGAATAATAAACGAGGATTTTAATGAACTAACTAATATGCCTAACTTATTTTTTAAAGTGGAAGAATAACATTGTCTATAACTTTGATGATTTATTATTTATGTTTAGCCATTTCAATTTAATTAGAGTATCATTAACTTATATAAGTAATCTTAAGATATATTATAATATTTAAATTAATCTAAAAAATATTAAATAATATGTTATTTAACTAATAAAAATACTAATTTATAAAATATTGATTTATGAAACATCAAATTTGATATGGATTTATTGACTAAAGTATTTGGGGATTGAATGTTTAAAATTACCATGATGAAGGATACTGAGATGGTTGATTTTAATGTTGATGTTAATTTTAATTTGAATGTTGATGTTAATGTTAATGTTAAATGAAAGGTTATTGAATATGTCTCTATCCTTAATTATTCCATCTTCTATAAGGATTATAATTATTTCCTTTGCTATTTTGATCAATCAGACTTCTTAAATCATAAGGGATTTCATTTTAAGATTCTTTAAGTATTTCAACTAAATCTTTAGCCATTCTGACATCTTCATCTGAAGCAAAGAAAGAAATTGATTAGCCAATAGCTCCAGCCCGACCTAATAATAATAGATTAAAAGAAAATACCAGTTCTTCCAATTCTGTGTACATAATCCTCAATTACTTTTGGCATGTCATAATTCACAACAACTTCTATATCTTTTATATCTAATCCTCTTGATGCTACATCTGTTGCTATAAGAGCTGTGGATCTTCCATTTCTGAAATGACTCATAACATAATCTCTCTCCTAAAAAATAATATAATAAATTTACAGTCTGTTTCTTATCTCCATGTAATGCGAGACATCGAACTCCTTCTCTATCTAAAGTTTTTTGAAGCTAGTCACATCCTTTCTTGGTGGAACAAAAGATTAATATTTTTTTATGTGCAATGTCCTTTAACAAATAGAGCAACCTTAATATATTATGAAATAACAAAGATATTGATGATCTTGTATAAATATTTTTGCACCATCAATAATTTGATTATACCTTTAATTTTTCTCTATTGCTTTCATCACGTAGACTATTTGCTTAATCATCTTGTTAGATGTTAGTTCTACATTTCCTATTTAAATGTGAACTGGCTCTTATTTACAAAAGTCAAGTGCTAACTTTTGCACTTCCTTTGGCCAGGTTGCAGAAAAAAGCATAGTTTATCTTTGGGGACGAATCTGATCAACAATCTTTCTAATCTATGGCTCGAAACCCATGTCGAGCATACGATCAGCTTCATCAAGTACGAGGAAGCTAACCTATTTGAGGGTGGTACAACCCTAATCCAATAGATCAATCAAACGACCTGGACAAGCAATTAAAACTTAAGGGCCTTTGCGTAATTGACTTTTCTGAATATAACGATCTTGTCCTCCATAAAGGCATGCTGCAAATAGCTAAGATCCCACAGAGAACTTTTAAAATTGATCATATATTTGCAATGTCAATTCTCTTGTCGGAGCCAAAATCAAGCATTTGGGATCATGGGATCTAGCTTATGCCAAAATGTGGACAATCGCTGGTAAAAGGAAGGCAAGTGTTTTGCCAGAACCCGTCTGCGCTATTCCAATAAGGTCATGTCCACTTAGTGCAATGGACCATCCTTGGGCTTAAATGGCAGTGGGTCCTTTGAAACCGGCCTTGATCAGTAAGTCCATTAACATTTGTGGGAAACATGAAACATCCTCAAATCTCATGATAGGATCTGGGACATTTACATGTTGAGATCGAATGAAAATATTATGTTAGGCCCTAAATTCTTTGATTGTCTCTACGCTTGAAATGGATTAAATGGGTTTCTTCTATAGAATTTGAATTTATACATTTATAAACACCTTCTTAATAGGACTCGATGAACGTGGGCGAGGTGATCTTGAACGATGAGGATGATGGACTCTTTTTCTCTTTGAATGATGGCGTTCTGAAGATGAATTGGACGATGAAGAAGAAGAACTTGACTGTCTTCTGTGTTTTTTACTATGCTTTTCTAATACAAATTCAATTTAAATGCATTTACTTCTATGGCTTCTACTTGAGCTGGAAGAATGTCTAGGCATTATTTTAATAATTTAAATTCTTTAATATCATCCAATAAACTCTGCTTCATAAATTCAGATTATTAGATCCTGTCATGACCATTATTAAATCAAAGTCAATATTTAAAATATATTTATATCAATGTTTGAATTAATTAAGAGTGGCTCTTATGCTCTCTTATTTCTGACTAAGTAAAATATCCCTAAATTCATCATGATGCTTTAAATTGTAAGAAATGGCACTCCCTTATTCTTTCAAAATATTTACATGATCTTCAAGATTCTAAGATACATCCTACCCTATTTAATCAGATTAGATCTTCCAATTGTTATTTATTCCAAAAAATACTAAATCTATGATTAGAGCCACCACTAAAATGATTAATAGTATAGTAAGAGGAATGACAGTGCTTACTTTATATAATAACTTATTTGAAGCATCATTCCAATCTGATGAAATCCCCATACCATTCTAAGTGTAAATGTATGGATATCCATAAATCAATATACTAAAAATTAAATGTAGGATAAGAAAGAAATGAATGAATTTTAATGTTACAATACCTACTGATTTTAATTACTCTTATAATTTTGTTTATTGTTTTTCATTATAAGAATGATATCGCAATAACATATTCTTATCATAAATATACTACATCCCTATTTGTATAGCTCCTAATAGAGGTAATAAAGGTAACCCTGCTGATATAGTTGTTGATAAGAATATACTAAATAATAATTTAGCATATCTAAGTCCAGTTTTAAAAGTGGGATTACTATTGATTAATGGAGAATCACGTCTAAATTATTTGCCTGTTTTGATATCTAAATTCTATCTTGATTAAATATTGTAATTAACACTTTCATCTAAATTTAATAAAAATAGAGTTTAATGAGATTAATTATTATTATTTGATGTAGTTTTTAATTATCCAGTCAATCTTTGTCTTTCTTCTTCATTTTCATCTGTTAATAAAGAACCAATTAATTACAATTCTTCTTAATCTCTAATTCCACCTGTTATACATCGACATCCTGATGCAATTCCTAATATTATCAATTTCAGAGTATAAAATATAGCTACCCATAAAAATATTAATCCATGATTAATAATCCATTTTCTATCTAGATCATCACTAAAAATTAATGATTTTTCTGTTGAAGTATAACTTTAAATTACTAATACTATATTTCCAATGGTTTCCCATGAAATTAATATTGGTACAAGCAATGTGTAACATATCAAATAGACTATAATTCTAATCAAAATGACTTTTTATTCTTATACTAAATATATTTATTTTTCTTTATTGATTATTAATTCCATAAAGATCCATCCTAATATATCAGCTATAAATATCCAAAATCCTATTATTATATAATAAGCTGTTCTTGTAAAATCATTATCCAAACAATATTCAGTACATTTAATTGTATTATTTCTTGCATTCTTCAAAGCCATATTTTCAAATACTATTAAAGGTGCTAATAATATTATTGCTACTGCTAGATGCATAAGAATAATTTAAACATTGTTTCTTTCTTAATAATCCATATTTTCCCATTTGATCTCATTTGGATCAGGAGCTTCTGTTACTCTTATAGTATATAAGCCTCTAAGTTTTAATTCTTATGGTTAATTCTAAAATAAGTAAATTCCATTCCTAATTAAACAATCTTAATTATATTTCTCATAAAATAGATCACGATCTACTTTACTTTTAAAAACAACGAAAGCCTTTATAGATTCTAAATCATCTGGAGCTAAAAAGATATTGAATTTATCTGACAATTCCTTTGTAATATCTTTTAATTCATCAGTCAATACTCTGATGAAGTCTTGTCTTACGTACATATCTGCTTATGATAATCTCTTAGAAAATACTTCTAACTTTTTCTTTTCTAATCTGATCTATCTTTCCTTGAATGCTTTATTCTTCATGATACTGAGAGTACCCTAGAAATTGCGCACTAAATATATCTCATATGTATTAGATTAAATAATAGATCTAAGGTCTTCTGGATCTATAGTAGCTGATGGAAATCCACATACTTCAACACTCCAAGGTGAAATACTGGATACTTTAAATTATGAATCCTTATTTATAGCATTGTATCGTAAATATAGCAATGACGAAAAGTAAAGAAGTGTTCCAATAGCATCTCCTAAGACTCCAATTAGAAAAGCTGTCTCATTTGAAATGTCAACATTTGCTACTGTAAATGTTTCTAATTAAAACTGAAATTAATTGAATATGCTGTTTCCTGTAATACAGAATATCAATTATGGTAGGTGAAGAATAGCGAAAATCAACATTAAGAAAAAGTTCCATTTAAGAATTCGAAAGTAATAGACTATTGAGTGATCAAAACAGTTGTCAATTGATGCAAATATGGACTCTGGTGGTTATTCCATTTTATTAGTAATAAATATGAATTAATTAAACAATTTGATGATGAAAAAGGAATTATACTTATAACAATTAGATCTGATCATTCCTAAAAAGCATCCTAATATTTACAAATAATTCTTGGAATAGCAATTTATAACATCTCAAATATTCTTATAGTAAAATGGATGAATTAAATAGATAATTATTAGAAGATTGAGATAAAATAGAATAATCTATTATATATTTAATAAAATCAATATGTAAACATCATTTAAGAAGATAAGGTGTCTATTAATGATTTTTTATAATTATATAATAAGAAAAAAGTTAACAGATCAAAAATAGATGGATCACAATATAAAATATGAATAGAATTTTAATTTTACCCAAAAGAAGATATCAAATTTAAATGAGTAGTTCAATGAAGTGAGCCTTTATTTAATAATATTTTCAATACATATATTATTATAAATCATATTCAAATTTGAAACTCTCTTTAATAATTAAAGGATTCTTTAAAGTAATTTTGTTTTAGATATGTAATTTTGAATGATATAAATTAAGTGTATTAATCTATACATTTTCAAATACTGTATTTTTATCTATTCCTTTACAACTAATAAAATAATGTTCTGAATGATATTTTTCATCAAAAACATATCTTATTTTCACTTTCATCAAACAATTATTACCATTCTCATAGCATTTCTTTTTAACATTTTCATCATTCAAATCTTGCAATGTGATCATAATCCCTTCAGCTTCTCCATCATTCTGTTATCTTGCAAAAACAACATATAAAGAATATATATTATTTAATTCTTCCATTTTTAAACTTATATTTTCCTATTTGAAAACTATAGACCTAAATAATATATTTATTAATAAATACCCAGCTTTTTAAAAACTTGGAGTTTATGTACTTGATATAATTTTGAAAGCTACATGAGTTCCTCCCATAAATAAAGTTACTTACTTTGTTTCCATCCAATAGTCTCCTTATGGAAAATAAATTTCATATTCTGTAAAATATTAATCTTCAGGGTCTTCAATTATAGGAGCAATTAAAAAAACTTCACCAAAAATAAATTCTCTTTCTTCATATTAATATGCCTTTATATCAGAAGTATTAAACCACCAGATTGGTTAAATAATTGTTCCAGTAAATGCATTTACTTTTGAATCATAATTCTTTAAAAATTAAGCAAAAATCCATTTATTTAATGATTATCTGGCAATAACTTCTAAATGAATCTATTAAAAATAATCTGGATGATTAGAAAAATGAAATTATTATGTACTTCTACTCATAAATAAGGGCATCCATGCTTAAATACTTAACCATCTTGCACACCATGTAACTGTTGATTCACTTTAATCACATCCATATGACCCTGTATATGGTAATCCAAAAAAATTATTATATATTAAATGACCTATAGTTTATTCTAGTTCTACAGAATCAAAGATTAAACCACTAAATTAACCTTAACCAAAGAAGGCTGATTCACTCATAATTAATTTAACATAATTAGAATGATCACTATATTACTTTGACTAAGCAAATGTATTTAATGGCTGAAAATATTTTTCAGTAACTTTTTTTTCTAATAATACTGGATTTTTATTGCTAAAATGAAAAGCATCCTCATCTATTCCTATATTTTTTCCTTTGCATTAACCATTTTCACTAATCTAATTATTTACAAAATTCTTTAACATAACTCCTGAATATTAAGAAATGGGATGTAACTAAGTTTCCTTTTGAATTGTATTTTAAACATTGTAGTCTATATAATTAACATTCTCATCATCAACACATCCTTAATATGGTTCTCTATTTGAGTTTTTTATTAAATATTTTTTATCTTAAGTATTTAATTTTATTGTAGGATAAGTAATCTTAATTTTTTTATAATTTGGAGGTAAATAATCATTTTTTAGTTCATCTATCCAAACAGTTTCTAGAGGTATCTATTTTTCTTCTAGATATTATAAGTCTTTCTTTTCAATCCATTATCCAAAATATTGATATCCTAAAGTCCAAAATGGAAACAATTTATAACCACCTATAAACTAATGATATGCTTTAATTATTTGTTCAGGTTCATCATAAAGAAAGAATTTAATATTTACTCGTCCTCCATAAACTCTTATTTATAAAAGTTAATTTTGATAAATTGATTCAACTTTTGATGATGTATAAATTACAAATGAATAAAATATATTGCTTCTAGTTCTTACAAAATAAGCAGGTCGATTTAAATTTGCTTATTCATAACCTAAAATCACTTGATCAGTCATATTGAAAAGCACTTCAGAAAACTACAAATAATAAGAAGCTTCAATTATTTCGATTATTTGAGTATATTACTTATAAAGTTAAAAAACAGTTTCTGATGTCTACTGTAATTTATATGAATAGTCTTATCTTTCGGATCTTTCGCATTTAGTATATGCAAATGGATATTACCTTGGCAATTCAAATGAAGATGTGTAATTATCTATACTAAGAGTAAGTTCTTTCTTGCATTCTTCATAGGTAGATATGTAGAAATATGGAATTTTGGAATGAGATTGCTGAATTTTTATTGTTTAATCAGGATCATTTTTAGGTTATCCACTTGTGATGGAAAAATAGATTCCTATGCCTAAAGCAAATGGTAAAAAGATCAAAATAATCTTCCAATTATACCTTAGCTTATTGGAATTTTATTATCCTTAATTTTAGAACTAATTGTACATAATAATTAAATAAATGTTCGTTAGAGCGCAAGTTCCAAAAAGTAGAACTTCATTAACTCCTCAAAATTTCAAACCAATTTGCATCGAATAAAGGGGAGATTGTACTCCTACTCGAAGCAATAACATTAGTTACTATGAACACAGTATTCTCATTTAAGAACCATCTCAATAATCTTTATAAAATTATACTGGAAGAGTTGAAGAGAAATTGCAAAAGAGAGTTATCAATTCTAGTGCATCTAATTTGAGAAGTAAATACGTTTCAGATAAGGAAAATTTGGTAAGGGTTCCAGGACAATCCTTCTGTGGAAATCAACCTTCAAATAAAGAGTTATAATAGGTTATAAATAACCTTAAAAAGTAAAAGGAAGACATATGTTTCACTCTTTCTGAGACTCTTAAAAAGAATACACTAATTCAAGAATAAATAGAAGTAATTATTGTAAAATAATTTAGACTGTTAATAAGGAAATGGAATAATAATCTCTAAATTATTAATAAAGTTTGGATGAATTTATGAATGAATTTAATGATCTCACTTAAAAAATATCATAGTTAGAAGAATAAAATAATAAATTGTTTGAATAAAATGAGCATCAAAAATGGTACTTATAATAGATTTAATGTTAATCTTCAAGGTATTTGTATTGTATATTAATTAAGATTTAATTAAACTCATAATTTTGGAACAAGTTGATTAGTTAACTAAAATAAATAAATATTTAATACATAATTATTATATAATTTTTAAATGGCAAGTTTTGCATCTAGGACAGGGTAGAAAGTAAAAATATCTCAAATTTTAGATTAAAGAATGGTGGGGAGCTAAAGTAACTGTTGATCCATAATTGGAAACAAAAAAACAAAGGATTAATGAGATAGATTAATATATTAAAGGATTGTCACAATCTTTTAGCAATATATCTGCGTTGTTTTAATGTATATCAAATAATTTGATTTAGAAATGCATGGTCATATGGGAAGAATCAGCTAAATTAGTTAAAAGCTATTTGAGAAGGAAACTGATACAAATAAGAGAATAGGAATAGAAGTGACATCTATGTTTGGAAACCTTTCAGAACTTTTTCGCTCTAAGGTATCTACTATTTTTCAATTTAGACTGAACCTACATCTGATTTGAATAAAAATTATGGGGAATGGTTTTAAACTATAGAGACTTTAAAAATGCAGCTGATCAACTTTTCTGAAATAAGACTAGTTTATGATCATTATAAATTGAAAGTAGATGAATTAGAGAAGGATAGATCTAATACTCTTTCAAAAGGATAACCTGAAGATTTTAAATTATCAGAAAAAATTAGAAGAGTATCAATTTTAAAAATATTTAGAATTAAAGTAAATTGTCAAGTTCAGAATCAAATTATAAATAAAAGTTATCTGAAATATTAAATAATATGAATAAATTATTGGGAAATTACTATCGAATGATAAATTAGAGTCTTGATTCTGTAAGAAAAATCATTTATTATAGTTTATTACAATCAATTATGATTTATATATGAATGCTAAATCTATTTTGAAAAAAAATTAAAAAGCATTTAATAAATTTAAATATCCAGAATTAGAACCTATAATAGATCTATTAAGAGAATAAAAAGAGATGTCAACTTTATTAGAAAGAGAATAATTAAAAGAAAAGGAAATTTAAAAAGAAAAAGAATAAAAAGAGAAAGAAAAAGAAAAAGAAAAAGAAAAAGAAAAAAATGTAAATGAAAAAGATGATAAATAATAATAATAAGGACCTCCATAACAAAATTCTTAATGGGAGGGTAATAATAAATTTAATCCTTTCGGTTAATCATAATAAATGAATTCACAAACTCATTCCATGATTAATAATCCTTAAGTAGTTAATTCAATGGTTAATAATCCTTAAATGATAAATCCTATGGTAAATTCTCAAACTGATTTTGGATCTGGATTCGGAGTAAATACAATACCTAAATAATAATAATTTATAAATCCAATAATTTCCTAAAGGTAATCAATGCAATAATAGGGAATTAATAACAATTTTGTTAATAATTTCCCACCAAACTAAAATAGAGTAGATATGTTTGATGATGTAGGATTGTAAATGATGAGTGATTTAAGAACTAGCTAAGTAAATGCTTGGTAGTAATAATAATAATAATAATAATAATATGGTCAGAGTCAAATAATTCATTAAAATAATTTTATTAATAATAATCCATTTATGAGTTAGTAGCCATTAAATCAAAAACCTAGTTTATAATAGAATTAAGGATTTTAATAATTTGATCCTTAAATTAATAGAGCTCAATAACCAAATCCCTTTGCAGATTTAAATAATGAGGTTTAAAAAAGGGCTATGTATGATAATCCATATACATACAGTTAGCAATTTTAAGATAATTAAAAGACTAATCCTTTCGAATGATTAATGTTATATATATTATTAAATTAAATTAAATATTTTTATATTAATTGTTATATTTAATAATGAAACAAAAGTAATTAACAACTAAAAAGTCAGACATTGATTTAGGCAATAAAGATCAATTAAATTATATAATTGACATTCTCTAAAAAGATTAAGCTATTAAAACCAATCAAGAAGTTGAAATAACAAGAAAAGCTTTTATCTCATTTAAATTTTTCTAAGATTTAGAGCAATAGATGGGTCAAGAGATGGTTAGTAACTTATATCGATAACTATCACATGAAACAATTAAAGCGAGATAGGTTGTATTTAATATAGGTGATATTGGAAAGAAGTTTTATATAATACTTTCTGGAAGTGTTTGGGTTCTTATATAGAAAAAGGGACTCTAAGATGGAAATTAGATTGGAGAAGAGGAGAAAAAACATGAGGAATCTCTAAGGAGATAGAATACAAGAAAGGCGACATTGAAACATTAACAAAGTATGATGAAATCAAAGAGATTTAAAAAGCAAACAACTTTTTTCACTGAAACGAATTAAGTACTTTTAGATGAAGTTTATGCAAAGATGACAGATGCAGAATTTCTTGAATGTCAATTTCCTACACTCTAAAAAGTAGGTTAAATGAAAGCAGGGGATAGTTTTGGAGAAATTGCATTAACAAAATAAGTACCAAGAACAGCCACAATTTTAGCAGCAGAAGATACAAATTTTGCAACAGTAACTAGAGAACAATTCAATAAATTATTATCATCATATTATGAGTATATACAATAACAAAATGTTGCATTTTTATAAAAAGTACCTGCTTTTGCAGAATGGAATGAATAAATGTTAAATTAAATTTATTATCATTTTACTTTTGAAGATTATAAAATGTTTGATGTAATTTATAAAGAAAATTAACCTTCAAAGTAATATTATTAATATGGTAATTAGCAAAATATACATTGTTAAAAATGGAGAAATAGAGATATCATAAAATATAGAAGTTGGAACTTTGGTAACAGAAAATAATTTAACAATTTAAAGATTCTTTAAAAAAAATGATAAAAAATATGAAAGAGTGAGAACTGGAATAATCACATCTGGATTGATATTTGGTCATGAAGAAGTTATTAAAGATGTGGTAAGAGAACATAAAGCTGTTTGTATGAGTTAAAAAGCATAAGTATTTTCATTGGATAAGGATAGATTTTTATAATATTTTAAAAAAGGAGGAGCTATCTAAAAATTAATTAAAATTGATTAAACTAATCATTCTCGTAAATCTAAGAGTGTTTCATTAATAAAGGAAATTAAATCATTTTCCCCTCCAATTCCATATAGAGAAATACCATTTTTTGAAGAAGATGATAAAATTTCTGATTTTGTGATTAAAAAAGCTAAGAATGCTGTGGATAGAGTTGGAAATGAACCAAAAAGAAGTGGATATGAATTTTTATAAGGAAAAGGTCACATAAATAAAGCACATTATAATTTTAAGAAGAATTATGATACTTTAAAAAGAAATTTGAAATATAGTGAACCTTTAAATATTAATACAGGATTATTTGAATTAGATACAAATAAAGGGACAGCTATAAGTATAATGAATAAAGTATGAAGTTAAATTGACTTTAAGGTGTTTCCAAGTGCAAGTCGTCCTAAATATGAAATACCCAATTATTCAATGAGTCCAAGGACAGTTATTAAATCATTAAAATTACCCAAATTATTAAATGAAGTAGATGTATTGTTATTTTCAAATAAAGAATCAATGATCTCAAACTCAACAACTTATAAATAATAAGCAGCAATAAAAGATGATGAGTGATTTCATAGATAAATATGTTTAAAATTTCAATTTTTCTTAATTAATTTTCGAGTTTAATATTGATGATTGTGTACAACATTTTCATCATTATATTTAATTTAACCCTCTACACTAATGATAATTATTGATGAGATACCTATTTATTTTTTACTTGGTTATTCTATTTTCTTTGATTCTTCATAGTCTTACTTTCTTGGATTAGTCTTGACAATTTCTGTCTCCTAATTATTATTGATTATTAAATACTTCGAATCTATTAATCTTGGAAATCAAATCTCCTTTTTCTTATAATAACTCTTTAAGTTATTAAGTTAAGACTACGTTTGCAATGTATAGTCTCATGTATTCATGCTAATAATTGATTCCTCTTTTCTGTTCAAAAGACACTACAACCTCATCTTCTATGTGTTCTCCCATGGTTGGAGTGTATAACAAGCCTTTTCGAATGGAATCACTATTTAATAGCTTAAGAGATGTACCAATTATCAAGCATTTGAATTCAAATTTATTATTATTAATGATAATACATTCATATATAAAATTTTTAATGACATTATATTTTAATAATATTGTTAAATGATTAAATTCAGACAAATCTTTTTGATTATTCTTGCAATTGTAATTCCTGTTGTTCGAGGTTAAATGGAAGACATCAGTTTTGGAGAGAAGCATATCTACATTAACACTTTCTAGTAATATATAGAAAAGGTAATTCTGTTCAATTAATAAGATTATCTTTGGATCAATTGGAGGAATTGTCCAATATTTGATCTGTTGTTCGATTGTGGAATACTATAATCCAATGCCAAAGAATAAATTACGTCTTTAGAATATTTTTAGGGAAATTAGATATGGAATAGTATAGCTCATATTTGGATGTTTTGTATCAATGGTATATATTGTATTAACAAATATTAGTCCTTTTATTATTATTTATATCCCTATACTCCTTACTATAAATATTTTGAAAACCATGATTATACAGTGTTTCACTTCCTCTATGGAATTATATTTCATTGGTTATGGACTACATGTACTTTTCTTTCCTTTATTTATTTCTTATTTAGGTGTAGGATATTGGACTCATAGAATGCTCCACTTGAAATATTTATATAAATACATTCATAGTGTTCATCATTCATTTAAAGAACCTACTGCCTTTTGTTATTGTGCTGCTCATCCTTTGGAAGGATTCATAGAAGGTAATCTTCTCCTCCATACTGCTGAATTAATATTGCCAATTCACCCTATGTAAACTATGATTTATGGAGGAATGATGGCTTTCAATGATCTTTTTGCCCATGATGGAGGGTAATATAATGAGTAATTTATATTATAGAAAATATGACCATTCTGATCACTATAGACATCATCTCTATTATGTAGTAAACTATGGAGATGCCAAAATTGATCGATTCTTCGGAACTGCATATGATCCTGTATTTATATATATTAATTCTAGAAAAATTATCCAGTTAAGGAGAAATGCACCTACTTAGCTGATTTTAAGGATAAAGACCATCCCTTATTTTAGAGATATAAATGAAAATATATATTAATATTAAATATAAATTTTATATATGTGTATCGAATTCGCTTTCAAGAGAGGTGGAATTACACTCATCAGGAATTTCCTTCATTCAGCTGAAGGAGTCAAGAAGTACTCAATATTTCATATTCAATTAGTGGACTTCCAAGTGTTGTTTAAAACAGATTATCCATTAATTACAAGCTCAGAACATACACTCAAGGAAAAGTCACTGATATCAGATGTAAATTATATGAATTAACCCATTAGTTATAACTGATCCAGTTGCAGGATATTAAGCCAAAGGAGACAAGAAATGATTTATTATCAAAATAAACAAAATAATCCCTATTTTCATAGCAAATTAGATCAATAAATTTAACATTTTTTATTAACTCTTCTCTTCCATTATTATATATTAATCATATAATAGATTGATAATTCTAAGTTGTATAAATTATTACTTTTGTATTTTGTATTTTTATTCAAAAAATAGTATTCTCTAAAATTGATTTGTTAATATTTTTTATTTCTAAAGTGTGACTCCAAACTTCAAATATAAAATACAATCAAAAATAATAAAATAAAAATTTTAATGGAGTATAAGATACCTAATTTCTATTAGTAATTACATAATCATTTATATTAGAGCTATGCCACAATGTTCTAGAATAGGACATCAGGAGAATATTGTGTATTTTTGTGTAAATGATCAGTGTCCTAAGAAATTTGAAGAGTTATGTGTTTAATGTCTTAACAAAAGAGAGACTTCTCACAAACATTCAGAATATTTACTCATCGAAAATGCTTATATTTTTTTATCGGATCTCTACTATAGATAATAAAATAAAATTGATTAATAAGCTTGCTTATAGGAGGCTTTTGAAAGTATAAAAACTTTGAAATTCAAGATTTTAGAAATCTTTGAAAATATGGAAAATCAATTAGCTTAACTAAAAGATAGATTTGATTCTTAATATCATTTGTAACAACTCTTCAAATAAAATTTTGTTAATAAACAAAACAAGAAAAGGTTTTTTATCTAAGAACTTAAACAACTTATTTAAGAATTCAATAAATATGTTTCTTATAACTTTGAAAAGTCAGGAATTCATACTATAATCGTTAAAGAATTTTCTGATTATTTAGATGATGTATAAAAAATGAATTTTTCAGAAGCTTTACAAGATATTGAAAATTTAATATAATACACAAAAAGTTTAAACATCATAAAACATTAATAATTAAAAATAATACATCGACTCCAAGAAAAAGCTACTGATTAGTCATTTATTTTAAATTAAAAGCCAATCGGATTTAGTGCTATAAGTTTGAAGAGATTTTAGCTCTTAGGTATTTACATTCCTTACTTACTGCCAATAGAGAGATAACGAGTATGTATATGATTAAATCTTTAGAGAAATTTAGAGATTAAATTATCAATTTATCTTAATAGTAATAATGAATTAATACACAAATAAGATATGAAAATTATTCATGATTAGCTAGTGAAATAGAGACCAATTTTATAAAATAAATATTTATTATAGCTAAATATTCCAATAATAATAGAAGAACATTAAGTTTTTACAATTTAAATTTGTTCAAAAACAAATTGTTCTTTTTAGAAACACAAGATATTTTGCAATTAGAATTTAGTTAAGTAACTAAATGATGATTTACATTCTAAAAGTTTAATTGAATAAATATGTACTTTCTTTATAACAGATTTTCTTATAAGAATGATAAATTGAATTGAATCATCATTAAATTGAAATATATATGTATAAAATGATTTAAATTAATTTGTTATGTATAATAGGAATCATTCAACTTTTTGGACTTTAATTTGATGTTCCTTGACAATATGTTCAAGTCCAGCATTCTAAACTAGAACAAAGTCTGAATAACCATGCCTTTATAGTATGGTAGCAGCAGTTTTAGCTCTGGCTCCTGAACGACAGTATATATGTAATGTCTTGTCTTTTGGAATCAAATCAAGCTATATAGAATAATATTAATAATTTACTTAATTCTCTATTTAAAATAGAGGGATCATTAAAGATCCTGGAACAATTCCTGTGGTTTTAAATTCAACTGGGTTTCTGCAATCAATGAACACATGATTTTGAGGTTAATCTTTTGTATCTAAGAAATCTTTCAAATCAACAATATTTAATTGTTAAACTTCTCCTCCATTTCTAACATAATTATCGAATCCTCCATCCAAATAACCAAGGATGTTTTCATATCCAATTCTTAGTAATCTAATGATTGTTTATTCTTCTTTGCCTTCATCTGCAACTATGACAATTTTTTAATCAGGCTTAAAGAGTATTCCAACAAAAGAAGCAAGAGTAGCTACTTAGGTAATGTTGATGGAGCCTTTGATAACTCCTTTATTAACGATATCTCTGGAATCTAATATTAAGGCACCTTCAGCTGCGATTTGAGTAAACTCTTAATAGTTCAAAGCTTTTGTAACTTTTTATTTAATACTTTGGAGGTCGCTAGCACCTTATCGATTCTAAGATATTTATATTTAATATAATTACTATTTGCACATCATGAAAGAAATATTGAGGAGGTGTAGGTATATCAGTTGATGTTTTTACAAACTCTTCCTCAGTAATATTCTATAATGCCCAATTTTTGAGTTTCTATTCCCCAATTGTACTTACAGTACCTGCTCCAATAGCCTTACCACAAGCAGAACCTGCTCCATGTCCAGGATAGAGAATGACATCATCATTTAGCTTCATGATCTTGTTTCTAAGGGAATGATAAAGAAGTGAAGCAAGTTGCTGAGTAGTCAAACCTGATGATTTAGATGCGAGATCAGGTCTTCCAACTTCTTCAAGAAAAAGTGAGTCTCCACTGAAAACAGCATTGTCTTTACCATCTACTACTAGTACAAAACAACTAGATTCTAAAGTATGGCCAGGTGTATGTAATACTCTAAGATATGCATTCCCTAAAGGCAATAATTCTAATGATAGCGATAAAATAATATACCTTCATCTTATGTGATTCTTGCTTAATATTAAGTAACAGCCTACGGACCCAATACAATTTGAGCTCCTGTAATTTTAGCTAAATCTACATGTCCTGCTACAAAATCAGCATGAATGTGAGTTAAGATAACATACTTGATAACAGAATTTCTTGATTCAGAAAATTTACTAATAAATATAGGATGGACTTTAATACATGTATTCTTCATAATCTCTCATAGGGTCAATTACTGCAGCTTCGTTGTTGGATTCAATGTAATAGGAAAATTAACCCAAACAGCTGACTTGAAATTATTGTATGTAGAAGTTCTCTCCAATTAGTTAAGCTTTTTGAGCATTGACGTAAGCTGGTGTGGCATTACATGTATTCATTTTGAGAATAACAAAATATTTTATTTAAAAAGATTTAGATTTGTGAATCCATTACATTTCAATGCAAACCCATAATTTTATGAAATTAGAAATATTTTTTTAAGAAAATCTAATTTACCTATTTTTATTTGTATAAAATTTGATAATTCAAACATCTAATAATATTCTTCTTGGATCTTCAATTGAAGTAGATAATCTCTTAAGGAAAGTGGCAGCATCTTTTCCATCAAGAATTCTGTGATCATATGTCAATGCAAGATACCTATGAGTATAATAAATAATGTTTACATCATTGGACGAGCTACAATTTAATCATTTCTAACAACTGGTCTATTAACAATAGCATGCATTCCTAAAATAGCAGATTGAGGAGCATTAATAATTGGTGTTCCCATCAAACTTCCAAATACTCCACCATTTGAGATTGTGAATGTTCCACCAACCATATCATCTGCTGAGATTTTTCCTTATCTTCCTTTTTCTGCTAGATCAATAAGTGTCTAATAATTTAATAGTCTTTAGTACTCTTTCAATATCAGCAAAACTGAGACGTTCACAATTTCTAAGAACTGGTACCATAAGTCCAGTGGGTGTAGCAACAGCCATAGAAATATCAATGTAATTTCTATAAACAATATCAGTACCATCAATAACTGCATTAACAATAGGTTGTTCTTACAATTATTTGACAGCAGCCTTAATGAAGAATGAACTGAAACCCAATTTAACATTGTGCTTTTTTTAGAAATCTTTCTACATGGCTTCTCTTGCTTCCATAACAGCACTCATATCACATTCTTAAAATGTTGTAAGTAATGCATAAGTATTCTAAGCATCTTTTAATCTTTAAGCAATACGTTATCTCATTCTTGACATTGGTTCCTAAATTCATATTTAGTTAATTACTCTTTTTTCTGTTCTTTAAGTAGGGGTTGTAACAGATGGAGCAACAGGTTTCTTTTCAGAAGGTTTAGCAGCTGGAGGAGGAGTACTCTTTTAAACTGCAGGTGCTTCTTGTTTTTATTCTTATTTTTATTCTTGTTTCACTTCTTGCTTTTATTCCTTTTTTGTTTCTGATGCTGCAGTAGCACCAGCTGGTTTAGCAGCTGAAGTATCAATTTCATAAAAGGGTTTGCCAACTTCAACTTTAGCACCATCAGCAGCGAACATTTAAGTAATCACTCCAGAATCTGCACATCTGATGTCTATTGTAACTTTATCTGTTTCAATTAATGCAATCACATCATCTTAATTCACATAATCTCCCACCTCTAATTATCAAATTTAACAAGCATACTCTTCTACAATTCTTTTACATCTCCTTCTGTAATTGAATCACCCATTGTTGGCACATTCACTAACTTTTCTAATTACTTTATACAAACTATTTACTTGAGAAATAGAATTTTGGTATTTGTGTAAATTGTGTCTACGATACTTTGAACAAAGAGATTGCGAACTATCTCATATCTTAATTAAAAATTTAGAATAATTATCTAACTATTGTTGTGTATTTAACACAATAATATATAATATTTAATATGTGAAATCATAATTCATCATCACATGTTATCTTTTTCAATCAACTTTTTTCCCCACATATCTTCAAATCCCCCATCTTAAGTAATCATAATCCTTTCAAATCCATTTCTCACTAGTATACTCATAGCAATCTTTGCTCTCCATCCTGACTTGCAATATACATGCAATTTCTTATCCTTTGGTATTTTATCAATATTTCCTTCTATCTCAGGTAAAGCAATCCAAATAGCCCCTTTAACAAATCCAGTCTCTCTTAATTCTACTACTCCTCTAACATCAACAAAAACATGATCATCTAAATCTATTATAATTAATTATTTACCAGGATTATCATTGATATTACAAAATTCTTCAAGTCCAACTAATTAAACTTAGGTTGCTAATTCTCCACCATTATTTTTATATGCTTCAAATCCTCCTTCCAAATATCCAAATATGTTATCATAGCCAATTCTTAATAATCTAATTATTGAATCCTTTGCTTCTCCATCCTTTCCAATTATCACCAATCTAGTTTCTGGTTTTATAATAGATCCTACAAAATTTACCAAACCAGACATAAATGTAACATTAATAGCACCTTTTATTACACCTTCTTAAATGTTTGGTCTAGTATCCAAAATCAAAGCTCCTTACTTTACATGATTCATGAATTCTTCAAATGTTAAGGCTTTCTGAACTTCATTTAAAATAGCAGAAAAATCATTAGCACCATTTTTATTCTATATTTATAATTATCTAAAATTACTAATTTTGCATCATGAAAGAAATATTAAGGTGGCTTTGGCATACCCTTAAGAACTTAATTGATAAATTCTTCCTTTGTAATATCTTAAAGAGCATAATTGTTCTTCTTTTACATTCCTATTGTACAACACTTACCTGCTCCAATTGATTTTCCACAAGATGAACCTGCTCCATGACCTGGATAAACAATGACATCATCACTCAAAGTCATTACTTTATTTCTTAATGAATCATAAAGATATGAAGCCAACATTTCAACTGTCAATTCTCCCACTTTTACAGCTAAATCTGGCCTTCCAACTTCACCCAAAAATAGTGTATCTCCAGTATAGACAGAATGATCCTTTCCATTATGCACTAAGACAAAACAACTTGATTCCATTGTATGTCCTGGTGTATGATCCACTCTAATTTATACATTTCCTAATGGAATCAATTCTCCATCTTTAGCTTCTTTAATTGGGTAACTTGCTACAGCTGTTGGTCCATAAACAATAGTTGCTCCAGTCAAATTTGCTAATTCTCTATGTCCACTAACAAAATCTGCATGAAAATGAGTTTCAAATATCCATTTGACTTAAGCATTTCTACTTTTTGATAATTCACTAATTATAACACTAAGAATCTTACATATATTAATGAATATCTCTCAAAGGATCAATTACTGCGACTTCCCCTTTGGATTCAATGTAATATGAAAAAGTAGAGAGACACTCAACATAAAACTATTAGATAAAAAAGTCAGGGGATTCATTCTTTTCTGCCAAATGATTTTCAAATATCTTAGGAGCTGCTATCATTACAAACTAATATAATATAGAAAACAAGATTTGCTTCCAATTTTTATATTGTAAAATAATACGTATTAAAATAATACGAAATGTTAAAAATACACATTAATAAGTTTTATTGTTCTATTAAAGTTATTGTGCTTATAAAATAGATTAAAGTAATGTATAACTAATTAGACATTATGAAATAGATCAATCATTCAATTTATTTTTATTTTTATAAAAAATCATTTGAATTCAATATAGAAATGAGATTTTGATTTATATTTAATTATTACAATATAATATATGGATGAATTATATATGAAATTGTTTATGATATGATTACATTTTTGATAATAGGGTAATATTAATTTTTCAATGTTTAGCCTTTCCAAATCCTACCATATTCATATCTCTATCATAGATACTCAAGTATTTTGTTAAAAAGATATCTCCTAGAATCCAAGCTGGACCTTATGGATCAGGAATGTCTAAAGGCATAAATGCTCCAATGCATTATTTAGGTGATCCTTCAATAAAGGCTGAAGCTGAAACTTCATTACTCAAAGGAATTTCAGTTCCATCATCTTTTAATTCCATAATGTAATCTTTAGCTTCAAGATCATAATTGACTCCATCAATTCTAAATGTAAGAGTTGGTAATTCTTTTGAATTAGAGCAATTATCATTAATGTTGGTAAGATCTATAATAAATATGATATTAATTACCTAATAATTTCATTAAGTCATCATATGGACCAGTAATTAAAGAAGTACCAGTATCAGCAACAACTTTACAACCTTTTGGACAGAATCCTTAATCTTGACCATTGACTAAGATATTCTCAGCTTTAATCATCCAATAATATTTATCAATAACAGGATGATAATGAATAGGACCATCAAGTTTAGTAACATCATAACCACCAAAAGTAATTTAGGATTCAAGACTATTAACTTTATTGCTCATGTAAAATGAAAATGAGTTAGATTCTAATTTCTTTTATTTCATAATGTTATCGAATAATGGATTTAAGTTATAAGCAGCCATAGAAGGATATGCTAAACCAACAATACCATCAAATCCAGACTTAGATAATAGTTTAAATAAAATTACATTTTAGAATACAGACCCGTTTTCTTCAACTATTTCAGCAATATTTTAATCTTCTACCTCTATTTCTCCTAATTTGACAATATCTGAATTGACTTCTCCATTTAAATCACCTGTACCAAATTATACATTTAATGCATAACCAAGATGTTTAGAACTAAAACCTGGTTTATATTGTGTATGTTATTTGCATCCTTCATTTTTGCATTTAACAGAATCAATCCAGAAATTTGCAGATCCTGTATCAAAAATAACTTAGAATTCTTGATCACCTACAGTAATAGGACCAGTAAATTAAGTATTCTTGAAATTATGTAATTTAAGATTTGCTTATCTCTTTTCTGTAGTTTATTATGGTTTTGGTACATATCCACCAAATTCGATTTCCTAAATATCAATTGGTGTTTATTATCTGAAATATGTTTATTTGGTGGTTAAAAAGTCATACATTTCTTTAGCAGATACCTATTTTCATTATTGACAAGTTGAATACAATAGTATGGGTTTCTTTTAATTTTATTGTATAGAGTTTATTCTCTTGTGGAGTAGTACTTTGCTCTTATAGGAAGGTACCTTGCTCTTGTCCACAGAAGACTAAGACAATTAGAAGGGAGTATAGAAATATGTTCATCGTATAAAAACGATAATAAAAATTATTATGTAACCACTTTGTGATCCAGCATAGGATAGAGTAGTCAAGTAAGTTCCTTTACCACCTCATCGTCCTTTAGATAATGATCTGATGTTTCCAGCCAAGAATTAAGGTAATAGAAACATATTGATCATAGGTAAACCTGACTGGAAACTCATTAAGGAACATTTAGAAAGAGAGGGGAGAATTGCAAAAAAGGAAGTAATAAAATTAGTAACAATGGCCAACAAAATCTTTAGTAAGCAATTGTTAATTATAGTAAAGAGAATGAGGGTAGTTTGATACATTTGTCAGATCCTTTAACTGTAGTCGGAGATATACATGGGTATGTTGAAAATAATAGTTTAGACAATTTTATGATTTTCTTAAAATACTTGATATTGGAGGTAATCCTGAAGCATAAAAATATGTGTTTTTGGGTGATTATGTAGATAGAGGACCATTCTCTATAGAGGTGTTAATTTTGTTGTATTCACTAAAAATCAATTATCCACGAACTATCTATATGTTGAGAGGCAATCATGAATGTAGATAATTAACATCATTCTTTAACTTTATGGATGAATGCAAATACAAGTATGATTAAGAATTGTATGATGTTTTTATGGATTCATTTGACAATCTTCCATTAGCTTGTATTATTAATAATTAATTCATTGCACTTCATGGAGGGATCTCTCCAGAATTAAGAAATGTATAATATTATTCATATCGAGGTTACTGATGTCAATTTGGTTGAGAGATTTAGGGAACCACCTAAAAATGGACTATTCTGTGACATCCTTTGGGCAGATCCTGTAGACAATGATGATGGAATTTGTGAAGGATAGTTTAGAATTAATGAAGTTAGAGGCTGTTCTTACTTTTATGGAATGGAAGCAGTCAGCAGATTTTTAGAAAGAAATAAGTTGATATCTGTCATTAGAGCTCATGAAGCATAATTAGAAGGATATAAAATGCATAGATGGGATGGAGGATAAGATTTTCCTATGGTAATTACAATATTTTCAGCTCCTAATTATTGTGATGTCTACAATAATAAAGGTGCTGTCATCAAATTCAAAGTATATAATTATTTAATTTCTTTAGAATAATGATCTCAATATTCAATAATATAATTATAGTTAACACCCATATCTATTACCTAATTTCATGGACATCTTCACTTGGTCTATTCCTTTTGTTGCAGAAAAAGGTTATTCTTATTTTAATTATTGTAGTCACTGAAGTATTGTTCCATATCATACAACCTAGAGATGGAGAAGCTATGGATGAGATAGTAGATGAAGATGATATTGCTAAATTTAAAGAATTAGTAGGAGATTAACAACATAAAAATAAAGATGTTTTTTTGAAAAGCAAAATCAAATTTGTTTTTAGAATGATGCAAATTTAAAAAGGATTAAGATAACAAAGTGAAAGTTTAGTCTAAACTAAAGGTGCTTGTCCTGATAGCCGTATACCTAAAACACTTTTAGATAGTATTAAAGATTGTAAAAATTATTATATATATAATATTAGCAAATGGTGCATTTTAGACTGCTAAAATGGCTGACTCTATCAATGAGAAAAGACCTGGACTAAGTTAATGATATTCATATCATATAAAAACACACTCATTTAATTAATATATCAATTATAAACTTCAAACTGTTCCACTAAATGGAATTGCTATATAGAAATGATCAAAACTACTTCATTTTAAATATTAGTAATGGAATAATGATCAGCTAAATTGTACAATGATTATTAATACTTCTTCAATTCCTATTCATATTCTTCTCTTTCCTATTTTATCTATTTTTAATATATTCCAAATTATTATTTTATTTCTTAAAAATCAAAATTATATGGAATCTAAATAAATTATAAAAAATGATTATTCCACTAAACTATCCTGGAATATCTTTTGCTCCATATTTTATTGTAACATATAAACATATCTAAGGATCAGACTTTTCCAATCTTGAGAACAAAGGAAATAATGCTTATGCATTAAAAACTAATTTTAATCATATTATTATCCATACATATATCACTTTATTATTTAGTTAAATCTTAATCAAAAAATATTAATCTTGGATCTATTAATTAATCAAATATTTGAAATAAATTAGCTATCATATCACATTTATCAAGCATTATACTAGCCCATAATCTAGGTTTTATTTAAGGCATGTTAGCTTATCTCATTTATTTATTGCCATTCTTTAAAAAAATTTCCTATTCCGATTACATTTGAGCTGAAAAGATAGATGCTCTCAATGCTAATTACTCATATTCCTTTTTTTGATGACCTTTTCTTCAATGATGTTGTTGTTTCAAGAAAGTTTTTCTTTGCTGTTTCATATTAATTTGTATAAGTAACAAAAGGATTAGCATATTTTTCTGCAAATTCCTTTTTTATTTCCTAATATTTTTAATTTATTTGTTCTCTTATTTAAGTTGTCACCTTGTAATATATTTTCATCTACTTACTTATAAATTGCACCTTATTAATCCTTACCTAAATATGCATCTAATACTACGTTCATTCTATGATACAGCATCAAAATAATTGTTAAGAATTTTCAATATTCTTGTATTCTCCATTTTAATATTATCAGGTGCATTTTACAACATATCTGGATGTATTGCCTTATAAAATTCTGTTAATTTAGACTTATTTTGAAAGTATTTACTGTAGAACTAAAGGCTACAATTATTTTCTATAGCATTTTAAAATAAGAGTAAATTATAAAAATTTATTAATAATCTTCTTTTTATTTACATAAAAACTTAGACTTTTGTTCCTATTTCCAGATATTATAAATATCAAATATACAAAACATTTAAATAATTATAGAGATGTTCTATATCTTCTATATTTAGAATGTTTAATTGAGATAACATTACATAATAATTATTATTATTTATTTAAACTAAAAAAAAATTAATTCCTTTATGAATAAACCTTAATAACAAAAATAGGGAACAAATTAAAATAGCAGTGCATGGTTGTATGCCTTAGGTGGTTTAGCAATTGGAGTTATAGGAACAATATTTGGAATGAAGGCTGTTGCTAGTAATGAATAGTCTTAGATCTAGAGTTAAATACAATCAAAATAATAGCCTTCATAAATCACAAATGATGGTGAATAATTAATTGAAAGTCTTTGTTGTCCAATATCTGGAGGTTATTTATGATTATTATCTTTAAATTAGAATTGATTGTCGATGCAGCCTAACTTAGTACATGTGGTCATACTTTTGATAAGGGTCCCTTATTATAATGGTTGAAAAAATCTTAGGAATGCCCTTAATGTAGAAAACAAACTAATGAATCAAATATAATCAAAAATTATGCTTTATAATAAGTCATTGATTAACAAAGAGCAAAACAATGATAAAGTTATGTTATCTAATCTAGTAACTATATATATATTTATAATCTGTTATCTATAACCTATAAGTATATTTAAAAACAATACATATAAATTCTTATGTTTCTTTTAATTAATTATATTGAATATCTTTAATATAATTACAAATTGAATCATAATTCTACAAGAACTACAGATAAAGAGATCACATTGTGTTATATATTAATAAGAAAATTCAATATTATAATTATATTCACAACTGAATCTCTCTAATAAATTAAATTTACTAATACAATTTCTTAATTTATGTGAAATAATTATGATATAGATTAATCATTAATTTCTAAATTAAGTTTTACTAAATATTTAAGTTTCCATTCTGAATATGTATATATATGATGTTATTATTATAATAATTATCATTTTGGTCCTTATGCTGCAAGAATAGCCATCTCTTATGCTTCTTATGCCTCTATTTTTTCCATATATTCTTATAATTGTTCTGCAGGTATTTCATCTGGCATTAATTGGGTTTATTTAATTTCATATTCAGGTTCTTCAGGATTTATCATTAATGAACCATCTGCAGGTTAAAATGGTGAATCAACTCCCTTTTAATCTGGAATTGGATCCTTTTCAAACACTGGATTGAGTTGATTTTCTACAACATCAACTGGCATTTAATCAGATTAATCTTAGGTTTGAATCTCAACATTTAAAGCATTCATATAAAAATCATCATCAGATCCCTTGGTTGATTATAATTATTTTTGCTTTTCTTCTTCATATTTTCTTTATTCTTCTAAATCTAATTAATCTTGCTCTTAGGTAGTTAAATTTATTTCAGATTCTTATTGCTCTTATAATTATTATTATTCTGTTTATTCTTATTAAATTTATGTTTCTTATACTAATTCAGCTTCATTAGATGTTGTTTGAACAGGTTCTTAATAATTTTTATCATCATCAATATATTGAATTTCTTAAGTCTAAACCAAAGATTTTTATGAGTTTGCTGTGTTCTATTTATGATGGCGAATATTATGACCAGCAAAACCTAAGCAAATGATTGCTAATACCAATAATGCTTGTTTCATCAAAACGGATTATAAAATTATTATTATTATGTCTTTATCAAAATTAACATAATCTTGAATACATTTTATAACTCAACTTCCAAGAACTAAACATAGAAAAATTATATAAAACTATTTTTAAACAAATTACAATTCTTATATACCTAACAATATGATCAACATAATCTTAACATAAAATGGAGAATTAAAGTAAAGTATTGAATCCAATTAGTGTATATAAAATGAATAATAACATTATTTCATAAATATTGTATGTTTTCAAGTCTAACTAATAAAATGTTTATGAATTAAAAATAATATCTACCATTTTTAATTAATAAATATTTTAATAGATCCATCATTACAGAATTCGAAATTACATTCTTAACAATTTAAACTTAATCATTTTCATTATCAAATATCAAAATATTCCATTTTTTTTATTAAAGAAGAATTTCTTTTTTTTGAAAATTATCTTAATTTTAATTTCATTCTATTATTTCTATATCAGTATTTTTAGATATAATGTATTTGATCAATTTTATATCATTCTTTTTATTTGAAATCTTTCAAGAAAAATAAAAAATTAATTTAAAATAGTATATTGATTTTATAATTAATATTATTTTATAAAACCCATAAAATAATAATATTAATAATAATATATAAAGAAATTAAAAAGACTATTAAATTTCATACCTTCTCGGCCTTTTGGCTAAGATCAAGTGTAGTATCTGTTCTTATCAGAGTGATATCTGATATCTCCTACGAGGAGAATGATATCACTGCAATTTTTAAATGGGGCTGGGTTTACTTGGGGCTTGCTCCGGTCCCAGCATAGTCGACCCTGACTTACACGACCTCGGGGAACGGCTAACCCGCTACTTTTTAAATTAAACAAACGAAATTTATTATTATATAACTCTCATGTCTTCTATAATTTTACTTAGAAGTTTTGAAATTTAATTGAACCATTAAGCAGATAGATAGATTAAAGGAATTCTATAATGAAAAAAAATAATGAAAATTTCTGTTTTTCTTGAACATATATCTCCATCATGTTGTTATTAGCTTAGTAGTTTGAACAATTTTAGATTAATTCTTAATACTAAATGTTAGGTAAAAAAGTTATAGGAATGATTATTTTAAATATTAATTATTAATAAATATGAATGGATCTTAATGAAATTATATGTTTCAAGGTAATTAATGTGTTTCATTAAATAATGATCCCAAAGAACAGAAATATCATGAAAAATAACCATAACGCATATCCAAAAATTAAACTACAATAATTTATTGTTGAATCAATAAAATAGCTTTGAATATCCTTTATGATTCATCATATGGTTATTAAAATTGATATCATAAGTTATTATTCCAAGCATTTTTTAAGGAAATAAGATAATAATTAAATTATTAAAAATGATGAAAAAGTTCTCTTATAATTCTTGGTTTCAACAAAAAAATTAGTATTTTAGATAGTCATAACTTCAAATTTTATAATGAAATAAATAATTATACTACTCTGATATACAAAATATATAAGAAGCAGCATTAAATTTTGATTTGTAAAGTATAGACACAATTTTTCGATTTTAAATTGATTCCAAAGAGTAGCAAAAAGGAAGCCATGTTTAAAATGAAATTATAAGGAAACATAAATTTGAGTATATGTTATTCATGAATATTTGAATTAATCATATGGAAAAATAATTAAATTACATATTTATGTAGAATACATAAATTTTGGAAATACTATTTAATTTCTCATCTATAAGATTAAGAAGAATGTGTTAATGAAGTTATAATTATATTTAAATCTAGCTGTAAAATTGCAACAATTTCAGAAATGATTCTTGGTTCATAATTTGATCATTTTTGTTATTTTATATAAAGAAAATTAATATTATGAAGCAGTTTCAACAGTAGTTGAAAAATTTAGATGAGGTATTCAAAATATTATATCATCAATTAGATTATTTAAAATAACAAGAATAGTATTAATTTTATGAGAAAGATTGCATAAGAATATTAAATTATGCTAAAAAGAATGATCCAGGAGTTTATTTCAGATTTCTTAATTTTATAAATAAAAAAATATATACTGAAATCCAGTTTGAACTATGAAAAATTGTTAAGATTTAAATCTAAAATAAAAACATCATCAATTAATTAAAAAGTAGAGTAAATAAGATCATTTTTGCTCTGAATTAGTTTCTAAAGCTTAAATAGAAATTGGTTTATTAGATTAAATAAAGTCTTCTATCTTATATTATCCAAATGATTTTATTTAAGATAAACGGTTAGAGTGATTAGAAGAAGTTAAGTTGAGTCCAGAATATTTTTTTCTTTTTTAAGAGATGATTTATAATTCTATAATTAATTAATGCAAACTTCAATTGATTTACCTTCCCCTTTAGGCATCGTCTAAACTTCTTCTATAACAAGCACTGGCAAAATATTAGGTCCTGATTACGAATAACATTTACAGAGTGCAGCAAAAAGAAGTGAACAGGATAAATTATTTAGAAAGCAAAATCAGATGAATGATATAGAGGAATTTGAAGCAATGGAAGTTTAGAATGGAAATTAGACATCATTAATATATTATTATAAGGCCTTGAAATTGGATGAAGAAATATAGCATAACGAAGAATAAATTATTAACATTGTTAATATTAGACAAAAATTAGGAATGATAGAGGGATACCTAATGAAGAAAAGTCCTCATTGGTTTTAAGGGTATTCATAGAGAAATTGTATATTAAAAAATAGAGTATTTAGATATTATGATTGCGAAAATAAGAAACTTTAAGGAGTTTTAAATTTTGATGTTTAGTCATTTTAATTATAAGAATTATAGGATAAAAATGGAAATACAGTAGAATTTATGTATAAATATCACTATTCTAATAGTTTAAAGCCTTTGGGTTAAACATAAAAAGTATTTCAGTTCAAAGGAGGTACAGTAGACTAAACAAAAACTTGGATTTAATTGATAAAATAACATCTCTAAGATTCAATTGGGTCATTAAAGGTTTTGAAATCATTAAGTTCATATGAATATTTTTGGAGAGTATTATGATTATATTAATTTGAGTTTGAACGCATTTCATCATTACAAATTATGGAGGATGCTGAAGATGGAGATATATTACTATTTTAAGGGAAAGATATAAATTGTCATATTTAAAGAACCTTAACACAATCTAATTTTGATCACATTGGAATTTTTATACGTTTAAATGAAAATTAATTGTATTTATTTGAAGCATTACCATTACATGGAGTTGGTTTATGTCGTTGGAATAAATTTATTGTTTGTAAATGGAATTATCTATATCATAAGTATAATATAATTTAATTTTAGAGTTATTTATAGAAAATTATAAGTTAATAGAGATGAAAATTTTAAATCAAGGATACATGAATTTGTTACTGATAATATTGGTAAATAATATTCATTTAATCCTGCTAAATTATTCAAATTTAAGTCAACAATGCTTCAAGATCCATAATAATAATAAACAAGAACGTTTTTTTCTTCTGAACTTGTAGCAGCCTGTTATAAATATTTGAATCTATTGTCAAAAGAAGTTTCATCCACATAATATTCACCAGGGTCTTTTTCATAAGACAATCAAAAATTATCTTTATTATATGGAAGTTTAAGTGAAGAATATCTTATAGATTTTGAGGGTGAATGATTTGGCTTAATTAATTAATACATAAAAACTCAAACGGCTATATTCTTGAAAAGAATACAAAATTAAAATATTTAACATAATCAATCAATCAAAAGAAGATGTTCATTATTTTAATTCTTTCTTTTGATTCTAAATCAAATCAATCACTTTTTTTTAATGTGAATAGATATCTGGACCTATCTTCTTTTAATATTTTAATTAATTTTCATTATATTATACTTTTGCATATTTTAATACACAACTCTATTATATAATATAAATAATATACATAATTTCTGTTAAAGTTCCAAGGTCGATTATTGAATGCCAAATAAAATTCCTGAAGATATCTTTTGTTTTTTAGATTAATAAATGCAAAACCTCCTTCTAAATCACAAGGAATATTTATGTAATCGTATTTTGAATAGAATTTGAAATCTATCTCATTTTATAGTCTTTTCACTGTATAATTATTTGGAATGTTTCTAATCATTAAAGTAGTTCGTTTGTCATTAGCAATCTAATTTCTAAATTTCATATTACAGTTTGTAGTGAAATATTGAACTAATTTTAAGTGTTGTCATTCTCATTTGAACATTTCTCAAAAGCTTGATTAAAAATGGCAGAAAATGCCTCAAATTATTCATCAGAGGAAGAGTTAGTTTCTGTTGAAAATAGAAGCTTTGATTCTTTCGAAATAGAATTTAAAAAATAAAATACTATAACCAAATAGGAAAAGATCATTATTAGAAGAACCAGCAGAGTCTTAGTTTTCGATCCAATTCGAGCATTAAGTGAACTCTTCGATTTCTTAAAATAGCGAGGTTTACATATTTAAATTTTTATATATATAATTAATAATCAAACCTTTTAATACTCTAGTTTAGATTCTAATTTTTTGGCTTCTTTTATTTTTCTACCTGCTTTGAAATAATCCTCTTCAATAACATAATCTCTATCTGCTCTTATGGCAAACATACCTAAGAGTATTATAATAATAATATACCTGCTTCAGTACAAACATTCCTTAGATCTGCTCCATTAAATTCTTCACATAACTTTGCTAACTATTCAAAATCTACTTCTCCTTTAGTTGTAATATTTCTTGAATGAATCTTTAAAATATCATATCTAGCTTATTCATTAGGTAATGGAATTTCAACCTCTAATATATTAAATATTAAAATTAATACTTCTATCCAATCTACCTGGTCTTAAAAGAGCTGGATCCAAAATATCTGGTCTATTAGTAGCCATTACTACTTTGACTTTACCCAAATCATCAAAACCATCTAATTGATTTAATAATTCCATAAGAGTTCTTTATATTTCTCTATCAGCAGATGTTCCATCACTAAATCTCCTACCTCCAATAGCATCTATTTCATCCATAAAAATAATGCAAGGCTAATTCTCTTTAGCATATGTAAACATTTCTCTTATAACTCTAGCACTCTCTCCAATATACTTATCTACTATACTCGAAGCAACTATTTTCAAAAACTTTGCTTAGACATTGCAAGCTAAAGCTCTTCATTTTATATTATTATTTTACCTTGCAATTAAGGTCTTACCAGTACCTGGAGGACCATACATTAAACAACCTTTAGGAGGTTTTACACCTACTCTTTTGAATAATTCAGGATTAGTTATAGGTAATTCTATAGTCTACACTTTAGTTTTATAAATACTTCTCTTAAAACACGTAGTTGATCATTTAAACCTCCAATTTCATCAAATAAAACCTTTCCTGGATCTTCATGAGCCATATGAAAAACTTATGGATCTACTTCTCTTGGCAAAATTCTAACTATTGTATATGTTTCTTAATCAAGTGCAATTCTTGTTCCTACTACCAATTTCTCTCTATCAAGCTTGGGTTTAGCACCAACAACATATCTAGGTCCACTATTCAATTTTGAAATATCTTAATTAAGATTATCTTATTACATTTTTCATCATTTATTTTCATTAATATTTCTCCAACTGCTTATCCTCTTATATTTAAACTTTTGATATTATCTTCAAACTTTTCAAAATCATTCTTCTTTTATTTTGTTTATGCTCTCACTAATCATTATTATGTAAATTTACATTCTTTAACATGTCTTTCTTTCTCCTCAACTTCCTTTAACAATTTAATGTATTTCGCTTCTAATGCAATCCGTTAATTTTGATCAGTCATCTTGAATATTTTAAATTTTATATATTTATATTAGATTAGGATTATTTATCATTTAATTTATTTCTTAAATTCATAACAAATCAATTAAATTAATCTAATACATCTCTTATATTGATTCTAATATAATAGATAAGTAAATATTGTATTCAAAATTTTATGTTATTTTTTGTGAATTTAAAAGTTTTATTCAATTTTTGAACAATTTTAATTTTAATTATCATTTTTCTAAAATATTTTTATGAAGAGAGTGATAGTTATAAATATTCAAATATTGATCAACATAGATTTTGGTTTATATAATATTAAATAAAAAATAATTGAGAGATTTAAAATAAATTTTAGTTTTATAATAATTTTAGTTATTATTTTATCTATATATAGAAAAGATGAAGTATAAAAAATAGCTATTCAAAATATGCAGCTTTGAGTCATATCAACAGGAGAACGAGTCTGAAGATCAAATTTAAGATCAGGTATAAATTCACTTTCAATAGTTGATAAGTCATCCAAACAAAATATTTAGTATTTTTTTGAATGTATTTGAAGTACATGCTACATATATATTTAACTTTTCATACCACTTAAGAAGTTGATTTATTTAATTTTTTTAAATCTTGAGCAGAGAATATTGATGTTCCTACATTGATTTAATATAATACTAAATTCCATCAAACCATATGAAGTGTTTTACTATTCTTTTAATTATTTCTTTTAATCCTTTATTACATTCATTTAATATAAATTTCGTTGGTATTATTGACATTATTGGCATTGATTTTTTATAATATTTGGTCTTAATTCTGCAATCCTTTTTTTCTCCTTCTTTTATTCTTCAGGCTTTATTGTTTGATAAAACAAGTAAAAACAACCCAACATGTATGTTTTTAGTAAAACTGATTTCTTTGGGAATACTCTCCCTAAATCTTCTAATGCGTATGACATTTTGTAATATTTATTAATAATTCCTATAATCTTATCTAAATAAAGATATAAATAATTAATACTAATTACATAATATGATGCGCATTCATTGGTTAAATATACATAAATATAAAATAAAATATTAACAACAATCTAGTAATGATTGGTAAGAGAATCAAAAATTATTTATAAATGAATTGTCCAAGAGTGACTGACAGAAATAAATATTTAATTTATATCTGCTAATAAACCCCGATTCTATTTTGCCATCTTCATAATATTGATAAATTAATATATCAATATATAGATTAGGATGGCTGATTCAAATAATTGAATTGATAGCTTACTTTTAATTCATATACAACTCATTATATGAAAAAGTAATTAATTAATTGGTCATTAATGTTTTAGTGTTCAAGAGTTGTCAACAAATACTCAATTAATAGTGAGTAAAAGCTAATTATACTCTTAATAGTTTAATTTAAGGCATGTACTAATGTTAGATAATATTTAATCATCTACAANTAGAAAAGATGAAGTATAAAAAATAGCTATTCAAAATATGCAGCTTTGAGTCATATCAACAGGAGAACGAGTCTGAAGATCAAATTTAAGATCAGGTATAAATTCACTTTCAATAGTTGATAAGTCATCCAAACAAAATATTTAGTATTTTTTTGAATGTATTTGAAGTACATGCTACATATATATTTAACTTTTCATACCACTTAAGAAGTTGATTTATTTAATTTTTTTAAATCTTGAGCAGAGAATATTGATGTTCCTACATTGATTTAATATAATACTAAATTCCATCAAACCATATGAAGTGTTTTACTATTCTTTTAATTATTTCTTTTAATCCTTTATTACATTCATTTAATATAAATTTCGTTGGTATTATTGACATTATTGGCATTGATTTTTTATAATATTTGGTCTTAATTCTGCAATCCTTTTTTTCTCCTTCTTTTATTCTTCAGGCTTTATTGTTTGATAAAACAAGTAAAAACAACCCAACATGTATGTTTTTAGTAAAACTGATTTCTTTGGGAATACTCTCCCTAAATCTTCTAATGCGTATGACATTTTGTAATATTTATTAATAATTCCTATAATCTTATCTAAATAAAGATATAAATAATTAATACTAATTACATAATATGATGCGCATTCATTGGTTAAATATACATAAATATAAAATAAAATATTAACAACAATCTAGTAATGATTGGTAAGAGAATCAAAAATTATTTATAAATGAATTGTCCAAGAGTGACTGACAGAAATAAATATTTAATTTATATCTGCTAATAAACCCCGATTCTATTTTGCCATCTTCATAATATTGATAAATTAATATATCAATATATAGATTAGGATGGCTGATTCAAATAATTGAATTGATAGCTTACTTTTAATTCATATACAACTCATTATATGAAAAAGTAATTAATTAATTGGTCATTAATGTTTTAGTGTTCAAGAGTTGTCAACAAATACTCAATTAATAGTGAGTAAAAGCTAATTATACTCTTAATAGTTTAATTTAAGGCATGTACTAATGTTAGATAATATTTAATCATCTACAAACTCTAAATGCCTATAATACAAATTTTAATTAATGAATTTGATTAATAATGGATTTAATATTTGAACAATTATTATTGAGATTATATGGGTGTTAACTTAACATTATCTCATAAAAGGTTTTATTGTTTTATATTATATGGGGAACTATTTTAGGATAATTATCTTTTAATTTTTAAGAAATAATTAATATAATAGTGTTTTTGATGTTGGTTCATTATATAAATATAAAATATGATTTATGAGATATAAGATAAAGAATATGGGGATTTTATTGATTTGCTTACTTCCTGCCTAAAAATAAATCTTTTTGATAATGATATAGTAAGTTCTTTAGAGATTATATATGGAATTGATATTTAGAGCTAGATTTGAAATAATGATTGATAAATTGTCTTAATTTAATAATATTAAACCTTAATTGTTGGTAGATAAATGATAGGGTAGAATAATTAATAGTGATGATTAAAGAATTCAATAATTAAGAAATAATTAGGTAGATTCTATTTTATAATAATACATACAAAAACTTTAAGATATATGAAGTGATTAAGTCTAGTAAACATAAAAAGTTAAATTACTTTAGAATACTAGATTATTAGAGAATAGACATAAAATATTATTTCATTCACAATTATTGTTGATTATTCAATAATAAAGAGTGTCTCAAATATTTAGATTATATAAAAGATGATAAATTATATATATTAGAATATATGTATTTTACAATCAAGTAAATAGAAAAGAAAGAAATACTAAACAAAAAATAATGATAAGCTTTGTAAATAGAGAAATAATTAAAAAAACTATTATGTTGAGATTTATAAATACAAAATTTGAAAAAGATTGATTAGGATATATATTAATATTTTGAGAAGGAATTTAAGAGAAAGATGAGTAAAATGAAAATGAAGATGAATTATAAGGATATGGAATTGAGATTAAGGTTTATTAAATGAACAAAAATAAAATAATATTGGAAAATATTTAGAAATAAAAAAGATTTTTGATTTATATTAAATAAATATATAAGTATGCTAAGAATCTTGATCAAATTGCAAATTACACTTTTTTTGAGTTTTTAGGTGCTTATGTTTATTATTATTGGGCAATTTAGTTCATTTCTGCTTAAAACTTTTAAAATACATTTCCTTAAATTCCATGTTAAGATGGCAATGCTTGAAATGTAACAAAATTTTGAAATTGTTGCTCTGATGAAAAACTTTGAAATGAATATTATTAGATTGTTGAGAGTTATGATGTTTTATTTGGTTCCTTCAAGACTCCAAATTTATTTTGTTTTCTTTTTGGATATTCTTCATCTGAATCTGACTAACTTAACATTTATGGTAATTAATCTCCTTATTTTAAGGATCCTCTTTTAGATGTCTCAGGATGAGATGTTTCATCATCATATTAAAAAGTTTCTACTCTATCCACTTTCTAACAACACTACCCATTTCCCATTAATTTTATTTTAATTAATACTGTATTAAATAGTAATAAGATGTTGTCTATAATATGATATTTAAGATTAATAAATATATTCTATATTACATAATTAGAGTAGTAATTAGATAAAAATTAAGCAAAAATTATAAAAAGATAACTTAACATCAAATATTACCTCAATATTTTATAAATTTCTATTGCACTTCAAAAATTTGGATTACAATAAATAATTATTTTTTTAATTAATTAAAAAAAAACAAAAACTCAAATATGTGATAATACACTACCATCTAATATTTGACTATATAATTGTTGACTTAATTATTCATTCTTTTCTACAACCTCTTAATACTTTTGATATAACTATAGTTTATAATTAATATAATACTTAAACATATTCTTATTGTGATTTTTTAGGTAATTTTAAGGTCTTTTTATTATTATTTGATATTATCTTTTCTATTTACAATCTTAAACTATCAACTTCTAATGCAGAAGATCTAACTAAATCTTTTAATTTAACATTCTCTTATTCTAAATGAGTAATTGTTCCAGTTAAATGTTTTATTTTTTATTCATATAATGATTTGAATTATTAAATTTTAGATTGAATTAAATCTAGATCTACTTAATTATTATTTTTTATTGTTAAATCTAAATTATTCCTCTCTTCAAGTTCTTAAATTTATTGATTTTTCTTTTAAATAATCTTTTTATATTCCATTTACATACGATCAAAACTTTCAATTTAAGTCTTAATTTAATCTTAATAATTTTTGATTTCCTCTTATAGTGTATTATTTTTGAATAATAGATCTTAATTATCAATTTATAACATTTATAATTGTGTTTTATTTTATCTTACTTATTCTTCAGCTTTTATCATTTATTAATAGTATTCATTCTAAGATTAAGTTTCAGTTAATTGTTTTTCAATATTTTGTAAATGCAATCTTAATTGACTTATTTCATTACTCTTTCCATCATTATCATTACTTTTTGTATTTTCTATATCTTATCTCAAATTTTCATTTTCTT